CGAGTCCAGCTGCAACACCAGCATCTGCCAGTCCAGCTCCAGCKGCAACACCAGCMTCTGCCAGTCCAGCMCCAGCTGCAACACCAGCWTCAGCTAGCCCAGCTCCAGCTGCCACMCCSGCCTCAACTAGCCCAGCTCCAGCTGCCACTCCAGCCTCAGCTAGCCCAGCTCCAGCTGCCACTCCAGCCTCAGCTAGCCCAGCTCCAGCGGCAACACCAGCATCTGCCAGTCCAGCCCCAGCTGCAACACCAGCCTCAGCTAGCCCAGCTCCAGCTGCAACACCAGCATCTGCCAGTCCAGCTCCAGCTGCCACACCGGCCTCAGCTAGCCCAGTTCCAGCTGCCACACCAGCATCAACAGCTCCAGCTCCAGCATCGACACCAGCATCGTCCAGTCCATCAACTCCATCAGCACCAGCTGCAACCTCGGCATCATCTGCCCCAGTTGCCTCCCCAGCAGCTACTCCAACCTCATCCGCTCCAGCTGCCACGTCAGCCTCAGCTAGCCCAGCTCCAGCTGCCACTCCAGCCTCAGCTAGCCCAGCTCCAGCTGCCACCCCCGCATCTTCAACTCCATCAGCACCGGCTGCCACTCCAGCCTCATCTGCTCCAGCTCCAGCTGCCACCCCAGCCTCAGCTAGTCCGGCTCCCGCCCCACCAGCATCATCAACTCCAGCCGCCCCATCAGCTCCAGCATCACCAGCCTCATCAGTTCCAGCTCCAGCTGCCACTCCATCCGCTTCATCCCAGCCGACACAACCAATTACAACCTCTTCATCGCCAGCTGCACCCGCGGCCACTACTACCACATCTGGCTCAACCACAACAACACCCATAGCTGTTTCGACGACCTCTGCAGGCTCCTCACCAGCCCCTCCATCTCCACCCGCCATCCCAACGACTGCCTAAAGTCAAGATCATCACCCCATAAATTGACCAACACGTAACGTTGTGGTGCTCTCTAACACTCCTTCGTTCGTTTTTCACTCACACACAACATGTAAATAAACAAATAAATCAAAACAAATTAATTAATCAAAACGACTCGTGTTTCATTCTTCATTCCATTCATAATCATACTTGATAGTTGTGTAATATCATATAATATATATATAACATGGATATTAGTAACGGAGGAGGAAAGAAGAGAAAGTCTGATGATGACTTTGTCAGAACATTGGACGACGATGAGAATGAAGAGTTATTTGAGGATGTCGAAGGCGAGTGTCTCGAAGACGATGACGAGCAAATGGCAACAGTTGACGATGATGTTCTAGATAAGACTGCTGAGTTCAAAGTATGTTTAAGCCCCCCGAGTTAGACACAAAGTCTCATTCACTCACTCATTCAATCAATGAATCAATCAATCAATCTAGTTTGAGGATGATAACAAGGTTGCACTACCATGGAACTTTCAACCAACGATTGAGTTGATGAAGAAACAGACTATTGCATCCGGTTCAGTATGTGTATCTTCAATTAATGACTCTCGCGACACATCGATCACTCACTCGTTCAATCATTCGACTTCATCAATGTAGAATCAAACATCGATACAGGATAAGATTCAACAAAGATTGAATGCAAAGAAGTTTAACAAGTTGGAGAATAAGAAGAAGAAGAATGAAGATGGTGAAGAAGAGGATGATGATGATGAGGATGAAGATGAGGAAAATGATGAAGCCCCAAATGAGGACGATGAGGAAGAAGATACAATAACAACAGATGAGAAGAAGAAGAATGATAGTTTCAAGACTCTACAATCGAATAGACGAAGAAAACAAGAGATAGAAGAGGAGTTGCCAACGTTTGATGAGTTGCATTTATCAAGACCACTTCAAAAGGCCATTGCTGATCTTGGCTTCTCGATGCCAACACCAATCCAGGCCAAGACAATCCCACTGGCACTCAACGGCAAGGACATTCTGGCCAGTGCCACCACAGGCTCAGGTAAGACTGCCGCATTCCTATTGCCAATCCTCGAGAGACTACTATATCGCGACGTTGAGCATCGCGCCATCCGTGTGCTGGTCCTGCTGCCAACGCGTGAGCTGGCACTTCAATGCCAGTCCGTGCTGGGCAACCTGGCCAAGTACTCCAACATCACATCGTGCCTCGTCGTGGGAGGTCTCAGCAACAAGGTGCAAGAGGTCGAGCTGCGCAAGCGCCCCGACGTCGTCATTGCCACTCCCGGTCGTCTGATCGACCATCTGCTGAATGCCTACGACGTGGGTCTGGACGACCTGGAGATCCTGGTGCTGGACGAGGCCGATCGTCTGCTGGACATGGGTTTCAAGGACGAGTTGGAGAAGATTGTGGACAGCTGTCCAAGCGCCAGACAGACGATGCTGTTCTCGGCCACTCTCTCAGACGAGGTCAAGCAGCTGGGCAAGTTGTCACTCAACGCACCCATCCGTGTGGCCGTCGATGCGCTCTACCAGGTGGCCTCAACGCTCGAGCAAGAGTTTGTCAAGATCAAGCCACAGGCGCTGGGCGACCGTCCCGCGTTGCTCCTGTCGCTGGCAACACGTGTCTTCAACAATGGTGGCACGATCGTGTTCTTCAAGAGCAAGAAGGAGGTGCATCGCATGCGAATCATATTTGGTCTGGCTGGCCTGTCGGCGGCCGAGCTGCACGGCGACCTGTCGCAGGAGCAGCGTTTCGAATCCCTTCAGCAGTTCCGTGATGGCAAGGTCAATTTCTTGTTGGCGTCGGATGTGGCTGCGCGTGGACTCGACGTGCTTGGAGTCAAGGTGGTGATCAACTACAACATCCCGCGCAACCTGGCACAGTACATTCACAGAGTTGGTAGAACGGCGCGTGCAGGAAATGAGGGCCGCGCGTGTTCATTTGTCACTGACGGCGACCGCAAGATTCTAAAGGAGATCGTTTCGCGCGCCAAGGCAAAGGCAAAGAGCAGAACAGTGTCGCAAGAGAGTGTCAAGTATTGGCGCAACCGCATTGATGAGTTTGCCGAGGACATCAAGTCGATCATCAAGGAGGAGCTCAAGGAGATGGATCTGCGCAAGGCTGAGAAAGAGCTGGCAAAGGCCGAGAAGCTGCTCAACGAGAAGAAGGGCGCACCCGTCAACCCCATGGACCTGGACAAGCAGTGGTTCATCTCCAAGTCCGACCAGGCCAAGGCCAAGGAGGCTTGGAAGATCGAGGCCGGCATACTCGACCCCAAGACTCTGGCCGAGGCCAAGGCCGCCAAGGAGGAGGCTGTCAACAAGAAGAAGGAGGCACGCGATCCCTACGCAGGACTATCAAGAAGAAAGAGAAGAAGCAAGATGCATCGCGAGGAGCTGGCCCGCGAGATGGCCGAGGAGCAGCAGGGCAGCGACGACGACGGCGACGATGATGTGCTGGCTAGCATCAATGGCAAGCGACCAAAGAAGCCCGTCGACAAGGAGCTGGTGGACAAGGAGTTTAGACGCATGCAGAACAGCCAGAAGGCATCGGGCAAGGCCACCAAGAAGATCGAGGCATTACGTCGCGTTGGTATATACACAGGACCCACTGAACAAGAGAAGCTCAAGATGGACAAGAAACAAAGCAAGAAGGATGCCAAGAAGAACAAGTCTGGCTCCAAAGGACCACTCAACAAACAAATCAGAAGTACAGACTTTGAGAAAGACATCAACTCTATCAGTGGCGGTTCAAGTTCATTCGTCAAAGGCAAAGCTCAACAAGCCAAGAAGAAGAGGAGGCTCGACTAAACATAAACATTAATTAACATATATGAGTGAATGTTTATTGTTGCCAGAGGTTGGATTTTAAAATTAATGCGGCCAATGAAGCGGCAACTGTTTCCGTCGCCAGAAGATTAATGGTAGCACCCCCCTAAACAGAACTCCCGTCACTCTTACTAAAAACCCCAATTATTCTGGAAATCATTCAGATCGAAGGGGGTTGAGTGTCTTTTTCCAACTTGAGACTCGATCTGAATCTTTATTTGATTGAATCAATATTTATTGGATGACGTCAATACTTTCATTCATTCATTCAATTCGCCTTATTATCATTATTGATGAAAGAGATACATAATACATATACTCATACTAATATATATTACTACTATTTAGATAGTTGACACAAACACATCAACAAACACATAATATAACATAACAAAGGATGGATACTCCACCACCAGACACAGAAAATACTACTACCACTACTGCTACCACTTCTAATGCCACTTCAACCAAGGTGTCATTCGAGAGCACTTCATTGACTTTGTCAGATTTACCAAATGTACAGGTGGCTGATGGCCATTTGAGATTGGAATTGGCATTGCCAAGGGCTGTTGATGAGAGTCGATTGACTGTTCCAGGCTCAGCGGGAAGGAAGCATATGATTGTTGTAATGGTCGATAAGAGTGGATCGATGTATCATGTTTGGAACCAGGTGCAATGCATCCTGCAGACACTGTTCACAATCGTATTCAATCAGACTGCCGACATTGTGTTGGAAGTCATCTTCTTCAATGACACGGCCTATCGCATGGCCTGGACACCAGAGAACTACAAGCAGCTGATCATGGAAGAGCGCGCCAATGGCAAGACATGCTTCGCCTCATTGTTTGGCTTGGCTGGCGACCTCTTGCGCACTCACTTCAAGAAGAACACTGAGTTCCGCAGCGACTTGTTCTACGACCCACGCACCGACGTCTCGATGGTGTTGCTCACTGATGGCGCACATACCACAAACCGCGATCACAAGAAGGAGTTTGCAAACTTGCGCGCACTGATCAAGTCCATCACCAATGCCGAGATCACTGTACACACCATGGGCTTCACTGAGAACTCGCGATTCCAAGATCTGGATGGCATCAGGAAGTTGTTGGGTAACAAGGAGGGCATCTATCAGTATGCCGAGCCAGGTGATGGCCCACACGCACTTCACGAGAAGCTCAACTTCATCTTTAGCTTCATCCTCACGACAGGCAAGACTGTGCCCGCCGTCATCTCCTGGTCGCCCGACAGCGGCCTGGTCTTTGTCGAGAGTGGCACCAACTCAATCAAGACAACACTGGTCTTTGACAATGACGGCGAGTACGACATCACCTTTGCCGTGGCCAGGATGCCCCTGGCCACAGACCTGGTGATGCCCTCACACTACGCTCTCACCGTCCAGATGGACGACTCGCCAGCACTGCACACCACCTCTATCACACCCATCCTCAAGAAGTTGTCCAATGAGCTGTTGACCCAGTACAAGTTGCAGAGACTGCAGGTCAAGCTCAACAATCTGTTCTCACGTGTATCAACTCATGGCAAGGACAACACACCCAATGAGGAGACAAAGGAGGTTTACCGTCGCGAGATCCTCGCCATTCAATCGGGCCTCAATGAGGTGGACAACACTGTTATCTTTAGCTTTGGCAAGCAGGCTCGTGGCGAGATCACTGAGCTCAAGGTATCATGCCTCAAGCAGACAAGTCAGTTGCTCGAGTTAATCAACACATGGTTCAAGAGTGAGTGGACCACCAAGACATCGGCGAGAATGGCCGACATCACCTACCAGTTCATGTTCAAGAATGAGGGACGACAGCGCCGTGCCACGTTCAAGATCGCCAGAAACGCCGCAGCCATGATGAAGGACGCCACTCAACTCAAGCAAGTCGAGGTCGACCTCGACTACTTTGACGCGATCAAGGATGCCAAGCAGTTGGACCTGTTGGAGAAGTCCAAGAACCTGTTCTCATGCACACTCTCTCTTTGCAATTGGATCGAGTTGGCTGAGGAGAAAGACATCTTGGGCTTTGGTCTCTCCATCCAGCGTCCAGAGACCGTGATCGACGACCCCACTCAAGTGCGAATCATTGATTTCTCCACCACATTCCTCGGCAAGTCATCAATCGAGGATGCCATTGCATTGTCCATTCATTCAGTTGGCCAGGACAAGACAACTGGAGGTTTTGAGGTTGGACGCGACAAGGTGTCGGCCGCCAGTCAAGGGTCGTGGTCGTGAACCAATCAACTCTTGGATGCCACTCTATCTGCATGCCGAGCATTGGAAGTCAGCTCAATTCCAACTCAAAGAATATCATTGCATACTTTGTCACATTGGATCCCATGGCATACTCTTGGGATCAGATCAATGCTGTGTTCTTGCTCTTGGGTCACATGGTGTCCAAGGAGATTGGAGAGCGTCAGCTGCACCTGGTCATCCAATTCATTCGTACATGTCGCGAGATTGCCCTCCAGTTCAAGTTCATCGAGCATATCAAGAAGCAACTCCTCACCGTCCTCACACGCCCACTCTACGCCATCGCTGAGCAGCCAAAGAACATCTTTGTGCTCATTGGATACTTGATGGTACTCACTCCCGATGGTAAGTACAACTCACGTTCACCCAATCACATGATCGTTTACTCACTCTCTCAATCAATCAATCAGACGTCAAGACTTTCGGAGATACATTCAGCTGGACCAAGATATGGGAGGTGTTGTTGGAGTCATCCATTCGTAGATCTTGCTTCACATTCTTCAAGGAGAGAGTGCAGCCAGAGATTGATGGTTATGTCTCTGATATCCTATTTGGCAAGCATGTTCCATCTCAGAGTGGATCAAAACCGATTGTTTCAATGTTGGAGATTGGTGATGAGTCAACTTCAACCCCTACCCCAGCTCCAACTCCAACTCCAACTCCAACTCAATCAGTTGTCGAGGTCCAAGAGTCAACAGAGCAAACTGTAGATAGAGACCAAGTGGTTGCCAAGGTGTTTGATACCATCTCTGTATGTATAACCTGATTGAAGATGAGTGATCATTAAAATTACATGTACTAACATTGAACAAATATTAGAATTACAAGTCCTACCCTGTTGAATGGTCAGCAGACACTGATCACATTGTACAGTACTTTGACGTTCAGAAGTTGAGCCCTGAGTCATTCAAGGATAACTTCCATGATTTTGCTCTATTCAACATGGAGTCTTTGATCAAGATGTCCAATCTGATGGAGAACAGAGGCTATCCAACAGTGAGCTCATTGCAGCATTGTTTGCAGTTTGTATTCCACTGGAGAAGTATCCTTGATGGACCATCCCAGCAGCAGACCTCGAACGAGGAGGCATCCTACGATGCATTCAAGTACTTGGACTCATGCTTTGGTGTTGCACCAGATGATTGGATTGAGACCATTAAGAATGGCGCCAGACATCAGAGTGACTCTGCGCCAACCATCAGCATTGGCAACTACATGGCCACTGTACAGTCATACTACCAACCCAACAACAAGGACTCTTTGGAACTCACCATCCAGAAGATTCGTGCCATGATCTGTCAGGGTGTAATGTACCGCACCAACAAGGTGGCCAACGCTGCCGCCGATGCAGGACTGTTCACCGACACCTCTGCCGACCCAGTGCGCTGTCTTGACGAGATTCACCGCCAGGTCAAGGAGCGCTACCAGGTCGTGATGAGGAAGATGGAGACTGACCTGTACTTCTCTGCGCGAATCTCAAGCGGACTCAAGTCCACCGACTTGTCGTCGTTCTCTGTGTCCATCCCACATTCGGGCAGTCCATACTTTAGGGATGTCGTCAGTCAGTGGTGCAAGAAGAACTTGGAGACAGAGGTGCCATTCGCTCAAGAGAAGTTGATCATCGTGTTGTCCTCGGTCCGTTTGACTGTGGATGACAATGGTAACCCAACTGTTTACCTCTGCAACAATGCACTGGCCAAGCAAGTGCCATGGAGATATGGAAGGAAGGCCACCAGTCGATTCATTCGTGCATGGGGACGTGACAAGTTCCTCGACATTGCCAGCAGAGCACAATTCAATGTCTACTTGTATTACAAGCATACCATGGAGGAAGAAATTCTATAAATCCACTAACTGTTTGATCGAATCATTCATTACTTTGTTTGTTTGTTTGATTGATTATATTTATAAAGGTGACAGTCCACCATAAATTGGGAACCAGTGATAATACATGTTGGACATGATGAACATGATTAGTAGGTCAGCTGCCATGTGACCAAGCACACCAACCATTGGTCCAAAGCATTGTACCAGCACATTAAACAATGCTCCACCCATGAATATAACGAAACAGAACAGAAAAGATACCCAGATATTGAAGAATACTATGAGTACAAACTAAAGTTGTTGATTGAATGGTGTCAGAATGGATGAATGAATGGATGGATTGATTAATGGATGGATACTTACAAAGTGATAGGCCATGTAAAAGAATGTGATTATTGCACGATGGATAAATGATGAGCCAAAGGTATTGACAAGGAACATTCGCCAGAACCATTCTTCAACGAATGGATTGACCAGGGTGAAGTAAACAAAGAATACAAACAGTGGCACATGATACTTTAGCAATCCATATGACTCTATCTTTTGTGCAACATTTGGTATAATCTTGATTGATTGAATGGTTGAATGAGTGAGTAAGGTTGGAATAGTTCCAATGAATGATTGATTGAAGGAATGATTCCATTGAATGATTCCAGTGATGTACAAGTGATTGATTATGATTATACTTACATTTGCCAGTGCATAGTATAATGCTAGACCAAGTCCTACACTAAACACGAATAGAAGGATGCCAAATACATATTGCATCCTCGATGAGAGTGATAACTTGACTAATGTGTACCAGGGCAGTCCTCTATAATTATATACATCCTTTGGAATCAATAGCTCCACTTCCTGATTTGGTGCATGATCCTCTTGTGTCTCTGGTTGTCGACCTGAATTGCCATTTATACTGTGCGGCAGTTGGTCAATGTCTGGCATGATATCATGTATGACATGATACTCTTGATGCTGCTGTTGATGATGTTGATGTTGAATGACATATGATTCGTTGCTACTTGAACTCAGACTGTCCCTGCTTCCACGACTGTGTTCATAACTGTTGTATAGTGTGCCGTTGATATTGCTGTTGGTGTTGATGGGATGCCTCGACGACAGATTGTGTTCGTCGTGATGTTTGACTTGATAATGGAACATATAGATACAGGAGAAGCTTATACAGGAGAGATGGAATAGACCGATTGATGCCCAGATGTCTTTGCAAATGTGGAGAAAGATCAGCATGATCACCGTTGGCATGAACATCGCCAAAAACAAGAAGTATAATCGCAGATTGTCCAACTTTGGTGGATGGTCCTTAAGGTTCCAATGCTTTTGTTTTGTTTGAGTGGATCACTGATGTAAGTGACATGGTTGATTAAGTGTGATTGATTGAGTTGGGCACTGAACATACCAATGTCTTTGAATCGTAGTTGATATAACTATAGTATTCAATCATCTTCAGTCGAGAGTAGTCTATCAGTACCTTGACCATCTTTTATTTGTTATATATATATATATATATATATATGTATATTTTATTGTTTGTTGTGTTTGTGTTTGTATGTATTATTTGTTCTCTGTTCCATTACCAAAATGTGATTGATGGTGTGAGCCCAGTGCACTCCCATTGATCACGAACATGATCAAAAAACACCTAAAAACCCACTCTACCACAACCACAAACTACACACAGCCCAACTTATCGTAGTGGTGTTGGATTATTGATGAAGTGGGTGATGAAGGTTCCAAACGAACCATATGATCATCTTTAATTTTTATTATTATGTCTTCCACAACATCAAATACATCTTCCAAAGAGGAATCTAGTGAACAACCTCATCATCCTACTAAACCAGTACAATCTGTTGTAGTCAATGTAAGCTTGGTATTTGTTAAATATCGAGATAAGTACTTGCTTGTTGAAGAGACCAACAGACAATGGTTCACACCTGCTGGTCGTGTGGAGATTGGTGAATCCTTTGATAAAGCTGCACTTAGGGAGACAATAGAAGGTAACTCATTCAATCAATCATACATTCAATCTCCATCACTCACTTACTCCATCATTCAGAATCAGGTGTAGAGGTCAAACTTGATGGTATAATCAAGGTATGCCATTCTCCACAGTTTGGATTGTATCCAAGTAGAATGTTGGTATATTACTTGGCAACACCATTGATCAAACAGGAACAACAATTGGATGAATGGCCAACACCAAAGACACAACCTGATCATCATTCATTACAATCAAAATGGTTTAGCCTGGCTGAGATTGAACGTTTGAATCTAAGAAGTCAACAAGTTATTGAGATCATACGTTATATAGAATCGACACAATTCAAGTTATATCCAGTTGATATGATATGTTTGGAAGGAACACTATGGTGGGACAACACCTCTTCCTCCACCTCCTCATCATCGGTGGACAAAAGGAAACAATCATTCGCAAAGAAGTTATTCAAGTGATTGATTGGGATAGACCATGCTGATTAATCATATCAATAAAGTTAACTGTATTAAATGAAAAGGAGTCAGAGTCTGGAAGCTATTCGTTATTGGTCACTTTGGAATGTCCAATAAATTGAAACGATGTGGTTCACCAAAAGATTTCCCTTTTAGGACATGATCAAGTCATTCATTCATTCAATCAACCGATGACCAACAATGTCAACAGCAACAAAGAATAATAATAATAATAAGGATAAGCCTCAAACAGTAATAAGGAAGAGGACTACAGTATCCTTCAAAGATACAATAGCATCACCTTATCCAAAGACAACAGATGTGTTGTAAGTCATTCACATCACCACGCGTCAACGTTAGACTAACGAGCAATCAACGATTTAGAGTACCCATTGGAGATATAGAGGCAAAGAAGATTGTACAACAGTTGACAGATTTATATGCTAGTGATAGAGAGAGGAAACAAAAGAAACGAGAGTTATCATCAAAGCTACAATATGACATTTACAAGAATCAGTATCAACTACGTGGAAACAAGATACAACTAAAGAAGTTAGAGTCAACTCAAAAGAAGTTGAACAAGCAACAACAACAGACGAATGGAGATGGAGATGGAGATGAGGACATTGCTAAACAGATGAAGTCAATACAATCAACAATCGATGATAATAGGACGATAATGACTACTTTGTTGGTTGATAAGAAACGAAAGATGAGCGAGTTGGATGAGGAGTTGGTCATATCTGATCAATCAGTCGATCATTTAATTATAACTGGTGTCAATGCTATTACAAAGGCAATGGAGAAGGATGAGAGTGTTCGTCCAACACTTCGTCTGTTGATCATTTGTCTGCCGTCAAACAATGCCGCTGGCAATCTAATGATCGATCACCTACCATTCATGGCGAGCATGCGCAACATCCCCTACGTCTTGATGCCCAACTCATTCACAATTGAAATCAACGCCGCTCTCTCACTCAAGTCTGCATTGGGGATCGCTATCAAGGAGGACAAGACGTCAAAGCCCAACAAACTTATCGAGTCACTTGTTCAGATGGGCGTGGAAACATGGAAGAGCACACAAAAGATTGAATATCCCTTCGCAGGGTCGTCGTTATCGCAGGCTGCTGCACCAGCAATCGAGCTGAAACCAACAAAGATCATCAAGGAAGGTAATAAACGACTGCGAGTTTGATGATTGATTGATCGATAGCATATCCACCTTTATCACTTATGTTGCTGCTTCAGCTGCTGCCTCTGTTGATGCTGCCTCTGTTTCAGCTGAACGTTCAATCTCTTTTGGGATGAGAGTGATTCCAGACTGTCGCCACGACGCAGCGCCTCTTGGATGGCATTGGCCAACACTTGATCTCTCTTGGCGATGATGCAGGTGACGGTGCCACGCTGTCCGGCGCGCGCTGTCCTGCCAATGCGATGCAGGTAGTCGATGGGGTTGGAGGGGAAGTCAAACAGGACGACGTGGTCCACCATCTTGTTGTCGATGCCTCGCGAGGCAATGTCGGTGCACACGAGGATCTTGGCATCGCCCTCGGTGAAGTTCCTCCAGTTGATCGCACGTATCTTGTTGGGGATCAGGCCGTGCAGTGATGTGGCCGAGTATCCATTCTCGGTGAGGAAGTATTCGGTCGACCTACACGAGTCTGGTGTGTTGCAGAACACCAATATCTTCTTGCTTCCACTTGGCTGCACTGCTCTCAACAATGCCTCATGCTTATCGCCAGTCTTTACACTAATAAACTGTTGTTCCAGAGTGTTGAGTGACTTGTGTATATAAGGTGTTGATACTTTGGTGATGTCCTATTGTCATTGATTGATTGAGTTAGTATGTCTTGGAATGCAGGTGATGAATGAGTGATCGAATGTGATTGATTGAGTGATGGAATAGTTCCAGAGTGAACGAATGATTGAGCGATTGAATGATGATGTGAAAGCATACAGGAAACAATGCCTTGATTGAGGCCATGAGCTGTTCGGTGAGGGTTGCACTACAGCACACTGCTCGCACAGTCTTGTAGTTGGGCACAGACTTGTTCTTTAGTCGATACTCTATTGGTGCGAGGATCTTCTTCATGTCCTCATCGAATCCTTTGCCATTGGTGAACATCGAGTCCGCTTCGTCCACGACCAAATACTCCAACATGCCAAAGAATAGGTTATTGTTCTCGATCATTTGAATAAGGATGCCAGGTGTCGAGACCAGCACATCGTATGGACGTTCTCTGTAACTCTTGATCTGTTTGCTGAGGTCGCCTCCACCGCCACCCGAGATACCAATGCACGAGAACTTGTAGCCGTGCGACAACTGCTTGGCCACCGCCGTGACCTGCTTGACTAGCTCGCGGGTCGGCACCAGCACGACCACACGTGGACGCATGGCTAGACGCTCCTTGTCCGGATCCTGCTCCTTCTCAGCCAGCTCTGACTGCTTAATCAGCTGGACGATCGGTAGCAGATAGGTCAGGGTCTTGCCCGTACCAGTCTGAGAGACGAACAATACGTCCTTCTTCTTGGCCAAGATCTCGGGGATGGCCAGCTGTTGGATGGTGGACGGGATGGATATGTCCATCTCGGTCTTCATCGCGTCGACCAGCTGTCTGTGTAGACCGAGTCGCGTGAACGCTGAGCCTGAGCCGGCGTGCTCAGGGTTGAGACCATCGACAAATGTTGACTTTGAGTGGATGACCGTCACGTCCTCGTCGGGCTTGTCGACGACCACCTTGTTCGACTGATACTCCTTGCGTTTGATATCGCGGCCTGACGAAGCCTCTGTCTTCATTCGTTGTGATAGCTTTGTATATTTGTTCTGACTTCTGAATCCTGTCTCGCCTGATACTCTATGTAGTGTTGGCTTCCTCTTATAGCCTGTACTGCCAGTGCCAGTGCCAGTCTTTGTGTATGTATTACTGCTGCTGCGACCAAACTTATCTCTTCTGTTGTCTCCCGATGCTCTTGCCCTTGATGATACATTCGCGCCATCATCACCAGCAGTAGCAGAAGATGATCTATTTATGATTGTTGCACGATGACCTGTTGTTCTTGTTGTTGTTGTAGTTGTTGGTTTGAATGATGATGATGTACGACCGCCACTGCCACTTGTACCGCGACTCGAAGTCGACCTGTTGTTGTGACTATTTGAATTGTTCGCGAATGAATAATGTCTGAGTATTGTGAATGGAGTAGATGGTGCCATCAATGAATGTTGGTGTTGCATGAGTAGTACATCATGATTAAATGATCTACTACTACTACTACTTGATCCTAAAATCGAAGTAATACTATTATATCCAACACTGATGCTGCTTTTGTTTGATGAATAGCATGGTAGTATTGAACTGAACAGTGATCTACTACGACTACTACTTGAGTTCAACAACATAGACATCGATTAATCCTTGTTTGTTGATGATTTATTTGATTGAAAGTAGTTGAATAGATAACGAACGAGTTTGAATTCGTAAGGTCAAGGGTTGAGGGTTGATGGCGAGGGTTGAGGGCGAGGGTAGGGTAAGGGTAGGGTAGATTTATTTTTGGATCGTGATATCATGATTGGCTCGCCAGGTTGATTAGGTATGTTGTTGAATGAAGTTATCGCATAGTTGTATGACTTTGAGGTTACCAGGACCGTATGCACTATGTCTTGCAAACTTGGCGGATCGGACATAGTATGTCGTCAAACTCTCATCTGAAGAACTACTTGATTGATGTTGATCAAAAAGATATTGTAATACTTGATGATGGTTATTAATGGCCAACTCTTCAAATTGACCTAGAGTTGGAATGTATTGTCCATGAAAGTATCGATTATTAAGAAATTCAATTAGTATCAATAAATCCCAGTAATATTGAATGGTCCATCACTGTCATCAAATAATAATTGTTCTTGCTGACAGTTCTACCAATGTATTTATCCAGGTATCCCATGTCCAGGAAGTATTCCAAAACCACTTGGTTTGTGATTGGTGTGATATATAGACACTTCAATAAATCGTAGTCCGGATAGAGATCTAAGAGGTATTCAAATGTATCGATATCACCACGTTCTATAGCTGCCATTGCTCCTTCTCGGATGTCTCTTGGCCTCATATACATTGTAATCAAATCTCCAAGTAGATCAATTGCCAATACATGCTTGATAATCCTATGCGACTTGGTTGGAAGTTTATGGGCCAGTAATTGCGCCACAAAGCAGGGGTTGAGTAAATTGGACTCGTTGTCCAACTTGACCGCCGAAATGTCAATTGACAATGTGTCGATAAACTCAATAACCACCTGCTCAGTGAGTTTGACATCTCGTTGACCAAGTCCTTTGATCATTGAATATAGATCGCAAAGCAAGATACTCCATCCATTGTCTTTGTAGTATCTTGCTATGAGCAAGCCTACATCATGGTCCATACTTCTCCATGGCATTTGTCGGTTTGGCTCGCTTACCTCGATTTTCTCCCCATCCCTGGTCGTGACAAACTGAGTATGAGATTTCCATTCCAGTGGAATGAATGGATGACGTTGCTTGCTCATTATCATCATGGCAGATTGTACATCGCCAACTGTGGCAGCAGCGCCCAAAGCAACTTGGTAGTCTGTCTTTGTGGTCACTCTTGGGTCGCCCTCTAGATTTGTCTCCAGGTGGTCGATTAATGCTCGATCGCCCATCATGATAGCATGGTACATGATGTGACCAAAATTGAACTCAAGGCTATTGGCCAAGTGTTGATTTTCCAGTAGTCGTCTGATCAGGTTAAGTGAGATAATACTTGGTTTGATGTCATTGATCACAAATATGGTCTGTGATGGCGGAGTTGGTGGTGCTGACCTTGACATGACATCAAGTATGAAGATGGCGACTTCCAAATATCCATATCGTAACACATTTGGAAGGACATCGATTGGATTGATGACAGCCTTCACATGATCATAGAGAATGGTGACCAACTCATGATGTCCACTCTTCATCGCTTCAATGAACTCGCCAGGTGTTGCTTGGGTTATTGGCGATAAGAAGTTGATCACCTGAGCATTGCCTGACTGGTAACAGTGTCGAAGAAAACCTTGATCACTCTTTACCTGGGGTAATGCCTCCTCAATGATGTATCTAATGATTGGTGTGATTGATCTGAACGTGATCAAGCCATTAAGCACACGTCTTATTGCTACAAGTGTGATCAACTTCCTCATATGCAACGTCTTGAACATCTCCAATGCCAAGTCTACATCATGATGACATTGAAGCCATGAGTTTTCCAACTCAGATCTATAGGGCTCTCGGTCAAATACTATTGGTTGTTGATGATCACCCATTAGTTTGAGCAACAGATCTAGCAGTGCAGGATGTCTGAACATGTACCAATGATTGCCATACCGGGGGATGGAATAGTTTGACATCTGATAGAGTTGTGTTACTGTCCATTGCCATCGGTTGTCATTGAAGTCGTTAAAGTTGGTGATGGCCGATGAGTACTCATCAACCACAAGTGTCATTGATGGATTGGTAAGGAGTGCGTGGAGAATGGGTTTATCATATCGTTTGAGTGCCTCTTTGAGCAACATGGTGTTGTATAGTGGATATGACGATGATATGTTGTTGAATGATTTGACGAACCAATCATAGGCACCATATCGAATGTAATCAATATGTGAATTATTGTCCAATAACTTTCGACCTTTGACAAGTTTGTCATTGGCAATGCCCAAACAATCTCTGTGAATGATGCCAACCTGATCAATTATCATTGATCGGAGTACAATGTTGGAGAACACCGAGTGAATGATTGATTGATCATATGTTGACCTTAGGGTGAGGGTGAGGGTTAGGGTAAAGGTAAAACTTACCCAAGCGTATCTTGAGATGATGATGATGGTGCTGGTATGCTTGGATCATTTGGCTGCATAATTGAATGATTCGCATATTACCCATTGTCAGTGCCTTGTCTAGCAAGAGTTGGAGTATTCGTTGACTATTGAGATTGATGGATGGTGATTGTAGGATTGAGTTGAGGTACCATTCCAAAGTCAAATGTCGATTGTACATTGCCATCTTTATCAATGTCTCCATCTTTGGTGTCATCATTGAAATCATTATATTGTTGTTTGATTGTTGTTGTTGATCTAACAACATTAACTTGAGTACACCAAACTTGTCACATTCATATGCTCGATCAATGAATATTCGTATATTATCATTGAGGTTATGTAATCTGACCGAGTCCCAAGATATTGACACTACATGATTGGTCACCTCTGATGATGGGTTGTCCAGCGCTGAGCGACATATCGCCAATGAGCTTGGATTGTTGTTGAATAGTGATGGTCTGTGGAGTCTAATCAATTCGATGGCATCTATCGTTGCAGCGTGTGATTGCACAAGTTTTTGTAGAGACGGATTCAGATCGTTCAGTTTGCCTTTGCCTTTGCTATCGGTATAAGGTCGGAGTGTGGGCTGTTCAAAGAGGAATGCGATGGTCTCGAGACATCCCTTCTTGATTGCTCTCCTCAAACTTCGGTATCCATAGTCAATGCCAGTACGCTCATGCACCAGCTTCATGAAAGGAAGTGAGATCCCTGCTGAGCACGCCAATGTTTTCAAGCGATATTCACAAACCTTGATATCGTCATCTTCCAGGCACTCGCTCGAGTTGAAGAGATAGATGTAGGCATGCTCTGGTGATAGCTCATCACGACATACATACTTGACCATTGAGTGTAGGTCTCTAATGGACAATGGATGGGGGTGGTCTGGACGATGCTCAGCAATGAAGGCAATATGATGGCATTCCATGTCTTTCCAAAATACTGAGTCGAGTCCAAAGTCCTCTGGATAGTGATCGAATATTGCCAGGCCAGTGTTGACATCGCCCCGATCGAGGACAGCCAACAATGATCGAATAGGTGTCAGATAGTAATACTTTGAAACGGCAATCATATCGAACGATTGTAATGTTGATGGTACTGATGATGAGGGTGGAGTCAAACATGTCATCAACCGATTGATAATTGGTTGTACCTTTGATGGGAGTATGTTTGAATGATTGTTCAGATGTTGAATGATGTGAACATGTCCACTCTCAACAGCCTGTTTAACTGCAAGTTCAATGTCATTTTGATCGCCATCGGTGAATACACATTCAGTCGACAAAGTACACTTCTGAAGGAATGTTTGAAGGTTATCTAGTTGGATGCCAGATCGAATATAATAAAGTATACATTTGGAGATTGATTGTTTATCCATGGTCATTGATCGTGGCTTGTGGTCAAGGATATATTGAACGCTGTTTGGCATGTTTGAAATGATGCAATGCTCCAATACAGCGCGACACAGGTTGGGAATTCCAAATAGCACTCCCAACTCAATATTAAGGAGTTCTAGCATGTCAACTTGAATGCCAGGATACTTGAATGAGGGTAAAGTACATTGCTTCATCCAGAGTTGTCCGCCACTCAGTTGGTGAATCAGTCGCACGAACTGGATGTGCCACGATCGATCGCGATCACAAGGTTAGGCAGCGTGAGGCAGTTTTCTCGTCGGCCATTGTTGGTATGGCAGGCGAGGAACATGTCAACACATCCATTCTTGTGAAGAACACCATCCCTCCAAGTCGACGACACATTGAAGTTGGTGTAGTTATTATATAAATGATTGAATACTAACTTGTTGTTGTACTTTATCGCAGCGTCCAGTAGACTTGTGTTGACGTTGGCATTCGATGAATAGGTGTTGGCAACCTTATTGAATGATTCAAAAAAGTATTGAGTAGCATGATATTGTAACATCTGTACAAGATTACCATTATACAATAACTCTCTACCCTTTATAACTGATATCACTTCAGTATGTACTCCATCATACAACATAAACGAGCACATTCGTTGTCTATGTATCATACCTACATGCTCCAATACAAGTCTACACAATACTCTATTCCTAAACACCAACTGTACCAATCTATCCATCTCTATCTCTATCTCTTTCTTTACAAAGTTAGAATGAATGCATGAATGAAAGAATTGACTTGGGGCCGAGGGTTGAGGGTTGAGGGCAAGGGTGAGGGCGAGGGTAGGGTTGATGGTTTATTATGTCACAGATATATCTTCCTTAGGTCGCTCGGCGTTGTGATGATGTTGCACTGTGGACACCACTTCTTGGCTTGTAATGCACTGAGCCAACATTGTTCGCAGTGGACATGCCAGCACTTGACACTGACTAATGGTGTCTGATAGACACCCATGCATACCAGACAACAAGGTGTATCCCTAAGCATCTTCTCCTGTTCCCTTATTCTTTCCTTAAGTGCATCGATCACTATACTATTGCTATTTACATTATTGTTGGTTGTTGATGTGGATGTTGTTGTTGAGGTAGATGATGTTGATGTTGATGTTGGATTCGTAGCTGAAGGTTGAGGCTGAGGTTGAGATTGATCGGTCATGATTGTTGTTGATGTTGATGATGCTTGTTTGTTACGCGGCAGGTCATCCTCGGTGTATTGTACATTGCCATAATGAACGGTGTCATCTTCTTCGATGTCGAGATCACCATCTTCGTCTTGTTGTGACACTCTGGGTGGCGTGTAGATGCCCTCATAACCATTCTCCAATAGTGTACATGTTCTAATCCTTGTCTGACCGGCAAACTCATAGACCTCGGTGCCAGGCGGCAGATCTGAGAAGTCGTCCTCATCTTCCAACTCGTCAATCTTCCTCTTATTTGTATTATTGCTGTTACTTGTGTTGTTGATGTTGTTGGTGTTGTTGTTGATTGATTGGGACAGAGGATCATTCTTGCGTGGACGACCACGTCCTCTCTTTGGCGGCGTGGCTGTGGCCAATGATGTCGAAGAGGCTTGAGGCGATTCCAAACATTTGTCTAGGTGTAGGTTGAATGTTGTCAAGTCGCCTTGTACAACAGTGCTACAAACAAAGCATCGTTGTGAGTTTCCTGATTGTGAGTCTTTGTGGTTGTCGTCATCGTCGTCATCTGATGTGCTTTGGTTGTTATTGTTGTGAACGAATGAATGAATGGAGTCATGTCTGACTGCGGCCTGATGCTGTTGTGATCCTGATCTCTTATCACGCTTCGCTCTAATGTTGCCCAATGATTGTTGTATATTATCATAACTTGACGCGTCACCAGACATCTGAAGCTGACTTTTGATCAATGCATTGATGGTTGAAGTACGTCTAGTACGACGTGTCGTGGTCGTCGTAGATGAGTCAATCGATGAAGCCAAAGGTGTATCATTCAATTGAGATGATGCATCGGCAGTCTCCATCCTCTTCAACTCTTGATTATAGTGCTCTTCAAACTTGTCTTTATCAACAACCATCCTACATAATGGACACATTGACTTGCCCAATGGTCCCAATTGAGGTGATTCCTGTTGAGGTGTCGTTGTAGTTGTAGACGACCTTGTTATAGACTTCTTCACCACTACTGCTGGTGCTGTTGTTGCTGCTCTTGCCACTGCATTGCCATTTACATCATTGTTATCTGTCCTTGGTACTTTGCCTATTCATTCATTCATTCATTCGTATGATTAATAACTCATCCATTCAATCAATCATTCGTTCAATCAACTCTGGTGATATTTACGAGGTCGTCCACGGCCACGCTTTACAGGTGCCGGAGATGGTGCTGTTGGCTCTGGGATATCAGAGTTGGCGAATGGTAGCGTATTGTCATTCTCAGTAGTGTCATCATTATTTAATTTACTCGTTGTTGTTGGTGATGTATCTGTCGCGACAATGGATGTATCGCCTCCATCATCATTATCATCAACAGTACTACTAGTGGACATTGTTGGTGTTGAGGATGGTCTTGGATGGATTGGTGTCACGTGTTGGATGGGTGGGCAGTGGGGGGTCTGGATCCTTATCCAGATCCACCTTGCATGCGATGGACGTCCTTTGAACAAGTCCAATTCAAGGGGGGTGTCAACGAACGATTTTATTTCGATTTAAATTCAAATTTGAAGATGAACTTCCTTGGTCAAAGAGGATTCGAATTCATTCTTTCTTTCTTCCTCTATTCATTTTTTTGAAGAGAAAATATAATTGATTAAACATACATACACCAACTAATACCATCTTGATAAGTTTGATAAAATGATAACTATCTATCATTCATTGTTGTTTTAATTTAATAATGTTAGAGAAAAAAAAAAAAAAAAAAGATCAACCAGTCCTTTGACCTAAAGTTGGATGGACCATTCAGATTGGTTCATTCGTTCAAGTTCTCTCACCCCTGTATACATATAAGATGTTAATATCTCTATATCCACTCATTCACCAAGTTAGAGCTACTCACCTTATACGACGCGCCAACTGCATGTCCTTGGGCATGATCGTGACACGCTTGGCATGAATGGCACACAGGTTGGTATCTGTTGGAGTGTGTACACATTAGTTAGTTAGTTATGGTGTTGTTAACATGCGAGACAACAGTACATACCTTCAAACAGACCCACAAGGTACGACTCTGATGCCTCTTGAAGTGCTGCGATAGCCTATTCGGGTGTGTGATGGAGTGATACAGTTAGTATATGGCACGACCAAAGGTTGGTCAACATGACACGTGGCAGATGATAGTGGATATAGATACGGATGATTGGAATCTAAGGTCAGTCTTGAACTCTTGGGCAATCTCACGCACTAGACGTTGGAATGGCAACTTCTTGATCAACAGGTCCGAGCTCCGTTGGTACTTTCGTATCTCACGCAACGCAACAGTACCAGGCCTGTAGCGATGTGTCTTCTTGATGCCACCACCTATGATTGGATAATGGAGAATGGAGATTAATAGTTAGTTAGTGGACTTGGTCATCACTTGTCAATCCCACCCACACACATGGTCACGATCAATCAATCAAACATTTTGGAAGTTCAACATACCACCAACAGTTGCCGACTCAATTGGACCCTTGAGAGAGATGCTCTTTCTTGGTTGTTTGAGTCCAGTACTCTTACGGGCCGTATGCTTGGTGCGTACCATTGTTCAAATATGTTAATAATTATAAGTTTAAAAAAGTAAGTAATTAAGGATTATGTGTATGTATACTTTGTTGGAAGTAATAATAATAATACTAATTGACAACTGGAAATAGACTCCTATTTATACGTTTCCAATCAAACCAAGCATAGGTATGATGAGAAGTAATATGGATTATTCAAGTAATGACGGTATCCAATGATTTCCCAAATGTCTACACCTCGCCATACAATGTAGACTATGTCGCGCGAGAGATTGCCAACTGGAAGCCAGCCAGCTAGCCAGCTTGCGAATGAAAATAATGGTGGCACAATATGGAGGTAGGTGGTGGAAATCATGAGCAAAGATGGAGTGACGGCCAAGCGATCCACCCAATTTAAACTCCAGCATGTACAACCCACTCACTCTCACCCGCCAAACAATCCAATCCAATCCAATCCAGGAAAGAGTGGAAAATGGAAATAGAGATGGAGTTGTCAATATGACCGATCGATCATTCCGCGCCAGTCCGGTCCATTCAAGTCCGTGAACGAAACTCCCGAATCCAAACATTGTCCATTCATTTGCTTTAGAATATTCTATCTGTAACATCAACAAATAATAATAGTATTCTAGATACTTTGGAACTTGGTGGCGACCATGTGGCTGTTGCTGTGGCTGTGGCTGTGGCAATGACATGCCAACACTTCAAAGACCTTCCATCACATGTCATTAACAAATAATCTTCACACTCAAATATTCCTTGGTAGGTATGATCATTGGCTATCTGGAGATACCTAAATGTCAATATTCTATCCATACCATATTTGGAAATGTTCAATATTATCTCTTTGACTTTGACCAATATTTTACAAATTATTAAAGTTGTTCCAGAACTTCCATCACCACTCCAACTCCACTATTAGTGCTGGTGGATGGTCATGAAGTTCGTATCCATCATCATGTCATAGTATCCCATTGACATTGAATAGTGAGAGTATTACTTCTATTTAAGTTCTCCATTCATTCTTGTGGTCTTCCTTTGATGCCCAAAGTGCGAACCACAGCTCTGACAAACTTTGTCGTTTTGACTTTGATGTCGAAGCGAAGTACTTCGCATTCACTATTATTATTATTACAAACATCAATCGAGAGATAGATAGAGAAAGATGAGGAATGTTTGTAGGTTGATTGAACTGTCTGATTCACTGCCATGTGAAATCGGACAATATACATTGTTCACAGTAGACACTATCAATAGTGTTGTCTACTTGGTAACAGACTCAAACACCTTTGTAGGATATAGTACAACTCTAAAGAATGTAAGATATCTTCATCATCATCACATCATCATCATTCAATGTATTCATTCAATCACTCAATCATATAGGTCAAGGTACAAATAGAGTTGAATCAACAAGATATACTTAGTGAGGGCGCAAAGATTGTTGCTGTCCAATTCATTCCTGATCAAGAGTCTGTTTGCTTGGCATCGACCAAGGGTGACATACTCATGTTTAATGTTCAATCAGGTCAGGTATGTGTATCATTGATTGATTGAATGAGCGAGTGAGTGAGCGACGCTGACTGACCGACTTGGAATGCGTATATAGCTTGAGTGCGTTGGTATCGTAGGATCGGGTATCATGTGCATGTCATGGTCACCAGACTTTGAGTTGTTCATATTGGCAACAGAGTCTGAGACATTGGTACAGATGACAAAGGATTGGGATATATTGGGCGAGGTTGGCATTCATTCTCTGTTGCCTGGTGGCAAGCTTACGGCCAACATCATCACCAACTCCAATCTGCCACAGTCTCAATACTCAAAGGCTGCATACGCGCCATCAACAATGGATCCAACACAAGCAGCAACAACAACATCAACAAAGGACGACAGCGTGACTACAACCAACAACAGATACTTGACAGAGCCACCCTCAATCAGCTGGCGTGGAGATGGACAATTCTTTGTCTGCAGCAGCTTTGATGCATCGTGCAATCGTGTGATGCTGCGCACTTGGGAGCGTGCGCTCGTTCTCCATGCGATCAGTGAGCCATTGATCACGGGCTTGGACAGCGGCGTCGCATGGCGCCCATCCGGCTCGCTCATAGCCTGTTCCAACCACCTGCCCAACAAGCACGAGATTGCCTTCTTCGAGAGGAATGGCCTGAAGCATGGCGAGTTCACCATTCGCTCGCCCAACACCAAGGTGCGCGCCATTGAGTGGTCGTCCGACTCGGAGCTCCTGGCGCTCCAGCTCGAGCTGGAGGGCGGCTCATCGGTCGTGCAGGTATGGCACCGCAGCAACTATTATTGGTTCTTGAAGCACGAGTTCACTTATGCACAGGGCGACAAGGTGGCACGCATTGCATTCGACACAACATCCATCGCGTCCACTCTGCGCGTGGTTACCGCACTGGGTCAGTTCCACGAGCACCAGTTCGCTTGGGACTACAACTATTCACTTGGCGAAGATGCGGACAACCCCACCACCGTCGTTATGATCGATGGCGCACAGCTCAAGATGACGCCGTTCCGTCGTCTGGTCGTGCCCCCGCCCATGTCGGCCTTCCAGGTCCAGCTCAGCGGCTCGTGCTCCGCATTTGACTTTAGACAAGACTACGCGATCGTCGTGATCACTGGCAACAACAACAGCATCGCGATCTATACTCCGGCGACCCTGCCCACGCTCAGCCCCGTGCCATCAAGTGCACCCGTGCTGCCAAACTACAGCGTGGCACCCACACTCACAGCCCAGGGCGCAGTGCCCACGGCCGACATTCGTCTCTCCCACCTTCGCCATCTGACCTGCGTCCCAGGCAACTCTGGCCTCATCCTTGTGGCTGTCGATGGACTGTCTGCAGCACAGGACACAATCGTCGAGATCACATTGAAGCAGGATGGTGCCAGTCTCTCAATCGCTCACATGCACAGGACAGTCGCACCAGGTCGCGTCATGCGACTCATCAAACAACTGGGTAACAATGAAACAGTTCTGTTTGAGACTGCGGACGGCGCCGTATATCACTATCACCTCCAGCGTAGCTTTGCCACACCAGACACCATCGCACCATACATCGACCACCAGTCTGACTCGGCCATGCTCTTCCGCTTCCCCACACCCTGCCACTGGTTCTCTGCCACCAAGATCGCCAACGAGGAATGTCTCATTGGCATGAGCGATCGCAACAAGCTCTACCTCAACAACGTTGTGTTGGCATCAGATTGTAACTCATACGCCCTGCACAACAAGTACCTGCTGTACACTACCGTGTCCCATGTACTACGCTCAATTCCACTCACTGTCCCCCTGGCCGTCGCCACCTCTCTGCTCAACTCGCCAGTGTTACAGTCGGTTAACGCACAGCAATTGAATCAACAGCAACAGCCACAGCAGGCGAGAGGCGCCAGCGGCAACACTGGTGGCCCCAACAAGGCCCCTACAACATACGACGACTCTGTGCGTGATGTTGAGCGTGGTTCAAGGATCGTTGCCGTCGTGCCACACGACACTCGCGTTGTACTGCAGATGCCCAGAGGCAACTTGGAGGCCATCGCGCCTCGTTCACTCACTCTTTCGACCATCCGTGAGCTCTTGAATGCACATCAGTATGGACATGCATTTGGCGTTATGCGCCGCAACAGGATCGACATGAACTTCATCTATGACCACAACCCAACTGACTTTATCAAGAACATCGGTTTGTTTGTTGAGCTCGTCACTCAAATCGATTATCTCAACCTGTTCATCACATCGTTGCGCGACGAGGACACGTCCAAGACGCTGTTCATCGACCTGGAGAACCCGCCCCCACCCCCTCTCAAGACAGTGTCGGGAGTGGCCAAGACACTGGCCGAGACTGCTGGCAAGGTGAACCTGGTATGTGACTGTCTGCGCAAGGAGTTCATCGCTCGCGGAGAAGCACACTACATCCAGCCCATCCTCACGACCTACGTCAAGAAGTCGCCACCCGAGCTGGACGAGGTCCTGCGTCTGATCCAAACACTGCGCGGTCGCCAGGAGACCAACGAGCACGGCGAGACCGTCGTCAACCGTCTGGCCGAGGAGTCGCTCGACTACATCGTCTTCCTCGTCGACGTCAACAAGCTTTACAACATTGCGTTGGGCACCTACGACTTTGACCTCGTGCTGATGGTAGCTCAAAAGTCGCAGAAGGACCCCAAGGAGTACATTGCCTTCCTTCAGGAGTTGCAGTCGATGGAGAAGTACTACCAGCGCTACATGATCGACAAGTATCTGGAGCGATGGCCCAAGGCCCTCGCCAACCTGGCCAGTGCCGGCCCCGACCATCTTGATGAATGTTTCGAGCTCATGGTCCAAAAGTCATTGTATCACGATGGCCTCAAAGTGTTTGCACAGCGCCCCGACGAGCTGAAGCGCGTCCAGGAACTCTACGGTGACTCATTGATGCAGAACAACAAGTTTGAGGACGCTTCATACTTGTACTACTCGGCGGCCAACTATCAAAAGGCCCTGGCCGCATTCAAGGACGCCGGAAGGTGGAGGATGGCACTCATCCAGGCAAGGCTGCTGGCGTACACACCAGAGGATACACAGCAACTGTGCCACGACATGGCCGATTCACTGCGTCGCTCGTCCAACTACTGCGATGCGGCTGCACTCTACCTCGAGCAGTGCCACGATCTGGACAACGCCCTGCATTCACTGTGCGAGGGTGGTCTGTGGGTGGACGCAATTAACATGGCCAAGGAGCAGATGCGCAACGACTTGATCGACTCGATCGTCGCGCCACTACTGTTGGATGCCTTCAACAACAACATGAAGGAGCTGGAGGAGAATCACGAGACCTACCTCAAGCATTACACGCGTCTGGGCGTTGTGCGTACCACCAAGCTCAACTACGTCCCACTGCGCATGCTGGGCGGCCCCGGCTCGCAGTTCAACGACGAGACTGGCTCGATGATGAGTGGCATGAGTGGCATGTTCAGTGAGCAGTCGATGGGCAGCATGAACAGTGGCTCCACCACTCTGTCCTATCGCTCGACATACTCGTCGGCCACAGGCACCTTCTCGCAGGCCACCAAGCTGAGGAACAAGAAGAAGGACGCGTCAAAGAGGAAGGTCAACAAGGTGCGTGTCACAGGCAAGGAGGGCAGTCAGTACGAGGAGGAGTTCATCGTGGAGGCCATGCGCAAGATGATCCCAACAAGCTCGCAACAACAAGTCGTCGGCCAGGTGCTCCGTGGACTTGTCCTGTTGTCCTGGGCGGACAAGGCCGAGACACTACAAACACTTTACAAGCAGTATCTCGAACTCGTTGCACAATCCCTTGAGCTATTGTCACATTCAGCCACAGCAATCCAACCAGACAACATCAAAGAACAACAAAGAATTCAAGAGTTGGAGTATGCTCAATTGAACAACAACAACAACAATCAGAATAATACAACAACTACGACAACTGCGACAACAACTACAACTCAACCAAATGTGATGGAGAAGATGACTATCAACAAGATAAATGTCACGATGGAGTCGACCAAGTGGCAATTGGACATCTTTTAATTAAATATGATATATCTCATACTCTATTAATAGATCTCATCAATCAATCATTCAAAGACACGTCATGTCATAACCCTACCCTTGCCCTCGACCAACCAACCCTCGAACCTTCATCCAAACTCTCCACGCTCTCTTCCTCAGCTTCAATTCCAAGATAATTTTTTCCAGTTCTTTCTCGACTTTTGGTGGTTTTGTTGAGTTCAAATTAATAAATTGAATTTAATTTAGTCCACACTTGAGTGTGAGGGAAGATGGATAGAGTTCACTCAACTTGATAATGCAGTCATTCACAGTCACCAACACACACACTCACACACACACACACACACAGTTCAATCAAGTATCTCTGTTCAACACTCATTCATTCATTCATTCATTCACTGTAGTGTTTGTAAATAGGACAAGTTTGAACTAGTGTGAGATTATACATATATATATATATACAAATACATATCTCATTCAATCACTTCAATTGTATCAATTAATCAATCCAATCAATCAAATCCAATCAATCAATCAACTTCAAACATAGTTTTAGTTTGGTTTGTTTGTGTTTTCTTGTTAGTAAGATAAGATTGTTTGTGGTCGTCGTCGTCGTCTGAAGCGCTCAAGCAACATCGACACCTACCATCAACAACAAACAACAACAAACAACCGACAACAAACAACAACAACAATAAAATAAGGATATATCAACAAGTGCAACTAAAGAGGAAGCAAACGGAGGAGTCCAACAGCAGCAGCAGCAGTGATAGCAACGCTCAGATAACAAAGCGACCAAATACTTCAACAACAACAACAACATCAACATCAACATCATCAACAGCGTCAACAACAACAACAATAACAACAATGACTGAAAGTCCAGGAAATCCAAATAACAATGCTCAACAGGCGATAGATTCACCTGGTGATGAGGGCTTCGAGAACATACCAAACTCACCAAGCAGCGGATCATTCGTTCATATTACAAGCCCTTCATTGGATGACATGGTGTCTCCAATGTTGACCGCAAACGACAACCAGGCGGGAGACGACCACCTCCTCCAACCAAACAACGACAGCATCAATAACAACAACATGATGACGGACGACCAGAAGAGTCCGGGCAACTTTGGCGCAAACGACGTCGACGCCGACGCAGACACCCACGCCGACACACCCGTGGAGGGCGGCGGAGAGGGCGGACAGGCCTCACAAAAGACAAGTGCCCGAGCTTTCGCCAAAGCCGCCTTTACCGGCGTTAATGACAGCAAAAGTGGCGACAATGAGCAGGGCGACTCCACAATGGAGGAGGCCAACAGCAACACTGATGCTGCTCCACAGGCCGACGCCATGGACAATGAGTACGCCATTCTCAGCCAGGGTGAGATGCAGGAGCTCAACAACAAGTTGCGCAACACTGTGCGCACTGCGCCACTCAAGATCAACGACACCTGGTACATCATCATTCAGAGCTGGTACGACAGGTGGAGGACCAACATGTACACGCCCGAGGAGGTCGGCCCCATCCAGAACGAGTCGCTGCTGCTGCCCGACACCGACTTCCTCAAGCCCGGCCTGGTCGAGAACCAGCACTTCACAGTGGTGCCCCAGTCCGTGTGGGACGTCCTCTCCAAGATCTACAAGTGTCCCACGGTGATCCCGCGCAAGGTCATCATCAACATTGTCACGCTGACCATCGACTACAAGTTCCCCCAGAAGCTCCGCTTCTTCAAGTCGTCCGCCAGTGACAAGATCATCGATCACTACGTCTCCAAGAATGAGACCATTGGAAAGGTCAAAGATAGAGTGTGCAAACTGTTAGAGGTTGAGCCACCCAACATTAGGATGTGGGATTACTACAACAACAGCAAATATGCTGAGCTCAAGAACCCAGAGTACGTCTCCAACTCAAGACTAGTCGATGATCAATTGGTAAGTTGTCTATTCTTTAATTGATTGATTGATTGTCACTCACTCACACATTCAAACAGATCTTACTTGATGAACGTTTAGCAGATGGTACATGGCCACCAGAGAAGACTCAGACTTATGGATACTATTCAAGATTCCATCAACGTCAGGGACCAGCTCGTCCTGGTATTACTGGACTGGATAACCTTGGAAACACATGCTTCATGAACTCTTCACTCCAAGTATGTAGTAACATTGCTCATCACTCCAATCGATCAAAAAACTCACCCAATCAATCAATCAATCAATCAATCAATCAATCAATCAATCAATCAATCAATCAATCAATCAACATTAGTGTCTGAGCAACACAACACCATTGACGAGGTATCTTTTGAACGACAAACATATTGCAGACTTGAACAAGGACAACCCTTTGGGATGTCATGGTGATCTTGCCGTGGAGTACGCCAACTTGATCAAGCAGGTGTGGCGCGGTGACCTGTCTAGCGCAGGCCCACGCAGCTTCAAACAACAGATTGAGCGTTTCGCACCACAGTTCATGGGCTATCATCAACATGACTCGCAAGAGTTGCTGGCCTTTTTGCTCGATGGTCTCCACGAGGACATGAACAAGGTCAAGAAGAAGCCCTTCATCGAGGGCAAAGACTATGACGGCCGTCCCGACGAGGCGATCGCCAAGGAGCAGTGGGAGATGCATCGCGCCCGTAACGACTCGATCATCGTCGACTGGTTCCAATCACAGCTCAAGTCGCGTCTCGTCTGTCCCGTCTGTGACAAGGTGTCCATCACGTTCGACCCATTCATGTACCTTTCGCTGCCACTGCCAGTGAACGTGCGCAAGATGTTCCAGGTGGTGTTTGTGCCCTATGACAGCACCAAACTGCCCAGCGTGCACAACATTGAGATGTCAAAGACAGGCGTCTTTGAGGAGATGATCGACCTGGTGTCCAAGAACGTCGAGGTCGAGGCCAGCCGCATCGTGGCCACCAACCACCACATGTCGCAGATCATCAAGATATACAAGCCCACTCAGTCGGTCGAGATCGTTAGCAACCGTGACACAATCGTCCTCTACGAGATCAATGGCAAGGAGGGCTATCACAACTTCAAGGTTACAATGAGGACGTCGCCCTACTCCAACCACTTCCCCTTCATCCTGTCGCTGTCCAAGGCACCCGAGACCATTGACGACCTCTACTGGCACATCCTGGAGAGACTCCAGAACCTGATCAAGCTGCCCGACAAGGTCAAGGAGATCTTTGACAATAATCAGAAACCTGTGCCACCCCAGGAGAACCCCGAGAACGACGAGTACGACTCGTACAGGAACAAGTACATGGATTCGTACTCAATGTACGCCATGAGGAGGAAGCCCAGAGTCAAGGACCCAAGGTTCATCTTCCAGATGGTGCCCGAGTCGCAAAAGATCGAGCAGAAGGACTTCAACTTTGACCCGATCAACTTTGACGCCATCACCGTCACCTGGGAGGACGAGGAGTTTGAGACGTACTTTGACGCCGAGAAGCTGCAGAACGCCATCCCCTCGATGGTCTTCCACAAGGACGTGTCGACAGAGAAGGAGTTGACGCTGAACCAGTGTCTGGACCTGTTCACCACCGTCGAGCAGCTGGGACCAGAGGACCCATGGTACTGCAGCAACTGCAAGGAGCATCAGAGAGCCACAAAGAAGTTTGACATTTGGTCGGCCCCACCCATCTTGGTCATCCATCTGAAGCGCTTCAGCTACAAGAAGGCGTGGCGCGAGAAGCTCGACACCGTCGTCAACTTCCCATTGAAGGGACTGGACCTGTCGCCATACGTGCTCAACAAGTCGCAGGCCGACCCCATCTACGACCTCTTTGCCGTGTCCAACCATTACGGCTCGATGGGAGGCGGTCATTACACTGCCTACGCACTCAACGAGATTGAGGACCAGTGGTTCAAGTTTGACGACAGCTCAACGCACTCGATCGATCCATCAAACATTGTCACAGACGCTGCCTACGTGCTCTTCTACCGAAGACGCGACACCTTTAGCCCAGACTTTGCCCTGAATGCAGGCCTCAAGTCCTTCAAGGAGACAGTGACCGACCTCGTTGCCACCAACCCCCCTGCCACCGACAACAGCAACTCCTCTTCATCCGGATCAACTTCGGATCACTCATGGAACAACTCCTACTATAACAGCAGCAGCAGCAGCTCATACGGCAACAACTATAGCGGTGGAGGCAGCGGCATGGGCAGCGGCAGCAGTGGAAACTACAATAGCAGCAGCAGCAGTATGAACAGAGGACCAAGCACCACTCGTAGCACCTTTAGTTCGGCAGGTGCTCCACCCTACACAAGATTTGCTGCAGCCGAGTCGACCTCTGACTCTAATGGAGCCACTGGCGCCAGCGGCCCTATTGTCCCATACCTTCCAGACGCCACCACTACCTCATCGACTTCCACAACAACCACCACCACTGCCGCCCAATCAGTTGGCGCCAGCAACACTGGTGCAAGCAGCACAACCACCACCGCCACGGCCAACGCCGCCGCCACCACCATCATCAACAGCGATCTTGATGATCCAGCCGAGAACAAGTATATGAACGTTGAATGATCGACTCATTGAATGAGTGACATGCTGTGCACTGTCCATCAAGGCAAGGCAAGGCACCTTGTTCCGGCCAACAACACCCCATAACCAAACAACAACATGATTGCAATACTACTTACTACCCTTCTTCAACCTCCCCTCCTCTTAAAATTAAACATATTTGTCCAAAAAAATAATAATAGTTAACAACGAGTGTACAATCATTCAATCAAAGTATTGAAATGAATGGCATCATGAGCTTGAACAAGAATTGTAATTCTGACCAGAGGTGGAATTGAAGAAGGCTTGTGGTAGGGCTTAGACTCGAATCGTCACATATTGATCTAAGAATACATCGACCAGTTTTTGTGATTTTGATTGGATTGTGTGAAAATTGTAGAAATGACAGACCTTGCATTGGTCCATGTCCAGACACAGATTCAATCAAACTTATGAATAATAATATTGAATGTTGCTTGGAATATTTATTGATCATAAGTCTAAATATACTTCCAAAATGATGTTGTTTATAATAAAATAAGAGTCAACTGATGACCTGGAAATAATTATATAAAGGGGTCCAATCAATCATTTATTAATCATCAAACTAATAATACAAATCAATCAAATAATCAATCAATCAATAATAATAATAATAATAATTAAGAAATGAAATTCTTCATCCTACTCACTATTGCCGCCTTGCTCTGTGCCCAGACACTCGCTGCCACTCAAGGATTCTCTGCCAACTTGATCAACTCACCTGCCTTGTCCCTAGTGAATGGCCCTCAGATGCTCAGTACTGTTGGTGGATGGTCAACCGGTGGAAATGGATTCAACTTGGGAAACTTTGGTGCCAATGGAGGATATTCAATCCCTGTAGCCGGTATCTACCACTTTGATGCCAATGTCTTGATCAACGTTGCTTCAAGCGCTGCCCCCAACCAAAACGTTGACATTCGTATCATTAACTGTGCCGCTGGATCTGGTTGCAATGCTTACTGCACTGGAGGTACTGTTCTCGGTCGCACACTCACTCAAGGTGGCTCGATGTGGTTGGGCAGTGGTTTCACCTCTGCATTCCCACCCAACTACAACCTCAAGGCATCCTACACTGGTTTCTTCAATGTTGGTGACACCATTGCTGTGTGCATTGATAACTGGGCTGCTTCTGGACAAGTTAAGCTCAACTGTGCTTCCTCATCCCTCTGTACCTTTGCTGGATTCCAAATCAACTAACCTTATTTGAATGATCATTCAACATCAACAAACATTAATAAAAAAAATTGATAATTTTTTTTATATAGTACTGATTGTGGAGATTAGTTATAGACAGTTGTTTTTTAATTCCAAGGACTTTGGCGCAAAAAAATCACTTTTAAAAGGGGAAAAAGTTCCGACTTGCCAGAATCGAACTAGCGACCTTTTGATTACTTTGTTTACACTACAGTCAAACACTCTACCAATTGAGTTAAAGTCGGTGATGTTTGGGAAAAACCATCTAATCCTGTTTTAACCATGCTATTTGCAAAGGAAATTGATCAAAAAGAGATATCTTTTGGGTGAAAAACTTCCAATCAACTTTCAAAAACAAACACACAATTTTGATTCGGCACACAAACAATCAGTTAGTTGGGTCTGTTTCAAGGTTACCATTCATCACAACTACATTGACATAGTCATTTATAATTAATATTATTATTTATACAGCAAGATAGATAGATTGATAGAGAATGAGTGATGTTTGGTTAAATGAATTCGAGAATGCTAGTAGAGTGTTGAATCAATTGTCATCAGAGGTTAAGGATTATGAGGTTGCACAGAGGAACAATCCAGCATTGGTACAAAGACAGACTGCACCAAACATTAGAAGAAACCTTGTCAACTTGTCAAACGACTTGAACAGATTGATTGATACACTCACCTATGGCAACCTGCGAATCACAGAGAAGGAGTCACTGCGACGTCGTGCCACCGTCGAGCAACTCATCACCAAGAAGAACAACCTAGCATCTCAATTCGAAGCTGCTGCCAACAATACATCAGCAAAGTATGTGTATATAACAATATAAACAACAACGACAGCAACCAACTGACTCCAATCATTGATCAAACATTAGGAATGATCTTATGGGAGACGCAAGTGGAAAGAGAGCATGGGGAAAGCAATCAAAGGAGACAGAGTATACAAAGGATATGGACAATCAACAACTATTCAACAAACAGAATCAAGTAATGGATGAACAAGATCAGACCTTAGACCTTCTATCTGGTTCATTGCTCAGACAAAAGAATATGGCAACAGCGATGAACTCTGAACTGGTATGTCCATTGAGTTTGATTGATTGAGAATTATTGATTGAGCGAGAAAGAGAGACTAACAATGACTATATAATAATAGACGAACCAAAATCTGATGTTGGATGATGTAGAGTCTGGAGTGACAAAAGTATCCAGCAGATTGGTCAGCACAAACAATAAGATGGAAACACTTAGACAGAATGCAGGCAGTTGTGGATTGATACTTGTTATTGTTCTTTTGATTATAGTTATTATTATATTGTTGGCAACAGGTAAGTCTATTATTATCCATTCACATTGTCAGTCCAAAGACTTGGACCCAACTAACGATCATTCAATCATTCAATCATTCAATCAACCAATCAATCAGACTCTGGATGTAAGATATATAATGATCCCAAGCATTGTCCATAGACCATGGATCTTAGTTTGTTGTACCATGATCAGTGCCCTGGTCATTAGATAATAAATATCAGGGTTTAGAAACAAGTTGTCAACATGGCGGTGCAACAGGTGTCGGTAACACAGGAAACACGGAAACATGGAAACACACAAAGTATTAATTTGAAAGGAATGGAATAAGGGATCGCTTTATTACCATGAATGCATGTTCTGTTCTTGTTGCTATCTAATCTAAATGATTCATAAAAAGACAAGTAATAACTTTGAAGATCTTTAGTTCTTTGGGGCATCCTTGGGCTTGCCTGGCTTGGGCTTGACGAATGGGATAAACTCAGTGCCTCCCATGAATGGCTGCAGTGGCTTTGGAACGTTGATACCTCCCTCAGTCTGGTAGTTCTCGAGGATGCAGCAAATGACACGGGTGGTGGCAGCCAGCGTCGAGTTGAGCATGTGAACGTACTTCTTCTGTTGCTGACCCTGCTTCTTCATGCCACAACGGATTTCCAGATCGCGCGATTGGTAGTCAGTGCAGTTGGAGCAGGAGACCAGCTCACGGTACTGGTTGTAGCCTGGGAACCATCCCTCGAGGTCGTACTTCTTGGCGGCGGCATTGTTGAGTGCTCCCGACACAATGTTGATCACACGGTATGGCAGACCGAGCTCCTGGTAGAAGGCCTCGGCGTTGGCCAACATCTTCTCGTGCATGTCCCACGAGTCCTCTGGCTTGGTGATGCAGAACTGCTCGATCTTCTCAAACTGGTGCACACGGAAGATGCCCCAGGTGTCGCGACCGTGAGCGCCGGCCTCCTTACGGAAACAGGTCGAGTAGCCAGAGTACATCTTTGGCAGGTCCTTCTCCTCGAGCCACTCACCCTGGTGATAGGAAGAGATTGGCTGCTCAGAGGTGGCGATCAGGTACTTCTCGCTCTCCTCGCCCTGTGCACCGCCGACCACCTTGTACAGCTCCTCGTCAAACTGCTCCAGCTGGGCAGTCTTGGCCATGACCTCCTTGCGCATAAAGAATGGTGTCTGCAGGTGAGTGAAGCCGCGCTTCTTTAGGAAAGTGAGTGCGTAGTTGATGATGGCCATGTTGAGCTCGACACCGACTCCCTTGAGGAAGTAGCATCTGTGACCAGACACCTCTGTTCCACGTGGCACGTCGTAGCCGTCGATCATGTCCAGCAGCTCGTGGTGGTGAAGCAGGTCTGGCGACTGCTTGGGCTCGCCCCATGTGCTGTGCACGGTGTTGTTGTCCTCGTTGTCAGACACTGGCACCGACTCGTGTACGATGTTTCCAATTGGCTTGATGAGCTTCTTGCGCTCCTCCTCCAAGTCTGCAGTCTCTTGCTTCAGTGCCTTGACAGTCTGATCAATGGCGGTTGCTTTGGCAACCAACTCATCAACAGCTGCACCAGTCTCACCAGACTTCTTCTTCATAGCCAACTCCTTGTTGACCTTGGCATAATCACCATTTGTTTGATCCAGACGATATTGAGCTGTTTGTGATTGATTGTTCATTCATTCATATGTGATGTGTCAATATGATTGATGCCGCTGCTGCTGTGCTGTTTGTTTGTTGATGCTGTGTTGTTGTTGTTGTTCTTACCATCTTTGACCTTCTTGTCAATCTCAATGACGGCATCGACAGCCTCGACTGGTTTAAAACGACGCTGTTGGGACAACTTGATCAACTCTGGGTTGCCTCCCTTGTCTGCTCTGAACATAACAACATCTAATCCCATTGTTTGTTTGTTTGTTTTATTTAGTAAGTATAAATATATGTATATATATATATTGATATCTGAAATGTAATTTGTCTTATACTACTGACGACCCTTGTTCATACTCTTTCATTCAGGCATTCACCCAACAACTTGATGAAAGGAGTGATTCGCTCATTCTCAAAATTATTCCCAAATTTTATTCAAAATTTCACAAATTGAAGTTCCCTTGAGTTGAAATAAATTAATGAAGTTGATTTCCAGGTTAGATAATCTGGTGTAATGATTTATATTCGAGTTTGCAGGTTTAATTATCTAAAAAACCATTAAGGTCTGAATTCCATATTGATCAAAGAATTGGTATATGATCATTGTTTTTTTGGAATTTTTCCATTATAAATTTTGAATATGTATTGGAACTATGGTAACTATTAAATAATCTTCTATCTCTAACTATCTATCTAATCAATCAAAGCAAATGAATGGATTCAATATATAAAGTGTTAACTAATAGGACTTTATTAAAAAGAATTATTAGATTGCATTCTGATAATAATAAGATAGACATATTTTCAAAGACAACACAACAATACAACTCTACTCCAACAATTTATTATAGATCATATAATCATTGGACTGATGTTATTGATATTGTAAAGAATGGTCATCTTGGTTTGTTACGTCATCGTATCAAACATAATTTATCAATCAAGTCATCACAGTACTCAATGTTACAACTATGTGGACTAGATGTTGACATTGACGAGGAAACATTCATGATGGTATACAACAAGTATCAATGCCACTTTACATGCTCAGAGGCTATCCCCAAGGCCTTTGAAGCAAGAAGAAACATACATATAGTCCAGACACTACTCCAACAAACTGATCCAAAAGTGTTGTATCGTTTTCCATCATTATTATTCAATGGATTTGGTCAAGACCCTTCGTTTGTGGATTCACTAATACGATCATGTCCAGAGTTTTCGTTGGAGAAGTTGGAGATGTGCGATGACTACAACAACATGTGTAGTAAACTATTCAATACAATGTCTGCAGATATGATCAACTATGTTCTGGACACATTCCCACCTAGACTGGTTGATCGGGTCAAGTCTGAAGCTCGCACTGGCAAATACACATATCAAATCTTATCAACAGGCGACAGCAAACATATCAAGGACTTGCTATCCAACTCGATAAACAACAAGTCGATGTTCAGGGATGCCAATGGAATGCGGATCGTTCCCAAACTTAGTCCAATTGTCCTACTTGGTCATCTTGAGCGTGTGTGGTTGGCATGAGGCGGAGGCCTTCAATTCTCATTCCAATCGCTTCGCGATTTCCATTCTTCACTCAATATCTCCTTATTAATAAAAAAAATTGAATAGAGAAATAGAGATAGAATGAAAAAAAAGAGTTAGGAAATAAAAATACATAGAGGCAGTTTATAAAGTTTGGTCTATTATTTAATAAAGAAAGTACTGCACTGGGATATTAAAAGGAGGGCCTGAGTACATGCGAGAGAAAGTGGACCGGCTGCGAATGAATTTTATGTTTAATTAAAAATATCTTTTAAATATATAGAATAAAATGGATGAGGTAACAAAACAAATGATTGAACAAGAAGACAAAGACTTGAAGATAGAAAATTTGGAAGATTCTTTAGATAAGGCAAAGCAAACTATCAATTACCTGGACTGGCGCAATCGAATTGAGAAGGATCTAATGAATGAAGAGAAAGCAAAACTCCAGAAGGAGATTAATCATTCTAAAATGTTTTATGAGAATATAAAGAAACATATGGATGAAATCAACAGTTGGTGCAAGCGATATGAGAAGATTTCTCTTAATAACAAGCAATTAATCAAGTTTTAATGGCCTGGACTTTGTATAAATATTTATACAATCAATCAGATAATGAAACCGCCTTCCAATCTGTAATAAGGATATGCAACAATTATAATATGCAGTATAGATATAAATAAAATGTCCATTGCCAAAGTTGCCACGCTGTTAGAAGAACAAGACGATATCCAGAGATACATGAATGTTATCAAGAGAAATAAGGAGGAGAATGAGCTTCAGTTGAAAGATGAACTTGAAGGACTTGAGGAACTTAAATTGGAGATGACACGATACAATGTTGAGATGAATAAGTTAATACTCCGGTTGGAGCAAGAACAAGATAATTATGAAATATTGTCCTTAAGAAACACTCTATATCTTAAGAATGGCGGCATTATTACATTGCAAAATTGGATATGTAAAGTTGAGATTGAGATAATAAAATTAAGAAATAATATTAATGGTCAAGATTTGGATATCTTAAAAAGTCGCTCAGAGATAGCCTCGATAAACGAGTGGATAACTTTCCATCTTCCTCGAGTCTTAGAGAGAATAAAAAATAATATAGTAGTATAATATAACAATGAGTTCATTCAAGATCAAATACCAAGCAGATCCGGAGTTCCGTGAAAAGCATAAGGCCTACCTTCGTCAAAAAATAGTGTGTGAGTGTGGCTTCCCAATTGGGATAACAAACATCCATCGCCACAGACAAGGCAATATTCATAAACAACTCATGGAGCAACAACACAAAGAAATAATATATAATTAATTTATCAGTTAGATATATATAACAATGGATCGCAACAGACTCAACAGCATTGGCTTCAAACAATACAGATATAATGGCAACTACTCGCGTGAGCAGATTGAAGACATCGCTCAGAAGTACAGCAACGCCTTCTACAACAGAGGAGTCAATCCAAACACTAGAGTCGAAGTCGTCCTGAGATATCCAGGCAATCAGTTCAGATCAGGTAGATTCACAAAGGTAGGTGAGCGCATTGACATGTTCCATCCACATGACTACGACGGTGCACCGATAGACGAACCTGACACATTCCAATCATTCAGCATATTCGTACAGAAGGCTAATCCCAAAGCAGGAGGATGTAACAGTGAATGGAACAACTGTCTATATCACTGTATCAAGGAGTGTTATCCAGACATTATCATCACTTGCAATGCACCTCTTCGACTGAAGAAGTTCCTTAACATTGATGCCAAGGCCCCTGTCGCAATCAACATGCTCGCAAATGTCGAGGACAAGTTCAAGGTACGCATATATGTAAGAGGTGATCACATCTTCACATCGACCAAGACCTTCCCGAGAGAGATCAGACTCAAGCTAACCAATGGTCACTACACACTCGACAAGACAGACACATACCAACTCAAAGGTGTTGCAATCAAGAAGCAGGATAGAGTGATGAAACCAGTGGCATTCAAATATGATGACCAGAACGTTCATCTCTATGATGGCAGCGAGTWACAGTACAATAAGCATGGATGACTTCATCAAAGAGAAGAGGAGACTCAAGTTCGAATCACAATACATGTTTGTCAAGATACTATCAGGCAAGACATTGGAGGAGACACTACAATCATTCATCGCCGATGCTGATGCTCTCAAACAAGGTACGAATGGAATCATCGACATGTACTTCACTGGCCACAATATCAACAAGGCAGCCATCTCACACTTCCTCTCCTACAACAAAGCAGTCTATCCAGAGCACATACAGCAGGACGAAGGCGAGTGGATATCAAAAGCATCATGTGGACCATTGGTCTTCGCAGTCGAAGGTGGCTACACTGGTCCTCTCTACAAGTACGATGTTTCTAAAATGTATGCTAGTATTATGAAGAGCAGTAACTTCATGGTCCCAATCAAGCGTGGCGAGTTCAAACAACTGACTGACGACGACATAACCCATCCACCATTCGGTATATATCGAGCGATCATCAATGGTGAACACCGAGCATTCAAGACTAACAAAGACAACTATTACACCAACTATGATCTAGCAATGGCGACAGAACTCGGATTGACGTACAACCTCAAGATCGACAACAAGCCCAATGCACTGCTCTATGGTCCAGAGTGTAGGATGTACTCTGTCACAATGTTTGGTGACTACATCGATCAGGTGCTCGGCTGGATCAAGGCTGGAGTTCCACGCGCCAAGCAGTTGTATCAATGTCTTTGGGGAGCGTTGTCAAAGCGCAACAAGGTTAAGAGATGCATCTCAGTCAATGGTAATGATGAAGTGAGACAGCTCAAGGATGGCGCAACACTAACAACACGAACATATGATGTCACATTGCCAGATAATTATTTAATGGACAGGATAACACCAACCATCAATGGACACATCATGGTCAGAGGAGTTGATAATACAGATATGTTCAATACACCATTTGCTAGACTGATGCCATTCATTATCAGCCGTGGACGCAAAATGATTGGTACTATCATCAAGGGCGACATTGACAACGTAATGAGAGTGCACACTGATGGTTGGTACATGACAGTGCCATGGGAGCAATCATCATTAAAGACATCATTAGACTATCCTAAGTTGGGAATACAGTGTGGCGATGTAAGATATGAAGGTTACTGTGATGATGGTATTGTGAACAAGATGCACATAGTCAGAGGACTCTTCATGTTTAACGAATGACCCTGAGATTGTTTATTAACTCCTCTACATGGATAATTATCTATCTTTCCACCATGATCTATAGTCATGTCCAATGTTGGATAGGGCAAGACCTGGGATTGCACCAGTACCAATAGCCAAAGTTTGCACGGGTGAGGCATATGGAGTTGATTCGGCTGAGGAACCTGGCCAAGGTGATAAGTTACCAATCAAAGTCATAGTTGTAATTATAGATCTTCAATGGAATGAAAGCTGATCATCTTTGATTGTATTTATCTTCCATTATATCATAATGGATGTAAATAAAGCCACACACATTCCTTCGTATATGCAACTCTACTACGCCCGCAACCTGGATAAACACTTGTCACACTGCAAGGAGAGAATAGAGTGCGACGTGTGTGGGAAGTTGATCGCTCGACATCACATGTCTGGTCACAAGCGACGTATGCACCACCCCTAATAATTTATTCAAGTGTGAACTTGTTGTTGCAACGTGCTACAGGTGGAATAGTGATATTGAGCGACTGCAACTGTGGTATGATGTTAACACTCTCCTTGACAAGGGGTTTGTAATCAGGATGTCGTTTATCTGTAACAACATTTCGGAGCATTGAGTTGATCCTATATTCGCTCTGGAGATCATGCTGATAATAGTCATCTGGATATTCAACACTGATAGTGTAGGGGTTGTCCTTTGTTGGATTGATGGGTTGATTGGGTTCAATCGGATAATTATTGATCACGTCATCAACTAATGCTTGCCAGTCTAGAGTAATTCCAATAGCTGAATCGTCAAATATAGTGCCGAGGAAGTAATCAGGATAGTTGGACATGAGATAAGTGTATTGTTATAGACATGAATGACTTGCATCCAATGTATTTACAACCCGGCGAATCTGGTCAACAATTACGATAATTAAATGTCTTAAAAAACTTAATCATCGTTATTTCATGTTAAGGGTGTTAATACAACCAGTCTACCATACTTCCCAATGCAACACATAACAGATATACCTCCTTTCAATCTAAGATACGACATAGATAGAGATGCAGAGGATACCTTCCTCGATCTCAAAGGTAGATGTCTGATCTGCAATGAGAATCAAGAGAGGAGGGAGTACTTCCAACATCTACTTGGTTGTGTTCTATTGCGATGCAAATCAACCGGGTTGGACACCAACAATGTGTAAGTACAATGATGGCTGGCCTTGTCGATCACCAACTGACTGGTTTCTAGGATCACAACTACCACTCAATATTTCGAGAGTATCAACAAGAGAAGGAGGCTAGACAGGATGAGGGAGATGTCCAGTGACCAATCATCGTCATCATCGCAAGTTTACTCGAGTGCTTCGAGTATGCAGTTTCACAACGACACATTCCTTGATGATGCAGCGTCCTCCCAATCCCCTGTCTGGTCAACCACACCTCCAACTAGAGACTCCGTACAACTTGTGTACCAACATTGTATCGACGCGAAACAATGTATTGGACTATGCAGCGCTCGTGTCACTGGTCGCAATCAGAACAATGTATATATATATCCATTGACCAGCAGCTCTTTGGTGTGTGCGAACCTGGCAAGCATTTCAAAGACAGAGATCTTACGAATCGAATCAATAGTTTGCTCCAACTGGCGATCCAGTCAGGACCAAACACTCAGCTTCTTGACATCGACCCCGTTGGCACGCTCTGTTTCTATGGCCAGAAGAAGAAGGCCTGCACCAACAACTGTGGACACAGGTTCTACATCTACCAACCATCTCACAAGGGCGATGACAATTTCACATTCCGATTCTGTTCAATCACTTGCTTGCTTAAGATGATGGAACATTTCAGCACCTCCACTTGGAACAATTTGAACAAGACTACATCTCCTGCATTATCTTTGAGCGACAATAGCCAACACACTCCAGGTAATACCGATCAGCCCGACGACACCCAAGTTAGGAATGAAACAGAAGACAATCCAAACAACACGGAGCCCGAGCCTGTCACAGACATGCATGAAACACAAACTGATGGTGGAGGTCGAGGGGGTCGACAAGCACGTGGAGGAGGACGTGGACAAGGACGAGGACGAGGACGAGGACATGGATGAGGACGAGTGGATTGATGGTGGATCAGACCCCTCCCGATAGTAGTCGACGGTGACAATTAATAAACTAATACAACCATTATCAAATCTAGATACTATGTTCTTTCATTCATCAACTGATGAAGTCTTCATTCAAATTGTTGGAGTGCCCAGAGATAAGATACAAGCTCTATGGTCCAAAGTCGAACAGTACTACAATGACACCAACATTGATGGATCGAAGAAATTGGACAACAGAGGCAATCGACCAATCTTCAGCAATTACCGAGCATTGATGTTGACAACAATCAAACTAAAGTCAAACTGGTCATGGAGATTCATTGCTTGGTTCTTCAGCACATCCAAGAATACTGCTCGCAATGTGTTCCAACACACCATCAATGTTCTCTCAAACAAGTTTGACAGCTGCAATATTATCAACCGTCTGACTTTGGAGGAGAGACTTGCTCGTGGCAGGTGGCTCAGAGATCCATTCAGGGTAACCAATATCATTGATGGTAATCTCATACCTACGTCAAGCGCACCGAGGAAGTTCCAGAGGCTGCAAATGTTCAATGGTAAGGACAAAATGGAATGCTTTACAATGTTAGCCGTCGTTGATGGATGTGGAAAGTTCATTTGGTGCTCCCAATCCTATAGCGGCAATGTCACAGATCAGGTACTTCTAGATCATTTAGAGGTCAAGGAGTTCTTCCAATCCTTGGACATCGGTGAGACAACCCTGGCAGATGCAGCATTTCATGGAATCAGGGACTACAAGTACACTACTTTAATTCCAGACCTAAATGATGAAGGTGAGCACGAGAGAATTTATAGTTTGTAATCTCATCACTGACCATGTTACCATAGAGTTCAATCGATCCATTTCAGCCTTACGATCACTAATCGAGAGAGGATGGTGTGGAGTGGAGAAGTTCAAGATCATTACCAAGCTCGATTTCAAATGGTTGGGCAATGTGTCCATAGAGTTACAAGCAATCTACCACAACAAGATCATGAGGATAATCATGAGTCTGTATAATATATTCCATGGGCCATTATTAGAGCCAGACACTAGAGTTATTGGTGGTATTGCATACAGAGTCCCCTGTCTTGATTACTGGCAGCTACTCAATAAATAACCATTCATATTGTATCTAATTATCCAACACATTAGCATTGTTTTAATTTTTTTACGAGATACTTGACCAGATTCGGCATCACCAGATTGTTTGAAGAGAGCTGTCCATGCCGCTATATTCAACCGGAATTTGGAATTTGTTCACAGACTTCTCATCAATCCTGCAAAACCCACCACCTTGGTCTTCTCAGATGTCAACATCCAGATCATTACAATAATGAGTCAATGTGATGAGTTAATCAAATTGGCCAATGACAAATGTCCTAATCTTTATAGTTCTCTTTCAACATGGAGTTCAATTGGAACATATGGATCGATTGCATTCTTTGAATATGCAGTCCAACATTGTGATCAGTTCCTAGATGTGGATATTAAGATATCATACTTATCCCTGATGGTGGAGCGAGCAGTTCATCATGATCAAGTTGATCTCATCAAACATTGCTATATAAATCATCATAATATAATGCCAGAGATTGGATCAGATGATATCCTAAACAATATATTGGATAAAGGAAATGCAATTTTGATAGATTTCCTATTCACCATGCATCCAATCAACTTGGTACCATTGAAGAAGTTAAAGTCAATCATTCTATCAATCATTCAACTGTGCCATGTTGATAAATTGGATGTAATACTCAAACATACTGTACATGTTCCAGAACTTCATGCATACCTCCAGTCCTCATACCTTCCATCACTGACAGAGATCATTATCAAATTTGATAATGTATCAATATTGAGATATCTACTTGATCATGGATATAGGATTGATCTCAATGTTGCCAACACGAATAATCAGGTCATCAAATCATTGGTTGATTTAATCAAGAATGCATGGGCACGTACCGAAAGAATCAGGAAACAGCGTATCAATCACCGCAACAAGAATCAATCATTGCTAGCTCATCCAAAGTCAAACAAACAATCATTCAATCAATCAATTATATAATACAATACATCCAAATAACTTTATGACTTGGTAGTTGTTGAGTCTTGGGAAGTCAGTGTGGCGCCATCAGATTGAGTAACTTGTGCACGAGGTGGTGGCGCGGGTGGAAGTGGACGGGTGGGCACGGGTGGCACAAACATGTTGTGTATCGACTGTTGGCCAGCAGCTGGTTGCTTCTTTAGTGGCGAGTGCAGTGAGCCATAAGATTGCGCTTCGCCCAGCTGGCTCTGACTGGTCGATATCTTCTCATGATGTTGAATACGCTCGCGAACTGTCTGTGAGGGCACTGGTGGTTTGCGTGTTGGTGGCTTGGTTGACAAGTCCTTGTCCAATGATGATGATGAGGCGGACATGTCAGGGGACTTGCTGCTATGACTATTATGTCTCTGCATGAATGGATTCGACTTGATGCTTCCAAATGAACGGCTAATGATCGATCCGGCACTGCTACCACCACCTGTGTGACCGCCACTCATACTTCCTTTACCCTTGCTGTTGCCAACATCAGTCGATTCCTTGGTCTTGATATCTATTGGTGTTGCTGGTGTTGCTGGTGCTGCTGCTGGCGCTGGTGTTGCTGTTGCTGTTGCTGTTGCGGCGGGTGGGGGAGGAGGCAACTTGATCTTGTTGAGTGGGTTGACAATCTTGAACCTGCTCTTTGGCCTGTCTGACTTATTGGTACTTGTGCCGCTTGAGCTTGAACTTGTGGGTGGGGCTGGTGTTGCGAGTACGCTGCTGCTGGGAGGTGGGCTGCTGGACAATGGTGAGCTACTGCTGTAGGACAAGGCAGGTGAGCTGCTACTAGACAGTGATGGTGAGCTGCTGGTGGAAATTGACGATGGTGAGCTGTTGCCATTGATGCTGATCGGTGACGAGGGCGAGGGCGACATCGATGATGCCAAGTTTGGACTGCGAGGTGACAATGGACCACCGGGTGGTCTGGGCAATGGCTTTGGTCTGGACCTTGGTGTTGAGCCTTGAGAGTGAGATGGTGATGTACTGGTGGATGACTCCAACGATGCACTCTCAACAAGACTGATAAATGTTCTTGGTGGGATTGGTGGGGGCTTGGCCCTCGCCTGTTGCTGTGGCTGTTCTGGCTGTATCTGTGATTGATCATCCTGGCTGGACTCAACCTCAGACACTGATGTCTCGTGATTGATCGCCGATGCCGCAACATGCTCGTTCTCTGATTGATGTGATGGACGATCCAACTTTGCTGGCTCGGGTATCAGGTCATCCTCTTGGACGCCCTGAGAGTCTGGTACCATTGTGGCATCCTTGAGGGGCATCTTGATTGGCAGGGCGTCAAGACGCACGAGCTCTTCTTCCAGCTTGGACACCTCTGCCTCCAACTCTCCAGACATGGCCCATGTGCGTGAGTGTGATGGTGGCGATCGCATCGATGATGGCTTACTATACAATTGGGGCGATGATGGCCAGCCCCTTGGGCTCATCGTTCCTGGTTGCTCGCTGGTCTGAGGAGAGTCGACTGCACTCACTGGTGAGTTGGGCAGGTTGACGGTCGATCGTGGCGACATCTCGTCATCCTCACTGGCAACGGAAAGTGATGATATTGAGGACGATGAGAATGATCCTGGGATGGACAGTGGGGAGGGGACGTACTTGGACAGGTCCACAGCAGACGTAGGTGGCTTTGAAGTCTTTCGCACGCCGCCATTCTGAGCAGATGCCGACGCCTCCATCAGCCTGAGATCGGGCATCGACATCATGGTGGGGGTGCCAGCGCGGCTGCGATGTGGACTTGGTCCACCACGCTTCTTGAGTCGCTCCATCTCGCCCTCGAGCTCAATCTCCCATTTCTCCATGCGACTGGCGCTGCTGGTTCGCGGACTTCCGCTTGGCGATTGGTTGGCCGATGTTGAGGAGGCGGCTGCAGGGGCCTCGTCATCATCGCTCGAGTCAACGTTGGCCAGGTCGTCGACCTGGATCTGATCGCTGGCAATGCTGTTGAGCAGGCGGTGCTCGGCACCCGTTCCCACCAGGGCCTGTGGTGCGTTGTTTCGCAGACTTTGTGGCACATGAGCATCGTTCCACGCTTCAAAGTAAGAGCGGAACTCGAACGACTCTGCGCCGCATAGTTCGACCGCGACAGGGGTGTCCACTGAATGTCCAGTGATCGACTCGGCGATGTATTGTCTCGCGAAAGCTTCAGAGGTCTCGCGCTTGCGCCTCGAACACTGTGGACCCAGCCAAACAAACAACTTTGAGTGGCAGTCCAACACGAACGCGTCCTCCGTGCTCAGATCGCTCTGACAGAAAGGCTTGATCTTGGTCACAACGTACTTCCTCAGTCGCGAGTGATAGTATATGTGGTAGAACTTGGGCGTTGTGGGGGTCGTGATCGAGGTCGAGGCCACTGATGGACCCGCTGTACCCGAGGCCGCTGCCACGTCATAGCACGATCGAATGTGGCTGGTCTGTGCAAGTGAGAGGTCTGTGTAGGAGGTCATGAGCGAGGCCTGGTCAAGGCGAGGGTCGTACGAGCCAAACTGTTTCCAGAATGACTTGGGCTCCTTGCCCTCCTCACACGGCACCTGAAGGTTGAAGTCGTGAGCGTCGTCGTTCGCGTGGCGGTTGATGTACTGATGAATGAGTCGCGCTGTCTCGGGGGCATCGTCGCGCACCACCTTGCTAGATGCGCGCCCATACCAAATGAATGAAGTCTTGAGTGCCACGTTGTAGAGTATGAACACATGCCTGCTGTTTAGGCACGACAGGTTGAAGCGCGGGAACTGTGCGCACTTGACAAACTGGCCGCAGGGTGTCGCAGCCAACTGGTAGAGCATGTGTGTCTCGAGTTGGGCTGACTCTCGGTGCACGATCAGACGATCGGCGAACAAATGTATGAACTGGCCGCTCTCCTTGTGCTGCGTGAGGCACTCGGTTGGCGGTGGCGTAGCCACGCCAAGCTCGACCATTGTGTTGTGCAGCTCCTTGTACAGGCCAAATTGGAAGACGATCCACCACTTGATCGACGCCTCAGCGCCCTGCCAGAAGTATGCTCGCGAGTGATATGTGTCGTCCAGCATATAGATGTGGTGGCAGACGTAGGCCCGCGACGCTGAGAAGTGGCCGTGCAGCGCGGTCGGCACTTTGGTCCACGTATCGGCCTCACAACGCCACAGGTCGAGGTTGACATGTGTGTACACGGCCTTGCCGCGACGTGTCTCGAGCAGAGGCGCCGGGGCCGTGTCTGAGAAGGCCGGCGACTGGAGGTCCGACACGAGGTACTGCGCATCGAGCGCGATTGGTGGGAAGGGCACGTGCGCCACGGCATCCTTGCCGCGGATCGTGTTGCGCTTGGTCGTGTCGATGACTGACTCCTCCTCGAGCCAGTACAGGAATCGCTCCTTGAACTCCCATGCCTCCTCGTCTTGATGCACGATGTGCACGGTGGCCCATGCCGGGCGGTCCGAAAAGATGTGCAGGAACTCCTTGGCAAAGATCAGTGCGACGCGCTGCTGAAGTGGGTGCGAGCGGCGTCCGTTCCACACAAAGATGTCCGTCTCGCAGTCGAGTATGAAACAAGTGTTGCAGTTGAGCGATGTGGGGACCAGGGGCTTGACATCGATCGCCGATATCTTGCCATGATTGCTCACGCGGTACAGCCATGTGGTGGCGTCCTCCATGGTGCGGATCTCCTCGTCCGAGGCTCCGTCGCGCGTCAGCTCGAACGTTGCCAGGTCGACCACCTGGTCGTCGCCCACAGCGCCGCCATTGAGCAGTGCGAGGAAGTTGGTGAGCTGGTCGCATGAGGCTGGCGATCGGTCGCCATCAATAAGTATCTCGATCGATATTGGCTCGACGATGACCTGGCTCTCATACTTGATCTTGGACGCTATTTCCAGTCCGCGCACCTGTTTCTTGATCGATGAGTTTGGTCCTATCCAAACATACACTCTTTGTCCACAGTCTAACACAAACACATCATTGCGGCTAAGTGATTGAGGTGATAAGGCGACCTAAAATGATTGATTGATTGATTGATCGTGTGTTAGGTGGGGGTGGGGAGGTGGAACTATTCCATCACATAATACATACCTTTGTGGCCTTGAACACTTCATTGCCACTGATACACCATAGTGATACTTGAGGGATGACGACTTTGGATTGATTGTTGAATGATGAGGGATGCGGAGTGGGGTCGCCCTTGCCACGCGGCACGAATACACTGTTCCTGCGCTCTTCACGGTGCAGCCTGGCTCTCTCGCGACGATCGCGTACCACTCTTCTATTCTTCTCTTCCTTCTCACACTTGGCCAACTCGTCGTTTAGACATCTCCGACGGTCCGACCATGTCTTGTCCAACTTGTCACTAGTCACCTTTTGCACCAGGTTAGACCACTCGTCTGGCACGCCCTCAAACTGGCCCGTCATCTGATTCCATGTAATATGTATCTCTCTTCGCATGGCCGTTGGATTTCCAATATTCTGTCCAAGTTTATCCTTGTGTCCATGTCCATGTCCGTGGCCATGGCCATGTGGTCCATTCTTGTCCTTGATGGTACCATTATTGTTGTTGTTGTTGTTGTTGTTGCTGCTGCGTAGACTGTCCAATGATAAAGTTCGTACTAATGTTGAGTTGCCACGCTTCAGCAACTTTGTGATTGTCCTGTTGTTGGTACCATGTGCTGTTGATGATGTGGCGGCATCATCCCCACCTCCACCTCGACTATGTTGCCTCTGACCTTGCACTGGTGGCGATTGTATGTCAGTGTGATTGGCTAAGTTTGGAGTTGACATTGAGTTGACTATTGGACCATTCATCTGGTCCTCATTCATTGATGTTCCATCCCTATTAAACCTCTGTGCTGTCGTATCCTTCCTTCTTCTAACCAACTTGCTAGCAGACTTCTTCAATGTATGTGCCCAGTTCTGTGATATTCCCTGGATTGATTGATTGATTGAATGATTGAGTGAGTGAGTGGAATAGTTCCATTGATTGAGTGAGTGAGACCTGGGATTATCCCACCCAATCAATCACATGATCAAACATACTTTTAGATCACTGGATGATGGGTTGAACTCGAGTGGCTGTTGATCGTTGAGATTGGATGATGATGACTTGTCTTTATCCTTCTTCTTGAATAATCTCTTCCATTTCGATGTCGATGATGATGATGTTGTAGTCGTGGAAGTTGATGTAGTCGAAGTTGATGTGGACGAGGTGGAAGGTGGTGGCGAAGATGGTCTCGCAGGTGATGTTGGCGGTGATGGGAAATCCGATCCATTGACCACACTATTATTATTGTTATTCTGTTGTGTTTTATCATCACCAGTCATTGGAGGTGACCTAACAGTGAATGCTGACTTTGATCCATGTTTATCTTTTGGAGTCAATCTCTTGAATGTTTCCATAACCATGGTTATATATATTATATATTAAATTATTATTTACAAATATGTTTGATTGATGTGATTGATGGATGAATGGATGGATGTGATTGATTGGTGCGATTGTAATAATGGACCAGATTGGTGACCAGCTGGTCTTGATTCAATGGGTATGTGTGTGTGTGTGATCTTGAGGTCCTAACTCTTAGGCCTAATGATAGTTTGATTGATTGATTGGATTGGCTGGGGTTGGGTGTTGGGTATTGGGGTTATGTGTGTTGTTTGATTGATTGATTAATTGAAGTGAAAGAGTGCGAAACACGTGACAACTTCAATTATTCACTTCACACCGATATAAGAATGAATGTATATATATATATATGTGTGTGTGTGTGTGTGTGTGTGTGTTTATCTGTATGACTATTCGTCTGTTGTTGATGATGATGATGTGATAAAGATGTTACTGTTGTTAACATGTGACGCACCTCTTCCCTCCACAAACACCACAAAGTAGGAAGTGAGGTAGGTAATTGATTGATTATTATTTTGATTCAAAACTGTTGTTTGTGAATGGTCGTTAGAGGCCTACTGTGGACCGTGGTCCAGGTATCCAAACTCGTACAATCACATTGCACACACACAACAGAAGTAACTCAGCTGAGTTGGGTGACGAAAGATGTGGTTGATGGTCCACAAAAACACGTTTGCATGACCCAACACTCATTCAAACGCACAACTTCCACACAAACACACTGTTGTTGATCACTTTTCAAATCAACGAAAGGACATCCATTATTGTATTTGTTTGATCACCTCACCCAAAATGTTATCTTCTGGTCATCCCATCCCTTTCCAACCAATATCACCTCCTTATTATCATTATATATATATATTATATGTGGGTGTTTGATTGATATGATGTGACTCATTACAAAGAGATAATAAAGAGATTGTAGTAATGACGTTTGATCAAAAATATGATCTGTTAATTCTAATGTTTATCATTATCTTTGGCCAAACATTCACTCATACCTCAACTCCAAACATTGTTTATCTTTCCTAACCCTCACTCTACCCTTGCCCTCAACCCTAGCCCTCAACCCTTGCCCTCGATCAACTGAAACTTCAAAAACTTTTTCAAAATGGAATATCTTCAAAAATGTGTTGAGATTTGACAAAGACATCAAAGTCCCATTCATCTCAACACGCATCATTCATTCATTCACTTACTACTTATTACATTACTTATTCTTTCATATATACATACGCAATGTCGAGTGCAGCTAATGTTAGCAGCACAAGTCTTGCAAACAATCCAGATGAATACCAATTCGATGCATTTGAGGATGGTTCGTCAAGTATGTTCTCATTCATTCACAAACTGTATCAACTCAATCAATGTTCGCGAGAACAAACAAAGACAAGACATACTGACATAATGATCAATCAAATAATATAGAGCTTGTAGGTGAACAACAATTGACAAAGTTGAATCAGTTCGCAGTTGATTATGCTCAGCAGATATGGCATATTGAGGAGGCGTTGGATGAATCGCTTAGCGATACAACCGACTTTAACATCGATCCAGTGTCTTTGTATATCAGACCCTACGAGCAACAGGATATCATCGAGTTGATCAAAACCGAGCACAAGATATTCAACAAGGTGATGTTGGTGTTCTCATCACTCACCAATCAGGTGAGGATATTGAAGGAGACGGCTGAACTGCGCTTCTTCCAGCCACTTATTGTCTTTGGTGAGATCACCGGTGAGGCCAGCGAGGGTGATGTGCAAGTGGAAGTCGGTCGTCTGCTTCCCTTCATGATCGACCTCTCAGCCTTTGTCAACCGTTGTTATGCCATCACTCGTAACATTGTCAGTCAGCTCGCAAGCTGCTACCAAGCCCAGGCCAACGCCTTCTCCAAGTTCTTCAAGAACATTCATCTCCAGTAAGTCAAGTCACGTGCTAGCAACAGTCAGTGACGTCCACCTACTCACTCACTCAATCAATCAAACAATCTAGGTCAGTGTTCTACGCATTGTCAGACTTGTTCTCTGTTCTGATCACATTGGATCAGATCGTTGTGCAGAACCAGGCATTGGCATCATCGTGGGGTAGATTCCAACGCATGGTAAAGTCTGTGCGTGCAGAGCCAGGCAAGTATGGCGTGGCCGAGGAGGACCGCCTATGGCAGCTGGAGAAGCTGTTGCTCAGTCTTAAGGGCCAGCTGCTCGAGGGCTACATCTACCAGGCGTGCATCACGCAGGAGTTTGACTTCCCAGGCGTCGTCGACGTCAAGAACAACAAGGTGCTCAAGGCTGAGTTTGGCCTGAACGTCAAGTCGCTGTTCTCGCTTCTGCAGGCCAAGATCATGGACCCCTCCGAGCTGTACCTGCGCGAGCGCTTCCCCGGCATGCTGGGTCTGTACACCTTCTTCATCTCGCTGTTCAAGGACATCACCGACAAGTCCTTCTTCAAGCAGGTGTGGGAGCTGACCAAGCGTGTACCCATGGTGTCGATCTACACCAACGTCATCTGGTATCCCGCCGACTTTATCGTCGCCCTGATGCCCGGCATGATCAAGTCGGTCGTGGGCAACCCCGACATCCAATCGGTGCGTCGCGACTACCTCAAGATCGTCGACAAGGAGTTCGCCCCACGCGTCAAGTCCTACTATCTGCAGGTGAGCCGTTGGATGGTGCGCATGGAGTCTGGCCGCCTCAACAACCGCGGCACCTTCTGGGACGCCAACTACTCACGTATCGGCCAGATCATCCAGGGTATCTTGCTGTCGTACCACATCAGCCATCTGTTCAAGACAATGATCGGTCTGCACATGAGTTTGACGGCGCCACTCAAGCCATCAGACGTGCGCCGTCTCTTCCAGTGCGCCGAGCTGCTCAAGTCGATCCAGGGCACATTCCATCGTCGCTCAGCCATGATCTCTGCGCACATCTCGCTGATGACCCAGCAGCTGACTCAGATCATCACCAACAAGCTCGACGTCATCCGCGCCAAGTACACTGGCAAGGCAACCTACACAGACACTGAGCTCGACGTGATCATGGCACTCACACTCACCACCGACCTGTTGTCGGGCGTGGCCACACCGGAGCGTCTCACAATCGTCAAGCTCTGCCTCAACGTGATCTACCAGATCAACGTGCTGAAGGACCCCGACATTGAGGAGCTGCGTCTGCACATCAAGCGTCTCGAGTTCATCTCGGACATCCACGCATCCATCCGCCGCGTGTGCGACTGCTCGCTGCTGTTCTGGGCACGCGACCTCTTCCCAACTTACCTGACCTACATCTACGACAACCCATCGCAGGCCAACAGTCTGCAGTACACCCTCACTGGTATGAAGGACGTCGTGTCGATCCTGGAGAAGGCGATCCACGTCGAGCACCCCTCGTCGCTCATCGACGTGTACCGCAATGAGCTTGAGGAAATGGTCGAGAAGAGCATCATCAACCCACTGGGCAAGGACATCGAGACGGACCTGCGTCTACGCATCCACGCCTTCCTCAACGTCGAGGAGAAGGACCCATTCAAGAGTGGCATCCGCGAGTTTGGCAAGTTCCTCGAGCTCAAGCCACTGCGCTTCTTTGACAAGACCATCGACATCAAGTCGCGCATTGAGCACTACCTCGACTCGACCTTCTACAACCTCAACACGGTGTCGCTATTTGACTGGAAGACCTACTCCGAGATGAGGAACATGGCCTTCTACAAGTACGGACTAAACCTGCTGGAGGTGCACTTGCCCGGAGCCACACTCGAGCAGGGTCTCGACGTGCTGGAGATCATGAGGAACATCCACATCTTTGTCGCTCGCTACAACTACAACCTCAACAACCAGATCTTCATCCAGCGTTCATCCAACAGCAAGACGCTCAACACGATCAACATCACACACATTGCCAACTCGATCAGGACGCACGGCGCCGGTATCATGAACACCACCGTCAACTTTGCCTTCCAGTACCTCAAGCAAAAGTTTGGCATCTTCTCCGAGTTCCTCTTTGACGATCACATCAAGTCACGTCTCTACAAGAACATCAAGTACTTCCGCGAGAACAAGGCCCAGCTGGACTCGATGTACCCCTACGAGCTGGCCATCGAGTTTGAGAAGGACCTACGTCAGCTCGGTCTGACCGAGGCGGGCCAGAGCTTCCTCGATCAGTTCCGTGTGTTGGTCACCAACATTGGTAATGCCATGGGCTACATCCGTCTGGTGCGCTCGGGTGGTCTGCTGTACACCAGTAACGCCATCAAGTTTGTGCCCGACCTGAAGAAAATCCCCAACTTTGAGGAGCTGGTCAACAAGCACCAGCTGTCGGGCGAGACCCAGAACGCCTCCAAGAACCTGGACAACGTCATTGAGAACCTTTCGGCCAACGTGTCCGAGGGCACAGAGTACTTCAAGATGCTGGTCACCGTGTTTGCCACCGAGTTCCGCAGTCTCAACAACCAACATCTGCGCAACTTCTACGCGATCGTACCACCCCTCACCATCAACTTTGTCGAGCACATCATCAACGCCAAGGACAAGCTGTTCAAGAAGTCCAAGGCCATCGGAGCCGAGAGTCTGCAGTTCACTGACGATGGTTTTGCCATTGGTCTGGCCTACATTCTCAAGCTGCTCGATCAGAACAAGGAGTTTGACTCGTTGCATTGGTTCGAGCGTGTCACCAAGAAGCACCAGGAGGACCAAGAGCGCATCCTCAAGGAGGGCAACATCCGTGGACTCAAAGAGGATCAGAACCAGCTGGCCATCAAGAAGGTGAAGAACATGCAGCAAGAGTTTGAACTCTTTAGGTATTCATTCAGTGGAGCACGTATATTCTTCAAGGATTAAGTGAATTTTTGAAGTTGAAGCTGAAGTTGAATCAATCAATCAATCAATCCATTCAGCAAATCATTGTAATAACAATAATAACTTAGCAATGTTTACTTAATTAATGATATATCTCTTTGAAAGTTTGAAATGGAAGGTCTACTTAAATAATCAATCAATCAATCATGGATGGTGATTGGAATGGTAAAACCTTCATGATTAATGTCTTTGATATAGATTGAGATGTATGTGAGCTTGGGAAAGATATGTGATTGTTTGAGGAGATTGGTAAGTGTGGACAACTGTTTGGCGAATCTTCCATCGAGTTGTGCCTTGATAACCTTTCCAATGTCATTGAGTTGGATGGTGAGTGAGCTGATTGGAGTGGACCAAGAATGACTATCAGGGAAAATTGACACCAAGTCTTCAATATCTTGGATATTCAAAAACACCTTGAATGACTGTGCACGATTGTTGATAAAGAAGTTACGAATGATTCCATAGTCGACAATTGGTTTGAAGCACTTTGGTTCGGTGTAATGGAAGTTGGACACTTCCAGAAAGTGTGACAGGTGATCCAAATCAGAAATGTACTCCTTTGAGTTGAATGTAAGTGAGTAGAGTGGATATCTCATTGGAAGTCTCATGAGATTTGAGTTGGATCGATTGCTATGAAATATGTAGTGTCTGGACACAATGGCATTGGTCTTGTTCTCAAACCATGTTGGAATGAGAGGTAGTGTTGATTTCATCCAGAAATCAATCGTTTGGAGTCCACTCCTATCTTTGATGTAATGATCAAACATTACCTTGCATATATCTCCATCAATCTGTTCCAATTTGAGTTGTTGTAGATCATCAACCATGTCTAAATCTTGAATATATAGTTTGGGTTCAATAGATGGACTGGAATAAAGTTGGACTGTACTTTGAATTAGTTGATCAATCTTGCGTTGTTGTTGTATTGTCCAATTCTGCATGGTGTTTTCACAATCTTCGAATGTTAAATGTCTGAGCTGTTGTCCAATACCATTGACCAGAATAAATATTGGATTATATTCATATGAACATCGACCATAATATGGTATGGTCAAATGTATCAAACGATCCAAACATCTTGTGATGTGACTTGATGGGATGAATAACAAGTCCAATGCATGTATATATAGTGGAGTGTCTTGGAACAGACATAATGGTGATCCAATATAATTGATTGGACTTCTGATCCTGATTGACTGGAGTTGAACATTGTTTGTGATTATCTGTGAGCATAGCTTGTGAAATTGTTTGTTAACCGATGCCAATGATAAAATCCTCTTTGAATGTAGTGGTCTAGCTCCATTTTCTTGTATACATAGTTCAAGTATACCTCTGAGTATATGCCATGAGAGTGATGACAAGTTTGTATGAAGTTGAAGTTGGGACTGGTTATGGGACTTGGGTTTGGGCTTGGAATTGGGCATAGTCCTTCGCCACAGAGTTTGAAGTTTGAACTCTTTCAACAGAATGAGTTGCTTGTCAAACTCATCTCCATTCACAAGATTGTCCAATAGTAAATGTTTGCAAAGCTTATAGTTGAAGCCAAGATGTTGGAGACAGTAGACATACTTGAGGAAATGGAACGTTGGGACAATGGGTGGACAAACATCACTCAAGATCAGAAGTCTTTGAATGATATCCGCTGCCCTTGTCATAGACATGAATGACATGTCAAAGAGCGAAGTCGAGAACTCTGGTGGGTTGTGAGTGTCCATCATAATGTCAATGAACTCTATCCATAATGACGATGGATCATTATCAGCAGCAGTAATTGATGCTGAACTGATAAATGACCATACTTGATTATGGCGTGTGTCCAAGTACATGCCCAAAGAATACTTGAGCCTACAAAGTGCAGTAGAAAGTTGTTGTTGTGTATTGGCTATCAATGATTGTTGTATGCACTTGATAAGAAGATCAATATTGCACCACTCCGTGGTCAGATTGTTGAAGTTGGCATCGAGATGATCCTTGATCCATGATTGTGGACATGAGTTTATGAACACTTGATTGAATGATAAGCATTCATTGTCATTGATATCATGTAATGCTAGAGAGGCAATCGCATAATCCAACCATATTTGTTCTTTGGTTAATTGATATACACCTAGTAGACCTCTGGCTATCTGGTCTTTGTTGGGACGACCGACAAAAATGTGAATGTTGACATGACGACGAAGATGTACATATAATGATTGTGGAAGTGGCAGTCCACTGTCCATATAACATCCTGTTATTCCATCAAGTAGTATCAGGCCCTTATACATCTCACCTTGACTCATAACTGACAATATGTACTCATTGTACAAGTCGTAGAACCTAAGTTATCATGTCAGTGTGATTGAGTGAGTGTGAGTGAAATAGTGATTGGRAATCATCCCATCCTTCACCTTCCGTACCGACCTACCTTGGGGAATGATGTTCCCATGAGTCTGAGCAAGATGTTCTTGTTGAACATTAATAGTTTGGGAGACTTGAAGTACTTGGCAAAGTGTTGATCAATGTGATGAAGATGTGGAATGAAGATCTGGAACTTTGTGTAGAAATTGGGTAATTGATCATCCAAGAGCTCAACGATGATCCGTTGATGCTCCTCATTATCCTTATCTATTACCAAGCCAACAACATCACTCAATAGTCCCAGTACCCTACTTGATCGATCCAATCTTTCAATAGGCGCACTTTGGCATGCTTGGACAATGAAGCTAAGGTATTCATGATTGAGTGAGTGATTGATTGATTGATTGATTGATTGATTGGGTGATGTACATACTTGAATGTGTCTAACTTGAGATCTGTGAATAACTTGTTGTTTGACTTGTCTTTGACTAGCAGTGCAAGATAGAGTAGTTTACCATTAGTTTTGGATGGTGATGGGTCCTCAGTGCCAAGGAACCATGATGTGAGCTCATTATCAACTTGTTGGAATCCAGGTGTAGTTGTGATGTTGTTGTACTCATCGATCAACTCTGTACAGCTGTCCAATGAGTTATATTCGAGTCTGTTATCGATGAACGATGTGATCAGATACTCTGAGTAGTGTGGAGTGAGTGCTCGACATTCACTTTTGGTCAAGCTTCCCGTCAGACTATCCAAGAACACTCTTCCAAACAAGAATGATAGATGGCGCCAGTGATAATCAATAGATACCAATAGTAATAATGAGTTGACAATGTCAAACAGACCAACACTGACACCTTCCAACTTTGATAACTTGGTCACATTGATGACTCCAAGTACCACATTATGTGTTATCCTACTCGAAGTAACGAATGTGATCCTTTCCAATACTTTAGTTATATCACTGCGCACTGATGGTGTGTTTACAAACATCTTAATAGTTCATCATCAATCAGTCAGTCAGTCAGTCAGTAAGTGATTGATTGATTGATCATTTGATCACGCGTGCAACATACCACCGCCAGTCTAGGAAGGGAATTGATGATGTCCACTGGGTTGATCAACTGATCAAGCCACCTTAATACATCATCATGTACATGATCCATAATGTTAATATTTGTATAGTAGATTTACAAAGTGATTGATTGACCAAACAGTTGGATCAGGTGATGACCAAATTGATCAAAAATTGTGAATAAAGGTGGAAAAGATATAAATTATTTATTTAGACTTCTTTGATTGACTAAGTATACTCTTCTTCCTTGTATAATCGATGGCATATACTAATAACAATGCCGTATGTATAATGTATACAGTCAACAAGAGTCCCAATATCATCTCTTGAGATTTGGATCCTCCTCTTCCAAGTTTCTGCATTTGTCTAATGTCCCAATACTTTATGATTGATTGATTGGTTGGTTGATTGAGGTTAGTGATTGAGTGAAGTTGGAATAGTTCCAGTGACTGACTGACCGATGGACTTACAATAAAGTTTGAACATAGTATTGATGATACTACTGCGGATATGATGTTGATGCTCATTTGACTTGTGTGAATGTTGGCCAAGGCAATGAATGAGAGACATAGTAACTCAAAGGTGTATACAGTGTCAACTAATGAAGTGAGTACTAATGCCACCAGGTGGAAGAACATCAGACGGACGCCAAGTCTATTAAATCTTGATGTTTTTGTTGAATGGCGGTGATGTTGATGATGATGTCCTTGTGTTTGTCTTGTCTCCAACTCAGATTGAGTAGTCGTCGTCTGAGTCTGAGTCTGTTGTCTGTCTGATTCATCATCCATCATTGCATCGGCACTTGCACTTGCACTTTGAATAACAGTCGTCCTGTATTCCTGGAAGGATGTGAAGTAACTTTTGGGAAAGGATTGGCGAGTGAGTGATTGAGTGATTGAGCGTGCAGGGGAAAGGGTTGCCGACAACCTACATCCATGTGATCATCATAAGTATGAGTGATAGTAGCTCAAAGTATCCGAGTGTGATTGGTCCGATGGCAAGGTACTGAGCGTGTCCAGAGAAGATGGTTTCAAAGAGACTGGTGAGCAATGAGAGAATGAATCGATAGAGTGGGTTCTGGGGCGAGGGCTCGTCCAAGACATTGAGTCTCAAATGCTCAGGGATGGACTCGTCGCCACATGTGCTCATCAGGAACTCGACCACAATCTTTGCCGTGTCGGACAGTGCGTCCGCGTCCAGATTGGACGGCTGGTCAGTGATCTTGTGATAGTCGGCGTTGTGTCCATAGAACACGTCCAAGTCTGTCAGCAGCACGGATGGTACGCCCGCCCAGACAAAGGGACCGTCGTCGCTGAGGAATGGGATTGAGAGGAGGTGATAACGATGCGCCTGATACAGCAGTGTGAGTGGCAGGCTTGGATTTCCCACCGATATACCATCCTGGCGAACGCGGTGTGCCGCTGTGATCACATGATCGACGATCCAGCGTGGCGAGAACAAGGTCTTTTGTTTGTGCTCGTATGGATATGTTTGAATAATTGGACCTGATGACAGTCGATGTCCAATCGCGTCCACATCGAGGAAGTAGGCGAATTGTCCGCGCGGACTCTTGGTGACGCGCAGATGATCGACCAGTGACTTGGAGCCAAGCGCGCCAGGTTCCTCCTGATCAAAGAAGACAAACATGAATGGAGTCTGCTCCTCGAACGACAGCTTCTGCTGCAGCTTGAACAGAACGCCAATGGCTTCGATCAAAAGGCCCGTGCCAGCCAGGTTGTCGTGCGCGCCCGACGTGCCATTGATGCCCCAGTGAACAGTGTCGTAGTGCGCGCCAATGATGCGCACGGGACGCGACGGGTGCAGCTCCGTCGTGTTGGTCCACACAATGATGTTGATGCCCGTCCAAGAGGTGGTGGTGATGTTCTTGCCGCTGGCCTTGCGCTCAGTCCACTCGAAGCGATTCCAGATGATGTTGTCGGCGGGCAGGCCCATCTGCATGAGGGAGTCTTTGACATAGTCGCGTGCCAGACTCCTGCTCTCCTCATAAACAAATCTCGAATTACCAATATCAATCAATCTCTCTGTATGTCTTATTATCTTTATCGGATCAATCAAAGTATCCTCTTCAAACGATGATGTTGCCTCCAACAATCTTGAAGATGAAGGTAATACCGTTACCGAACTATATCTTGAATAAATGAATAACAATGCTAATATACATATTATATGTGTCGGTCTCATTATTATTATATATATATAATATCTATTATCTCTTTGTATCTATGTATGATGTAATTATAGAAGAATTGACCAAGTCAATAATTTGAGCGAGGGTATGTCTGAGAGGGCAAGTAAGTGTGTTGGGGTTGATGTTCAACATGATCTTTGACTTCCCCCAATAGCAGTAACGTTATATAAAGTTCGAATCAAGTCGAGATCTTGACCAGATACCCCAAAAACACGGTGTTTTTAAATTGAATTTTTAAATATTTTAAAAGGAAATAAATTTAATTTGAGCGACACATAGTGAGTGACTGTCCTCACACAGTCCCGAGCAGATTCTCTCGACTCTCTCACTCACACACCCTCCCTCACTCAGTCCACTCCACTCTCTCGAGTTGGACTTTGTCTAACTTGCTTGTGCTTCTACTTCACTTGTGCACTCAACATCACAACCATCTCATATACTTCATATACTTTATATACTCTCTCATAAAGGTGAGTAACATTACTACAAACTACCATCAATCAAATACAACTACATCATTCAACTACAACTACAATAATAATGGCGAACTTTTGTGAAATGAATGAAACAACGAACATAAACAGTGAAAGAATGAATGAATGGATGAATGAATGAACTTTGTGAACATCACTTCACCAACATTACATTCAAACAATGACACCTATGATTGATTGTATGTTGGTTGTTTGTGTCGCTCAGAGGCAGCGATTATCTTTGTGTGTGCTCGACAGATGTACTTAAAATTTTCCCATAACATTCGCGGATATACAACTCGTCGTAGCGAATGACTACAGGCAGATCATCGATTGGCAAGCTTGCCAATCACTCACCCTCACCTTGTTCATTCAACATTATAAGCTTATTCCAACAAACAACCAACAAACCTTTATACACAAATAATCATCATGAGAAGCTAGCAAGAAGTAATAATATATTAACATTTACCTCTCTCCTTCCAACTCCCTCCCTCTCTTATATTCTCAACCAATCATCAATCATCAACGCGATAATAATCAATTAACGATAACATCAACAAAAAAAAACAAACAGGATCATAATGCCATCATTCGCTGATTTGACAACTGAGTCTGGCCTCAAGAGCCTCAACGAGTACTTGCAAGACAAGACTTACATTGTTGGCTTCGTCCCATCCACTGCTGATGTCCAGGCCTTCACCATGGTCGGTGCCACCGCCCCATGTGCCACCAAGTACCCACACGCCAACAGATGGTACGTCACCATCCAGTCTTACTCTGCCACCGAGAGAGCCGCCTTTGAGACTGTCAGCGAGACCGTGACCATCGTCGCCGCCGCCGCCCCAGCTGCCAAGCCCGCCGCTGACGACGATGATGTCGACCTCTTTGGTGATGATGATGATGCTGAGTACGAGAAGCAGTTGGAGGAGCGCCGCAAGGCTGCCGAGGCCCTGAAGAAGCCAAAGGAGAAGGTCATTGCCAAGTCCACCATCATGCTCGACGTCAAGCCATGGGATGACACCACCGATATGGCCGAGCTCGAGAAGTGCGTCCGTTCCGTCCAGATGGACGGTCTCGTCTGGGGTGCCTCCAAGTTGATCCCAGTCGGCTACGGTATCAAGAAGCTCTCGATCAACTGTGTCGTCGTCGACGAGTTGGTGTCCACCGACGTCCTTGAGGAGCAGATCTGTGGTTTCGAGGACTACGTTCAGAGCATGGATGTCACTGCCTTCAACAAGATCTAAGCGCAGTAGTACTTCTCTTTTCTTAAAACAAAGGACCAGGCTCATTTAAACATATTATAGTATCATCTCCCCCTTTACTTCCTTCTTCTTCCGTTTTCCATCTTCCCTTTGTCATCACAACTTCAACAATCAATTTTGATCAATATGTTTGATGTCCATCAATGGTATATAATACCGATGATACTTGATGGATATTAGATGGAGTATCCTTTCCCTGTCCATCAACACTCACTTAATCATTCAAGTTGTTGATCATCAAACTTGAATTCAAACTTCCAGGGTTACAAATTGAAAATTCAAGTTACAGGCCTCAGAGTGGCAGGCCTCCTCCGCCCTGAGTGAGCCTTATTTAACAATCCTATAGGATTGTATTACTGATTAATCATACTTATAATAATAATAATCATAATAATAATGAATACTATTGAAAAGGAAGAGCATCAACAACAACTACTTACAAATGAAGAACAACTTGCATTAATTGAGAAGATATTGTCCGATACTTTATTGGTTGGTGATGATGAAGTCGAAGACGAGTACAGGAAAGATATATCACCATCATTATTACCACCATCAACTCCATACATCTTCAACTATAATCCACCAGCACCATCATTCTATTCTCCACAATTGTGGCAGCCTACTATTGCTCCAATGATTAGTTTCGACAGATTATTAGTAGAATACTTTGAAGATGATTGTACTTATTGTATCGCCATACTCGAATCAATGGGTATTGTAACAATGGAACAATTGGCATTGGCTGACAACTTAGATACCATTGAGTGTCTTGGTGAGGATATTGATGAGATCAACAACATCTACTCACTTCAAACAGTTGTTCAAGACCTACTGATTGAACAATATAAATGGACACACTTCATCAAAGGTCAATACAACTCTTATAATGTTAACAAGTTCTCATCTACAATGAGTAAGTAATGTTATTATTATAATATTGAAATTATTTATTAATTAATTCCAAAATAGTCCTCCGAGGATTTACAGATGAGGACAATTTATTATTATCATCGAGTGGAATATATACAATTGACCAATTCAGTTCAATACTAGATACCAATACTCTATCACTGGTATGTATATATATTTGATCATTCAATCAATCTCAATCTCAATCAATCAATCAATCAAACTAACACTAAATATAAAGTCACCCAAGATGACTTACTATTGTAAAATGGCAAAGAAGGTTGTCAAAGGAGATATACCAATCAAGAAGTGATATATCCACAAGAACATCAATCAACATCATTTATTAATTAAACATTCGCTGAACTTCAAAAAACAATCATTCAAACCCATCTGGGTTCTCTCAATCCCGATCTTTTTTATAAATCAAGACACCTCTTCACACTTCAGATTCTTTTTCCTTTTCCATAAGTTGCTGTCACTCCTTCAACTTCAATGACTTCACTCCTCTCATACTCTTACTCGCACATGACAGATAGATAATGGACAGTTTCATACCATTGCATTGCAATGTTGTCAGGTTGGTGTATAACAATCAAGTGATTGATGGTAGTAGTGTTACTGTTCTATCATTCGACTCAGGTCAAAAGACAATCAGTATAACATTAGTTGATGGAACTATATATAGTCATCACTTTAATGACATAGATTATATAGATCTGTATGTACCTACAACTTTGTTGATGAAATCGATGATGTTTGTCTGATTATTAACATACAACAACAATAATAACAAAGTTATAACTTAAATTTTGGTGGACTATGTATATTGGAGTTATTATCAGATCAAGGAGTTAGGTTCAAGGCAACATTGCGTTTGAATCAATTGACAAACTTGATCAACAGGATTCCTCACAACAATAAGTTTGACATCTTCAAACGATGGTACTGGTGCAGACATCCTGGCCAAAATGTCTTTGTCAACTCAATTCACAAACAAGTATGTACCATTCATTGATTGATTCATTGATTGATTGATTGAGTGATCCTAACATTATCACTCAGTGGAAAATACCTAAACATATAATAGGAAGATGAGATATCGCCTTCTTAGGGGCATATATAACATGTTTGGCATTGGACCTCCACCAAGGCCTGTAGAGTTGGTCGATGAGTCATACTTTTGTTGGTACTTGACTCAGATCACCACAAGATGGGTTGGAATGAATGACAATACTATCCTGCGCCATTGGAGTACGCTCAGACTATTGTGCCACTTCCTCACACCTAAAAGCGCAAAGTGTAAGGTCTTTGATCAGGTGATGAACCACTTCATCAGATATGCACAAGGCATAAGCATTGATGACATGGTCCAGAATTGCCATGAATACCTTTGGAGGATGTCCATGCTAGACCCCACTCTAGACACGCGCCCCATCTTTAAGTCGTTGGGGCGTTGGGGCGCCAACGACTTCCCCTTGATGCGTCAGTCTCATCCAGATACCGGCAGTTTACTCCGATTTGGTACCACATTGTATGTATACAACCTAAATCATTCACTCATTCATTCATTCATTTACTAATTCATTCTTTGTCATGCATAGGTTTGAGTACTTTAACAACTCATCCTTTGATAGGGTAATACAGTTTGTAGCATACCTCATTGATGCCAGAGAGATCCACCTACTCCTGAAGAAGGCAGACCGTCTGAAGAGCATGTTGGCGACTCATTCATTGTACGTGGGCGTAGCGAACCGCCCAAACATCCATGTGTATCTAGACGAGCAACTACTCTTGATCAGTCAACAAGAGATCAGCTTCTATATTTGTGGTCTGCTCAAGCGTGATGACGGTAGTGCTCTTCTTGGACCACTCTCCCCTGACTTCATCCAACAACTCAATGTTCTACGCGAGTTGGACTCAATCGTCGACGATTGTAATCTCACATCGGACCAACTCGATGACATCAACAAGGTGACCATTCAGATTCTGGACTACTTCTCCAAGTTCCGACCCAACACCTATGATGTCATCAAGGAAAGCTTCATGTATGGATTGGATCCCTACATATTGGACCTGGCCAAAGTCGGTCACTGTCTATCTTCCTCTGGTCACGGCGTACCGCTGGGTTGAGATAAGTCAGTTTGCAATCAGGATCGAGTACCCCTCACTCAACGCCTTGTGTCAATTCCTCTCGAAACCTTCGTTCAGAGAGTTGGACAACTGGAACATACCCAGCTCATTTGAACAGCTCTTTTACATGACTGGACCACATCAGCGCAGCCATGTTCCTGAGAATGAGGACTACCACAAGCTCCTCTCCTCAATCGAGTTGGATAATTTTGCTTATGGTCCCGATTTACATTCATCCATTTATGGACGTTCTCGTAGCAACGATAGGAGAGTCCGCAAATTGGCAAACATCTCCGCAGGAGAGCTGGTAACATTGGCCACACCATTGTCAATTGGCTCTTTGGTGCTCATGGACCCGATGTGGTGCGATTTGTTAGCATGGCAGCTGTTGTCCATTTGGGGCTCAATAACTATGTCAACACTACCATCCATGAGAGTTTTATTGAGACTCTCAACAAAAAGTACATTGTCAAAGCGCCCGGACATATCACCGACGTATTCCCAACCCTTCAATCACTATTTGAAGAGTTGCTCAAGAGATTCTACAATAACACTAGGATACCTGATGGCGTGGAGGACACACCAGCACTCAGACTAGCTATATTTATCATCACGATCTGCCTTCTTGGTAACATTCCAATCACACTTGTTGGAATGACAAATCAAAAGGCGTTCAAGATCGTACGAAACAATCTAACTGATGACAACCAACCATGGAGGACACACTTCTGGACAATGCTAAGGTATCCCGGTCCCATCCACAAGATTCATGGAACCAACCTGGTGACCCCTAGTGATGTCCAGGAACTGTTTGATCGGCCAAGCACATGTCTATTCCATGAGGTTGGAATGGTCATTGTGAAGGATGCCGGTCAGCTCACCAATGAGTCCATGCAAGTTGTTAGCCAACATATCAAAATCATTGAGTCTAGCGACTACAATGACATGGCACAGACACTTGTCATACTCTCAAACACAACATCACTTGCACTAGCAAAGTATATACATATCCGTGATCAAACTTTGTTTCTCAAGTAACATAGACACCATCAACAATTAATCAATCACTCGATCAATCATCAATCAGGTTAACATTTGGTAGAAATAATAAACGAGTATTACTATAATTTTAAAAATAATAACTTTACATTATACATGCTGGAGAGTACTATTATCTGTTGATCTAAGAACTAACTTGTGAGTTGTCTGATGGCAGTGCCAGATTAACAATGTGGCCAGAGCTTGGCAACAAGTTCATGTCACCATCATCTTCCACTGTACACCCGAATCATCACCGACACTCCGAAATCATTACCCAGTATTTTAAAGCCGAATAAATTTTTGGGCATTGTAGATTGAATAATCGATTGATTGATCCAAGCATGCTAATTACATGTTTATGCAAAACTACAAAATGTAAACATTGTGATCACTCGGCCGAAAATTAATATCTCTAATCACTTCATTGTTTAAGTCACACACAGATACTAAAAAAACCTGATTACTTTGATGGGTCACCTGATGTACACTCAACAGTGTTACAAACGGAGAAAGTCATCGATCAGCCCCATTAGAGGTTCATATTGTGAGCCACAACATTTCTTTTTAATTTTCAATTTTAATTTTAATCAAATGTTCCTCGAGATGGGTCCAAAGGACCCGACCCCCCACATCTTTATTCGCGCACTGGACTCCCAGGAACAAGACTGCCTTAGATTCGAGCCTTTAAGGTCCATGCCGGCTGGCCCCCACTCTCCTGATTAACCACCAACCATCATAACCACCCACCATGACCATCACATCCGGTTGGTTTAGTGCAAGAGGGTGCTTTAATCAGATTCTAACAACAACCCACAACTCTACATCCACTACCTACTTGCATTGGTGCCGAACAGCTACATTCTATGCTCGCTTACCAATCGAATCCTTGGCAGGATGTACGAGTAGGAAGTAGTGTTGCAACACTACACTCATTGTTAACATTGTCTCAATCAATCATTCATTCAATCATTCAATCAATCAACTTCATACAATCAATTACTTGTTGTAATAACAGTAGCCTAGCGCAGCCAGACACACGCCACCCAGGTCATCAAATGCCACTCCGAAGGAACTCCGAAGTGCAGGTGGAAGGCACCAACACCACCGTCCAACTACGTGACTTGTTCAACGCTGGCCGCTGGAAGAAACCCTTCACATTCAAACACTTTTTGTTTGCCCTCTATCTGCCATTTGGTCTGGCGTTGTGGCCAGTCAGATTGATGTTCAATGTGTTGGTGTTCTCATTCCTGCTGGTGATTCCCAAGCGTCTGCGATTCCTCACGCCTCCCCTCATCGCACTGAGCATGGGCGTGATCACACGGGTAAGGGGTCGCCACAACCTACCCAGCAGGAACAATCCCAACGCCGGCCGCATCATTGTCTGCAACCATCTCTCAGACTTTGATCCATACCCCATCTACATGATGCTGGACTATTTCCACGTGTTGGTGGCCGCACATATTGCCAACGTGCCAATCATTGGCAACGTCTATCGCAAGATGGACGCCATATACGTCGACCAGGCCAACCGTGACAAGGCCCGTCTGGACGTGATGGAGGCACTGAGCAAGACAAACATCCCTCTGCTCATCTATCCAGAGGGCGGCCTCACCAGCGGCAAGACTGGACTGATGATGTTCCAGAAGTTTGTCTTTGGTCTTGGCCACGGCGTCACGCCCATCTCGATGCGCCTCACATCGCCATGGCCCATCAACGTCGACTATCTTGGCAGCAACTGGTTCAAGAACTTCTTCTGGTGGATCATGGTGCCCTTCCACATCTTTGAGCTCAACGTGCTGCCCACAGAGTTCATCAAGGACGGCGAGACAGACATGGACTTTGCCAAGCGCGTCCAGTCCATCATTGCCAAGGACCTACGAATTGAAGCCACCTCCCATCCATACGCACAAAAGAGGGAGTTGGTCAAGGAGATGCAGAATGCCAAACAAGCCAAGAGAGGTTAGTGTTGGTAGGTGTTTCCAACAACATCATTATATATAGTGATGGATAACTTCGTTTGGGTCGGCAACTATATATCCCAAGCTCACTCAATCAAGATGTATCCATCAACCAAGCAATCAACAAACAAAGTGATGTGGCTGGCTACTCACCAGCCTCAACAGGAGTGTAATAATAAAAGGGTTAAACCTTACCCTAACCTTGCCCTTTACCTAATAATAATAATAATGTTTAGTCATCCTTTTCATCACGGCCACTGTCTCTTGATTTCCAATCGTCGTCATTCCAGGTGTTGGGCGAGGCCGTCCTCCTGGAGGGCGCATAGCCAATCTCTGGTATCTCCTTGATGTCGGCCATGTGCAGGAGACTGTTGATTGGTTTGGTGACCGAGTTGATAGGCTTGGCAAAGATGGACGGTAGCTGTATCTTGTGTGGCTGGCCAGTGGCGTCCGACGTGCCACTCTCGCGCAGTGGCACCCTGGATGTAGGTACGATTGGTGTCGACGACAGATGCTCTGGCACGCTAGCAGGTGGTCTTACATACAGAGGTGGATCGCACGAGGGCAGGTAATTGAACCTGCTCGCGGCCGACACTCTGTTCCTGTTGAGCTCCAAGTGCATCTTGATCGTTTGGAATGTGATGTCCAGCTGCAGACGGCGCTCAGCAGTCAATATATTGGTGTTGGCATCGCTGACCATGATCAGATCGCTGGGCTTGGGCAGCTCAAGCTTGGTGAGCGTGGTGTTTCGGTAGTATATGAATGGCGAGGCGATTGACTGCCAGCCGACGAATGTGAACTTGTTGCCCGAGAGGTAGACCTTTTGCAGCGACTTGTTGTTCCTGAAGCAGTCAGCGAGCAGACATGCGCCATGATCATTCATCTCATTACCTGTGATGTCGAGTGCAGTCAGCGACTTGTTGTTGTTGAGCATCTGGATGAGGGGGTTGAGTGCCGCGCCCAAGTTGTAGTGCTGACCCACGCCGAGCTTGGTGAGCTTGGAGTGTCTGCCAACAAAGTCCACGATGCCCGCAATAAACGCCTCATCATTGACCGATGTGGAGTTGTAGCCAACGTTGAGCGAGGCGAGATCGGGGAGATTGTTTAGTGTGGTCATGATGTCTGTGAGTTGTTTGGTCGCCAGACTGTTCTCCGAGATGTCCAGACCATTGAGGAACATCGACTCGTTGAGTAGGTCGGCCAGGATCTGGCCCGACTTGCCCGCGAGCCCATTCGACGCTAGGTTAAGGGTCATCGAGTTGCGCGGCAGCTTCTTGTTGACAATGAATGCGGTGAAGATCGTTTGCAACGAGTCTCCAACAAGGCCACAGCCAGAGAGGTCCAAGTGTCGCAGTTGACGGAAGCATCCAATCGTCTCAGAGGCGAGCATTCTCGCGCTGATCAACGTTATCTTGTTCTTGCTAAAGTCGATCAACTCGATGCCCTCGAGGGCTCTGAGTGACGCAGCCAGTGTGGAGAAGTTGAGCTGGCAGGCTGACAGACGCAGCTCGCGCAGCGCGTGAACACCTCTGATCTTGCACAGCCAGGATACGAGCGCGGACGAGCCGGTATCCTGGAAGCGGTTGCCCGAGAGGTTGAGCGTCTCGAGCGTGAGCGACATGGCAAAGTTGCGCTCCAGTGCCTGGACGAGCTGCGAACAGCCCTTGGGTGGGATGTTACATTCCGAGAGGTTCAGCTCGATGAGCGAGTGATTGAACGCGGCGAGGCCGTCGGCAAGACTGACCAACGACTCGTAGGACAGCGTGTTGTTTGAGAGATTCAGTCGCTGAAGTGCGCTGTGTGTGCCAATGTGCTGCAGTGCGACGCCCAATGGAGTGAATGGCTGTTCGGACAGCAGATTAGTGATTGTCAACTCCGAGATTGCCCTGTTCGTGTAGAGCATCTCAGCCACCGATGATATAACATTGATGTGAGGCACCTTATTAATGCGCAATGATCTTATGAATGGATTATGTCGCAGACAGATGATTGATGTGAACAAGTTGAAGCTGGATAGATGATTGGAACATGTTAGTAGTGTGCTGGTCTCCCTCAATCAATCAATCAATCGATGGACATACCCTAGCGAGCATGTTGGATCAACACCAGGGATCTGACTGAGGTCAAGCTCAGGGTATCGTGTGAGATATAGTGTTTCCATGTGTCTGAGGAAGTCCAATGTAGCCTTGCGCTTAAAGTAATGTGAATGTGCAATGTATTGCTCAGCAATGCCCTTGCCATCAGGTCCAAAGTCTAGTGATGTATCATGTTAGTCCAAGCGTTCACTGATTGTGCTCGAGTCCATCACATACCATGATTGAATTGCAATGGTTGATATCTGTTTGGAGGCAGGGTCACTTGGACCAAGGCTTCTTGAGGGAAGCCACGAGAGATTGTAAAGGTCGTAAAGACGATGGACTTGATGACGATGTTCTCCACCTTGCGGTCTGGTGATCGAATGAACATTGATGATATAGGTGTTTGACTTGATGTTGTCTTATACTTAATCTCAATCTAATGATTGATTGAACGAATGATTGAGTGAGTGATTGTGAGCGAGTGATTGATCGAGCACGATATACTTACACTTTGTTGTGAAGGGATTGGACCACCAATGACTATTGGAGGCTCTGCAATCTCGATTAGATCATAATGATGGACAGAGGTGACAAGATCACGTGATGATGCTCTCTGCTTCTTGATTATTAATGATTTGTATCTGCCAACTACCAATATCCTTGGTTTCATCTCTTCATTCGCTGACATTGACACGTCTACCACTCCTTGGAATGCTATCTCCTCTCCAAATAGTCCTCCAATGCCTCCCAACTGTTCATTTATATATGCTATACATCCATCCGTTCATTCTTGTTAATGTATGAATCATTGATTGATTGATTGATTGATTGATTGATGAATGACATACCTTGATCATCTGGATTTATCTCAATTTGTTCATTTCCCATCTTTTGTTTACTACTATATTACTACTACTACTACTACTACTATGTTATAAATAAAGAAATAATGGATGAATGAATGGATGAATGAATGAATATTACATCGATGAGAGTGAATGAATGAAAGGAAAAAGGAGCATGAATGAAAAGGGGTGTCCTTTGCCAGAGATGATGTTGCTCATCAATTATTTGAATTTTGACCCCAAAACAGTGTTCCCGATTATAAGAACACTGTTTTGGGGTCAAGCGTGATCAAGACTATCGAAATGAATACCTCATATATCTGATTGAGTGATTGAATGATTGATTGGTTAGTTAGTTGAAATAAACATTGGCGTGGTCCTTTAATTAACTAAATAGATTGGAATTCACTTAAACAATCATTGTTTATTGGTGAGTGAGTAGAGTGATTGATTGATTGAATGAGATTAAAAGGGTGCGTTGTGTTGCGTTGGTAGTTAGAAGTAGAAGACTTGGCATTGCTGTTCCACAACAGTAGAAGTAATAATAATAATAGTAGTAGTAGTCGTAGTAGTGCCAATGGTGATTGAGTTGGATTGAGTTGAATTGAATTGATTGTGATTGAGAGTGTAGTTGTTGTTGGCATTTGCTTTGTGTTTGCTTTTTTACATCAGAATACATCCACTGCTCTGTGGCGCCTCGGGCTGCTGGCTTTTGTCAATCTCCATCAATATCTGCTTGAACACCTCCTCCACATTGACATTGTTCTTGCCTGAACACTCGACGAATGCACAGTCCCACTCATTTGCTAGACTCTGTCCTTGCTCTTTACTGATTTGTCTGTTTGTTGGATTGATTGAATGATTGATTGAATGGTCAGTCATTGAACATGTTCCCGTTGTATTGTGTATAGTATACAATCATACCTTTCACCTTCTAGATCCGACTTGTTACCGACTAGTACTCTGGGTATCTTCTCGGTACCCAATGCATTCAATATCTTATCGTTCAACACCTTGATAACATCCAATGAAGACGCTGAAGTTACACTGTACACCAATATATAACCATGTATTCCGATTGAGTATTGCTTCTGCAATATAGAATACTCATCCTGTTATAGTAGTGATTGTTTGTTAGTCATTCAATGTCCTTGTTATTGTTGTTGATACACTATCACTCACTCACACTCCACCTCTGCCTGCCTCTACCTCCACCTCATCCTCTATCATATCAACTCATACCTGACCAGCAGTATCTATAATCTCTGTTGCATATTCCTTGTTGCTCTGTAGTTTGATCACCTTTTGGAAGGTGTTCTCTATCGTTGGATTATAAGTATCGGGACAGTTCTTGTCTACGTATTGCAAAGTGATGGTTGACTTTCCTAATGTATGTTGGAAGTAAATGAACGAGTTGTTAGTCAATAAGTTAATGGGAGGGCATGAGAATGAGCCTTAATACAAATACATACCGACTGCACGGAAGCCCATTACACATATCTTTCTCTTGGTTGGAGGCATGTTATGTTATGTTGATTTGAATGATTGAATGATGTCTAATGTATGTATATGTATATATGTAATTATTATTGTTATACTACTCTATTTGATTGAATAAATAAAGTTTAAATGTACTGCTCTCTCTCTCACTCTATCTATCTCTTGTTGTATCGATCTTTTATCTTTGCAAGTAGTAAGTAGAAGTAGTAGTAGTAGTTGAGGCAGGTTGAATATGATGTTGACTGATGGTGGGGGTAAACAATTGAATGCGATTGTGATGGATTGTGATGGATTGTGATGTTTGGTGATTGTTGTTGAAGGATGATGATCTGCAGTAGGGAGTTGGCTTTGGTGGCTACACTTTAGTTTGCAGAATTGTAAGTGGAATGTTGGGGGCGGCGTCCGTCGTTCGAAAGGCTTTGTATATTGTTGTTGGGATGCTCTAGGGCGGTGATGAGGATGAAGAATATGAAGTTGAATATGTAATAAGCTGATGATGAATGTGAATCTCGTTACGAGGTCTTTGCGTTGCGTTACTTTGATTAATTATAGATGGTAATTAAATGTAATGTAAAGATGATGATGATGGGTGTGATTGATTGTTTGATTGTTTGTTTGATTGATTGATTATTGAATGATTAATATTATTATTATTATCTGTGTATGAGGTAGGTGTATCTCTTCTTGAACGTTCAAGTGCTGAAGTGTGTTGTGAATATGTGTGTTGCAAAGACTCACTAACAACAACAACTTCAACGAGTGAGAATAAAAGTTGTGTATGTGTGACTTGACTTTTTGAGATAGTAGTGAAGCCTATATTATAACGTATAAGTAATGAGTATTATGTATAATTGATTGTATTATGTTATGTTTATATGTTTGAATGTATGTATAATATATGTGCACAGGTGACGGGGACCTACATCTCGAATGACCTCCGAAGAGTAGTCCTTATGCAAAGCAAATAACAACAACACATGAGATGTGATTTATTTGTTGTATATAATTTTATTTTATTTTATTGCAATTAATATGAAGGAGGTAGCCAATTAGATATGAATTGTTGTGAAAATCATGTGTGTGTCGGAAGTTTGCAGGGACCCGCATGGACCTCGTTCCGTCATGCCCCACAATTGACCCCATTCAAAATGAACGGTGAACATGACCCATCGACCCCTCTATTTCTAAACATGAAATTGTGTTTTTGCAGTTTTTCACCGTTTCCCGATAATCATTATGATCAGAACAATGAATCCTACTTCCGATGGTTTACACCTTATTGTGTAAGTATGTGATACAATTATCACTCGCTTCCAATGGTAAACATTTGCATTAATGTTGCAATTAAAAGTATTTAAGTTTGGTTTCGAGTCGATATGAGGCATCTCTGGTCCACAATAAATCAATTGATTCAAAGGCTTCGATCATATTCATTATAAGTGGAAAACATGGATGGAGTATGATTGATTGATGTGAACTAATAGAAGTTCTTTGGTTGATCATTGTTCAACTTCCATCTTAGTACCAATGCTATAATACCTCCAATTAGCTAAGATAGTATTGATGTAGTAAATTGGTTAGTGATCAAACGTATATCTCTCTTCAAAATTTAGGTAATTACATTGATAAAGAGAATGATAGCCACTGGAACATAGTATCCAGCTGTATTAGTTGAACAAAGGAAGGTGAAGTTACCACCCTCTTTACATCCAGCTACATCCAATGAAGTAACAATGATCTGAGCAATACCAAAGAGAAGCATAATGATCATTACAACAGCAAACTATTAACAAGAGGTTTGTTAAATTAGTAAAGGAAACGGATAGCAGGTTAAAACTTGATTATCTTACATAAAGAAGTAGTCCTCTACTCTTCTTGATTGATCCTAAAGTACCAATCAATGCCAATATCAATAGAATTACACATGATACTATGTACAAAGCCAGGGCAACCCAGGCCGAATTATCTGCAGCATACTTGATATATATCCAGTAAGGTATTGTTAGACACTAAAGTGATTAATTGAGAGTTTAGAGTTAATAATGATCCACATTAGTAAATATATTCATAAAACTTACAACTAATGCAATACAACATATTATTACTAATATCCTTAATACTAATTCTAACTTCTTTGCCATTATTCTAGAATAAATGTATTAGTTATCTATATATTTATAATTATCTATCTATCTCTATGTTGTTTATAATTTACACTGTCGATATTAATGCCATAGCAAGACCAACTTAAAGGCATTAATAACATCAATGACACACTACCACAATCACACACTATCCAATCACCATCATGATTGATCAATCACACACCCCTTCACTATCACACACACACAATCAATCAATCAGTTAATAATGGAACACACACACACACACACACACACTTATACAATCACACTAACATCATTCCCGATATGGACAATCAATCACTATTTTATTTCCGTGCCAATGATGATGTTGTTGGAGGAACTGGAACTGGAACTGGATGAAGCCGGAACAGCGGCCGAACTTTTGATTCCCCAGTCTCGTTCTATTGAGGTTAGAGCGCGTTTAGATCGCATATTGTGGTAGACATAGTATGCTTGGGAGATTAGACACAGTAATGCAATGTTTGAAATGATTAGACCTGTTAGCAAACTGGAGTTGTCCAATGACCTGCTGTTGAATACCAATGCGCAGATGCAAAGTATCAAGCCAAAGTGTGTCTCGAGATCATTGTGGCTCTTGCGTCTATAGGGCGCACACAACCATGTGATGCAGGTGAAGAACAGGCTGAGCGTCGATAGGATCAGTGACTTGACGTCCAGGTGATATATGGTCGTGATGGTTGTCACGACGAAGCAGATCGATCGCAACAGGATCACAATGTCCCACCACATGTAGCGTGGTCGATACTTGGCCAGGAACATCTTGTGGAAGTATCGATTGCTGTAGCCACGTCTACACTTGATCAGTATGTACAATGGTGCACCAATGAGTATGAACAGTATGACGAGGATGGCCGCCACGAGCAAGGGGTAGTGTTCGCCAGAGAAGCACTGAACGCCCACGTCCACAGACAGGTAGTAATCGGGTCCAATGCGATAGCATGACACGAGTCCCAATGAGAGGAATGCCAGAGGTGTGTAAACCATGAGCACGTGGCTGAACAAGGCGTAGTGCCACTCATTGTTGAACTTGGACTCGCTGTTTGTGTTGACGAATCGACGCAGAAGACGTGCCGCCACATCCTTGCCAATTGTGAGGCGTGAGGACAGTCCGACCACAATGACGATCGCACTGAACGCGATGATGTTCTTGTAGGGGAAGGTCAGGACGTTGGCCAGACAGGTAGTTGGCCAATAGTCCACATTGAAGTTGAACAGCGGCAAGAAGGTGACGTAGCGAATGTCAAAGGAGGTGACTCCAATCATCTGCACACAGGTCAGGAGATTGAATAGCGCCGTGGCGGACGGCAAACGGTACAGCGACAGGCACAGCACGTACAGGAACATGAACAGAAGGTAGCCCGCGAGGAGGAAGTAGTTAACGCCCTCGACTGGACACTCTTCACAGAATGACTTGACCTTGGCGTAGCCTGTCTCGCACTTTGAACAAAGCGTGCCATATTGATGCGGGCGGCATGAGTTGAGCAGACACACATTGTGGTCGCACTCGTAGATGCGAGGTGGCTCGCTGTCTGGCAGTCGCCACCACCCTGGCATCGTCACAATGTTATTGCCACCGGGACATCGCACCTGATTCGAGACATAGTTGGTGCAGCTATAGCAAGTGTTGCCGTCCCATCCATAAGTGTTGATGGGACATTGAGTGCAGGCGTTTGTTATGAGGGTGGGATACTGTCCCGCGTCACATGCCTGTAGCATCATGTGCAGGTCGGCCGTGAAGCCGTTGCTGGCGTTGGCCATAAAGTGGAGTGCGGTGCCGACTGGCTGGTTGATGGTCAGGCGCTGCGTGAAGAAACCCTGTGGCAGATTGATGTTGTTGAACATGTCCAGCAGCGCACCATCTGACTCGCGATATACCATGAGCGACATGGATGTTGCCGTAGGCAGTATCGACACTACCTGCTCATAGCTGTCATACTCTGACACAAACAGCAGGAAGGTAGTGTTGGGATGAATGGTACCCGTATCTTCGATAAGACGGATGTCCAGAGACTTTGGCCCCGTTGCCATATACGCGCCATATCCATTCTGCACTGAGTTGTCCTTGAATGTGTTGTTGAGCGAGTTGCCGCTGGAAGGACACGGCCTATCATCCGTGCAGTTGCCAATGTAACATGTGGGCGTGTCCGAGTAGCACACGGCTCCAGCACCATTCTGTGCGATGTTCAAAGTGAATGTTGACGCGTAGAACGTCAACTCTGACTGAATGGCCAGTATGGCGCCACCATCGCGATATGCAAAGTTGTCAACAACAGTGACGTTGCTGGCCCACATTCGCGTGTCATACAGGTAGATTGCGCCGCCACTGTCACTGTTGGTGTTGTCTGTGAACTGGCAGTTGGTAAGCACCACTGCCGGGTTGGAGATTAGCCGCAGCGCTGTGCCAGGCATTGCGAAGGCAAAATTGTGACGGAAGATGCTGCTGTCAATGTTTGTGGCAGACGTCTCGCGCACGACCACCGTGCCATTGTTCGAAAACAAGCCTCCAAATATAGTGCCATGTATGTATAGCGAGCCCCTTGTAACATCCACATAAGAGTCGACCACTGTGTAAAAGTCATTGTTTGAAGTGAAGTTAGATCCAATGATGTCCACTTCTGAGCGGATCGTGCTGATGACTGCTGGCGTGTGTGGCGAGCCATTGTTCTCAAACTTGCTGTTGACAATGGATATGTGTCCGGCTTGAATCTGGATCAGATTTCCTTGATTATGATTGAAGCTCAGAACGCTGTCGCGTATGCTGATCACAGAGTCCTGCGTGCGTAGCCTGGCCTGGTTGTAGCTGAACTCCAGGCCCTGAGCGTCGAGCACACCCGTCTCCACAAAGAGGAAAGAGTCGACAAAGTATGTGTACCATATTACTGTGTCGATAAATGACACGTTGGACAGCTGCGAGTTGATGGCCATCGAGTTGCCCTGGATCGAGAGGATCGATGTGTTGACGAAGCGCACCTCGGAGAACTGCTGGAACAGGAGTGTGGCAACAGGGCTGCTCATGTTGAAGAATATGCAGCTTACGAATGTCGCGTTCGTATACTCCGAGGTCATCATGTTGGCGCCGGCCGAGCAGGCCTTGAAGTGGCAGTCGTACACGTCCAGAGTAGAGTGATAAAAGTGGCCGAGCGGGTTGTCGTAGCCCGACAGCTCCATGAATATCACGCTTTCGAGACGAAGATGCGAGAGGCTCGTGTAGATGCCAATGTTGGGGTTGGCGTTCGAGAACGTGCTGCCAAAGATCGAGCCGTTGGACGACTGCACCACGAATGACTGATCGGGCGCGCTGTTCACCGAGTAGATGTGATCCCACGTGCAGTCCCTCAGGTCGAACGTCGAGTTGGACAGCATCAAAGCCTGCGTGTTCTGAATGAATATACTGTCGCGCATCGTCAGCTTGGACGACTCGATCACCAAGGGGAAGTTCGTGGCCAGGAAGTTGTCGGTCGCTCTCATATTTGTGATGTTGATGCACGTCCCATCGTACGCGGTGATGAGTGGCCCAATGTAGTTGGACGTGAACACCTGGCTGTCCATCACCACGCTGTCCGCGCCACGAATACGCAGCAGGATGAAGTTGAAGTTCTGTTGGAACAGGTTGTTGAGCAGTAGCGTCGCGGTCGGCCGTTCCATTGTTATGAATGGTACCAGCCAGTAGTTCTCGTTGCTGTTCTCCAGCAATAGTGAGTCCATTAGCGTCACTTGGGACATGGACATTGTGAGCAGCGGGCTGAGATTGTAGCTGATGGTCGCGTTGGCAATGTGCAGCGCGCACTCTGTGGCCTCGAGCAGGGCCATCGCATCGTCATTGTAGCTGATCGTGTCATTATACAACGTGACGTTTGAGTTGTAGCACTCAAACAATGTGACGTGATTGAAGTCAAAGAGATTGTTTTGCAGGTAGGCTGTGGTCATGGTTGTGACGACGGCTGGGAAGCCCGTGGACAGTGTGCCCGTCAGATGATTGTTCGTCAGCACCAGCCCATCATACACCTGGATGAATGTCAGCAGGCCCGACTGCGGTATCGTCGAGCTCTGCATCGTCGTTCCGTTGATCGTCACGCTATTGAGCGAGTAGAAGTTGAGCGCGTATGTGTTGCTCATGAACAGGCATCGCGTGATGTTGACCATGTTTCCATTCTCCAGGCTGTCGATGTTGTCGCCAATCGCATTGTTGGTGGCGTATAAGTCGGCGGCGAGGAATCGATCAAAGTACTGGCCTGTCAACAGGTTGGCATTGTTGACGAAGCGACATTGTAGTAGCTGTATGTCCATTATGGTGTTGGAGAAGGAGATTAGAGTGCCGCCATGATTGTTGCTGAAGGTCGTGTTGAACAGGCTAATGATGGAGCCGTGCAAGAACATGCCCTGGCCCTGATTGCCACTGAATGTGCAATTGTTAATGATTGTTGTTGTGTTGTACTGTGCGAATATGATGCCTGGCGCCTGCATATCTGCAGGGGTGGGATTGAATACAGCCTGCGCGCCATACTGTATCACATTGTCCATCAGCAGGTTTGTGTTGGGTGGCTGCGTCAACACTCCTGCCTGGCCAAACAGCGGTGTAGTACCGCCCTGTATCATAATATTGGACAAGGTAGTGTCGTAACCTGTTACTATCATCGTTGGTGTCGGCTCCAAAGTGTTTGTATAGTTGTTGATCAATGTCATCACTGATGTACTGCTAATGGCTGACTGGATGGTGATATTCTTGCCGATTGTGTCCAGCAAGTATGTGGCGCCAGGCTGCACTCTGATCAGATTGACGTCTGTCAAAAGATTGATTGAGTTACCCGACTCAATCACATTGATGGCATACTGTACACTATAGAATGGGTTATCAATCATTCCATTGCCACTCACATCGCTTCCAACATTCGATACATAGACGTCCGAGTCTTTGTGAGGGCAAGGGTTGGGGCGAGGGTTAGGGTCGAGGGTCAAGGGTCGAGGGTCTAGGTCATAACATCATGGACAGACATACCTATGAGGTTGGAAGTTGTTGATATAAGATTGATATAGTCGATGAGGAATTGAGTTTGTTTGTTTGTGTTGTTGGATTGACTACCTTGGACGTACTTGAACGCAAGGGTGTAGTTGTTGCCATTGGCGTACTGGGTGAGGTTGACCATGCCCAATGTATACATGCTGACAGAGTCGGGCATGGTGGACTCTGACACATTGGCAACGTTTGTATCGTTTACCATTATACTAATATATGAAGTTGATTGTTGTGTTGTAGATTGTATATTTGATTGAATATAATAATGTAACCATAACTCGTTGATTACTATGTTGCTGCTGCTGCTACTGGTTGTGAGGTTGGCGAATGTGATTGGAAGTGATACTAGTTTGTCATCGACATCGTTGAGGAGTGCAAATGATGAGCCTTCATATGAGATGACGCCTAGTAAGGCTGAGTATGTTTGTGGATTGTACACGATCGAGTTGGTCTGATTGGAATCCCAACCTTGCTGCCATCCAGGTTCCAAATCACCATGTATTAGGTTTGAGTATAATGATTGATCAATCGTCTTCGTCGTTGTCTGTGATGTACTACTACTACATTGTGTTGTGGATAACAATAACAACAACAACAATGACACCAATAGTGTCCTCACTGACATGATGCTGAATAATGAATAGAAGTAGGTGTACTTGTACTTGTGCTAATGTTATCTGTATCTATCGGATTACTTTATGATTGGTGGATTATTGATGTATGATTGATTGGTCGACCAATCTTCACATAAAGGAAAGTTCTGGATTCATCAAGACCCAAGATATTTTTGATAAAAGCGTGCCCCTTGATCTGCCAAGTGATTGATCAGTTTGGACCCACACACAATCACGAACTACTCTTTTTTGGATTCGTCTGGCAGACGACATCTTCATTATTCCACTGAGGTATAAGATGGAAGATTGATTGGGTCAACTAAAGATGGTTATCGCCTCAGCCTTTTGTTTGTCAACTCGTTAAATATAGACTTGATATCCTGTTGTGATTGATCGATGGGGCCAGGTCAGTCACTCAATCAATCAACCGGTTGATCAGCCCGCCGCCAGACACTAACTTACATCTTTGGTAATGACTTGATCAGTTTGTTTCTTGGCGGAGAATAGGGCTGTAAGTCTGTCCTTCATCTGGCCGTAGGCTTGCAGCATTGCCGTCTGCTGAGTTGGTGGCACAAGTGTACTGAATACATTCATTGGATTGTCGTTGGAGAATGGATTGGTAGGCTTCTTTTGTTCGCGTTTCTGTTTGATCTCTTCCTCATCTTGTTCGTCGTCCTCTGCACTGGGCTTCTCCAATACAAACAGACACTTTTGATCGGTATAATGCTTGATGCACTGTTCGCAACGACATAGCTGATCGCGCCAACCATCTCTACAGAACAAGTCGCAGGATAGTCCACGCAACTCCTTGTTCCATTTGCATGTAGATGTCTTGTCATCGCCTGTAGTCGTAGTCGTAGTCGTGGTAGTGATCGTGGGTGGAGTGGTCGTAGTCGAGGACTCCTTTGGTGTCTCGGTGGTCTCATCAGCCAAAAGACGAATGGAAGGATAGTTGACCAGGAATTGATTCTTATTTACACAGTCGCCACATATGAAGTCGGACATATCGTCCAAGTCCGGTGTCTATATGTTGTATTGATTGATCGTATGTGAGTGATGTTGCACCAACGTATCCATCGATCCCAATCCATACCTCTAGATTGGAGTTTAGTTTGATACAGGTCTCATGGAACCAATCATAACAGAATAGACATTGTACCATGTCCTCTTCAAAGTTGTAGGGCATCTTGCAATAACAGTATGTGCCAGCAAAGTTGTGATTATAAGCATTGTCGGCATTGTTCTCGGCACCAACCTTATCCTGTAGTGAGCACTTTACATCTAGGTGATCCAAGGTCAATCAGTATGTCAGTCGAATGTCAATGCCAGTGATGATGACATGATGATCAGGTTGTTGTTGACTTACTACCAACTCTCTTTGTTCCACAATCACATCTAAAACTGCGCTTCTTGAACAACTCGATGATGTTATGATCCAAATGGCAGTGCATAGAACATCCGTAGCACATTCCAAATGTGCCTGGACAGTCCTTGCATGCATAAACAGGCTGTGTAATATATCCTTGATCAAACGTACATGAGCTACATTATGTTGGTTCGATGATGTGTCAATCAATCAATCATTCAAGTGAATGAGTCTAGTCTCGCTGGTGAACTAACCAACATACTCCTCATCTCCCCAATCTTGTTGATATTGGTCCAATGCCTCTTCGTATAGCTCTTCCTCTTCATGCTCCTGATCTTCCAAAGCATCCTGTATCGAGATGATCTCATCATCAGCTCTCTTCTTTCTCTTCTTTGTTTGATCCTTTTGTTCATTACTCAGTGTAGTCGTTGTTGATGTAGTCGATACTGAGGTGATCGTCGACGTTGTAGTAGTTGTTGTAGATGTCTTTGATACATCCTTATCATCTTGTTCACTCATATCTGTATCTGTATCTGTTTGTATCTGTATGGTTGATTAGGAATACAAAGAAGAGGGTGCTTGGCAAGCACTTTGAATTAGAGTGCGCGCCAAAGTGTGGCAGTCGCGAAGGAGACAGTGAAGTTCACAAAAGAAAGAATGGATGAAGGTGGAAGTAAGTCAGCCAGTTTATTAATGGATCATTGATTAGATGACATAGTCCAACTCATTCCTGCGATAGGTGTTGGCACCATCATCTGGTGTACGTGGATATGAGAGGGTCATGGCATCCTGCGAACTGATGTAGAGCATGTTATACACCTTCCAGTAAATGTCACGCACTTTGCGCGCTGGATGGAATAGTCCCTGTAGAGTGTACTGTAGTATGACGGTGGGTCCCAACGCCGTGCGCAGTCCCTCCACCGCCTCCAAGAATGAATTGATAACATGCGGCGACGTCTCAAAGATGTTTGGCCACACAAAGTTGAGCAGATGCACCAGAGCGTCCTCGCAGCCCAGTCCGTGCACGCCGAGCGACATGTGTTTGACGGCGGCACAGGCTGTCTGGCGATGCACTGGATCACGGTCCATCAGGGCGTCCTCCAGCAGGGGGGTGACAGCGTAGATGTAGTCCTTGCCCATCTCGCCAATGTACTCAAACAGGAAAGAAAGTGACTTGAGCACACCGTTCTGCACGTTGAGCTCGGGGATACGGTACTCGTTCATGAGACCCGGCAGCACGGTATAGGGCGCGCACGTCTCGGCAACGATGGCAATGGCGATAGTGGTACACACACGGTTCTGGCGATCCTGCACCTTGAGATTGTTTAGCAGGGTGCCCAGCACCTCTTGTGGACCGATGGCCTTGGCAATGTAGCCAAACGTATTTACAGTGGCACGACGGATGCCCTTCTTGTGCGCCTTGAGCATGTCGAGCAGCTCGAAACAGATACGCATCCACTCGCGCTCGTGCACAAAGTCGGCACCACGATCGGCAATACGGCCCACGAGGTCGATGTTCTGTTCCTGCACCTTTTCGTGTCTGTTCTTGAGGATGGGCGTGAGACGGGGCAGCAGGTCCTTGATGGGTGGTGTCATCTTGGTCATACCAATGACGTTGACGATGGCCTTGAGTGCGCCGAGGATTGAGCCCAGCACCTCGGGATACTCCTCACCAAGGTACTCATAGAGGATCTGGCCCAAATGAGACATGAGACTTTCCTCGCCACAGAGATGCATAACGACGGCGATACGCGAGATCAAGTCGGCCGCTTGCTGACGCACCTTGGCAGACTTGTTGTTGAGACGCCATTTGATTGTACCGGCGATCTGTGTGAGATAGGGCTTGACACGCACGCCAAGCGCAACGACGATGGTACCAAAGCCCTGAAGCATGACGTTGGTCTCGTCGGTGCTCTGCTCCTGGAACGCGTAGAGCACACCATCAATCAGCTGCTCCTCGAGTCGTGTGCTAATGTCTGACGCGCCCAGTGTTGCAATGATCTTCTCAATGGCCTCCATTACCATCTTTCTGTATGACTCGGACTCGTCCTTGAGGTCATCGACGATCTTGGCAATGACTTCGGCACCGCCAACCTTGTTGGCGATCTCCATTGTTGTCTCGACCAGGGCCTTGTGGTTGCGACGGTCGGCCGTACGACGCACCCAGAAGTGCTTGAAGAACTCTGGCACGACCTCCTCGCGGATATACTGTGGCTCGACACCTTCGGTGCTGACACACTGCTTGACCACCTTGAGCAGGATCTTCTTCATCTCGTCTTCGTTGGTCTTGAACTCGCGCACCAATATAGTCATCACCTCTTTGGTGTAGTACGAGGCGTAGCTTGCGTCCATCAGAGGGATGATGTATCCAATGGCCTTGAGGAATGCTGCCAGACCCTTCTCGCGATACTGTCTGATTCCGTACCAAAGGGGCTTGAGAACTGAGTCGAATGACTCAATGCCGTAGGGTGAGGCGGCCTCGGCAAGGGCGGCAATGGCAAGGGCAGTGATTGTACGCACCTTGGGCTGTTCGTCTGTGAGACCATGCTCGACAATCTCCACCATTGACTTGAGATGGGGCAGGATAGCGCAGCCCATAAGAATGGCAATCTGCTGGATGATCTTGATACCAGTGTGGCGCGCCTGCCACGACTTCTTGCTCTTGCACACAGCCTTGAGGAAAGGCAGCAGCGAGGGGATGCCCAGCGCCGACGCCACCACGGCAAAGGCACGTGCCGTCGTGTTACGGATGTCTTCCTCGGGCGAGTCGATATCGGGACGCATGGTGGCCGTCATTGAGGCCAGACCAGCAGCCTTGGAAAGGTTGGAGATGATCTCTCTCGCCTCGACACGTGCATAGTAGTTCTGATCGATGAGGTATGGCTCGATCACAGAGAGGATCTTCCTGACAAAGGGTCGCACGAGATCGTCGAGCTTGTAGAGCACACGATCGATGACCTTGACCAACAAATGTCTCTCTTGGTCCTCGAGCGCCTGGCTCGTGAACAGTGGCAGGATCTGATTGAAAAGTGCTGCGGGGCCAAACTCGCGTGCCTTGTCTGTGAGCTGACGCAATGCCTGTTTACGCATTGGGGGTGTGCCATTCTTTATACGAAGCAACAGCTTCATAATCTTGCGCTCCTTGGCCTCCTCGGGGCTGAGCTGGTCCTCCTCTTCCTCGTTGAGTAGTTTCTCAAAGTAGATCTTGTCTTCGGGCTTCATTGGCAGTCCGCCCGCTGTAATCGTCTCCACGCCAAAGTCCATGCCCATTGAGGCGGCTGATCGATGTTGTTCCTCTGGGATGGAGAAACCGCTCCTGCCCGCTACACCAACGGGTGTGGACATGAGCTTGCGCGCTGGTGTCATGATGGGCACGTAGCCAGGTGGTGGTGCCAATATCTCGTAGCCGTCAGAGGGCAGCTGTGAGTTGAGTTCCTCGTCTGTCCATGGTCTGTTTCGCTCGTCGATCTCTCGCTCCAATCGCTGATGCATGGTGAGTGCTGTGTGGTCGGGCGTGACCATGCCTGCGCGCAGCTGTCCGGCCACGGGTGTCTGACCGCCTGCATCGAAACGAGGTGTCACTGCGCCACCAGGCACACTGACCGGAGTCTCATCCCAACGTGATCTACGCTTTGGTGTCTCTGTCACACCTCCCGCAGCCTTCTGTGGTGTCTCATCCCATCTATTACGACGAGGTGTTGGTGCTGCAGCTGATGCTGTCTGTTGTTTCGAAGCGGGTTCATCCCATTCCGACATCTTCTGTTGTGATTCAATATCTTTTGTTTCGACTGCCATTATATTATAGTCGTTCGTTCGTTGTATGTATCAATGTATGTATCAATGTATGTATCAATGTATGAATGTATGTTTGTTTGTTTGTTAGTTCAAGATCAAGTTGACTAAGTCATAAGTCGTATCTCTTTATGTGTATCTCTGTATCTGTCTGTGTTTCAATGTTTGTTATCAAATGAACATACCCATAATATTGATTGATATAAATTCTAATGTAGCATGTATTATTATAAMCTATGTACACACTTATTGATTGATGAAGTTGAATGAATGAATGAATGTATCTCGTGCATCGATTGTCAAATAATCGACAAAACAAAAGTGCGAGGGTATTTCTGTGAGGGTATGTCTGAGAGGATATGTATGCTCGACAAAGTTCTACACTACTCACCAAAAGTATACAACATCAATATGATTAATATCTTCGATAATTATTTATTTAAATTAAATGACTTTCTAGGTTAGTCTAGTCTCCTCTAATACTTCTCAGTTTGAAAATTCCGGACTTGAGTTTGTAGGAATGGCGAATCTGGGTACGGAGTACAATCAATGAGATAACGACAATGGCCACAACGGCGGCGGCAATGACAATTCCAACAATGGCACCAATTGATAGGAATCTCTCGTTCTTGGAGCTGCCACCACAACCAGCCGACACCAGGACAGACAGAGACTTCTGACCATGGCCAACCTGGTAGTTACATGAAGGGTCTGACTCCTTCTTGGTGTTGGGGTCGAATGACTTGACCTTCACATTAGTAAAGTTACCCTGTGTACTTCCAAAGTTTACTATATTGACCGAAGTATTATCACTTGGAGTGAAGTTCTCATTAATCTTAATGATTATTTCACCATCAAATGATGCTATCTCTGTTACATTAACTAGTTATATTTGATTGGTTAGTGTTTGAGTGAGATGAGATGGGATAGTTCCATTAGGAGGGGGGGACTACTTACTCTGGGAGAAGTCATCAAGACTGTTGATGATGATTATGATTGATCCATTGATTTGGGTTAGGTTACCTTGGATGGCAAGTTGGATGGTATTGTAGATTGATGGGTCTAGACCAAGTGTGCCTGAGTTCTCAAGTGATGCATTGATGTTACCATTGCGACCATTGACATATCCTCCTTTAACAACAACCGGTTGATATGATTGAATGACTCCATTGGTGATGTTCAAGTTGCCTCCCAATTGCTTAAACTCAACGACACCAAGTACACTGCTGACACTGACCTGACCAGAGTTGGTCATTGGTATCATGATCTGTTGTAGTTTCGTTGTGATGTTGGAAGTTGTAAAGTTGCCTGTGTTGGAGAATACTACATTGTTGGAGACGTTGGCTGACTTGAGTATGTTGGCATTGAGACTGAACACTCCATTATTACTAATGGCACTTCCTGGATATACCAAGACATCACCATTTGACAACACATTTCCATTAATGTTTGATAATGATGAGTTGGTCAAGATTATAACAGAGTTGGTGTCATAAACAAAGTGTCCCTTCTCTATTGTAATGTTACAGTTGGCACAATTGAATGAGCTACCCTTGAATACCGACAGATTGCCCTCATTCACTGATATGTTGTTTGATGAACCAATGAATGATCCTCCAAACTAAGTTGTCATTGATGTTAGATATTAATGATCAATCAATCATCATCATCATTCCAGATACATACATTGGCATTTCCAGTTACATTGATCTTTGAGTTGGAGTATGTTCCATTACCAAAGGAGTTGAAGGAACCACCCCACAACTCAATGTTGCATCCCTTACAAGTAGTGTTGCCATTCTAGATATGTATGATTGATAAGTTAGTCTAACAGGTCATTCAATCAATCAATCATTATTGTACATACTGAAGTGAAGGTACCCTGGATTGTGATGAGGGTCTTGGTGATGTTGACGGTCGATTGGATTGTGATGTCACCTGGCAACTGGATCTCGGAGTCCAACATAGTGAGAATCGATTGATTGGCAAACAACAATGTTCCATTAACATTCAAATTTGATCCATTGTAGAATGTTGCAGTTGATTGATCTCCAAATGTTACGTTGCCTCTCAACATTGTAAAGTCACCATTGTTCATAACAAGTTGTGATTTACCCTTTTGAATATATGTTCCAACAACATCTATAGCTGCCAAGTCGGTACCACTGACCTTGACAGTATCTTGTACAATATAGATTCCTGTTACCAAGAATGTAGAGTATCCAAAGATGACCAACCTTGAGTTACCCTTTTGGATAAGTGTAGCTGGATCTGAAAGGATACCCAATGTTGAGTTATAAATGAATATAGTAGCATCACCACCAACAACATTGTTTGCAGATGACAACAATATCTGTGATTGATTGACCAACAAGAGTTGTGAATTATCCTAGATGTGATCCCTTGGTTAATGAATGTACATATTAATATGCTCTCTGATGAGGGCTACTTACAATGAGACTAAAGGTCTTTGCCGCCAGGAAAATGAAGCTGTGATTGAGATACATAGTGGCATCCATGGAGATGGATACATCTGAATCAACAATCATGTTATAATTGTCTGGTACATGGGTGATGTTGAATTGGAGTGGTGATTCAAATGTCATCTTGGTAGTGTCCTTCATACTTAGAGCAGATTGATACACAACCAAAGTACTGTTACCAAGTACTTCCATCTCAGCCTTTCCAGACATTGATAGAGTACCACCTTCCTTTGAAACAAACTCAGAGTCCAATATTTGAATTGATGAAGTATCCTGTTGAGTTTACATAATAGTGAGTTAGAAGGTTAGGGATAACTCCAAAGAATGGTATGATTGAGTTCGTCAACTTACATTAATACTCAAAGGATGGAACATTTGCCATGAACTGAATTGATAGATACCAATGATTGAATTCTTGGATATTGATGTTGACTATTAGGTGAGATGATGACTGGAGTTAGTGTCGTACTGGTAGTAACAATGTGATTGATTGATTGAGTGAGTGAGAGAGTGAATACATACAGCCTTGATATCGACTAACTTCATTAGACTACTTATTAGACCAACTTGACCACCAACAACAGTTAGACCCTTCTCCCCCAAATAGAAATCTGACATCCTAAGTAGTATCACTCCAGAGTTGACAATACCTCCATACAATACACTCTGTGTTTGGGTTCCATCGTCCATTGGAACTAAATATTTATAATGTTAATATATCAATCCTATGAAGATCAATCAATCAATCAATAATATACATACCTAGTTGGAATGAACCATCTTTGACAATGTTCATTTGGGTCACCAAGTAAGCAATACCATTGGCAGCTAATATACCTTGAATGTTGGTGACAGGACATTGTAGTAAATTGTTTAAATAAGGTAGTTGTAGTTGAGAGTCTGGTCTGATATTGATAGTGTTGGCAACAGTGAAGTTGGATTGAATAGACATTATACTGATAAAATTGGTCTGGGTGTTTGATCCCAATTCCAATGACTTGATGGACACTGATGGTAATCCATTTGGTAGATCATTGATCACAACTGTTCCATTTACTGATATGGTCACTTCGTCACCTGATCCTGGGATACCATTTGGTGACCATAGACCTGGATTATAATAAGCTTGATTTCCAACTGGTCCTATCCAATTCTTTGGAACTGCCTCAACATTATAATTGAATGAGGTCAAGGACAACAATAAAATTAATATTGATATTTGATACATGTTGTATGAATACAAGGTTTTCTCTCTCTCTCTCTCTCTCTCTCTCTCTCTATCTCTCTTGATTGTAATAATGATTTGGATTATAGTTTGGCCCTGACATTCTATGGTGGGACAACAAGTCTAAGATCACATGATTCCAGGTCTAAAAATGATTTTCAAGATCTTTGCTTTAGGATTTTCGGTGAACAGGTTTCGACTGGTCGAAAATCAGTGTTTTGATCGATTTTCAAAGCACAAAAAAACAAAACTTGATGGAAAACTTGAATTAAGGGAAGAGGTCATATTATCTAAAATAAATAGTTTGAAAAATCTGGGAGAATTTATATAGTTTTTTGTCTCAATATTCATTATTATTGCACTATTTCCCTCCATTTTTAAGCATAAAAAAAAACTAAAAAATGAGTTCCAAAAACATAAAAAGACCTCCCCGTTCGGGAATCGAACCCGAGGTATCAGTGTGAGAGACTGAGGTGTTACCAACTACACCAACGAGGATGTTTTTATAATAATCAATTGTCTTGCTTTTGTGGCGATTTTGCGCCGCGAAATATCAAAAATCACATCTTCTGATGACACAAAGGCCTGTGATATCAACAATATTTTTGAAAATACCTTATACTTCTTTGGCAATTACTTTGGAACCAACCAGGTATAGATAGGCAAATACCTGGATTGTTAATTTGTCAATTTATTAATAATTAGCTAAGGTATACTATCGATGGTGAGTAATATTCCAAAGTAATAGCAAATTAATTGATATACTATACTTTGGTTGGTGGCATACATGGAGTCAGAGCTTAACAACTACATTGTGTTTGTTGCAACAAAGAAAGTGGTTTATTGTAGTGTTTGGAACAAGTTGGTTACATTGTTGTTGATGTTGGGTAAACAGATAGATTACAAAAAGGAGAATGACGATGAGGATAATATTATGGCCAACCGTGTTACTTGTATGTGATATAATGTCCTTGTTGTTGCTTGAAATATGAGGTGTGATTGTTGGTGGAAGATCGAATATTGTTGTTGTTGTTGTGATGTGTTGTGATGTGTTGTGTTGTATTGTTTGATGGTCAACCTGCTGCTGTTGCCTCGGGAAACCCTCAAAGGGTGATGTTTAAAGGAAGTATTCGGGAGCTGGCTTCTTGGCAGGCACTCCCCTGGACTCTTGAGGCGCAGCTTCAAAGATGACAAAGTTCTTCTTTAGCTTCTCATCGAGCTGGAGTATGGCGGCCACATTGCCACACCTGTAACAGTAGTTGGGGGCGGACCACACCGTGACCAACGTCTCGTTGAACATATACTTATAACCCTCCATCACCAGCTGATGTGCCCTGCATATAAACTCCAGGTTGTTGTTATGATTGAACTTTTGCACTATATCCTCTCCAAACAGATAGCCTGCTCCTCTTGGGCTGCTGTTCCATCCTGGTATATCCTCTGGATCCGACCACATCAGATCACACATTGGTCCCTCGTGTGGAACCTCTTGTTTCCTATCGATTGCTCTGATCTGTTATATGTTTGTATTTGTGTTAATCAATCAAGGTCAATGTTAATCAATCAATGTTAATCAATCTTACTTGATCCAATGTATCAATGGATGGTGAGAGACCACCGTGGACACAGAATATCTTTCCATCGACCAAGGCAGATAGTGATAGGTAGTCGAATATCTCTGTGCAGTATCTCCACACGGTGACTGATCCATACTTTCGGACGCACTCCTCATAGAATCCATATACTTGTGTAATCTGTCTGCTCTCATGATTGCCTCTAATCAGTGTGATTCTATCTGGATACCTAACCTATAAATATTCATGATAGAGTCAGTTGATTGATCGACTACATTTGTTTGATTGATTGATTGAATCATACCTTCAAAGCTAGTAGCAATAGGAATGTCTCAACACTATAAAAGCCTCTATCTACAAAGTCGCCCATGAAGAGATAGTTGGTTTGTGGACAATCTCCACCAACCTTAAACAGTTCCTTCAAGTCATAGAACTGTCCATGTATATCACCACATATCTGTTCGCATCATCGTATGTTTGAATGAATGAACGAGTGTAAGTACTTGTACAATCACATGACATGAACACTTGGTGTCATTCAATAAGGTTATGTGATATATCGATTGATTCATACAGTGACGGGTGAGTCTACTCTCTGTACATTTCCCTCCTCCAAGAGGATCTCTCTAGCCTTTGCACATAGTGCTCTGACCTCTGATTCTTTGATGATCTCACATCTCTTCAACTGTTCAATCTGTCTATCCAAGTCTGAAGATGATGTCATTGTTTAATGTTTTGTTTGTATATATATATTTATTTATATGTTTATGTGTACAAGTAATAATAATAATAGATTTATAAAAATAAGAGACAAATCGAAGATAGAGTGTCAAACAATGAGAGTGAGTTGGTGGTGAAGAGGACTGAGTGAGAGTGTTTTTTTGGGTCGATCTCTCATTCTCCCAAACACTTTGCTAAAGACTTGGTTGTTTTTTTTTTAATTTAGTTTGTATTTTGGATCTCAATCAACCAATCAATCAATCAATCAATCAATCATTCAAACAATGTAATACAATATAAATATATAACATGATATTGTCTTTTACTCAATTTGGTCAAAGAGATCATCGACAGAGTCTGACTTGGGTGTGGAGAGTACGGGTGCAGCGGCAGTGGGCTTGGAACCAAGGAATGCAAGTGCATCTGATTCGCTGATTCCACTGTCATCACTCTCTGCCGTGCTGATCAATGTGATTGATTGTACACGAAGTAGTTGCCAAAAGTCATCACGTCGTTTGCCTTCATAATAGTCGCGCAGTTCGCCCAGGAATGTGTTGAACTCCTCAGACTCGGACTCTTTGATGCAGCCCTTCCTCAGCTCCACGACACAGTCCAATGCCTTTTGATAGAATTGGTCCTTGAGCGAGTCGTTCACCAGCTGAACGATGCGCTGCTTCATCAGCGCGACGGCCTTGTCCACCAGGTCGACATCGCGACGTGCCAGCATGTCCTTGAAGTTCTGCACCGGGTTGACCGAGCCGACCTCGTTGACAAAGCCCGACACCAGCTTGTCGAGCGACAGGCCAGCCATGTCGTCGGCCTTTCTCTTCTTGGAGCCGTCGTCGGCGCCCACATACGAGTCGAGTCTGATCTCCTCGGCCACCAGCACTCCATCCTTCCAGCGATACTTTGTCGTCGACGTGTCCTTGAAGGCCGGCGTGGGCTTGAGTGGGAACAGACGCTGGAATTCCTCGATGGCCGGCGCCGCCTGCTCCAGCACGGTGGCGTCCGGGTTGATGTACTTTGATATGACTGGGTCCAGTTTTGGCAGTTGTGCACTCGGGTGCAGAGCGCGATAATGTAGACATTGATAAAAGTGTTGCAATGATGGGTTGTACGTGTAGCGTGGTCGCAGTGCTGGCACCTGTTGACGTTCCTCATTTTCCTCGGCTGTCATCAAGTCCATTGAATCGATCAGAGTGCCTGCTGCGGCCAACTGTTCAGCCGATGGTATATACTGCTTCTTACAATTGGCATTGGTTGGTGATATGTTTGGGAATTGATATGGTCTAATGTCATCAGCGAATGGCATTGTACACAAGTACAGGCATTCATAGTTTGGTTTGATGTCTGATTGATTGAGTGAGGGAAGGTCAGTGGACGGGCCAGGACCATACGCGTTGCCATGACCTTGTTAACTTACGTGGAAATATATAGGCAAGATATGGATTGCTACCATTCTTCTTTACATAGCGCACGAGTCCAACTTGGTTGGTCTCTGCAAGTGCGTGGATGAGTGAGGATAGTGCCTGCTCGGCTGGCTTGTCATTGGGTGGTGGCAGTAACATCTCGGACGAGCCCATGCTGTAGTAGAATGGGATGGACTCGAGGTCTGTGAAGCCAATCACTTTGAGACACTTGTCTGCAGTGTACTTCATGGCACTCTCATCAATCTTTGAGAATGGTATCAGGGACTTGCCATACTTGTATCCCTTGAGCAGGTCCTTGTGATCGATCTCATTGTCTGGATCAGAGATACTGTAGAACATCTTCTCCTGCTTGACCTGCATCGATCGTCTGACCTCGTCGTCGTCGTCATTGCCATTGCCATTGGATGCTGCTGCCGCTGCGACGGCCGCGGCGTCCTTGGACACGTTGGATATCTTCCCCAGCGTTGGAAGGCTCTGTATCTTGGTCTTCATGTAGCCCCAGACCGAGATGTTCTTGGAACCAATCTCCAGACTGCCTCTGAACGTCGTGCGCTGCAGCACCGACTGTGAACGAAAGAAGCTCATCATCTCCAACGCCTGCTTGACTGGCACCAACACTCCATTCACCGATTCAGCAAACTCTCTCAAGAACTTCTCATTCTTCTCCTTGTTTGTCAACTTGATCTTATTCTCCAATTCCTCTTCATCTGTAAAGTCCACTCCACTAAGATTGATCGATTGAAGTGAGTGATTGATTGAGTGAGTGAGCGAGAGTGTCATGATGGCATCGATCAATCAATCATACATTATGTTAAGCTTGACATCTATCTTCTTGAACTGCTCTTGTAGTGTGGAGAGGTCTTCCTTGTTGATTGGATCATTGGCATTGGTGACCAAGAAGATTCTCTTTTGATACTTCTTCTTCTCAGTCTTGTTGATGAGCATATCCATAGCAACAATCAATGCATCGATCACTATAGTATGATTGAATGAGTGAGTCGAATTGAATGAATGAGTTGATGAATATGAAGTTTAACATACGATCTCCACGTGATTCACCTGGTGATAGATTCTCAAGATACTTGAGTGTCTCTATCTTTGGTTCCTCAATCTCTGACTGCATTGTAATATGTTGATATCCATCCTTTTGCAAGTTATTCTTTGTACCCTTTGTACCAACCAATACAACTCCCAGCTCATCCTTCTTTCCATATATCAACTAGTTGGTGATCAAGTCAGTCAATCAGTATGATCATTCACATATAGATATCTATCTATCTTATACCTTTTGTTGAAACAATAGAGTGACAGACTTTAATGCCTCTTCGATTGGTGTTGTTGTGGATGCATGCTTGGCTTCATTGGTGTGATGATGCATGCCCAGACCAATATCCAAGATGATCACCAGTGCCTCCTTGGATGGTACTGATGTAGCTGCCATTATCTATTTATCTATCTTAATATTTTATATTAATACAATGAATGTGGAGATTACTCTGAAGATGATGATCATCAAGTTCACGCTTTTGCACAAAAACAGCAATATCTTGGAAGTGGAAAGGCGCCTTTTAATGTAGGGGTTGAATGAAGTTCCAAACTGGAACTTTGGGTAAAAGGTTTACAAAGTCAAAGAGATAATATTGAATAATTCTAAATATGCTACAGATAGAATATTGACATTTAGGTATCTCCGGATAGCCAATGATCATACCTACCAAGGAATGTTTGTGTGTGACGATTATTTGTTAATGACTTGTGATGGAAGGTATTTGAAGTGTTGGTATGCCATTGCCACAGCCACAGCCACAGCCACAGCCACATGGTCAACACCAAGTTCCAAGGCATCTAGAATTAGAATTATTATTATTTGTTGATGTTACAGATAGAAAATTCTAAAGCAAATGAATTGTCAATTTTTGGATTCGGGAGTTTCGTTCAGGGACTGGAATTGACCGGACTGGCGCGGAATGATCGGTAGGTCATATTGACAACTCCATCTCCATTTCCATTTTCCATTCATTCCTGGATTAGATTGGATTGGATTGTTTGGCGGGCGAGAGTGAGTGGGTTGTTTAAATTAGGTGGATCGCATGGTCGTAGCTCTTGATTTCCACCGCCTACCTCCATATTGTGCCACCATTATTTTCATTCGAAAGCTGGTCTGGACTGACTTGGCACAGCACGGCACTACCAGTTGGCAATCTCTCGCGCGACATAGTCTACATTGTATGGCGACTGTGTAAACTTTTGGGAAATCAATGGATACCGTCATTACTTGAATAATCCATATTACTTCTCATCATACATATGTTTGGTTTGATTGGAAACGTATAAATAGGAGTCTATTTCCAGTTGTCAATTAGTATTATTATTATTACTTCCAACAAAGTATACATACACATAATCCTTAAATACTTACCTTTTTTAACTTTATAACTTTAACTAATTTGAACAATGGTACGCACCAAGCATACGGCCCGTAAGAGTACTGGACTCAAACAACCAAGAAAGAGCATCTCTCTCAAGGGTCCAATTGAGTCGGCAACTGTTGGTGGTATGTTGAACTTCCAAAATGTTTGATTGATTGATAGTGACCATATGTGTGTGTGAGGTTGGATTGACTTGTGATGACCAAGTCCACTAACTAATGATTTATCTCCATTCTCCATTATCCAATCATAGGTGGTGGCATCAAGAAGACACATCGTTACAGGCCTGGTACTGTTGCGTTGCGTGAGATACGAAAGTACCAACGGAGCTCGGACCTGTTGATCAAGAAGTTGCCATTCCAACGTCTAGTGCGTGAGATTGCCCAAGAGTTCAAGACTGACCTTAGATTCCAATCATCCGTATGTATATCTACCATCATCTGCCACGTGTCATGTTGACCAAACCTTTGGTCGTACCATATACTAACTGTATCACTCCATCACACACTCGAATAGGCTATCGCAGCACTTCAAGAGGCATCAGAGTCGTACCTTGTGGGTCTGTTTGAAGGTATGTTCATGTGTTATCTGTTGTTGTCTAACATGTTAGCAAACATGAACTAACTAACTAACCTACTAACGTGTACTCTTACATGCTCCAACAGATACCAACCTGTGTGCCATTCACGCTAAACGTGTCACGATCATGCCCAAGGACATGCAGTTGGCTCGTCGTATAAGGTGAGTAATACCTCTAGTTTTGGATTGATTGAATGAGTGGAAAAAGAGATATTAACATCTTATATGTATACAGGGGTGAGAGAACTTGAAAGAATGAATCAATCTGCATGGAACATCCAACTTAAGATCAAAGGATGATTGATCTTTTTTTTTTTTTCCCAACATTATTAATAAATTAAAACAATGATCATTATTAAATATAACATCGTATTGATTGTTGGAATGTTGTGATTGGTTGGTTATATTTATTTATACAAGTAGCAGTTGTAGTTGTTGTTGGTATATATGTTGTTATATTTGTTGTTGTTGTTATATTTATAAAGGAGTAAGTGAGTGAATGATCGATCGGAAGGAAGTGAATGAAGTTACTTGGTTGACTTGTTGAACTTGTCCAACATGAATGATACAGTTCTTCGGGCATGACTCCTGAGTGTAGAGTTGCCGGGTGGTGAGGTGGATAGGTTGGATGACGATGGCATGCCAGTGAGCAAAGAGGATGCAGGCAATGACTGTGAGATCGAATCGGTCGATGTGTTGTGATCCGTGCCGCCATTGGAGCTGACCATTATCGGTGAGACGTTCTGGCTGGAAGAGAAGGGCGATGGCGAGCCACCGACCGATGGCGACTCGGACGACGACGATGACGTCTGCGGGATGCCGTACATCTCGAGACTGGCGTTGAACGATGAGTTGAGCTGGCCGGGCTGGCCGACCGTCCACACGGCCACCGATGAGTCCCAGCTGCCACTCCACACCTGTCGCTGACGGCTGGCCGTCGTAGTGCTGACAAAACAACTGATGGCATCCTTCTGCTTGCTGGGGTTCTCACCCACCAGCGTGTAGTCCTTAGTGTTCCAGATCTTGATCGATGTGTCCCATGAGCCAGACCACACGTAGTCTCCTACAAGTGCCAGACAGAAGATACGACTGGTGTGCGCCTGGATAGTGGCCATGTGCTGGCCCGACTGCGCACCCCATACTCTGATGGTGCCGTCGCTGGAGCACGTCCAGATCGTGCTGTCGACCTCGATGATGGCGTGGATAGCCTTCTCGTGGCCCTTGATCTTCTGTGTGATTCGATGTGAGTTGATGTCGATCCTGACCAGGTTGTTGTTGAGTGCCACCCACACCTCCTGCTCGCGCTTCAAGATGGCCTCGACGGGACCCGATTCGAGTGCGATCTTGCCCTTGAACTTGACCTTCTTCTTGATGTCAAAGATGTGGATCACATTGATGATGGAACCTGCCCACATTGTGTGGCCGACGCTTGTGAAGCATGTTGGAGAGTGGCCGCTGAATGTCTTGACCAGGGAGAAGTTGTCAATGTTCCAGATCGAGACGTTGTTGTCGGCAGAGCCACTCCACACGTTGTTCATGTACGTGTAGAGACAGTGGATGCGTCGGGTGTGTGCCTTGAACATCGCCACTTTCTCGCCGCTGTCCTTGTTCCATACGATGATCGCGCCGCTGCCTGTTCCTGCCCAGACATTGTTGTTGGCCACCACCATGCATTGGATGGAGCCTTCGCCACATGTCATCTCCTGCTTCAAATGATGCTGGAATGGCTGCACTGTCATTGAGCTTCGCTTGGCATTGTGATAGAAGTTCTTTGTCTGTTGCTGCTGCTGGTTGGTGGTGGGGGGCTTGATCGTTGATGATGATCCCATCATGGGTGAGCTGCCATTGGCCAGCGACTTGAAGAAGCCTTCCTCCTGGCTCTCGGTGAGCACGCTCAGACCATCCTGACTCTTCTTCATATTGGCCAGCTGGCTGGAGCTCAGTGTCATCACACTGCTGTTGCTCAGGTTGAAGTTGGACGTGGTGGTGGTGGTGGTAGTGGTGGTCGTGGATGTAGAGGACATCGATGCCATGGAGTAGTCTAGCAGGTTGCCCTTGCTCGTGCTGGCCACGCTGCTGTTGATACCTGTCGTGTCGTTCGGGTTCTTCATTGAGTTGGTAGACATAGTGATGTCGGAGGCTTCACTGCTGCCGCTTGGCGCTCTTCGATGTTGCGATGAGCGCAATGTCTTTCTGCGCTGTGTGTTGTTGGTCGGCTCGGTCAGCTGAAGATTGGGGAACATATCAGTGACGATCGCCATGATCCTGTCCTCAATCTCTGAGAAAGGTGGACGCTGCGCGGTCTCATTCTGCCAGCAGTCGTTTATAAGACGTGCGTATGCCGGTGGACATGACTCGGGGATTGGAGGTCGCTCGCCACTCACCACTTTGTCTTCTATCAGACTCATGAAGCCCAGCTCACCAAAGAAGTCCTTGAACGTGAGCAGCTCCCATAGGATGACTCCAAATGCGTAGACATCGCTCTGGGTGGAGGCCTCGTGCTTCTGGATGATCTCGGGCGCCAGCCAGACGGGGTTCTCCACGCCCTTGTTTGTGATGGTGTGTTGCAGGCCGGATAGACCAAAGTCGACCACCTTGGCAATGGTGGGCGCCTGCTCATCGGTCGACACGAGCAAGATGTTTGGTGACTTGAGGTCGCGATGGATGATGGGCGGCGTCGAACTGTGCAGGAAGGCCATTCCACTGCTAATGTCCAGCGCGATCTTGAGTCGAAGCACCCAGCTGATGCTCTGGCTGGGCTGGTGTAGGAACTGGTAGAGGTTGCCATTGGGCAGGTACTCGGTGACGATGCACAGTGGGTCCAGACAAAGGCCCTTCAGCTGAACGATGTTTGGATGCTCTAGACTGCTCATGATCCAACACTCGCGTCTAAACTCGTTGAACGCACGTGATAGAGAGATGTCGTTGATCTCGATGCTTCCGCCTGGTCCAGGCTGTGCGTTGCCCACGGTCTTGAGCTTCTTGATGGCGACAGTCTGGCCCTTCCAGCGGCCACGGTACACGAGCGCAGCACCACCCTCGCCGATCAGGTCCTCAACGCGCAGGTCGGCGTAGGCGATCTTGGAGCCGGTGAAGTTGGACATGGCCAGGTCGGGCACGAGTAGCTCGGTGCGCACGGCGAACTGGTTCTGGCACTTAAGGAACGTGATGCCCTTGACGGCGGCGTTCTCGCACACCTCCAGAGGGAACTTGAATGGGTTGGTGTTGTTGTTGAGAATGCAATGGATGCACGGGATGAAGATCTGCGTGGTCAGCTGGAACGAGTCGTCCAGCAGCGACTGGATCGTTTCGATGACGTCACGTGACAGTGACGCTGACTGCTTGCCGCGCACCTGGAAGTTGAGCTGCTTCTTGGCATTGTCCATCTCAATGAAGATCTGTTCGCTGTCGTGCTGCAGAAGCATGCCATTGCGCCAATAGCACTTGGCCTCGGCCTTGGCAAAGTTGAGGATGCGCACCATCAATCGTGAGAAGAAGCCGTTGGGCACGAACTCAAACTTGTAGATGCGGCCATACTGCACGTCGTGTGCTTTGTCATTGTACGCGGGCCACTGTGAGGCGAATGTGGCCGGCCGTTCGTTGGGCAGCAGCGACGGGATCAGCGACTGCGCATTCTCGTCGATAGTCTCCAGGCTCGCCTGGCCAACCTTGTGGCGCGCGCCAACATTGTAAGAGATCTCAAACTTCTCGAGCAGTGCGATGAGGTGCGGATGCAAGTGCTCTGGATAGTGTGGAGGACGCCAGATCTGCTTGAGTGACTTGTGGTGCAGGATGCCGTCCTTTGAGTAGCTGTGCTTGGTGGTGATGATGGACGACAGCATCACGGTGATCCACTGTGGATCCAGGATCACAAACTGTTTGAGTCCGGCCTCCCTGGGGAAGTAGACGAGCGAGCCCAGCTGGTGCAGGAACATGGTGGCACGCAGCAGCTCGGCCTCGTCGCGGATCGTGCATATCGTGCCGAGCTGCATGAACTCGGGCCAGGGAATCGTGGGGATGACGCGCTTCTTGGTCTCCTCCTTGACAAGGTTCTCCAGAAGCATGTAGCTGCAGGGCAGCGACTCGCCCATCGTGGGTTGGCTGGCGATGATCTCCTCGATACGCTCGCGTAGCGTGTTGATGCCCTTGCCCGATGTGCAGCTCACCAGCTTCACGTCGACGATCGAAGGGAAGCGAGCACAGTACTTCTCGCGAATGCGCTTCTTGATCGACTTTGTCGAGCCCTTGTTGGACTCGTCCAGATGTGTGCCCACGATGATGATGGGCGCATCCTTGGTGCGCGTTGTGATCGACTGTAGCCAGAACTCAACGCGCGAGTCCTCCTCCTGCAAGATGACATTCCAAGCCACGAGATAGACGGACCTCTCCGAGAGGAAGAACTGATGTGTGGTGTAGTAGATCTCCTGTCCAGCAAAGTCCCAGACACTGAGGTTGATGTCCTGCTTCTTCTTGACCAGTCGGTTGTTCTCGTCCAACTCCTCAAACATGCCGGGGAACACCCAGTTGTCAATGACGATGCCGTCGGTCGAGATGTTTGGGCCGGGCGGCAGCTTGCGCTTCTTGTCGCGCAGCGCCTTGAGCAGACTGGTCTTGCCGACGTTCTCCTGGCCGACGATCATCAGCTTCATGCGATAGCACTGCTCCTGGCCCTTGATGAGATCGACCAGATAGTTGAGTATGGCTTGGATGCCCTGCGACCGGATCTCGGGCGGAGGCGTCTTGAGTGGGTTGTTGTTAAGGTTGAGCGTGGTCAGCTGTGTGAGCAGTCCCATGGTGGGCCGCAGCGATGTGAGATTGTTGTCCATCAGGTTGAGAACACGCAGGTTGAACAGCTGGCCGATCGAGGCCGGCAGTATGTCCAGCGAGTTCTTTCGCAGATTGAGTTCGATCAGATGTGTCAAGTTGGATATGTCGCTGGGCAGCTGTTTGATGTTGTTCTCCTCCAAGCTCAGAATGTGAAGCTGTGTCAGCTGGCATATCTCTGAGGGCAGCTGAGTGATCTTGTTGCAGTCGAGGTAGAGCTCCTCGAGTTGTGTGAGTTTGGCGATGGACGCGGGGAGCGAATCCAGTCGGTTGTTGCGCGCGCGAAGTATACGCAGCGATGTGAGGTTGCCAATCTCGTCGGGCATCGTCGTCATGCCTGTCTCGGAGAGGTTGAGTGAGGTGAGTGACGGGCGATGCATGTTAGGGATGGTAATGGGCACCACCTGGCAAGACAGATCCAGCGTCGTCAGGCTGTCCATCTCGTCAATGACGTCAGGTATGCGGGTGAACTTGTTGTTGCGAATGATCAGCGACTTGAGCTGCGCGCCAAACAGAATGAACGTATGCGGCAGATACTCAAAGAGGTTGGAGCTGAAGTTGACCTCGCGCAGGCACTTCAGATTCTTGGCAAAGATAGCGATCGTCTCCTCGGACAGGTTGACCAGCTGGTTGTCCTCGAGATTGAGCGATTCGAGCTGCGTCAGCTTGGCCAGCCCGATGGGCAGCGTGTTGAGCAGGTTGTGCGAGAGGTTCAGCTTGCGCAGGTGCGTCAGGCTGGACAGCGCGGCATCGGGCAGTATGTACAACTTTTGATTGACGCACTCCAGGGCGTCTTCGCTGAGCGACCATCGCACGCGCTCCTCAAGACGCTCAAGCGCAAACTGTGACTTGAAGCAATGTCGATAAAAGAACTCGCTCCACATCGCGTCCTGATAGACCCTGTTGCAGCTGAGGAATGATTTCTTGGGTGGGTCGTACGCGTCGTTCGTGAACTGATGCTGGTTGACCGTGACGTACGACCAGAATGAGCGCGTCTTGCCAAAGACGATATCCTCGCGATCCTTTACATTGTTGCCCATGAACGTGCCGAAGCGACACGAGTACACATTGTCGAGTAGCGATAGCAGGTATTGCTCGTTGAACTGGAAGGCCGATGGGAACTCCTTCCACAGCTGCCACACGAGGAATATGAACTGCATGAATGTGGGCGAGAACTGCTCAAACTGGCTTCCCTCGGATGGGGAAGTGGATGCGCCCGCCGCGGACTTTGTTGGTCGCACAATGTCATGTCCACATCGCAGGCCAAATGGATAGCCGTAGACCAACCATTCCTTCTCAATGAGCATGCGGAAGCCCTCCAATGTCCTGTAGTGACCGTCGAGGATCAGCTGACTCAGACTTGCCAGCTGTGCCTCAGTGTCAATCTCCTTGCTGTTGCCCTGGATAAGCACGGACGACAGGCCCTGCTCGATTGTCGTGGCAATGTTGATGGCTGCCGTCAGTATCTCCTTCATGGGGTTGAGCCAGTGGAACTTGGTCGTCTCGGTCCACTTCTTGTCGGTGGGATGCGCGTTGTGCAAGTGTAACAGCGTCTGGAAGGCGTCGCGCACCGTCAGTATCGGCTGGAGGTTGAGGAATTGGAACTTGCAGCCAATCATCGCTGATGCCTGGTTGTTGGGTGCTCCCGAGTCATACACAGTGAGCAGACCCGTATTGGTGATAGCCGATATCTCGCGCAAAAACTCAATGTCCTCGTTGCACGGCAGAGGCGACTGTGAGTGGCGGGCGTTTGGGCTAGAGGGTGGCGTGCGAGGTGTGATCACTGGCGACTGTGGAGGTGCACCTCCCATCGATGAGATGGTGGGCGTCGTGTTGTTCAGGTCGGGTCGCGACGCCCTGGTGATGCTGACGCGATGCACCGGGTGCTGCCACGACAGTGCGGGGAATCTGTACGCACGGAACAGCGCCGAATGTATAACAATGTTGTCGCTTATAGTCTTGGGTACGACGGACCACAGAGGGTATGCGTCGGAGATCTTGAGCGTCGAAATAGTGTTGTTGACGCGCCACTCATCCCACGAGATGCCCTGGCGCTTGTAATCCTCCATCAGCTGATCGGTGTAGTTCTCGGCCATTCCAAGTCCGGCCTCATGCGAGGTGAACGCAAACATTGAGTCGACGGTGGGCGCGCGGATCGACTCGAGCACGCCACGGAACAACGCCAGTTGCGGCGAGTTTGTCATGAAGCCAATGACCTTGCACCTAAAGTCCTTGCAGTAGATCTTGAACGATTCGATGTTGGGGCTGGACTTGAGTGGCTTCCAACGATAGATGAGACTGAGCGGGATCTCGGTGTTCTCCAACGTGGTCAGGCGCTCGTTGAGCACCGACACCGAGCTGAAGCTGGTCGAGGAGGTGAAGCCGATCGGCGTGGTGGTTGAGGCGCCCTGATCGGAGTGGTGGGGCGGCTGATTCGCCGAGCCCGTCGAGCTGGTCGACGTGACCGACATGGAGGTGGGCTGGCGATGCAGCTGCGGGTGTGGCTCGCGCAAGTTGCTCGAGGAGATCGACGGTTGCAGCACCGGCACGGCGCCGCTGCTGCTGTTGGGATGAATCGCTGATGAGTAGTTTGAATGGATCGAGTTGGAAGATGATGACGACGAGGGATTGCCAGTGTGATGAGGCGCGTTGATAAAGATGATCCTATAGTTCGTGACCCACAACTCGCCCAACGTTGCCACGCTCGGTGGATAGTTGCACTTGTCAATGCATATGATATTCTCTGCTGAGAACAATGTCTTCTCGCCTTCCATCAGTGGCAAGCTTATAGGTGAGTACTGTTAAGAGTGGGATGATGTAAGTGAATGATTGATTGATTGATCGATCAAGGGACTGATGGGACGACGGGATAGCTTACCAACAAGTACTGACTGATGTTCTGGATTAGGTCTGTCGCCACCTTCTTGCAGAGGGTGAGCTCCTCGGGACTGAGGTCTTTGTTGACGACAAAGAAGTGTTCTGGATTGACGGTGGGCGAGGAGAGTGACGACGACCGATGTGAATTGGGCGATTCGATGCGCCCGAGAATGAAGGGCGCGATGTTTGTCGAGAGCGTGTCGAGCAGTGACGCGTCCTTGGCAATCATGCGTGAGAGGAACAGCATGATCTGCTTGAGGACGATGCGGTTCTTTGGTGGCGTCTCGTAGAGCAGGTTGGACTTGGACTCGAGTGTCGTCGACTTTAGAAACGTTGTGTATAGAGTGTATGTGAGAGAGGTCTCTGTGAACGTGTTCTGCAGCAGATACAGTATAAAGTTGCACAGCGTCCTTATGTTCACCTTGCCCTGCTGTGTAAAGTCGTAATTGTCACCTGTATCGCTGGCAACATTATTATAGCACCGCAGCAAGTCGATGCATTCCTGTGTTCCCTCCACTCCATAATGTTGGAATGAGCTTGATATTTCGAATGCTCCATTTGTCTCTGTTTGATAGGTCGTTTGTTAGATTGATCACCTTGATTGATTGATCGATTTGATCATGTGGATGGATAAGTACTCTTTGATATTTGATTGTTAAAGTAGTTCTCGAGATAGTTGAGTACGTTGAAGAATAGTAAGGGCACTTCGGAGCGTCCCTCTACGTCTGTGATGTTGGCAAAGGTCTTCTCGTCACCAAACTTGAACTCCAACGTCGACACTGAGAACAATGTCTTAAATATACCATCTGGCTTCTTCTTTGCAAGTTTAGCTGTGGCTGGATTCTTCTTTTGTCGTCTTCTCAATGTCAACTCATCCTACATTCATTATGTTCGTTCGTTCGTTCGTTAGATGATCATTCATTCAATCATTCAATCATTCAATCATTCAATCATTCAATCATTCAATCATTGACATTCATACATTATTCTTTATACCATATGAATGTAGTGACTTGTGGACATCTGCCAAGACTTGTTGAGGCGTGGAGGATGACCTGGGAGTGATTGATAGTTGATAGAGCGATGATGTGCCCTCGCTACTTGACTTTCCAAACTTGTCCAGTAACAATCGAATGGCCTCGCCCACCTTTGTGTTCAAGTCGACCTTGACCACACGCTTCTGAACGTGTCCATCATTCTGATGGAACTCGATCGATAGGTTGACTCGTTCGCTTGACATCTCGTCCTCCTATATCTGTATATGTCTGTGTGTTTGTGTGTTTGTATGATGTATGTATGTAACTCTTCGACCGACACAAGTCGAATGATTGATTGATTGATTGATCCTCTGTCTGTCTTCTGTCTGTCGTGTGTCTCTCTACTTTGTATGTTCAATTGAATCAGTCGTCTATTTCGTCAAAACACATATAAATATTTATAGATATAAGTAACTAAGTAAGTAAGTAAGTAAGGTAATGTACCTGATATTAATGTAAATGTAAATGTATGATTGGTGTTGTTGTTGCCGTGTGTGTTGATGATGATGATGTTGTGTTTGATTCTCTTTGTTCACACACACACACAACACTCTTTAGAGAGAGATACTCTACCCCCACAACATTTTTATTTTGTTAATGTGTCAAAGAACGTCACAACTTCTTCGCGCCAATCCTCAAACCCATTCATTCATTCATTCAATCATTCAATCATTGATTCATTCCATTAATTAATGAACATTGTCCGACAAGTCTTGACCAGCCAATGAAAGGAGGAATACCAAGTCCTAAGTATTATGAATACGTATTATACTTGAGTAACTCAAGAACATTGTGTTATTATATATATTGTGTAGTTGTCATCCATCAAGCTGGGATCTAATTTCTATTGATTGATTGAATGATAGACTAACTAATCTATGATGTGATTATATTTGTTCCTGTTCAAAACCCATTCATAACAAACTAATCTCCAATCAACCAATCAACAGGTACTATTCTTTGATCTGATTTGTGATAAAGAGATAATAAATAGATCATGAGATTGTTTAGATAGATAGAGAGACAGATAGATCAATACAATATCGACATCGAGACAGATAATGTCAATTAAACAAAAACCCACAGTTGTTATTGATTGGATGGGTCTAGATGGGTTGATGCAAATTAGATAGTTAGACAGGTCTCGGAGTGTCTCAAACAACTTACACACACACACACACATTCCATCATCAAGCCTTACACGAATCGTACTTTGCAAAGTATGCAATAACGAATGACAACATTGTCAAAAATAAAAATGGTGTGGACCACCCTTGATAGTATCAATGATCATCGTTGACATTCACGGTCATACTCCACCTGTGCAGCCACCCAACACGGGCGGTTCATTGGTGAGAGCCAAGGCTGCCCCGAATTGGGGTGAAGTCTTGCATATCCCCAACTTATATCTCCTATCACCACCGCCATCCATCTATCTATCCATCCATCAAACAAAAAGGCGAACATTCTAATTCCATTTCAGTACATTTAATTAAATCCCAAACCCTAGGTAAGTACTGGTACTGTCTGTGAGTGTGTGTCCTCGTCCCTGGACATCGGTCTTACCATCTCTCTCATTCTAATCATCGATCACACTATCCACTCATTCAATCAATCATTCATTCAAACATCCAAACAATCATTCAATTCTATTTCTATCTCTATTTATAAAGTCGCGAACACTACAGGATTATTATTATTATTATTATTGATCACATATTCATTCATTCGATCATTCATTCAATTCATTGTAATAGGTATGTGTCATTCAGCATTAATTGTGACATGTAGGTTGGACGGGCGATCGATAGGAAACTCACCCCACACGCGGGTTAAGGCCTTTGATGGATGACCCCTCACCATCATGATCCCCGACAACCCCCACCAAAGAAAGAAGAGGAACATTGTTTACTAATTCGTACGACCTCAACTTCGCCACTTAACGATCGGACTCGCCTTAGATACATCCAATCATTAACCAATCATTCAATAATAGTGTACATGCGATCAATCAATCAGATAAGTTAATTAATTAATTTTATTTATAACTTTATATATTATATAATATAATAATAATAATAATGTCGACCAACGCAAAGAAGAGGAATTCACAGTCGACCAAGGGCAAGTCGAGGTCTTCAACGTCATCCAACAAATTACAAAAGTTGTCCAGTAGCAATAGCGCCAACAATACACCGGTGGCTTCGACTTCATCATTGTCAATGGCCATGTCCCCGATAAAGATAGACGAGACAGTGACACCAAACACACTCAGCAACCTGTTGTCAGTGCTGTCGAATGAGTGCACCAAGAAGATATTCTATGAGTTCACAGAGCGCGAGCATTCGTCAAATCACGTGATGTTCTGGTTCGCCGCACGCAGTTTCCGTGAGGAGTACATCCATGTGGCGCCAACTTCCAAGTCGACTGGCGACGTGGTTATGAGCACAGAGACGCGCCATCCACGCTCCGAGTCTGTGGATGCCGCCACACCCCGCTCAAACAGCATCGTGGACGACGATGTCGGATGCAGCAGCAGTGGCGGAAACAACAACAACAGCAACAACAGCAACCCCGCAGCCACCACCAACACACTCACGATCGAAGTATCCGTCGCCAACTCGGTCATGTCCAGCTCGCCAGACTCACGTCGCAGCAACAGCACCGCCGAGACGTCCAAGGACCTCGTGCCAATGATGGACGGCGCATCGTCCTCTTCATCGCCAGCATCGCCCATTCACAAGGTGTCGCGCGAATCCAGCGCGATGGACATTGAGATGACCGAGTCGATGGCGGACGGCATCAACTTTGAGAAGGCCAACATTCTGTTTGAGAAGTACCTGTCGTCGACGTCGCCCAGCGAGGTCAATCTGGACTACCGCACACTGAACGACATCACCAAGCGCATCCAGGCGCATCAGATCACCGACAAGATCTTTGACAATGCCATCAAAGAGATATTCGAGGCCATCAACAATGACAGCTTCCACAGATTCAAGAACTCGCCGATCTACACTGATCTGCTCCAACAATGTACAGATATCCAGTCCTCTTCCTCTTCTCCATCCTCATCATCACCACCATCATCACCATCATCGCCATCATCATCAGCAACACACCGAACGAGCGTCACCATTCCATCGTCATCATCATTGAGTGACTCTGGCAAATCCAAAAAGGCCAAGTCTTCATCATCATTCTCCTGCTTTAAATAAATAAATATGTCGTTATATTGTCATATGTTGATATTGATTGATTGATTGACCAGTGGGGTGGAATCATTCCACCCATACACAACCACCTTGAATTGAAGGTTGTCCCATAAATTAAGTGTTTGAGCTTGCAATTTTCTCAATCTAAATGAGATATTTGAGAAGAGATAAATGTACATTACATTTAAACGCACAAATATATAGATATTATATAATCGAACACATATGTTGATACTTCATCATCTTGTTTATCGATAAATGCAATATACAATAGACTCTGTACAGAATGTATGATTACAACTCAACTCAAGAATGATTGAATGAACGAATGAATGAATGATTGACCGAACGAATGAATGAATGACTTACGACTCTCAACAAACATACAAACAAACAAACAAAAGGTATTACATTCATTCTATTCATCAAGTATCGATCAATCAAACATGGCATTGGCACAGGATTGGTTGATAAACTTTCAAAAGTCAGACAATGCATGGCAGATAGCGCCTCAACTGTTACAGTCACCAACGGTTGAGATACAATACTTTGGCGCATCGACGATAGAGGCAAAGATAAAGAGCGATTGGTCTAATATGTCACAGGAGATGCGATTGCATCTGCTCGAGCAGCTGCTGGCCATCCTTCGGAACGACTTTGAGAAGCTGCCCAAGATGGTGGTGACACGTCTGTGTCTGGCCGTCTGCGCCATCTCGTGTCTGTCGACGCCGGAGCTGTGGCAGTCGCCCATCCCCGATATCATGTCGCTGTCGTTCCCCGACGTCAATGACACGAGTCGCTTCGACCCCAGTCGAGCCAACCTGCTGCTCGAGCTGCTCACCCTATTCCCTCACGAGCTACTCTTTTGCGACTTTATCACGAATGAGAAGCGCAACATGGTCGGCTACGAGTTCAGCAAGTACATCGAGAATGTCATTCAAATCCTCTCCTACATCATGTCTCTTCCCACCTCTCCCGCGACCTCACAGCTCATGAAGAACGCGCTCAAATGTCTCAGAAGTTGGGTACTCTTTGATACACCTGCAAAGTATGTTGTGCCTCACCAGGTGACCAACGCCAGCTCTTACTAACTTATGTCCTCCTCCTCATGGGTCCATCACTCAATCAATCAATCATGGAACCATTCCCAATCACTCACTGATCAATCAATCAAAGATATATACTCCTTGGATCATTGTTAAACAATTGCTTCACATCGGTCAGCAGAGACCCTCAGTTGGTGGAGGACTTCATATTGGTGTTGGATGAGATCTTCACGTTTATGGGCGGCAAACACTTTAAGCAGTATCCCAACTCATTCGAATCGGTCGTTGGCAAGATATTGGACACGCTGCCCAACTACTTTGTGCTGGCACACCAGGAGGACAATCAGAAGATCTACGGATCGATATTCCTCCTATTCACTCATATCCCCGAGAATCATGCAAGATTGTTATTGTCGAGCGCTTACAATGAGCAGTACATGAAGGTTCTCATCAACATTGCCAATCAGATCAGTGTGGAGCTGTGCGATCTTGTCGAACCAGTCATCAGCGAAGTGCACACACTACATGAACGTGAGGTCGACATCTCACGCTGGCATCCCTTCCTCTTTGATGCAATCAAGTTGCTACACAGCAAGTGCATGTTTCCAGACAATGACAATGATGAAAGTGGTATGTCGTTAACATCTGATGATCATTCATTTGCTCGCTCACTCACTCCATTCAATCAATCAAACCTATTACAGTGGAGATGGACAAGTTCTACAGCTTTAGATCAATAGCTGGCGACTCTTTATTGAATATATATAGTATACTGGAGAGGCAAACACTCCAGTTCCTGCTGTCTGCTCTTTGGGAAGACATAAACAACCTTCCAAACAGCACGTGGCAGTCGATAGAGGCCACCGTCTACCTGATCGGATGTCTGTCCGAGGGCATTGCAGAGGACATTTCATTCATTCCCCAGTTGTTCCAAGTGATTGGTTCGCTACCAATTCAATCCACACCGCTGATAAAGTCCACGATTGTACTGGCGGGTAAGTACGCCAACATGCTCGAGAAGAGTACAGAGTTCCTGGTCAAGCTCGTCAGCGACTTTATACCTGCACTGTCCAATCCAGAGTTGGCCAGTGTCACAGCCGACTCAATCCTATCCATTGCCAGGAACAAGAAGTGCGCCAAGCTTCTCACGTCCAACATACGCGACATGATCATTAGATGTGAGCCAATATTCATTGTAAGTCAAAGGGTGGATGATCAATCAATCAGCTGACTCACTCACAACATGTACCATGTAGAGTAACGATAGCGAAACATCAAGAAAGATAATAGAGGCATTGTTGGAGATTATTGCCAGACTACCAATGAATGAAGACACTGGTGTATATATATCATGTCTGATCAAGCCACATATCAATTATATAATCCAACATATGAAGAATCAACCAAACGATATAACAACTACATCAACAACAAACAATGCGTCACCTAATATTACAACATCAGCTACTACAACACATAACAACAACAAAGATCACAGTATACTCATCAACTCAATCAATATATTATCCAAACTATTCAAGATATTCGAGACTGATGATAAAGAGGAAGATGAGGAAGATGAGAATGAAATACCGACAAACAACAACTTCAAGAACAACAACAACAACAATAATAACAATAACAACAACAACAACAACAATATTCAGTCAACGATACTATCGATTGCACTCAATGTATTGCCAGTGACTGGAAACCTGTTGCAATCATACTCCCGCGATGCCGACATCATTGAGGTAAGTACAACTGTGGTTCCAGCCAAACTCAAGTATCCAGTATCCGCAGCCTACTAATCATCCGGATGTCCGTCCAATCAATCAAAGTCAATCTGTCACCTCTACAAGGAGATAATAATGAGTTGCACAGAGGATGTTGGCAAATACATCTCGACAATATTCGAGCAATTAGCCAGTGTATATGAAGTTATGCCACTGGCCCCTTTGCTTAATACGATGTCTGTGGGCATCCCTTGGCTGCGGTCCGACAGTTCATACGATTTTCTCAAGCAGTCGATCACCATGGTCACAGCGGCAACATTTGAGTTGTGGAAGAAAGGCAACGCTGATCGCGTCGGCTTCCTCCACACGCCCACACAGTACAACCTATCAATCCAACCGCTCATCACCAAGGAGTACTTCTCCCTGCTGCAACAATGCATCAAGTATACAGTGCGCTCATTCCCCGCCAACTTTGTCGCGCCAATCTTCCAGGTAACGCTGGAGAACCTATTGAACATACAAGACAAAGCCACGGCAATCCCCGCCTTCACATTCGTATCCACTTTGTTATCGAGTAAGTACATAACCTTGTGGCACCTCAATGAATATGGCACAACTAACATTGTGAATAACTACCAACTAGTCGAACAAAAGAAACATTCACCAGAGTACCAACTGTTCAAGGCAGAGTTGGATGTTTTGTTGGCACAACATGGCGAGTACTTGATCAATCAGGTGTTGTACGCGATTGGCGGTGGATCACCACGTAGCTTGTCACAATACCTTGGTCTGATCGTCACAGCACTCGTCACTTACTATCCAAACACATTCCGACCGATTGCCATGCGTCTTCTCTCTGTTGAGGGTTTCCCAACATCGCACATCACCGCCAAACAGAAGGAGAAGTTCCTTGCCAACTTGATGAGACTCAAGATCAAGAAGGCTATCTATGACTTCTCTGTCATATGTCTTGGACTCTCGGAGAAGGGACTAGAGATATGATCATTCGATTAGTTGGTTGGATGAATAAAGGGTTTGATGCTGATCCAGCAACTTATGTTGGCTGGACAACATGATTTATTGATAATTATCCCTTAAGATTCATTTGGATTGCTGTTGTTGGGTGACCTGGTCACACCAACATAAACAAACACTCTCTATCTCTTATTGCTCCTCCTCTGGCTCCTCAGTTGGGGTCGATGAGGTAGCTGGAGCAGTGGAAGAGGAGGATGAAGATGAGGAGGAGGCAGCTGGAGATGATGAGTTGTACTTTTGCTCAAGATACTCAATCACTTCGTTGAAGCGAAGAAGTCCTTTCTCGCGGATGGTCTGGATGGTGCTTTCAATGTAGGTGACGGTCTGTTTAACAATGGCATAGTCAGAGTTCTTTAGCTTGTTGGAGGTGGCTTCGATCTGGTCTTTCAAAATGGTTCCGGTCTTTTCAAGTATTCTGGTGCTCTCTTCTTTGAATTTCTGTTGTTGTAATATGTTAGTTATTGCCTATTGTGTTCCTTGATGGATCATTCAATGTTGTTATACATACTCTAAGCTTCTCATTCTGGTCGACAATTTGGAGGATGCGGTTTCTGGATTCGGTGACGTAGGCGGTAAGTTCTTTGGTGCGGGTGGCAAAGTCAATGTCTGGGCTGAATTGCTTGATCCAAACGGAGAGGCTGCCGACAGCCTCGACGGTGGCATCGAGGTAGTTGAAGATCTTGTCGATTGTCTTCTTGGAGAAGACGTCATCCTTGATCTCCTGGACGGACATACCCTTGAGCTCCTTGAAGGTCTGCTCGAGGCTCTCGACGGTGGAGGCGATCTGCTTGACGGCGGCGGTTTGGGCGACTCCCTGGTAGGAGTTGGCTGGGATGTGCTTGACGGACTCGTAGTTGACTCTGTTGCGGAGCTTGTAGAGAACTGGGAATCTTCTCTCGACGTTGAACATGTCAGACTCTTGTGGAGTGTCGTTGTTCTGGGCGGGGAGCACAGTGTCCACGATGGACTCGGCCAAGGCCTCTGATCTGTTGACCAGCTCGGCAATCTTGGTGCCCTGGATCTTGCCGTGGCCAAACTCCAAGACGTTGTCGATGGAGGCATCGACAGTGGAGATCTTGCCAATAGCATAGTCTCTGACTGGAGCAGTGACTGCATTGTTAACATACTCAGTTGCCTTGTTAACATTGGTCTCGATCTTGTCCAACTTGTCAACGCTGAATTTGTCCACCTGTTTCAACATTGGCTCACAAGCATTGTAAATTGGTTGAGCAACCAATCCAATAGTTGATTCGGACAACTCCATTGGTTTCTAAATATTTTAATTATCATGTTAGTAAGTTGAGTTCAAGTATATATATTATATGATTGATTAATTGATTGAGTTATCTTTACCTTCAACAGGGTGAAACCCTTGGCATAGTTGTACCAGTTCAACGAGGCACTGACAGACTTGTTGACGAGGGAGTAGTCATAGAGACGGGAGAGAGTTTGGTACTTATCAATGAGTACGATGATTTGTGGCTGGTTACCCTGAGCAGCATCAGAGGCAGCAGGTTGTTGAGCGGTATCCGCAGAAGACATTATCTTTTTTTGTTATATAGTTGTTGTTTGTTTTAGATTCAAACAATATATTTAAATGTAGAAAGTAGAAATTATTAGTGATGATGATGATAAATGATTAACTGATGACAGTAATTATGTGTATGTATTGGTTTGTTTGTTAGTGAAGTGAAGATTGGAGGACTGTGTGTTAATTAAATAACTTGAGGGGTCGCGTTGTGTGTGTTTGTGTGTGAGAAGAAGAGCAAGAGATAATAATAAACGTCCCAATAAGGAATAATGAATCACCACCCTTTTTTTGAACATAAAGTTTCGTAAAGTATCACCTTTTTTGTCAACCAAGATCGAGTATGACACTTAGTCATTCGGCACTGGGTGCCTGTTTTCGGTTGATCTGATGTGACCCATCTTGGTTCAGTGTGTGTTTGTTACCTCACCTCGGTTGGTGAATCATGATACCTCAAAGAATGATTGATTGGGTGCGTGTATGGCTATTGATTCATACCCTTGGTGTCGTGTGCTGGACCGTGACTCCCCAACATTGGTGGTGTGATTGGGGAGTCATTGAATATGTGTCACATAATAGTTTACGCTAATCAAACTGTTGTCGCTTGTTGTATTGCTTAAATATAGACGAAGGGTCGACCTTGGTGTGGCTGTCGACTGGGGCCAGTCCTTCTGTGTCTTGGGCTTCCGTGGCTTCCATCTGGGACAACTCAATGTCCTCTGCGTCGTCTACTGACTCACTGGGCACAGCTGTATTGGCTGGAGTTGATTTGTTCTTGTACAAGAATGATGGCTGTTCATATGGGTTGTCCAACTCGCGGTCCTCCTTCAAGATCTCTGACGCCAGTGACAAGTCCATCAAGTTGTCCTTCTCCTCCTCCTCTTCCTCATTGTTGTAGTTGTTGCTGTACATGTTGTTGGGAGTTGACAATGATGATGATGATGATGAACCAGTCTTAAACACACCCAAGAATCTATTCTTCAATTGCTGTGATCTGATCAAGTCCTTGTTCTGTGATTTCCTGGCGGCATTGACAAGCTCGGGGAAGACGATGGTCTCGTAAAGGTCCATGGTGACATTCATCCTCTTCTGATCCTTGTCCTTGACAAAGAATATGTTGGGCACGTACTTGGTCTTGATGCTCTTGCCCAGATGCAGTCGCAGACGTGGCGTGATGGCTGTCAGTCGCGTCTGGATCTGCTGATCGGTCAGTGTTTCGTACTTTTGACTGTAGCGCATGTCGCGCTCGGCCGCCATCCTCTTCTTGACGGCCGAACTGCTCTCCACGACCGGCGTCGGCTCGCGCAGACTCTGCTCCAGCGACGGCACACTAATGTTGAGAGTGACCTTGCTGGTCTGGGCCATCTGCGTGTGGCCGCTTCCAAATGAGAAGTCCTTGGGTATTGCTGATTGTCTCGTTGTGTGTGTATTCGCAGTAGTGTGTTGGGCGTGGACCGCGTTGGCCTTGTTCGTTGTGGACGACGACTTGATGTCTGGGCGAACATACAGTTCATCCTTATAATGTTGTTGAACTATCCTCTTTGCCTTGTTGGTCGCCAGGTTTGAAATGATCTCGGGGATGGTCATGGCATCGTCCATCAGCATTCTGGCCTTTTCCTCCTCCTCGTCCATTGCTGAGTCGTTGGACGGGCCTTCACCACCCTCAGCCATGGCCTCGGCCTCTGCCACAGCCAATGCCTGGTTGTGTTCAAACCTGTCCACCTGTTCCATGAGTTCATATGCGTTTGTTGGCTCATTGCTGTAGCCATCTTGTTCGTTGTCCAACTCGCCAATATCATTGCCATTGCCATTGCCACTGACATTATGCACGACAGCATCGTTGTCTCGCTCCCAGAACACCTTGACCCATCGCAAATCACTGGACATCAGTGCGCGAGTGAGAATGATGCCTGAGCGCGAGAGGATGGGGTCGGACACCAACTCGTCGTCTTGAATCGCGTCATTGTCTGTGCTTCTGAAGAATCCATAGCCAGTGTGTGCGTCGCGGCGAAGTGCATTCTCCTGTCTCGTAGCATTGTTATCCTCATGCGCAAACATGAACGAATCATTGAGCACCTCCAGGATGCGATCGGACATCTTCTTTTGGAGAATGGTATGCTCGTCTTCATTGTCATCGATGATCGTCCTGCGCTTTGGTCGTCGCTTCTCAATCTTCTCGCGGCCAAGATGTGCCTCCATTCGCTTCAGGTTGTTTTTCTCGGCACGCGACGTCACCTTGTCGGGCTTGGTGAAGTAGTCCTCGTAGTCGGCGGGGATCTCAAACTTGCCACAAAAGAGCGAGCCGTCGTCTGTGCGCTCGAGGCCGACCTTGGACAGCTCGCTGCGCTCGTCGCGATCGTGATCATACGTTTGCAGGCCCTGCTTCTTGTAGTTCCACAGCTGCCAGCCACTCTCCTTCTTCTCCATGCCCTTCTCCATGAACTCGTTGGAGCGCATCGAGTCGGCGATGAAGCGCGCATCCCCCTTGTTGTCGGGCTCCATCACCTGGTAGCTCTCGCGGATGTATGTTCGACCCGACGGCTTGTAATCCTCGTCATAGTCGTCGTCTGCGTCTTCGGGGCGTACGAGTGAGCGCTCGTCATAATGCCCCGAGTCAATCATTTCGTCCACGCGCTTCTCCATCTTCTTCCTGTCGCTCGCCCTCTTGCCATGATCGACAAATTGCTCCTGTATCGATGTGATCTTCTCCGGATTGATTGTTCTATGTACTTTAACATTACTCCATGATCCCTCCAATGATGTATCTGATGTGTTGTTGTTGTTGTTGTTGTTGTCTTGTTGCTCACTTTGTTGTTGTTGTTGTTGTTGTTGTTGCTTCTTCTTTAATCGAGACTGTTGATGTAGATGTGATGATAATGATTTGGGTCTATTCAATGTAGCATATCCATTGTGACCCAATGATGATGTCGATGTTGATGTTGATTGATCAAACAGTATGTTTGAATGATGTGAAGGTGATGTTGTTGTAATATTATTATATCTTAAATATATATAACATGTATGATGTACATTTAATACACGATTTCTAATGCCATTGCCATGTAGTATATGACTCAGCATTGTTATCTGTATCTCTGTATCTTTTTATTTCTTTGAAGTGTTTGTCGTCTCGTTCGTCTGACTTTGTGTTGCAAAATGTTAATTTGGAAACATTGTTGTAGAATCCAAGTTGTATTTATGTACAAATAATATAGCAACTCGAGTATATCCTACCTAGATCTTATACCTGCCAACACTCGTCTCATTGCAAATAGATTCAATGGAATGGTAGAATCAAGAGTAACGACGGGAGTTGGGATCGGTCGCATTCACACTAATTGAATATATGAGTAGTTTAGTTCCAATGCGATAAATATAACAAGGGAGAGTTTATGTAGTAGTAACACTGGATATTCTATCGATAGAGTAGAGTTGATAACTGATTAGATTGATTCGGTTGATTGATTGAAGTTATATTGATTCAATAGGGAGTGTTGCCACTGGTATCCTCCTACTCCTGGTAATAAAACTTGATGATGTTGATGATGGAATGGTCTTGGAGGGAGGTGACATCTTGGCCTTGGTTTGTTCTGGATATATCCTTGAGCGAGCCTTCTGGTTTGGCTTACTAATTCGGCGATGATTAATATTATTATTAATATTCAGTCCGGCACCATCGACTGGTGTCAAACTATCGGTTTGATTAAGTTGTTGTTGTTGTAATTGATGATGTTGAATATGATGTTGTTGATGTTGATGATCAGATGAATCATCAGAGTTTGGTGTAGATTGTGATAATGTTGAGGATGTAATTGATATTTGTTTGTTTGTGATCAAGTTGACAATATGACCCAATAGTTGATCAATGAAGCGATTGGTGATCACTTGATCGTTGAGGAAGTACAATGTTGGTTCAATCAACTCGCACTCTCCAACACATAATTTACCATTATACCTTAGCTATTGATTGAATGATGTTAGTATGAGTGCTCAATTGATTGAATGAATGAGTGGATGTACATACCAAGTCTACACGAGTATATAATATAGAGTTGTTTGATCGACCGACATATTCCATGACTTTCTTGGCCATGGACAGGTCGTTGAGGTTGGGGTTCGGGTTCGGCTCAACACTACCTCCATAGGTCTCCTGGACACGGAAGTCTGATGGTGGGGGATGCTTGATGATTGAATGAGAGAACTCTTGATTGAAGAACACGAATGATAACTCGCCCTCTTGCAACACTGATTCGGCGAATGGTTGAATGATCATATCAGAGTGTGCCAAGTATTGAGTAAACATATCTTGATATTGTTGCCAATTGTCAGTTGTGAATTGGAATGTGCCATAGCTGTCGGCTCCTAGGCAGGGCTTCATAACAAATCTTTGTTGATCAGAAGGGAACTTCATCATTCGTTTGCCCTCCTCAATCAATTGGATCAATGTGGTTGTGCATGTTGAAGAGCGATCGATGAATATACTTGGAATAATATCAATTCCAGCATTCTCCAACTCCAACAAATACTTCTTGTCCCAGTTCCACATAATCTTATCTACATCGTTCAACACTGGTATCTTCTGTCTCTTCATATCCAACATCCATTCCTTAAACTTATCAAACTTTGGAACATAATCCTATGAGAGTGTGATGAGTTAGTATGTGCGTGTGAATGAGGTGGAATAGTTCCAGGTCAAACATACCCAAGTTGATCTAAGGATTAAAAGAGAGTAGTTGGACCATTTGATATCTTTGGCATCCCAGATCACTGGTTCCACTGTGAATAGACCAAGGCTCGACAATGTCCTGAACATGATGAGGTCATCATGAGCAAGATTGGGTAGATTTGAACATGTTACCAATCCAATTTTAATGGTTGGAAGTGGTAGTGTTGTCGTTGATATATGTGATTGATTGAGTGACGATGACTGCCACTGTTGATGCTTTGGAGAGATCAATGCTGGAGGGACACATGGTCTAATATATTGAACTGACATGGACATTCTTTAAATAAATATATATAAATATAAATAATAAATAAAATAAATAAATATATGTTACAGGTGTAGTTGAATGTTGACTGATTGATGGATTGATAGTATGATTGAATAATGTTAATATGATTGTTTGATTTAATTGGATAAATCTAAACACTTAAGTTGTCGTGTGTGATTGGACGAATGAGTGTGGGAAGTGTGGAGTTTGGGTAGGGCGAGTATCAGTTGTGATTGATTGACGGATGGATGATTGAGTAGTTGTTGACAATTAGATGTATAACAATATATATCTGTTTCCTGACTTTTAAATAATAATGGTATTTGGACTGGACGGACTGGATAGGATTGGTTGAGGTGAAGTCTGATTGGATTGAGGGAGGGAAGGTGGATCAATCGATCAAACACACACTTTTCTGACTGATTGATTGTATGAAAGAACTAATGAATGTAATGAATGAATGACTGACTTCATTAATTTCATTTAGAGCTCGATCAATCACAACCGTTCTATACTATACTATGACTCTTAGAATGATCAAACGACACCGCTCACTCTAGCAAATGCGTAAAACAATATAAATAGTCTATGGCTATATAAAGTAGTAATGTGTTTGTGAGTGGCTGGCTTGATGAAGTGAAGAGAACTGATGATATATTATATTATTATTAATGATGATGTTGTTGTTGTAAAGAGGTCCTAAAGGCATGCCAAGTTAGGAGGATTGGCTTTGGAGATTGAACTGGGCTGGTGCTGGACATATTGTGTTGCAGGGGTGTCTTTGACATGGAACCTAAAGGTGGTGCTGGGTCAATCACTATCCAAAGATTGTGTTGCCATGGAAAGTAAAGGTAACTGTTCCTTATTAACTATAACTACTTTGGCTCTGCAGTGCAGTGCCTTTGATCGAACCCCACATTAATGATGATGATGTGTTGGGTGTGAGTGTGATTGAGTGAATCGATTGAATGAGTGAGTGAGAGATAGATATAAAAAAGGATTGGTACATGTTATTGTTGTTATTGTTGACCTTTCAGAGAAGGCCATCTATCTATCTTTGTGAAGGTATGGTTTGGTGGGCACTCACACAACCACAATCACAATCAGTTCCAAACACACAGTGAACCAAATCAATCAGTTAAAGATAACATTCCTAATAAGAGCATAGTGATGGTATTTGAATGTCTGGTGGACCGACGAAAAGGTAAAAGGTGGATACAATCATCTTAAGAGAGAGGTCTAACACCTGATCAATATCAGGAAGGTCTCTATGTTGTGTGTCTGTGTGATTGTGTGAATAGTAAAGGGGTGGACCACAAGTGGTGTGATTGATTGATTGATGAATGATCACTACCACACACTCAATCACATACACACATATTCAATCAAATAATCCCACTACACTGGATTATCTTCAATCAATCCTTTCTGGAAGATGGAGGCTAAACCTCTGACCTCAAAGGTTCATGATATTTAATTCTGTAGATCTGATCCTTTTGACACTGATCATTCGTCGAGCCGACGACTTGGACGACGAAGGAACATGAGCCAACATATCACAAGCCTTGTGGTTTGATTCGACCAGTCGAACGGTGGACGATCGGCTTGTCAGGAGGCGGGCAGTCAGACAAGAAAGGCAAGGAAACAAGGTCTGATTGGTAGATTGTGTACAAACACGAAATGGTTATTAATTAATTTATTGACTTGAAAAGGAGAAGCTTCAAACAAAGGTGATTACGGTGATGATTGGAGATTGGATGATGATGATGATGTAGTGTGTTGTGTTGTTGATGCTGTTGGTGTTGATGATGATGTAACAAGTGTCGATTGGTGATGGGATTGTCACCGCCACGGAAGGCCGGCAAGCCAGTCGCAGAAAGGTATTGTTTGTGATTGGAGTGAGTGAGTGTTGATGATGTTGAAACAAGGGAGTACTATGTATGAATGAATGAATGTAATGTAGCTGAGTTGACAATCGAGAGTGGAGGGAGGCTGGAAGCTGGAAGCTGGCGGCTGGGTGAAGGGCTATGAATGCTGGATGGAGTTGGATGGGTTGAGTTGGAGTTGGGTTGGGTTGGGAAGGGGAGGAGGAGGGATTGATGGATGATGATGTTCTACTATGATATCATCTATCTATTTATAAGTCTCGACGATCTTTCTGCATATCTCGTTAAACAGCTCATTGACGTTGTAGCCAGTCTGCGCGGACGTTTCGAAAAAGATGACATCGCCCAACTCTGAAATGTACCTGCTGACCTCATCCACCTGCACCTCGCGGTTGGGCAGGTCCACCTTGTTGCCGGCGAGTGCCAGAATCAGGTTTGGTGATGCCTGCTTCTGCAACTCAGACACCCATTTCTTCAGTGTCTCAAATGTGTGCTGCAATGATTGAGTGATTGATTGAATTAATGAATGAGTTGACGTTTCGTTAGTCAATCGCTATGTGTGTTATGTGGCTGTGGCCCGACTCGACCCAGGCCAATGAAGTAGTTATTAATGACCACCTACCTTCTTTGTGATGTCGTATACGATGACTGCGGCTGAGGCTCCTCTGTAATATGATTGATTGAATGATTGTGTGAGTTATATATTACTTATGATGTCGCGCCACTGCAGTGGCTAACACTACACTCCCCTCTCCTGTCCTGACCCAGGCCTGGCTTAGGAGATGATGTGTATGTCCGTTCATTTAGACCTTGGGCCTTGGACCTAAGCTTGACTTACCTGTAATACATTGGCGTTAAACTTCTATATCTCTCCTGTCCAGCTGTATCCCAAATCTCGAGCTTCACATTGACACCATTGTCCAATGTTATATTCTTGACCAAAAATGCAGCGCTACATTGTAATTGTTGTTAGCTGATGATCTAGACTGAGCTGAGCTGAGCTTGTACATGTACACATACCCGATGGTTGAATCAGTAGGTCCAAACTCATTCCTGACCAGACGAGAAGCAATGCATGTCTTGCCTGTATTCATATCACCCAACAGTACAAGCTTGACACCCTTCTCCAGCTTTCCTCTGCTATCTGCCGAGTCCACAATGACAGCTATAGTAAAGTTATAATATATGTCAATCAATCAATCAATCCAATCAATTATACCTCTTTCAAAATCAAACCTACATCTACGATCTGGGTCACTTGGCTTGGCATCGTTTCCACAACATCCTCCTTGTTTCTTTGACATTCTTCTTTCTTCTTTAATGATAACGCTTTATATAAATATTGATCGAATCTAGATCCTTTGTATCTGTTGTTGTTGTTGTTGTTGTTGTTGTTGTTGTTGTATCTGTATACTTTAATATATATATATTGTGTAATAATATCTGTATGTTTGAAATGATGATGATGTGATTGATGTACAACAATGAATAATATACACGTCTTTTGTTCTTCTTGTTATTATGTGTATGTATATGTATAAGTGTGTGTGAGAGAGTGTGAATTGTGTGTTTGAAGGGATGGGATGGAGATTGGTTGATTGAGAGTGCGAGTGTCAACCTGTTTGTTTTGTTTGTCAGTTGTGTTGTTTGAGTTTATGTATGTTGTTGTCACACCAAACAAACCAAGTCCATAGGTTTGGAATGAAAAAAAAAACAAACATCGTCTGGCATGCCTCCCCTACTCCAACCAGATATTATTTTGCAAAATTCATGTAAATAGGTATTCCGAAAAGTGTGTCCTTTGCCATTCAATCGCTTGATCGCTTAAATTAGAATGTACATCATTATCCATTCACTCATTCAATCATACTTCAATCAATCTATCAATCAATCAAACAAGGTTTAGTGTAGTGATCAACAAACATTTATATTAGTTTGTTGTTGAGAGTGTTTTTATTGACAATCTGTTAGTTAGTTATTTAGTAGTGGAATTGACCTCCGAATGTTGGCTGGTAGAGACCAGCGCCAAACTGTTGTGGATAGTTATTGTAGATCTGTGGCTGGTTCTGGAGCTGACGGAGATTCTGTTGTTGGTTGCGCATGTTGTTGATTGATTGGTTGATGGCATCGATCTTGCCCTGCACCTGGGTCTTCTGCGTCTGGAAGGCGGTCTGCACGGCGGCGTCATTGCCCTGTGGCTGCTGCGAGATTGACTGCTGAAGTCTCTGGATATCCTGATTGGCATGATTGATGTTGGCTTCGACCTGATTGATCTTGCTCTCGTAGAAGGCTCTCTGGGTTGCACGCTGCTGGTCCTGATATTGTTGCATGGCCTGTTGATTGTATTGGAGTTGATTGTTCATCATCGGATTGTACAATGGTCCATTGTTGTAGAGTGTGTTGGGAGAGTAGACATGTTGGTGTGGTGGGTAGTACATGCTATTGACTGGTGGAGCCACGATGTAGTGGCAAGATGCAACTGCGATCAAGGCGACAAAAAGTATAAACTTGGCAATAAATGTCATTATTTCGATAGTGGAGGTATTAGTAGTAGTAGTAGTATTGGTATTATTATTATTATTAGATGTAATGATACTGGATATATTGACTGATTGATTATCCAATCTGTTTAAATACTTGTTGAAATGTTCATTCGTTGGACCACGTCCTTGATCGATGATGCATCATCAACATTCATTGCTAAAATTTACTTAAGTAATATACGTTGTAGTTTGTGATTGGAGTTCCAAAGTACTGGGCACTTTATCGCCTAATTTGGGAAATGATCCTCCTCGCTATTCCCTATGAGTGATCAACATTAATCATTCCATTTCCTTATTCGCAATGATATTGAAATTTTTTGATCAAACTACAAATTAAAATATATATTGATAATCAATCTTTTGTAAAAAGGATATTACACCAATGTATTTGATTGGATTGAAATTATTATTATATTTTGTGTTGTGTTGATCCAATCAATGACAATAAACAATAAATAATTGTGGAACAGTTTTGAATGGAGTTGCGAGTGAAGTGTTGATCAATCAAACCACACAACATACACTTTGGCCGAATTATCTACAGGTCTTTGATGAATATTATTCTATCATTTCTTCAAGCATTTGATCCTCCCAGTTTCAATATCAAATAAATTAATATCAGTTAATTAATCTAAAAATTAGATAATACCTATAATACCAAATTAAATTAATTAACTATTAATTTTAATTGTTTCCGGGTGTGTGTATAACTCAGGGGGCCCCCTATCCAACATTGCATCGGCTGCGCCGATTCCATTATTTACTTCCAATTACACTTTTATATTCTTTTATATTCTTTTGGGGAGTCTAGGGAGGATAATAACTGACACCAGGAGAAAATCTAAGGAGAACTCTCCAGAACCACCTTAACTAAACAAAGACTGTTAATAAGTTAGTCCAAGCTGGTGATTGTTTCATATAATCACAACTTACCTCCTTCTTCACATTGATGATGGTGTAGTCCCCAGCTGGATAAGGAGGCTGAACAATGTTTGGGCTAGGCCTGAGAGGAGCAACATAACCAACAGGAGCTGGATTGGGAGCCGGAGRGTTAGGGTCTCTAAGTCTGAGATTGGCTCGAACCAAATTCAGGCCAGCCATGATCTCTTCCTTACTACATCCTTGATTAAGAGGTTCCAGTGCTGGTTGTGCATCTGCATCTCTCCAGAAGACTCGGACTAGTCATCAGTTAGTGACCATRAAAGCTTGACTTGTGTCAGAGTCAGTACTTACCAGAAGGCTCAGTGATGTAGATGTGCTCGGTGCCAGCAGGGATCAGAGCGTTGGCGTTGGCCACGGCAGCATTCACAGCAGCTGGATGGTACTCGATGATACATCCTTGGAGATTGCGCAAGTTATGCAAGTTGGCACTATCAGGATTCTCGAGAATTCTTGCTCGGAGGTCTCTGTACCTCGTGTTGCCATTGACAGTAATGTCAAATTCAATGTTGGCGTAGTGCACTGTGATCTGACGATTGACTGGTGCAGCAGGTTTGGCGGCAGGTTTGGCAACGACCAGCGCGGCAGGAGGACCACCAGGAGGAGCAGGAGCACCGAGGGGAGCAGGCTTAGCAGGGGCAGGAGGGACTTCAATGGTAACGACAGCAACCTCAACTAGAGGTGCACCAGCAAGCGGAGCATCGGCAGGGAGAGCATCAGCAGGGGCAGGAGCACCCAGGGGAGCAGGCTTAGCAGGGGCATGAGGGACTTCGACAGCAACGACAGCTACCTCATTTAGAGGTGCACCGGCAAGCGGAGCATCGGCAGGGAGAGCACCAGCAGGGGCAACTACTTGAGCAGGTTGGACAACCGCTTGTTGATTATTCATTCTCTGATATCCTGTTGGTTTGTTGAATGACCATCCTAAGCTTCGCATTAGAGTTTATATACTGATAAACATACAGTCTCATGCAAGTTGATAGGTGTTAGAATGAATGAAAGGTCAATCAATTGATTGACTAATGCCACAACTTTGATTGTCGCGAGTATTCACAACTTCAAATAAAATAAATAAATAAATATCTCACACAGATATTATTATTAAACAAAATAAAGATATCTATCTTCAAATTAATTAATTAATTATTTAAATAATCTGATGAGGAAATTGTAATTCTTTCTTTATTTCTCGTGAGGGAATATAATTAATTCAAATTGAAATTTCAAATGAAAATAATCACTTATCTGATTCAACCAATAGGGTAATCAAATTAAATTGGACATTGTTAAAATATAATCAATAATATATATTCATTATTTATCATGTACATTGGGTACTAATCACACAATGATCACTTGAATATCTCAATCAAATAATGAATTATACAAATAAGAAGTTCCTATCAATGTTGGAAAACAAACACACGTAGTCAATGATCACCACTTCTGTTGTGTATTGACTGTGAGTGTGCGAGGTAGGTGGTGGTGGGTGTGCGTAAATGTTAAGTATTCCTCTGAGCTGATTGAGTTAGGCCCTATTGTAACAACAACAACAACAACAATGGTGAACAGAACGAACTCACCAATCTTTGAACACATCTGATCCTCATATTCCACCCTACCTTACCCTACCTAGCATGAATCACTGACTAATAATGGTGAGTGTAGTGGAGTAGTGACCTCCATAGAGTGTGGCTACATGATACTTGGATCACTATACCATTCACTCAATAACTCAATTTTAATAACCATATCATACTTATAATAATATAATAATATTGTATTAGCTTATCTTATTGTCCAGTGATCATGGATCGTATATTAGAAATTGGAAATACATTGTACGATGTGGCATCGGATAAGATCAACAATTTCAATTACAACGAGAAGAAGGAGTACTTGACAGAGTGTGTTGGAAATATTATAGGATATAATCTTGGCAATGTTCATGAATTGAATGGAAAGAGATTCACAGAGAAGACAAAGATTGCTGAAGGTGGATTTGGTATTGTATACCTTGTGGTAGATGACCTAAACAGAGAATATGCACTCAAACGACTCTTCGTATTGGAGCGGGATCGTCTACAATACACAAAGAACGAGATTGAGATCATGGTAAGCTAGGTTTTTAATATGATTGATTGATTGAGTGATTGAGTGATTGGAATAGTTCCATAGATTGATTGATTGAACTAATATATGAATAGACATCACTCAAACATAATAGGAATATTGTAAGGATGTTTGATCACACAATTAGAAGGAATGGAAATAAGAGGGAGTCAGAGGTATTGATGCTACTGGAGTATTGCTCAGGTGGATCAGTGTTGGACATTATGAATAAGCGTGGCCAGAGACAAGGTCTGTCTGAAAGAGAGATATTGTCAATATTCTCCGATGTCTGCAATGCGGTGTGCGACCTCCATTCCCAGAATCCACCAATCGCTCATCGTGATTTAAAGATTGAGAATGTATTGTATTGCCAGAGGAATGGATGCTATAAGTTGTGTGACTTTGGCTCGGCCACCACCAAGGTGTTCAGCACAGAGACTGAGCGTGATCGTTCCAACACCGAGGACGACATCAACACCTTCACTACCCTCCAGTACCGTGCACCAGAGATGGTTGACCTGTTCAGGAAGCAAGACATCACAGAGAAGGTCGACATATGGGCACTTGGATGTCTCTTGTTCAAGATGGCATTCTATGTCGATCCTTTCGAGACTGGTCTGGCAATACTCAATCACAATCTACGCATTCCAAACAATTCCAAGTTCTCAAAGGAATTCCATGACCTCATCGAGGCATTGTTGATCGATGATCCAGTCAGGAGACCAAACATCCATGATGTATTAGACATGTTGGACGCAATGAGATCAGGAGATGGTGGACACAGGAGGGAGAGATCTTCAAACTGCTCAAGAAATGATCGAGATAGACAAGTACCCGGTCGTGAGTCAAGGAACTCACCCAATCCCCCAACATCATTTGTTGCCGAGGGTCCATCATCTTCGTCAACGGGACAAAAGAAGAACCTTTATGATATGTTGCAATGGAGTGATGGTGATAGTCCAAAGCAACAACTTCAGCAGCATCAGAACAAGAGCACCCAGAAGCCACCAGCTCAGGCAAGTCCCAACTTGTTTGATGATGATCTGGAATGGACTCCACAGCCAGTCCAGAATTCTGGACAACAAGTTCCACAACAACAATATCAACAACAGCAACAACAGCAGCATTCATCCAAGCAATCCAACTTTCATGGTGGATTTGATTTGTTTGATCCATTTGCTTCACCTAATACGAATCTGTCCAATGTTGCTCAGGTTCAACATCAACAACAATCACTGGAATTGATCACTTTTGAGAAGGTTAATGTTCTCCAACCACAACAGCAACAACTTCAACAACCTCAACAATTCCAACAACAAAGGTTTGGACTGCCACAACAACAGCAACAGCAGTTCTACAACAAAAACAACTGGAACAACAACCCGAATGTTCCACAGAAGGGAAACAACTTCCAAAGACCAAACCCCAACTTCAATACCAATGTTCCACAACAGGGTGGTGGCGGTGCAAACTACAATCAGAGACCAAACTACAATGTCAACTTGAACAATAACCAACCACAACAACAACAATTAGGTGGACGAGGCGGACCCAATGTTCCCAACACCAATACCAACAACAATCCAGCGTTCAAGTTTGATAGTTTCCAAATGGTCAACAACAACAACAATCAGAGGAAATAGATGTTAAAGAGTTATTTAATCCAGGATCACTGGATTCCTGTGAATCCTCTTCTTCTGTCCTTTCCTCTCCATTCGCAATATCCTAATATCAGTGTTGGCAAAGCCTGGATGAAGGTGTTTGGTTGTAATCTAATTGATTGATTGACGGTGTGAGTGAGTTTGATTGGAATGGAATAGCTCCAGTGGATCATGATGATACATACAACTTCTACATCAAAGTATGTTGTGACCTTATTCATAAAGATAGACTCTGCAGACATTTGACGATGTTCATAACCAAGGTATATGACTGTATCTGCTGGTTGTAGTTTTGAAGGTCTGATGTATGGTGGCTCTTTCTCCTCCTCTGGTTCTTCCAGCTTGTCGTTCGTAGTAGTAGTAGTAGCTGATTCCTCGTTTGATCCATCTTTCTCATCATCATCCTGTGTCGTCGTTGATGCCGTTGATGTTGTGGATGTCGTTGAAGTAGTTGTTGTTGATGTTGTAGTTGGCGCTGTGTATTGGATATCATCCTCCTCGATCACTTTCTTCTTTGGATGGAATGATGAAAGGTCCAATAAACTGGTGAGCAACAAGTCAACACAGTCATCTTCATACATCAAGTCTGATCCAACTATCATATCATAAGGTGGATGGAATGTTGATACATCATTGCCCCACCATAGTTCATTCACTTTAGTCTTTGTCATACTACAGTTATGTCTGACATTATAATGTAGGATATCATGCATACTCTTTTGGTCTACATATAGAGTGAGTCAGTCAATGCACATTCGATCAGTCGATCAATCAATCACTCACCTGTCAATACAATATCAGCGTCAAGTAGACTTAGAGCAATGCCCAGCAGTCCAACACCACTTCCAAGTTCTATTACTCTCTTTCCTTTCAAATTCTTTGATCCAATCTCTATCTCAAAGTACTTGGACATGACCTATCATTCACCTGATGGATTAGTCGTGATGCCCATGTCTCCCATCAATCAATCAATCAATCAATCAATCGATCAATCAAACAGACTTACAATTGAACTATCCCATACTGTTGAGCCTACTCTTGGACCCTTTGAACTCTGTTTGATCTCTATTGTATGTGTTTGGAAGGGCAGGACAAAGGGTTCTTTGAAACGCTCGTAGTAGTCCCATCCTCGAGGCAACACCAACGAACTTCCCGTGTTATTCCTCTCTGCTGCACCCTTTGTCGCTGCCTCCTTCTTCTTTGATACGCCTCCTCCTTGACTACCACCTGTTCTTCCCATTATTTATATCTTATGTCTATGAATGAATCAATCAATCAAAAGACGAATGATTGAATCAAACGAGTCGTGTGTGGGGTTGAGTGGTTGTCCCATAAATTAAACTTTGAATCCAGGGCCAACAACAATGACCAAGTTTATAACCTTTATGATAATCTAAAGTATACTTATTACTTCTAGTGTTGGCTTGAGTGTACCCCAATCGATACCTGATACGGACACTTGGATCTTGTCGCCAAGCTTGATCACCTTGTTGGTTCGTTGCCACTTTCGACATGGTATGTCGGTGGCAGTGTAGTCACACTCGGCAAAGTGAATGTTAACGTTGGCACTCTGCTCTTGATAGCTTGATATCACGCCAGACATCTCGATAGGTGCGTACTGCTGCTGTTTCAGATCGTCCTGGTATTGCTTCTTGGTCATTCCACTCTTGCCCAGGCCACTGCCACTCGATCGCTCGGCAGCCAACAATCGCTCCTTGTTTAGATACTCGTTGAATCGTAGCAATGCCCTACTGTTGACCAAAAGCTTCTCAAAGTGCAAGATCGAGAACATGATGTTGAGGGAAGCGTGGCAGATCTTGTTGGCATCGGCCGTGCTAAAGGCAGGCTGTATTCCATCGCTCAACAAGTAGGCATGAAGCTGTACCTGAGCAAACATGCTCTTAAAGTGACGCAATGGTGCTGACATCCTAACGAATGATCGCTCCTTCGTCATTGGACTCAATGTATAGAATGCTGAGAAGTCGTTCTTGTAGAATACCGTGCTCCTCCTTGAATTGAAATACTGTGTGATGCCTTCGTCTGTTTGATTGAGTCAGTATTATGTTGGCGCGATTGATTGATCAGTTTGGGACTCACCTCCATATGTCAACACTGCGTTGATGATGTCGGCTGTGACAAAGGTTGCATTGTTTCCTTTGCGAACGAAACGTCCATAGGGCCTCAGGTCTCTGTTGATCTCGCGCACCCTCGCCAAGTCCTGCATCTTCTTCATGATCTGATGTCCAGTTGACATGTCATCTGGTGACATTGTCTCCATATTCTTGAGTATGACCTCACCCTGTCCATGTGATATTTGAATGATACTATGTGAGTATTGGGTTGGGTTGGGTTGGGTTAGTATCATTCATGTCCATGTCCAAGCCTAAGGGGGGTAGACATACTTCTTTAACCTGGTTGGTATGATAGTCTGTGATATGATATCGGATGTTTTGTTGTCGATTACAAGTCGCTGGGTGATGGCGTAGGCTGCTGACTTGTTGGTGACGCCAATGGCCATCTTGTTGGTCAGCTCATGTGGCAGCATGGGCATCACACCAAGTGTGTCATTGTACATTGTGTTATGATTGAGCATGGCGTTCTTGAACAACACGCTCTCCTTTCCAAACCATCGGGGGATGTCCAATGTATGGATGTAGAGCACGGTCTGTTTGTCATCTGATTCGTTAGGGTCGATTGAGAAGGCGTCCTCTGCGCCCAGCACACCGACGGGGTCGATGGCCATCACGGGCAGGTCAAAGTCCTGGCGCAGCGTTGCCAGGGGGTCAGTTACATTGGCACCGCTAACGCCATCAATGCAAGCGATGATCTTCTGTGCCTGCGCACGTGACTCCTCTGTGAACAGATTGACTGCGCGTTGCTTCTTTGAGGGGATGCCCATCTGGAAGCCAAGTGTGGACAGCAGTGTGTGTGCATTCTCGCGAGATACCTTCATGCCAACGGCATCAAAGATCATGCGCATCATTGAAGGGAATGGTGAGCTGTGCTCCACAGGGTAGATCAAGTACAACTTGATCAGATTGATGTATTGATAGTCGGATGTTGGTATAAAGTGATTGAAGAATGTAATTTCCTTTGTTGATTCAGTGATGCCAGTGCCAGTGCCAGTGACAGTGCCAGGGGCCTTGACTAATTGAATGAATGACTTTAGTCTGTCGAGGAAGGCATCGAATGGCTCGAGTTGAAGCTCGACAACGCGATATCCACCGCGAACAATGTCGTAACTAAAGTTGGGGTCGGTGTTGATCGCTCTAAAAGTCGTGAACATATCACGGAATCCAGGATTGATGTGGCAAGTGGTGACCTTTGTCGCCTCTAGTGTTGAGAACTTGCGTGTCGTTGATCTCTAAAGTATGTGATGATGATGATCGTTAGCCATGTCTCGTCCAACCAATCGATCAAGTATTCGATGAAATGACATCTTACAAACAAGTTTGTGATCGTTGGGAATGAGCGGAGTTGGGCATAGATGTGACCATTCCTGTAGGACTCTTCAAGTTGTAGGAGGTACTTGGGGTCCTTGATTGTGTATTGATCGATTGGCCATGATCCAAGTATACTTCTCTTCGATATAACATGATCCTCTACCATTATTGGTGCATTCCTCTCATAATGATCCAAATATCTAACGGTTGCATTGTTGCTCGACACTGATTGAATCACTCCCAAGTACATCTTATTGTCCATCAAGAACTCAATGATTGACCCAACGCTCTATAATGATGTTCGTTCGTTCGGTTGGTTGATCAATCGGTCGGTTAGTGATCAGTTTGATTGAGTGAATGATGATTGGATGCTTACCAGCTCCTTGCGCGGCGATGTGTCAATGACCTCGCTTTGACCAAAGAGTAGTTGCGTGATCTGAATGTCTTTCTGCTCGCTCTTGGACTTGACGGGCGAGGAGATTGAGGCAGGGGTCGGCTCGTACATGTTCACTCGCTTGTTATATAATGAATCGGAAATGCTTAGATTATACTCCTCTTCGTTGAGAGTATCAATCTGCATCTGCTTGATGTCAATGGCACGCTGCTTCATCCTCTGTTTGAACGTTTGAATCGATCCATTGTCTGTGAAATATGTCATACGAGGTGGGGATTCACCATCGACCAACGGTACAGTCTCGATCACCTCCTCGAGTGGCAACCTAGTCTGTTGAGCTTGTAGTGGTTGTGATTGTTGTCTAACTTGTCTTTGGCCTTGTCGTCCTCGTCCATCAATATCACTTAAGTTTGTATTAGTTGTTGATGATGTTGAGTTGGTTGTTATGTGTCTGTATTGTTGATGCGTAGTGGATGAAGTGAGCAAGAGTGGAGAATGAGTAGTCGACCTCATCAGCAACAATGTCCGCGTGGTAGTTGTTGCCAGTTGTCTATTCAACTTGCTCGACAAGTATCGATGTAACAGTGCAGATGTCATGACTACCTAATACTATTACTACTCGTATGATCAAGAATGATTGGATTGAATAGTTAAGAATTAATGAAATGACATCCCCAAGCCCAGGGGCTTTGATAGATCGAAGACCGAGTTCGCGAAAACGAGTGATTGTCAATGTGACTGCGAGAGAAGAGGAAGAGAGCCAGAGCAGAGTGGAAAGCAAAGAGAGAACAATGTTTATTCAGTAGTATCCTTACACACAAATATAGTGATGGCATTGATCCTTTGTTAGATTGTTTGATTGATTGGTATTATCATAATTATGGGTTTGGTGCGGCAGACGTTACGTAAGTGTATTGATTCGTTGTTTGTTTGATTGTTTGATTGTAAGTTAGCGAGGCTGGAGGGATTGAGGATTGGTGGAGGGATGAATGGGGAGCAGAGGGAGAGGGAGGAGGTAAAAAGAGTGTGACGACGAGACGAGGCGAGACTAGGCGAGGCAAGTGTGAAGCCAAGGTAAGGAGATGTATATAGATCGACTGGATTGATGTTGGTAGTTTGTTTGATTGATCATTGGGTTGGAGTAGCGAGGGGAGGGGAGGAGAGGAGAGAAGGGGAGTGATTGATGTTGAGGGAGAGGTGATGTTGAAGTTGAAGTTGAAGTTGAGGTTGAGGTTGCAAGCAAGCCCCCAACGACGATCGTAGTAGTTGTTGTTGTAGTTGTTACTGCTTGTTGTATTACATTAATATACATCGTTCTTTCTTTTCTTTGGTAGGCACGCCTTCCTTCCTGTACTTGTCTCGTATCTTCCTGACGATGCTGTGAAATACGTTATCTACATTAATCCTATCTTTACATGATGTCTCCCAGAAGTCACAGTTTGGATAACTCTGTGACAGTGCCTTGCCCTCATTCGTGCTGACCTCTCTATGTGAGTCCAAATCGATCTACATGTCATCATCATCGCATTGATTGAATGAACCATGGTGTCAGTCAGGGTCACATTGATCGATCATCACAAACAAACAATCAAACATACCTTGTTTCCAACCAATACTATGGGTACCTCTTCCTCCTCCTTCACTCTAAATAGTTGCTCGATGATGTCTTTCAATTCGTTAAATGTAGACTTGACCAGGATACTGTAAACTAGAACGAATCCCTCTGCGCTCTTCATGTACAGTTCACGCATCGCCACCAACACCTCTGAACCGGCTGTGTCCAATACCTCTATGCACACATTCTCGCCATCCAGTTCGAATGTCTTTGTATATGTATCCTCTACAGTTGGGTCATACTATGTACAGTAATATGATCGATTGATTGATAGTCAGTGAGTGAGTGATCAATGATTGATTGATTGATCGATCGATCGATCGAGATATGAGATATATATCTCGAATGATTGATTGAATGATTACCTTATCGATAAAGATCCCTTGAGTGAACTGTACGGTCAATGCTGATTTGCCGACTGAACCTGATCCCATCACGGCTACAAAGTACTTTGACTTTTGTGGTGCCTGTGATGACTTGCTCTTTGATTTACCCATGTTTTAGTATATATCTGTATTTTGTATTTGTTGTATTTGTTCCGCTTCTGAATTAAAGAATCGTTTTGCGCGTATCTCGAATTATATTCTTTCTGCTCGCTAAACTGCAAATATTTATATATTTATATATATTAACTAGTTATACAAAGATAATATTATATATTATATATAAATATATATTATTATTTGTGATTCAAAAAGAAGTTAGGAAAATAGTATGTAAAGAGCAGATGATTGTTTTGTTTGTTTGATTGTTTGATTGTTTGATTGATTGATTGATTGAGAGAAGAGAGTGTGTGTGTATCTTTAGCTCAGTGGTATTGATCAAGTGGGAGAGATGCCCCGCCTTCAGTTGATTGGGGGCTCGCTCTATCTTTGTGTGTGTATGATTGAATCCGTTGTTGTTGATTTTGAATTTATTTCAATTAATAGTTTTGCCTGCATTCATGCATAGACACACAAACAAACACACATAAAATAAAAATGAATGAATTCGTCCTTCTTACCCTCCATTGAGTGAGACCTCTCACACTCTGCGATCTACAACTCATGCAGAAACAAACATACTTCCGCGCGACAAGAACAACTTTCGATTTGTTAGACTTGATTTAATGTTGTAGCCGCTACAAATCTTATTTATTGCTAATGCTAATTCATGTTGTTGGTGTTGGCGTTGATATCAACGTCAGTGTGGATTGTTTGTTGTTCTTCTAGACTCGTAGTATCATCATCATTGTTGTTGTTGTTGTTGTTGTTATTGGACGATTGTTGTTGTTGTTGTTGTTGAACGCGCAATAGTTGTGCACGATACTCTGTAATCTCCTTCCATTGGTTTACATTGCTGTTGACATCAACCTCACCATATCCATTACAATGTACAATGTTGTTTAGATTGGATGATAGAGGCGATGACATTGACGAAGTGGACGTTGGAGATGATGCCGTAGACGACGATGATGATGATGAAGATTGATTCTTGATGGAGCTAATGTTCAATCTTGGCACATGAACAATGTCATTGGTACGTTGATGATGGAATGGAGGTGAATGTCCAACGAAGCGATTAGTAGTCCAACTCGTGCTGGTACTGTTGTTGATGTTGTTGTTGTGGTTAACATCCCTGCTAGTTGGATAGCGTTGGATGGTTGATGTTGATGCGATCGATGGTGTAGAAATCTTGAACTTGGTTGGACTTGGAGAGATGGAGAAATAGGCGTTGGTGTTGGAGGAGGATGCCGCGCGCTCTGGCTCTTGGCAAATGGTCAATCCACTAGGATATCTCTGGCGTTGTAGTTGTTGGAGCTGTTGAAGTTGATTGTGTTGTTGAGACGAGGCGGTGGAGATTTGCTTGCGATGGTGAAGGTAGACAACATCTTGCTGATGGAGTGGTTGCTGATGATGGAACATTGACTGAGACATTGGCAAAGTCTGGATATGAGTGTCGGTGGATGGTGCTTGGACTTGGACCTGGACCTGGGGCTGAGGAGGCACTGGCCTCTTCTGGTTGTGATGAAGTTGTTGTTGCTGGACGATTCTTTGTTGCTTCTGGGCCAGCTTGGATTGTTTGATCTGGTTCTTCCTGCACTTGGGACAGGAGTAGGCGATGGCCTTGGGATTGGCAGGTGAGAACCGGAATGAATCGGTCACACTGTCACACTTGGACATCACCCATTGATCACATGTCCAGCATCTGAGCCAGTCAACATTGTCTGCCTCGGCCTCCTCCTTTACATATACCTTGGCGCAGTATGGACATTTAGGCTTCTTCATACTCTGTAGACCACAACTATTACACAACACCTCGCCATTGGTACCCTTGCGCCACTTGCAAGTTGGACCCTTTCCAGGAGACGTGGCGCCACAAACACACTTGTAAGTCTTTGGTACAATTTGATATTTGGCACGTTTCCTTGGTCTGGCTTGGTCTTGATCATTGTGTTGTTGGTGTTGTTCATGTTCGTGGTCGTGGTCATGGTCGTGGTCATGGTTATCATCCCCACTATGGTCTTGATCACCATCAATACTGTAGATATCTTGAACTGACAATGCTCGTTTGAGTGATGTCATGTCACCTGTCATAAATTCGTCATTGTTCATTGGAGATGATGATGAGGTAGTATCCTTTCTAGATTTCCTAGACATATTATTATCGATAAATATTGATGTTGTAATTATTCTTGGTGTATTTGGAACTATTCCATAATATAAACAAATATGTTAATATTTTAATATTTAACCAGCCATGAATAATTAAATATGTATTACTTACTTTTCATATCACCGTCACTTGAGTAAGTAATAAAGTCTTCTTCCATTATATATATATATCAAGATATAAATAATATGTTAATTAATATACAGATAATATTTAATTGATTGATTGAGTTGAGTTGAGTTTGTTTGATTGAATTTAAGAATGAGTCAGAGTATATGATGATTATTAAAAATATTAGTAAGTTATAGATGAGAATTCCTCTCTTAGATCTCTATCAATATAATAATAAAATAGATAATTGATTAATCAATCTAGAAAATTATAATAATAATAAAAAATGTATATAGTTTGAATTAAATAAGTAAATGAAGCCCTGGACAATCAAGTTGATTGGACTAATGTGTGATGATGATTGGTTGGTGGTGTTGGGCTAGGATAGCCAGGCTAATGATGATGTCTATTGAATGTTTGTTCACTACTAGATGTGTTTATTTGGTGATCGGATAAATAAATAAATCTACAAGGATTGATTGATTCAATGAATTAATGAATTATTGATTGGTGGTATTATATCTGTATATGTGTGTGTGATTGGGCAATGCTTGACAATGACAATGACAATGACAATTATATATAATGATGATTGATTCTGATGATCGATGAATGATTGATGATACCATTTTTATTTATTACAATGTGAGAGTGGCTCATGCGGACCTACTATTACTCACTTGTCCACCAAGCAGTACATCTTTGCAGCATGTGAGGCAGTGCCTGGGCCTCACAGGAGACGTCTGATTGGCACCCACATCACCTGATGATGCGTGCCCACACCCCCACGGGTTCACACTTCTCACCTCATTTTTTTCTTTCTGCAAGTCCAAGACACAGTGATTCGTTTTTGAAGCCCATTCCCAACAATGAAGGAATGTCCTACCCACGTCGACCTACAATGGCGTGAATCAATCAATGCCCTCAACCGAATCCAGATCAATCAATCACTCATACCAAAACTCAAACAATCACTAGATCACCAATTCACTTGCTTATTCAAAGTAATCGGGGGTATTATGTGTTGATGTTGCTGACAATTCAGTTATGGATGGATCGATGGATTGCCGACCAATAGGTCGTTGTTGTTGAGTCGACAACACCGACTGACTCTGATGACTGGATGGATGTCTGGGATTCGATGCGATTCGATGACCTTTAATAATTAATAATGTCCACTCGAGTGGTCGAAGTCTTTGAAGTGACGTGTGCCTGTCAGCATTGCTGTTCAACGGCAGCGGCGTCACCAACATCTCCAGTCTTTTCCACATTCTCAAACTGTATGATGCCATCCACCTCTATCTCTGGTGGTTCATTCGGATCATAAGGTGCCATGCTATTGATTGGTAAAGGTTGGTTGGTGAGTCAAACGGTATTTGCCGGAACATGAGGTGAGGGAAGTCTCCAAGTCTTGGACCCTCCCTCACTTCACTCACTCATCTACTTACTTTGCGTATTTATATATCCATTGGTCGCCCTCCTTCTTGAAGTACTTGGGCTCCCAATCGACTCCGCGCTCCTTTCGCTCGCGGTCTGCTTGTCGCTGGTCATTCTCCAGTTTAATCTTCTCTTTGGTGGCCTCCTTCTGATCCTTCTTTATGATGCCCTGTGCGACATGTGTCCACAGACGTTGTGATTCATTTGGCTCCTGTTGAGCCATCGGTCTAATGAAGCGTGGTGTCTTCTTTGTAGTATTACACTCCCAGAATACCTCTGTCTTCTTTGTCTTTGCATTGGTGATGTCCACCTTCCTATCCCACTTGCCACCAATACTATATAATACATCCTTTGAGTTCTGTTTGATCTTTCCACTTAGCATGCTATACTCTCCTCCAAAGAATGGCTAAAGGTATCCATGTTAGTCCTCGCTCGCTTGGTCTACACCACCAGACTCACCTTTGTCTTAAAGTCCATGTCCACTTTCAGGTTGGTCTGCTTGCATACGAGGGTTGTCTGGCCGGCCACCTCGGTGAGCAGCGTGCCAAAGAGGATGCCTCGGGCATAGATGTTGGGGAAGTTGAAGGTGTATTGTTCGTTGCGCTCCAGCATGTGTAGGGTGATGCTGCCCTCGACCAGTACACACAGCGAGTTGCCAGTGAACTTGGATCGCGGGTTAATGATGCCCGTCATCACATAGCCATCCTTGCGATTGGATATGTAGACGACCGACACGGGCGGATGGTGAGAGATCTGCTCGGCAATCAAGTGCGCCGTCGTGCCATGGTAGGACCATCGCGAGCGGAAGATCTCGCCCAGTATAGGGTTGTAGGGCTTCTTTACGCCCTTGGGCTTGTAGGAGAAGCCCGACAGGTACCATTTGGTGATGTGCATTATTCGATCGACGGGGTTTTCCATCTTGGCGACGCCGTGTAGCAGGTCGCAGTGTATCATAAAGTCGGTGAACTTCTCCAGCAGTGATCGCGGCTCCAATATAAAGGTTGGCAGGGGTACCCTCGACAGATCCATTCCAATCTTCACCTCTGACAATATCGATATCAGCAAGTTTCTTGGTTCTTCCTCCAACACCTCTGCATCCTCACTCTTTATCTCGCTTGCTCCCGAATCACCTGTCATTATATCACCATTCGTTTGATCGACTGGGTCCATCTAATCTCTCTCGTCTCGTCTAATATGTATCTAAGTTAAGTTATAATTAATTACTTAAGTTGGTAAGTATATTTATGCTAAGTTGATATATGATGTTAGGTTGATTGATTGATTGATTGAATGATTGAATGAATGAATGATTAGAGTGATTGAGATGGATTAAAGTAAGATGATGCAGATAGACAAGCTTAGCAGTGTAGTGAATATATACTAAATATGTATAAGTAGTTAGTTGTAGAGAGAGAGATAGAGATGATAGAGATAGATTAAGATGGAGATGTTGTATACATGATGTGAGGTGATGTTGAAGGATTGGTGTGAGAGTTGGGATGAGGAGTTGATGATGCTACATCACCAACCACTTCACTTCACTCTCTTAACTAACTAATTAATGTTCAAAGTCATATAACAATACCTAACCCCTACTTGACATGATCATACTCCACTCCATACCACCAGTCCAGTCTAGTCCAGTCTAGTCCAGTCCAGTCCATGCCAGCCAACTGCTCTACGACTGTGTAGACCCGAAGTGTCTCTGTGTGTGTGTGTGTGTGTGTGTGCTGTGGTGTTGACAACTAACCAACAACAATAAGTGTTGATGGACTTCGCAAACAATTCAATCTATGAGTGTGTTTGTGTTTGTGTGATGATGATGATTGATGTGGTAGTTGTGTTTGTGATGATCACTCTATGGTGACTGGACTGACTGCCTGGACTGGAATGACACACTTAGATCTAACTGTTTTGGATTTAAAAAAAGTAATAACAAACAAACAACTACACAATTCTTCACCTCTTTAAAGTAAAGTCTGGATGGAGTATGGAATAATAATGTCTGGTTTGTTGGTCCATCATTTCATTAATTAATACCTACGATCAATATTGGATTCTGTCTGTTTGGAAACTAATTTACTCTGTTTATGTGTATTAATATAATGATAATATATATATTTGTATGATTAATAATGTGTGGAAACTTATTAAAGTGATTGATTGAGGTGAGTGAGTGAGTTAGAGAGTTAAATTATGTGTATGTATATTTATAGATAGGTGAGATCTTAATTAATAGAGTGGTGAATACCATACCAACCACTCTACACTACTCATAGGGCACAAGCAAGCGATTCATGACGATGGAAGGGTGCCCAGTTGGCCTGATCGATCAACTATGTGGTTGATTTTTCGAAGATTGTTGTTTTTTTGTTGTTTTTTTGATTAGTTTTGTTTGAGAAAGTACCCTGGATTGGCACCTTTTAGGTTCGTTGACATCATTTAAAGATACGTTGAGGGTCCAAGGGCAGGGTACCCTGCCCAGTATGTGTGTATGAGTATACATCTTATAAAAATGGTAATCCAACACGACTTGACACTTGGCAAGTCATTCCAACAACCAATCCAATAACAACATCTAAGGCTTGTCTTGTTGTTCATTCATTGAAGTGTCGAATGTTTGTGTGTGTTTGATTGAGTTGGAATGTTCATGATTGGACTTGTCGAGATTTGGACATCAACTTGGAATGAATTGGAATAGTACTAGTTGAGTCACAGGTATAGGATAGGGTAGCTGGTTTATTAAACTTCAGTGTTTGGAAGGTATATAGATAGCTCGCGAGTTTGTTATGTTGGAAGTTGGAAGTAGGAAGTTGGAAGTTGGATGTTTTGTGATTGATTATGATGATGGATTGGATTGTGATTGGTTAGGATGAGAGAGGGGACTATGAACAACAACAAAGACAAGACACGATTTCGAATGTTGAATGAATGAATGATGAATGAATGAATGAATGAACGTGCCATGTTGACCTTGAATTAAACAAACAGCAGCAGTTTTAGAGAGTGGCAATGACGGTGGTCAACTCGGTAGTGTCGTATATCTTAAACTTCCTTTCGCTCTTGGTGATCACTGCCAGCTCGACGTTGGTCGTGGTGATGGCCTCCTCCATCACCTGCTTCAGGGTGGTGAGCGCAAGCTTCTGAGCCTCGGCCAGAGTGAACGTCTTTGAATACTTCTCCTGCAGGGTGATCTGGGCGCCCTCGGAACCGGCACCAATAGCCTTAGCATTGAACTGTGTGTATGTTCCCGATGGGTCTGAGTGATACAGAGAAGGTCCACGCTCATCAACACCTGCTATCAACAGAGCAACACCAAATGGTCGACTCTAAACATTGATTGATTGATTGATCGTTAGTTAGTGAATGATTGATTGTTGATTGAATGAATGAATGAATCTTACCATCTTCTCTTCTCCCTCCTTGCGGTTCTCACCGAATCTAAGTGCAAGATCACAGATTGATTGAACGCATGACTCGACTCCCATTGGCTCGTCGTAGTTGAATCTGTGGTTCTGTGTCTCGATACGGGCGTGGTCGATGATGGTCCTCGAATCGGCGGTAAGTCCAGACATGGCACAGATTAGATGAACGTCAATCTCGACAACCTTCTCAATTGAGGATGGCTCGAGCAATGTTGATGTGAGACGCTTCTCTACGGCGAGCACGACACCCTCATCACACTGTATGCCAATAGCTGTTGAACCCAACTTGATGGCCTCCAAAGCGTACTCAACCTGGAACAAACGTCCCTCTGATGAGAACGTGTTGACATCTCTATCGTATTCTGATCTTGTTAAAAACATCCTTTATCTTTCTCTGTATGTATATATTTGTATAAATATGTATATGTTATGTATATGTGTGATTGAGTGATTTGAAATTAAATGAACTTGTGATCATCAAAGTGTGAACATCATCATTTTGAAAGTTCAATGGTGTCTAACCCTTACCCCTTGCCCTAACCCTTGCCCTAACTCATCCAACTATTCAACATGATGTTGATTGTTATCGATCATCTATATCTTGGATTACCATCCATGATCATTTATTAGCTCCAGGAATTAATGATTGATTGAATTGGAATTTATGGAGGATTGATTGATCGTGTGGAGGCCAAGATATTCCACAATAATATGGAAGGAAGGAAGGTATAGATTGTACATTACTTTATTATAATACTATAAGTATTAATATTGTATATGGACGGACTGGAAGAGAGATGTGACAAATGGTACTACTGGTGAGCTCAAATCTTCTTCCACTCACTCACTCACTCACTGACTCACTCACTCACCCAATCAATCAATCACTCACGAGATGATCACAAAGAGGGTGGAGGTGGAAACAGGAACTCGGACTTGACGGTCCAGATACATATCGACTTGTCGTAGCTGGCGCTCCAGAACTCCCATCGTTGGTTCTTGTTGTTGTAGGTGAATACGCCATCGGTGACGGCGTCGGTGTGGTACTGGTCCAGGACGCCCTTGCACTCGTTGCTGCGCGGGTCCCATATGCGGATGGACGAGTCGCGCGAGCAGCTCCAGATTGAGTTGGCAATGGATTTGAGCGAGTGGATCATCAACATCTCGGGATGCGTGATACTGTTGACGATCTGCGTCGTGCGTGGATCGATGATAAAGATTGTCTTGTCTTCGGAGCCAGCCCATACCATGCTCTCCTCCATGTAGGCGTGGCACAGCAGGCAGGAGATGTTCCTGCTGGCGGGCGTTTTCAGCTGATTGATCAGCTCGCCTGTCGTCTTGTTGAAGATGTTGATGAGGCCATTGTTGGCGCCGGCCCACACCTGGTCTGAGTCGCCAAAGATCTCGGTGAGCGACACGATGAACTGGCCCGGCAGGTCGATCGTCTGAACGACCTCGCTGGTTGACGTTGAGATGATGGTGATCTTTTGCTCGGAGCCGGCCCAGATGCGCAGCTCGCCGTGCGAGTACACAGCCGTCAGTGATGTATGCAGGCCGGGGAATCGACCGCCGGTCTCGTCACGCACTGAGTCCTTGTTCCATACCGAGATGCCTGACGACGAAGATATCCATGCCTGGTCCTTGACGATGATCATTGAGAATATACGAGCGCCAGAGTTGGGCACCAGCACGTCAAACTCGCGTATAGTCGCGTAGGTGTCTGCATTGTATATCCTCACGGTGCCACCAGAGTCCACTGTCCACACCAGCTTGGCATCGCCGCTGCTGCTGCCGTTCATGATTGAGACGGCCTGGCATGTCTTTCTGTAACCGCCGATCTTGTAGTTGAAGGCCACCTGCATGTCACCGGTGCTTGTCGACACCGCATCGTTGATATCGTCGCCATATATGTGAGTCTGCTCCTCGAGCATCAGGGTGATCAGCAGCTTGATCTTGCCGGCGCCGGCCATCAGCTCCATCATGTCGTTCGTGCTGACGGCCTTGCCGCCCTTCCACAGCAGATTGGGGCCAAACACGACGGCCAGGTTCTCGGCCGTCATCTTGTTGAACGTGCTGTTCATGGCCACCTTGCCCAGGAAGCAGACGAGCTCGCGCAGCAGGTTCTGGTTGTCGGGACGCATGTCCGAGGTGATCTCACGCAGCTTGTCCACCTGCTCCTGGCGTTCTGAGCTATTGAGCACTCCCAGGAACTGGTCGTACTTCTCGACCTGCATCAGACAGTCTGGCAGCTCGCGGAAATAGATCTTGATCAGGTCGGCCAAGTCGACCGGGTCCAGCTTGCCCTCGACAAACTCGATCTGCTCGCCGCGGTCCAGCTGCGTCTGCAGCAGCTTGACGCGCTCCTTGGCGCCTGCAATACGGAAGATGCCCTCAATCTGCATTCCATACTGAATGATGAACTTGAAGCCACTGTGCAAGAACAAAGGTATTCGCAGCTCTGGATATGTCCTCCTCTGTGTACTCATCAAATCCACCAATGATGCTCCAAATATCTTTCCAGGTGTCGCTGTACCTGTTACTCCTGCTGCTCCATTTCTATATATTGTTGTCATTTATAATAGATATATATATATATATATGATGTATATGTTGTGTATGTGTATGATTGATTGATAGATTGATTGTCAAGTTGACCTTTTGAGGCCAATGTATAGTACAAGTTTGTTATCTTAATTGAATGAACGATGATGATGATGATGATGATGATGTGATTGAATGAATGAATGAAGTAGTTAATAAAAGAGAGAACAACAGTGTTTTATAACTTTGAATGATGCGAGAGATAGACAGACAAACAGACGATGCGCATGTTGGAGGACCATCCAACACTCTCTTGAAACCAACACAAACTCTCATTCACACTTTCAAAATACAAATATTTTAATCAAAAAAACGAATATCCTCCATGTGAATGTGTTTTGCAAGGTCTTTGGAGACCACAATGTGGTGATTGCAATCATAAAAAAAACAAAACAAAAACGAGTGTTGATGAATGACACAAACAAAGTTGGAATGGCACTATCAATCAAACAATCCCATCTTGGTCATTGCGTGTACATCACATCTACCCATCCATCCATCACATCAATCATTCAATCATATGATCGATCGAATAATAAGATGACTAGCGATGCAGTTCCGATGGTGTCGTCATGGATGGTCTCCATTCTTTGGTTAGTTTGCCGGGCCAATCAGGTGGCAAATCATTTTAGTAGTACTACAACATATTGGTAATGTGTATATGTGCGCACATGTGTTTCGGATTGGATTGGATTGGAGATATCGGTCGATTGGTGGATTGATTGAATGATTGATTGATTACTTGTTGAGAATGATCAAACTGGCCACCACACCAGCAGTACCAGCACACTTCAGAATTATGTTGACTGGAAGGAATGTCTTTCTTCTCTCTTCGGCAGTTGCATTAATGAACCTAATGATTGATTGGAAGATGATGTTAGTTTGGGATGTCGCAATCACAATCAAGCATGAATGATACATACTTTGGAACAAGCAAGTTGAGGATCACAGCGCCAATCCAATTCAAGACGACACGGATCAATGTGAGCTCCAAGTAGACAAGAGTGAGGTCATACTCGATGGCCAGGTAGAAGTATATCTATAGAGTCAAAGGAGGAGGATGAGTTAGTATGGATAATAAGTGGTATGGTCACGTGACATTATCAGTCATATGATCTGTCATATGACTTACAATTGCACGCGAGTTAATCAAGAAACGGTAGAGGAATAGGGAACCCAAGTTCTTCCAATGCTTGGTCTCGGTCCAGGTGTTCTTGATGGCAGTGAGCAGAGACTCGCTGGCGTCCTCCTCGGTGAGGATAACCTTCTTGAGGGGTGGGATAAAATCGACGATCAGCATGAAGGGGAACAGGTAGAATGGCAACAGGATCTGATCGAGCGAGTTGTAGCCAAACGCATTGACACGGAAGTCATTGTTGTAGAAGAGCGATGTCTCCATCCACAGCGCATTGGCCAGACACAGCAACATCATGGGGATGAGAATGCGCAAACTCATCATGGCCACGCGTCCAACGATGCTTAGCCAGTACTTCCAGTCCTTCTTGACGTATGGCGAGTCGGGCTGTGGGATGATGACCACGTTGTCGTTTAGAAGTGGGTCGGTCTCATTCTGCAGACTCTTGATGATTGGATACTCGTGGTCTTCGTCCTTCTTGTCGTAGGAGTAGTCGACCGACTCGTCATATTTGCCAGTCTTGCCAGCATTATCCTCCTCAACATCGTTGATCAGACCCTGTGGCGACTGTTCATCAGCGTTCTGAATGTTGGCTGTTCCATCCTTTGATGTTACCAATGGCTTTGGACTAAACTCTATCACACTAAGTATTGATCCAAGTATACCAAACACATAACTAATAATGATGATGTTGTGTTAGCGTTGGGACGAGTGATGATAGATTGATGGATGGGTGGCTCGTACATTAAAGGCGGGATAGGTTGATTGATTGGCTGACCAAATATTTTGTTCAAGGGATTGATCAGGAAAGTGGAGGACAGCGCGGCAATGACCAGGAACAACAGTCCAAGTGGCTCCTTATAAAGCATAACCTCTCCATTGTAATATACTATTGATGGATGTATGTACGAGTTCAAGTTAATTAATTTGTATGGAAAGTGATCACGTGATAATGATCACGTGATTTATCTGATGTCAGCTGACTTTACCAAAAATCAGATCGTTATATGTTACATACTAATATTGAACGCGCCATTACACAGTAGGAAGGGATGCAGTGCTATGGAGTGGAACATAGAGAATGGTCCTTGCGACTTGCATGGGATTACCGTGCAGTTGCTGTTTGGAGGTAGTGTGCAGTCCTCGATCTTGCCCTGGACGTCCAGCTGCTCGAAGCATGGCACCTTGACATTATTAATGTAGATGGCGCCTGTTATCGAGACGGGCAGTGCCAGCTGCAATATACTGAAGATTACAAACATCTGGATCGCTGTCATCAGACACAGACCAATCATCATATGTCTGGGCGAGTGCTTGAAGCTGACACGACTGCACCTCTGGCCAAAGCTGTCTCCGACCACAGACAACAGCTGAGCGCCAAGCAGCACCAAGAAGGGCGGCTTCTCCTTGTTCATGAACAACATGTTAACTATGTTCATCATCTCTTTCTATATATTATGTAGTTATATTAGTATATGTTTGTTATATTATATATTATGATTATACTAGTATGAATGTTATGAATGAAGTGGTCGGAGTAGATTGTGAAACGAATGTGATTGGTGTGTGTAAGTATGTGGTAGTGTGTAAGTTTGTTTGATCATGGGGGTTGTTGGATATTTATGTGTTTGATGGTTTTCGGCTTTCACTGCCGGGTCTCAAGGCTTTGCTCACACGCGTTACCCTTGAAATTTCAGATCGATATTAGTGCAAAAAGACGGGCTCACACCTACTTGTTGTAAAAGAAGTGATCATTGGCCTCATTACCGAAGAAAAAAGATACATACATCACGCGGAACTTGTAGATACCAGTTGATAATGGGCTACGTGTACAGGTGGTTCTTCGGTTGGGTGTCGGTGTTGGGCATTTGATTGAATAAACGACACTGATCACTACAATGTCGACATCTTACTCATTAATCACACATTAATTTTAATGTATGTGATCAAGAAGTGCCCAGTGATCAAACATCAAAGATATCCAAATATATCCATCATTTCCAGCCTTTAAATATTGAGAACAAGAATGACATGAATCCAGACGATCGTTGACCACGAGCACTGTCACTTGATTGATGTTGTTGTTCTTCCTCCTCATTGGGTACAGCAGGAATGATTCCATATATACATTCTGGTTGACCTTGGTCACCACTTGTGAGTAGCACATAGAGCAAGTGATGCTCGTCCATGTGTCGGAAGTGTAGTGAATGTTCTTCATAATAACTAAAGGCATGTCTCATCCTGATGGTCAAATAGTAGTTCTCGACATTGGGTACCATTGCTGCCATATTCTGAACCAGTGCTACCTGTACCCGCGCCTCACCCTTTGGATCAAAGTTGGCGATAGGTATTGGATCGTCAGAGTTGACTTGCGTAGTCAGAAGCCTTAGACGGTGAGGTGCAGGAGGTTGGGCTTCGAATGGAAGTGTCAGGTCGACGCCACCCGTGTCAATCTCCTCAATGTCGACTAACTGTGTCGATGGTGGAAGTAGTTGTAAATAGTGTAATTGATGATAGTTGGCGATATTGAGTGTTTGGAGACTGTTGGGGAAGTCGATGGCCGATTGGAAGCGGAACCCCATGGTCAATGATGTGAGTGTCTCTGGCAACACACCATCTTTCAATGGTTTGTTGTAGAATGATCCGAGGACGAGTGTGACGAGGCCGCTGGGAAGACATCCTCGTGTGAGTTGTGCATCGTAAGCCGAGTCCAATGTCAGTTTGGTGAGTGTCTTTGGTAGTTGCCCAGGCTTCAGTGCTTGATTCAAGTTGAGACCCATCTCAAGTGTGGTGAGCGATGACGAGAGTAGCCCTGTGTGTATCGCATGTGTGTATGACGTGCCAAAGACCAGAGTTGTCATGTTGACAGGCATTCTACCAACTAGTCTTTGGCTAAAATCGCTACCAAACACTAAATGGGTGAGCGATTGAGGTAGGCTTGCTGGCAACAGTGCTTGGTTAAAGTCGCGACCAAACACCAGATGAGTGAGCGAGGGAGGTAGGCTTGCAGGTAAGGTATTGTCAAAGTTGTTGCCAAACTTTAGATAGGTGAGCGAGGGAGGCAGAGGCTCGAGACCAAGTGGTCGATCAAAGTTACCGCCAAAGGTGAGTGATTGTAGCGTTGGTGGCAGGGTCCCAGGCAGGATATCTTGATCAAACATAAAGCCAAACTTCAAGATCAAGAGTGACCGCGGCAGTGCTGTTGGCAGCAACTCCACGTCGTAGACATAACCAAAGGTGAGATGTGTGAGCGAGGCTGGCAGCACACCCTCTTCTATCATCCAGTTGAACGCCATGCCCAATGTGAGTCGTGTGATGGATGAGGGCAGTGTGCCTGGTACAAGCTCATGATCGAACGAGCCCAGCACCAGCTCTTTGAGTGACCTTGGCAGCACGCCACTCAGGTCCTGATCGCCCATGTATCTGAGTTTTGTGATTGATTGAGGCAGCAGTCCAGGCTCAATCAGTTGATTATAGTGGAGTCCCAAGTCGAGTGATGTTAACGATGTTGGCAACACATCGTCTTCAATCAAAGTGTTGAAACTCTCGCCCAATGTCAAGCTGCGTAGTGTCGTCGGCAATGAACCAGACGTGATTCTTGTGTTGAACTGTCGACTAAAGGTCAGCGCAGTGATCTCCTGGCCATCATTATTGAGTTCTTCTAGCTTGTTGATCAATAGGTGACCGGGTGGTAGCGGGGTGTTGACAGGTGGATGCAACAAGCTTGGTAACAAGCTCTTCATTACATTGTTTAGCTTCTTGCATGTGGCACCAAGACACACAATGTCGAGTAATGATGGACCTCGCACTGACAATGACAAGAATATATCCTTCCAATAATAGTTTGGTAATGTATCCATTGATCGTGATGTTATTGGTGATTGAAAAATGATGAGATAGGGGTCAACATACAATCACATGATCGGTTGAAAGTGAGCATGGGACATGGTTGTTCATTAATACAATCTTGATTGATCTTCTACAACTCAGCCTTGTTTACATTATAATCAAGTGTCGGGGTGAGAGATGGAAACATCTTACAATTTTAATGATCTATCTTCATATTTAAACAAAAAAATTCATCATTATTAAATAAATATATATATTTTTCATAATTATTATTATATTATTAGGAATCTTCCTTTCAAGAAAGAATGAATAATGTAAAATTTTTTTTATAGTTTTATTATCTTTTATTTATTATTATATTCAATTTTATTTCTGCAACTTTGAATGATGTACCCGATGGTTTGTAAGTACAAAAGATAATAATATCTTTTTTAATCTGTAATATTGTTACTAAAATGAAATAATAATAATAGGTCATTCAATCTTCCTGATTTACATATATATTATGAGGTAGATGAGGGTCAATATTGAATTTCTATTTAAAGTCCATGGGACAACTAGGATAGATGGACATCACATCAATATTTGTCCATGACTCAATCAATAAATGAGGACAAACTTAATCATAAACATAATAGGTGGTAGCCTGGAAGTGTTTATTTCCACCATAATGATGAAGATAATGATGGAGTTGCTTTCTACAAGGCCGAACCAAGTTCTTGGGGATCAGAGGACTACTGGTCGTAAGAAGTGGTAATATCTGCTATGGCAGAAACAAATTTGTTCGGGCGCCACTTGGACACAAGCTCACTAATCTTCTCCATTGATGGCCTCCTTGCCCTCCTCTCTCGAGATTTTAAAGAAAAGGCCAACCCCATCAATCTCCTCAAAAAGGACCAACTCTGTTGATTGTGGAAGTAGTTAAAAATAGTGTAATTGATAATGGTTGGCGATATTGAGTGTTTGGAGACTGTAGGGAAAGTCGATCCCTATTGGCAGCCAAACCCATTGTCAATCAGGTGAGTGTCTTTGGCCAATGCACCATCTTTATTGCTATCAATAGTTTGGTATAGAAAGATCCTAGGAGGTGTGTAACAAACCAAATGTTTAGTTGATGGATTGAAAAAAGGATGATCACTTGAGTGGACGAGTGAGCGGGTGGGATGGATGTCCCATCAAAGTTAGTTGATCGTCTACAACTCGAACTTGTTTACATGATGATTATCAAGGATCGGGCGAAGATGTAAGTATTCAGGTTGGAATTTATCATCACCTACAACCAATCACGGGATTGACGGCATACTATAAATTCTAAATTAATTGCCAGTTGCTCAACAACCTTGCAACAACAAATAATTGGAATCTTTCCACCAAAGAATGGCTACTGGAAATAAGTTTATAATAGTATTATTCTCTCTATTATTTATTATTATTAATATTTGTATTTCTAATGTGGTTGGCGATAGTATGTAAGTAATAATATCAAAGTAATAATTATTTATTTAGATAATATATAATACTTATACTTATACCTCAATCCATAGGTCATCAAGTCATGGTCCTGAAGTAAATAAAGAGGGCACTGACCCCTTTGGTAAAATGTTTAACATGTACACTAAATTACCTTGAGGTCATAAATATTTGTAAATGCTAACACCCATCATATTGTGAATAAATATTGATCAATCAATAGTCAATCATAGTAGAGGTGGACACCACCTGGAGGTGTTTATTTATACCCTGATGATGAAGCTGTGGGTGAGGCGGCACCAAGATCTTGAGGATCAGAGGGTGACAGGTTGTTGTTGGTAAGTAGTAGTTGCTGCCACTTGTTCTGGCGCCACTTGGACACAAGCTCACTCAACTTCTCCAACTTGATTGGCTTGGCCAAGAAGTCATCCATGCCACTATTCAAACATCTGGCCTGGTCCTCCTTACTAGCATGAGCTGTAGTAGCAATGATTGTTGTTCGCAGTTGTGGTAGTTGATGTCCATTACCATGACCACGACCACTGCTGCAGTTACTGCTGCTTTGTTCTCGTTGTCTTATTGCCTTGGCCACTTGCATGCCGTCCATGCCCGCCATTGAGATGTCCAAGAACACTAGATCATAACGATGATTGTTGTCGAACCTGTCCAACGCTTCGCGCCCACTGGACACAATATCTGGCTTGCAACCTATTGACTCCAACATCTTCCTAATAACCATTTGATTCATATGATTGTCGTCCACCACCAACGTCCTAATCTCCAACTTATCATGTGGGCTCTGTATCGGTTCGACCCTGACCATCCTATGACTCCTCCTTCGTACCTATCATTGAGTGAGTGGATAGTGTGAGCGATTGATTGAATGATGGGTCACGTGGACTAATGAACTTACTCCCAGCATTGAGATGGTGCACTCGAGGAGGTTACACATGCGGATTGGCTTGGTGACGACTTCATTGATACCGCTTGACTTGGCTTCCTTCTCGAGTTGAGGTGATCGCATCTTTAGGGGGAGGAGTAGGAGGAATGGTACATTGATGCCAGCTTCTTTGGACATCGTGTGTAGGGTTTGAGAGACGCCCAGAACGTGGAAGCCAGCAGTTGGGTAGTCAATGATGACCATCGAGTAATGTCGACCATTGGTTATTGACTCATTCCATTTGTTAAGTGCGCCAGGCGGGTCTGATGAGTCCAGTGCGATGTTCCATGCACTCATTTGCTCCTTTAAGAACTTGACTTGGTTGGCGTTGCTTCCGACCATCAATACACGCGCTCCCTTGAAGTCTGGTGGTCGCTCACTGCTCACGGTGTACTGCACTGATCCGCCGACAGGATGCTCCTCAGCCGACGATGTTAAAGATGACGATGGTGATGGTGATGGGGATGGCGACTCCTTTGGGACCGACTTGAACTTGAGTATGGTCCAGAATGTACTCCCCAGACCATATTGACTCTCGACACCAATCTCACCTTTGAATGCCAACTGCGCCAACTCCTTGCAGATGGCCAGTCCGAGACCACTGCCAGCGTACTGTCTGGCAATGCTGCCCTCTGCCTGTGTGAATGCTTTGAACAACAAGGGCAGTGCTTCCTTCTTGATACCAATGCCTGTGTCCTTGACCTCAAGCTTAAGCGTAGTCGTGCCCGACTCAATATTTACAACTTGGCACGTTACAATGATCTCTCCATTGTCTGTGAACTTGACTGCGTTACCAATCTGATCATTATAGATTGGAATAGTGATTGATAGTCAGCAAGATGTCATCGATAGATCAATCAAATTAATCAAACATACCAGGTTTGTGATAATCTGTTTCAACTTGCAAGAGTCACCAATCAAGTTGTGAGGCGTACTGGGATGTATGAAGCACATGAGGTTCAAGGCCTTGGACTGTGCTCGCTCTCCCATCAACTCGCACACCTCCTCAATAGTGGTCCTAATGTCAAACTCGATATTCTCCACATCCATCTTTCCAGACTCAATCTGAACGATCAATAAGTTAGCTCGTGGTCAATCAATACATGGATCGACTTGAGATACATACCTTTGATATGTCCAATATATCATTGAGGATGTTGAGCAAGGAGTTTGAGGCGCGCTGTACAATCTCCAGGAATTGGAGTTGGTCCTCGCTTGTGGCAGTCTTGCACAGGAGCTCAGTCATACCAATTATACTATTCATTGGTGTGCGTATATCATGACTGGTCTTGTTCAATCTCCATCTTGATGATTCCAACGTCTTCTCCTGGTGAGCAGTCCTCGACTCCTCATCCATACGTCTCTGTGTAACATCTCTCTTTGAACAAACATAATAAATTATCCTCTGGAATCCATCAAATACTGGCGATACATTGGCTTCCTGTTTTGATTGTTTCGATCATGATTGGGTGGGTGAGTGAGTTAGTGATTGGAATAGTTCCAATGAGTGATTGAATGATTAGCTTACGAAATATATGACCTTGCCCAACTGATGCTTGGTCCTGATTGAGCCATGCCAACTCTTTCCAACAGTTAGTGTGGCCCACATTGCTGGAATGATGTCCTGGTTATCGATCAGATTTGAGAACTTCTTGCCAAGTATCTCCCATCTCGCATATCCAACTGCTTTGGATGTTACATGATTCAAGTACTTGATGTATCCATCACTAATATGATTGAATGAGTTAGTGTGAGTAGTTGAGTTGATTGATCGAGTGATCACATTACTTACGCGTCCCAAATCTCAATGCCTTCGCCACTGTACTCGATACAGTTGATTATCTTGCGTGTGCTGTTTGCCAACTCATCTGCCTTCCTCATGCAATGATGCTCGCCAACCATCTTCTCAGCACAGTTCAGTCGAACGTCCAGTAGGATGGATGATAATGGATGATGAATGTAATCATTGGCACCTGCGTCCAGAAGTAATGACCATTCAGCAGGTTCATCACTCTTTGATATAACTATGATGACACTATGTGATCCAACAACATTCATCCTCAGATCGCGTATAAAGTCCACTACCTGTCCATCAATGTCGTGCGTGGTTGTGGTGGTAGCAGTGGTCGTTGTCCTGTAGCCAGCGTCAATGACGCTTGAATTGTTGTGATATGATTGTGTTGAGGATGAGGATGAGGCTGGAGTGGCTGCCTCCTCGACGATGGTTGGGAGGGGCGAGCTGCGTCCCAAGGATGTGGTTGCCCTGCCAAAGTCACATCGGCCATCGACATGTATGTTGTCCGATGATGGACATGTGCACTGATTGATGATGATCATTGAGAATGGATCCTTCTGATGCAACTGACTGATGAGATCAATGTCTGGCAATGTGTTGGTGACAGTGTGTCCGCGTCGCTTCAATGTGTTGGCCACCATCTGATTGATTGGAGCATGTGGCTGCTGAACCAGCAGGGTCTTGAATCTGTGGCTCTTCTTGTAGTGATCAAAGAACATTGAGTCTGGCGACTTGAGCACCTCGAACAACATTGTGAACTCGTTCTTGGGCACCTTTGAGACAATGGTCGACAGTTCAGACATGCGTGCATTCGACTCGCCCATTGTGAAGCTGAAGGACTTTGGTCGTCTGAGTCGATCATTTGGTGACTCTGGTACCCATGCTCCCGATGCTACGGGTACAGGTCCAGGTGGTGATTCGCCTGGGTCTGTTGCCCGGTGTCCACCAGGACCACGTAATGAGCCCATTGGTACTGGTGGCGAGACAGGTGTAGTTGGCGAGGGTGGTGTAGTAGGAGGTGGTACAGACCTCTCCAGTCCCAATCTTTGAAGACTAACCTTTAGTTGTGGTGAGTAGAATCTTACAACCCTAAGGATGGTACGTGATCAGGTTGTTGTTAGTGTATGTGGGGGGAGGGACATGTCATGGCTGACATACTTTGCCTTGTCAACAACATCTGATCGTTGTGATTGGAATACACTGGACTCTGGATCAAGAGTGGTGGACCTCTGTCTGGACAGGTCCCTGTTCCAACTCATTGTCTGATCGTTTGATTGATTGATTGCAATTGAATGAGTGAATAAATAAATAAAGTGATTGATTGAATGATGAGGGACAAGCAATGAGAATGAGTAGTATGGAAGTAGTAGTAGATGAGGAAGAATAAGGAGAGATTAACTAATGTTGGTTAAGGAAGAGGATGCAATGGAGGTGAGTGTTGTTGTGCCCCGACCATGACCACGGAGCTCGAGATGGCAGGTCCTTAATTAAACAACCTGACATCCATCATTTCTCATGGTTGCAATGTTGTCACAACACAACATCATCAACAACAACACGAACAAAGTGGATAGATAGAAGGGGAAGAGGAGTTGCTGACCATGTTGGTGTGATGGAAGGGGGATTGAGAAGTTGTTGTGTGAGGACCAGCCCAAATACTTGAAAGGTTGCAAAAAACTTCCCGTTTGTTGTGTCTTTTGCGTTGCAAAACGCTAAAAAAATTACTAAATCAGGCCAAGAGGTACGGACTTGTGGGGCAAACTGATCACATGTGCATGGTTTCATCATAATAACTTATTGGTCCTCATTTACCTCGTTTCATCTCCATTGGAGAGTTGGTTTCTTTGATGTCACCCCCCCTTCTCATTCGTCCAAACATCCATCATTGATTGATGGAATGATTAGTGAAGATAATACCATGAATGGTATGAAAGGTGGATGCATACGTCCAACCTAGTTAACTCACTCCATCCATCACCATCCCTGGCTTAGTATTAAACCTTATCAACCTACCAATACCTTGGAAGGGCATGGAATTGCATGGACCATCAGTTGTTTGTTTATGATTGATCAAACCTCTTTGTAGATTGAATAGACACTCCTTGTATCGATCATCACAAACATATCTGGTGTGATGGAAGGACGAGCGAGCACTCTAGATTTATTGGTTGGATGAATGGATGTACCTCACACTCAAGTCGACTGGGCGTGATCAGTTGATAGATTGATTGAATGATTGGACCATGACCGGTACCTGACTGGACTGATTATATGTTTATTAGAATATAACTCACTCACTCAACTCACTCACTCGATCAATCAATCAGAGTCTTCATCCTCTGAAGACAAAGAGTCAGAGTCTGCTTCATAGTCATGCTCATCTTTGGTAAAGTTTCCATCAACGTCGTCAGTGTCCAGTTCATCTTTGGATGAGCTGGAGTCTGCTTGAGAGGAGCGTGCGGGGGGACCATCCAGGACAATCTCTTCTTCCTCGGCACCGCACTCTGTGATCTTCTTGCGCTCTTTGACAACTGGTGGCTTGTCATTTGCAAAGACAAATGAGGTTGTTCCAGTGCACGCGGCACTCAGCATCTTGTCTGGGATGGTGGACATGTCGTGGTAGTGTTTGTAGTCGGCCAACTCGGTCAGACACATCGTGTCTCGCTTGAACTTTTGGACGCGCTCTGTGGGACGTCGCGCGCCACAGTGGCATACTCCAAGCATGTCGTGAGTATCGCAAATAGTATCCTCACGCAGATTAAAGATGTCCTTGAGGTCCTTCTGATCGAAGGATGGCGCATTGTCAGAGTCTCCCTCGACGACACTGACCGACAGCGCCATCTTGGTGATCTGGCGCTGATAGATCTTCTCCTCGATCGTGCCGGTCGAGAGCGTGCGATAGATTGATACGGGTTTCTTCTGGCCCTCTCTCCACACTCTGGCCATGGCCTGTGCGTCGTTGGCCGGGTTCCAATCGGGGTCGAACAGCACCAAATGATTGGCACCAATCAAGTTGAGACCAATACCACCGGCCTTGGAACTGAGCAAGAAGATGAACTGCGGGTTGGCTGGGTTGTTGAACAAGTTGACCAGCTCCTGACGTCGCTGGATGGGCGTCGAGCCGTCCAGTTGGAAGAACTCATACTTCCTCACCTTGCACATCTTGGCGAGCACGGTGAGTGTCTGTGTGTAGTTGGAGATGACCACGACGCGGTCCTTGGTCCTGGACTTGATCTGCTGCAGCAGGATGTCGAGGAACTGCAGCTTGCCAGAGAATTGTGGCTGGAAGTTGTTGAGATTGAACTCCTTGGGGAACTGCTTCATCACAGAGTCGGCGAGCTCGCGATCCACCGGATCCTCCTTGTCATTGTCGGCCATATATATCAGTTCGGGGCAGTTTGACAACTTCTTTAGCGTAGTGATCAGTGGTAGTGCGCCAGTGAATGATCCAAACTGTCTGGCCTTGACTGCCTCAATCAAATGCTTATACAATGTCTTTTGCAATGGTGTCAACTCACAGAACACCGTATACTCTGTCTTCTTTGGCAAGTATTGAGTGTTGACTGCAGCCGTTCTTCTTAAAATGAACTGTTGGGTAAGTCTTGTCAACTTTGGATAGAGTGTATGAATGAATGAGTTAGTCATGTCCACGAATGAATGAGTGCGGACTACCTACGGCCAATGATCTCTCTCTTCCAAGTCTTTTGTCCTCTGATGTGGCGTCGGGAAGACGTGAAGCGAGGATGGGCGCGTTATATACATTGTTGAAAGTGGAGACGGAACCGAGTACGCCTGGATTGACAAAGTTGACCATGGCGTAGAATTCAGTGAGGTTATTCTGGATGGGTGTACCGGAGAGGATCACACGACGCTTGGTTGGGATCATGTTGACGGCCTGTGTGGACTTGGCGTCGGCGTTCTTCATCCTGTGACCCTCGTCACAGATGATCAGGCCGATCGAGTCGATCTTAACGATCTCGTGTATCCAAATCCTCAGCTGATCGTACGAGATGACCAGCACGTCGGACTTGCCCAGCTCGAGCTCGGCCAGCTTGGCCAGACCCAGCTTGGTGGACTGACCAATGGCCACAGGCTTGATGCCGTCGCCCAACCACTTTTGCAACTCCTGACACCAGTTCCTGACCAAACCGGCTGGTGCCACGATGACCGCCTTCCTGCTGGTGGGCTCGCCGCGGATACCCTGCTTGAGCAGCGTCCAAAGGATCGTGATGGCTTGAATGGTCTTTCCAAGACCCATGTCATCGGCCAAGATACAGCCATTGCCAAAGTTGCCGCGGAATCCAGCAAGACAATCAAACATGAACTGAACACCGATTCGCTGATGAGGTCGCAGCTTGGCGGCCAGGATGGGGTCGACCACAACGGGTATGTTGTTCTCGCCCAGTTGATCCTTGGGCTGGTAGAGGACGACGGCGTTGGGCGAGTATGGGTTGTGCAGCGGCTTTGTCAGACGCTTCACCTTCTCCAGACCTTTGAGGGGCACGACAAAGCCCTTGGGCTTGGCCGCCGCCGACAGTCTGAACTTGAGCTTCTTCTCGCCCTTGGCTTCCTCCTTGCGCGTCTGCACGATCATGTCAGTCTTGAGGAAGATCGTGCCCTTTTTGTACTCGTCCTCCAGAACGGTGATCAATATCTTGACCCATTTGTTGCCGATAGTCATTGTGAAGTCCTCTTGAAAGTAGACCTCCTTCTTCTTGATCAACACCTTTTGTATCTTGCCGCCACCGCCTTCGTCGTCGTCTGTGGCGCCCATGCGAGTGAGTGTTGCGCGACCAATCTGCTTGCCCTCCATCGAGATGACGACCACGGCGTCATAGGTGACCTCGAGGATGGCCATGCCGTCGTCGCCCGCCTTTTGAATGTTCTTGTAGTTACATAGATAGTAGAGTGGCGGTGAGTCGAGTTGCATCACCACGTTCTTGCCCTTGCGATCCTCGTCAGCAATGCTGATTGGTCCCGCTGCCGATGTGGATGCGGCTGCATCGTCATCCTCTGATGACAACTTTGTCTTGCCCATTGTAACATTGAACAACTCTAAATGATTGATTGGCCTCATTGGTGCCTGTTTCTTTCTGCTCTTCTTTGTCATTGCTTCCATCAACTGTTGTTGTTGATCCAACAAGTTCTCCAATGATGGTAAATGTTCTGTCTTTTGTTTCTTTTCATATAATGATGATGGTGCCAATGATCTCTTCATTGTATATCTGTATGTATGTTATATGTATGTATGTATCTGTGTTATGTGTATCAAGTTATCACATTCAACACAATTCACATTCATCACACTTCATGGGATAGAGATAATCACTAAATTCTAAGAAATTCCATTTTTTGCAAGAACTTGAGATCAGGTGATTCTTCACTTTCAAACAAAGTTAGTGAAAGAGAGATAATGAATGAAAGAGATATTGACAAAAATAACATTTGCCCTCAATCTTCAATTTATCAATAAATTAATAAACATATCCAAAAAAGGATATTAGCCCAGAAGACGACAAAACGACTCGTTTTTTCATTTGTCAGACAATCGAGTTAGAGTGAAGGTGTAGAGATAGATAACAAACAATGTCATTCTGGCAGAATATACATTCACAACAGGAGGAAGCTACAATTGATTATGATGACTATGATGAAGATGAGGTTCAAATCGTTAAAGAATCAGATAAATATGATCAAATACATGTAAAGATTGAAGAGTTACAACGTAGTTCACAACAACGAGACAAAGATGATGATGACGATGACAATGTTGACGAATATGATGAGGATGAAGTGTTCAACTCACAGCAACAACGACAACAACAATCGACAAAGCCAACTACATCAACGACATCAACATCAACAACATCAACAACAAACAACAACACTCAACCAATCAAGAGACCAAGAGATGAAACAACGAGTACTGAACATAATGATGTATCGATAAAGATTAAGAAGTCAAGAATATTTGGACCTCCAAATGAGGTCAAACAGGAGCCTCCATTCGACGTATCATCACTCAGACCTTATATGAGCAAGGAGGCCGACGAGGTCTATTCCCAACTCTTTCAACTGCCACTTCGATGGCCAGTCTACGATCGCAAGATTCGACACGAGTACAGCGAGGAACGAGTCCTTCCTCACAACCTCTCCGATCTATACCTCGACCTACTCCAAGACAACATCACTCATATCTGGGATGTCATTCACTCCGTATGTCCTCATTTGAGCAATCCTTGGCAATCATTAACATTCATTGATTGAATGGAAGCAATGCTAACTTCATCACACAAATAGGAGAACAAGACACCGCTCATGCCTAATATGGTCACAGTGCTATCGATGATGTCATGCACATTCCTTACAGACCTCTTGGACAACATATTCTATCACAATGAGTTGACAAACTACCGATTCAGTAAATCAGTTCATACATTGATAGGACGAACCAAGGAGGTCACAATCGAAGAGGTCATCCGCGCTGCAAGAGCAATCGATACACCAAAGTATGTTATGTACAAGGATGTACTGGAATGGAATGGATCACTGACCCATCACTTTACCACAGCATTGATGTAATACTTAGGAAATCAATGCCGGTGCTTAACAAATTGGCCTCGGTCGTCAATGACTACAATAACCTTGACAACAAGATTGCACGTCTAAGGGAGGAGGTGACAGGTATGTGTAATTGATGGATGAATGGATGGACACATCAATCAATCCAATCACTAACTCAATCAAAACTGGAATAATTCCAATTAATTTAGAACCAATTCGACAACTGTTCAAACCTGGTTGGAAGGTCAAGGTGGCAAGGTTGGCGAATGGCTTTTATTATGTTACTCCGCTTGGCCGTGTTATAACAGAGGGTGTCAAGATGGCCCTGTGTCGTTGTTATCAAAAGGAACATAGTGATCCATTCATTATGAAGAAGGTACAAATCTACAACAACCTGATGACGCCGATATGGAAGGCCGAGAAGGAGATCCGAAAGAACCCAGCAGCGTACGAGCGCAAGAATGATGGACACATCCATCATTATCGCTTCCCATTCATTGAAGAAGAAGGCTTCAGGCAGCTCAGAACAAAGTTCAGAAAGTACGCCGCCAAGTACAAGACCAGCATAGCCTAAGCTCAATGAATGTACATATTTCACACATCTGCGATCGTAGACTAGTCTCTCAAGTAAATGCACTCGACCCTCTGGCATGGTCCGGGCCAGCTGGTCTGACTTAAACGCCAGACCTTGGCCAGGCCGACAATGCCGCCACCATTCAATTATCCACACTACTTTATGTTGCACTTGATTCGATGATTGTTCGCTGCCCTCTCAAGGGTGGCCTGACTTTGTGAATGAAGATGAATGGACTTGGTGTAATTGAGCTACAAGTAGTAATATAACATTGATTGAGTTAGTGAACGATCATGATCATGATTGGAGATGGGATATACATACTTAAGAGAAAGTGGTGTGACGAATATATACTGCCTGTTGGTGTTCTCTTTGGCCTTGCCAAGGAGGAGATCGATACTGATACGACGATTGACTTCGTCCATGAAGACATCGAACTCGTCCATGGCTCTGAACGGACACTCCATGGCCTCCCAGAGGGATAGCAGCAGCGAGACGGTGGAGAATGATCGCTCACCGCCCGACAGTTGCTTGGTGTCGCCCTGCTTGGCGGGCGTCTTGTTGGGACCGCTGACGGGCGCCATCTTATTGAGTTGCACGTCGACCTTCAGTCGCTTTTCGTCGTGATCGAACTCGATGCCGCCAGAGTAGCCCTTCTTGGACAAAAAGATGTTGAAGTAGAGCGCCGTACGACGAGAGATCATCATACGGAACTTTTGCCACTTGGCAAAGCGCGCGTCCAGATGTGTCTTCATCTCCTGGTTGAACTTCCTTATGACCTCGCGCGTCTCCTTGACCTCGAGCAGACGCGACTGCGAGTCGCGGTACTGGGCGTACACCTCTGCACGGTTGCGCTTGCCTCGCGACTCGTCCTCCAGCTTCTTGGTGGCCACCTGAATCTCCCTGATGAGCAGCTCGGGTACCTCGCGTGCCGTCACATTTACACGATTGCAGAACTGCTCGGCTTTGCTGCGCTCGGTTTCCAGCGTCTGCTTCTCCTCCTCGAGCTGCGCCTTCATCGCGTCAATCTTCCTCTGGACGTTCTGCGCCTTGACCAGCAGCGAGCCCTCCCTCTGTCTGTACTCGCGCTCCTTCCTCATCATCGCCTTGAGGTTGTTGTCCAGCGAATCCAGTTGAGCCTGCACGGCGTTCTTCTCCCTATCGATGGCGTTGATCTGTTGCATGAACGGCTTCTTCTTGTCTTCGATGCCCTTGCGCTCCTGCTCAAACTCCTTGATCTGCCTCTGAATGCCTTCGATCTCCTCGTCCATCTGATGTATGCCCTGCTCCAACTCCTCAGTCGAGTCCTCGGTCGACTCGACGATCGTCTCCTCAATGTTCTTGACCTCGGTTCTCATGCCCCACAGACTCTTGTTCAGACGGCTGAGCTCCTGCTCCTTCCTGTTGATCTCGTTGGTGAGCTGTGTGTGCGCAGACCTGGCCTGCTGCTCCTGCTGTCGCTTGATGTCGTAGTCTGGTCGCAGGTTGTCCATCTCGCCCCTGAGCGACTGGACGATGGCCTCGACGTTGGTACGCAGCATGGTGGCGTGGGCACCCCTACGCGCTGACGTAAAGTTGCGACCGGACCTTCCTGTAAATATACGGTCTCCTGTTATGGTGAGAGCGTCGTGTAGGTGATCTGGTTGCTGCTCATATATAATATGTTCTCCTTGCTCTCTAGTCTCCACCAGCACGCAAGAGTGTATCTTCCTCGCGTCGATCAAGTAGTTGAGTACCTGAGGTGTGTCCGATTCCAATGCCCTTAGGATGGTCAGGTAGCTTGGGTCAATGTTCATTGAGAGTACATCGGGATAGACCTGATTGGAAAACTTGACAATGATATACTCAAAGTCACTGGTGATTGATTGATTGATTGATATGTTAGCCAATACTCCACTTGGGTAGTGTTGCGTCGTCATCGACTACACTTACCGCATGCCCAACTCCCTGGCCATGGCAGATATGAGCTCTCCATCCGCGTGGTTCTCAACGAGGAACGACTTGAGCATTGGATGTGTGATGCACGACTCGATGGCCAAGGCCCACTTCTCCTCCTTGACCTTGAGCCTCATGCCCAATGGTCCAATGGGCATTCTGCTGAAGCGTCTGGCGTTATCTTGGAGCTTCCTTAGCAGCGCGGGCATCTTCTCGCCATAGACTCGCGAGTTGTCGCCCTTGGACGCCTCGAGACCCTCAATCTGCTTCTGAAGCTTCGACATCTGATAGTTTACATTTTTGGTCAAGCCAGTCAGCTCATTCAGCACTCTCGAAGAGTCTGATTGATCACTCTTCAATGTGTTTAACTCTGTGCCAAGCTGTTGATTGATTGATTGATTGATTATGAGTTAGCGAGTGGCGTGATTGAATGAATGAATGAGAGACTACAACATACCGTGTCTGCCCTGGCTTCACCCTCTTGGAGCTTGGCGTTCTTCTCTTGAATGGCATCGTACTTGCTCTGATTGTTCTTGGACTTTGCATTCTTGGTCTTGATCTCGTTGATGGCCAAGACCTGCTTCTGCTTGCGACCTCTGAAGATGTTCATACGCTTGACCTGATCATCGATCTTGGCCACCACCCTGGAGTCCTCTTTGGACACCTCGTACAGCTGCAGTTGAATGGCCTCCTTCCTGTCCTCGATCGGCTTGATAGTCTCGTTGATCTCTGTGGCCTTTTGTCTGGCCTGCTGTATCTCGCCCTCGATCTTTAGGATCATCGCATTACAGGCATCCATGTCGCCCTGCTCGTTGGCCGCCGTCTCCTGGAAGGTCTCAAACTCCTTTGACTTGCCGGCGATCGTCTTCTCCAACGCCACCACGTATGCCCATGCCAGCTTCTCTTTGAGGGTCGTGATCTTTTGTTCCAAGTTGACCACCTCCTCCAAGCTCTTGTACTCCTCCTTCAACTGCTCCACCTTCTTCTCCATCTCTCCAATCATAATAGTCTTCTTGCTCAATGTCTGTTCAATGTTCTTGATATGATCGTCGATGAAGTTGTAGTCCTTCCTCATCTGGCCAAGTTGTGTAGCATTAAGGAATAACTAAATGATTGATTGCATGAATGAATGATGTAAGTGAGTGAGTGAGCAGACCAGTCGATCAATCAATCAATCAATCAAACCTAACATACGTTGTACTTTGTCTGTGGAGTGGACTCATTGAGGAACTCTCTGCTGGTGTCCTGCATGAGAATGCACATTGGGTTGTCGATCTGGATGTTGAACTCCTCTAGGATGAGCGAGAGGTCGTTGTACCTTGTCGAGATGGTCTTCTTGCCTGTGTGATCTTTAAGCTTGTAGTTGGATGGGCCATTCTTATTGATCCTCCTCTCAATGATAATCGAAGGTCCATACTCTTCAGGTCTATATGCATTTGGTCCTCTATTCCTCAGCTTTACAGATATCAGTGCATGGCTTGAAGAATGATTGATTGATGTTAATAATGATTGAATGATTGAGTGAGCAGGTGAGCTTACCTCGCGTCGTTCTTGACTAGATCTGTTAGCTTGTGACCTCTGTTGGTGAAGCCAGCCTTGGCACCAAGACAGATGATCAGTGCAACAAGTAGCGCACTCTGTTGTTTGAACGAATATGAATGAATGAGTGATGAGCATGTGATTGATTAAGCGAGCACGAGTGTATATAACATAACATACCTTGCCACTTCCATTCTCACCAGAGATAAAGTTGACGTTGGGACCGAGCTTGATCTCAAAGTGACGATGACACATGAAGTTCTCGAGAGTGATTGACTCGATGATGCCGAGCTCAGACTCATCCTGCTCGTTGATTGCGTTGACATCGTCGTCCATCTCCTCATCAGAAGTGTCTTCATCTTGGACCTTTGTATTGGTCTTGCGTTGTTGGGGTGCAGCAGCAGCAGCAGCCTTTGCTCCGTGTCCATTGCTGCTGGCATGTCCATTCATGTTGCCATTGCCTTTACCATTGCCATTGCCATTGCCATTGCCGTTTCCATTAGACTGTTGTTGCCTGCTCCTTGAGGATGAGATTGGTGTGATTGGCTGTGAATGTTGAGCATTGTTGTTGTTGATGATGTCACCATCCATCGACACATCAATCACTATATCCTCTAGACTACTGTTGAATGGGTCTTGTGATGCGCTTGATGATCTTGTCGTGGTCGTCGTGGTCGTGGTCGTTGTAGTTCTTTTCAATCTCTTATGATTGCCACCATTTGGTTGAGAGCTCTCCACCTCATCATCCTCCTCCTCCTCCTCACTACTATCCTGTTGCTTTCTCTTTCCAACCATTATTATCTCTAATTATTATTATTATTATTTAACAATAAAATGTTTGATTGATTTGATGTTTGATATTATTGAATATCTAATGTGACTGTGTTGTACACATTAACATTGAGTATATATGTATGTATGTATGAATATAATAATTTAAATATAAATAAATGTTGACGTTACTGGCTATGAACTAAAGCCTTTGCATTCGCGTCTTTCATTCATTATGTAGAGTGAGTCCTTCAATGTGCTTGCTCACCCACTTTCTTTCCTTCTTTGTTTTTTTGATTTTTTGTTTTTTCCAAATAAACGAATTGAATTGGAGCGCAAGTTCCAATTCTAACTTCAAGTTTGAGTACCTTAAAACTTATTTATTAATAGTCCAAGTTAATATTTATAACTAGTAATAGTAATAGTAATACTAAATAATGACGACAAGACAGAGACAAAAGATACAAGATATCAATACAGGTGATGATGCATCATTGCTCAATCAAACAACATTCCATTCATTTGTTGCTCGTGCTAGACATGAAGCATTGACATCTTGTGATTACTTCAAGTTGCACACCTCTGATACAGATCGTTCAATTGATAATCTATATGAAGAGTTTCATATTGTATGTATGACATTGATTACATAAAGTGTTTGAATGATCACTAACTCATCGCGATGTAATAGTGCATGACTATGTATGATAGGACTAATGTCATTGATGTTGTTATTGGTGATGATTATGAACAGATACAGACCACATCAAGTCTGGTCAATGAACTTGACTTTATACTTGAGACATTGAATGATCGATCGGCCAACATACCTTTGTTTGCAAAGGAGGTAAGTGGATGAGTGAGCGATGTCGCCCGAATGTACCATGTACACTCTAACTAACGCAAACATACACCATTGAATAGATAAGCCAGAAGTTGATTGATAACAAAGCATTCATTGCTAATATGCAGAGAAGAGTTGATACGAATGATACAAACTTGAAGTACTTCAAGTCTGTATTGCTGCAGGCAAAGAGAAGGCTTGTGAATGGAGGTGCCGATGAATCAGACTCGATCATATCAAACAACAACAGTAACAACAACAACAACAACAAGGAGCGAACGACCGTCAGTTCAATCTCACTGGTATACACTCTGTTGCCAGTGGGTGCAGCACTCATGGCTCTATTCATTGCCACAATCGTCTACTATTGGTGATATCCTATCCCCCATCTCATCCTACTTCCCCAGCGATGATCATCAAACCTTCACAGTCAGTCAGCCATTCATCAGTCAGTCTTGCAGGACTGACTGAACAACTCCATCATACATTGGAGAAAGAATGTTGCCATTCATACTGAGTCGAATGGACTTTTCCATACGTGCTTGGCATGAGTCAACCATGGTAGCGGCCCAGTTGGCGACACAATAGACCAAATGGTAATTTGGCTTGGCTTGGCTTTTAGCTCGACACTATTGCGATCACATCCATCATTAATGGCAAGAGAGAGAGAGAGAGAGAGTGGACAATATTGACCAAGATAGCAAGATGGACAAGTCCACATTGTCACTCTCTCACCTCACATCAAGAACCCGATGTTCAATTAATACAATGTGTGAATCTAACTTCATTGAATCCATGGTGATATACGACTCCTAAAGTGTTGGACTCTGATTGGTGAAGACAGCAAAGATCGAAGAATAAGTTCCCATTAGTATTAGTTTCCAGGTCCAGCCTAATATATTACGTGAGATCACATTCACATGTCATAACATTCACTAACACAAAAACTCCGAACGCGTAGGACTACAACAGATGGATTACCAAAGGTGAGCGTGTGTGTCGAACAATGTGCGCCACAACCACATCCATCGTTGTAACAACATTGAATACCATTTCCATTCATATTGACACTCTTGACATTGTGGTCTCATTCGTTTCGCTGCATTTAGAAGGTGTCGGTTGGTCAAAGACAATGAAAAACGTGTGTTGTGGGGTGTGTGGGTGGGGTTAGGCCGACCGAAGCCTAAGTGAAGCCTCACACGATACATGCAGGGCAGTTGGTAATAGAGATAAAGATAGATCATTGTTGGATTCTTGAAGTTTTGAATTCAATGACTGTACTTTGACTAAAGTCAAAGAAGGAGTGACAGGGGGAACGTTCCCCGGCCGGGGGTGTGTACTGAGATGGTGGCAGCATGGTGGTGCTTGGTGATAGGCCGAGTATCAGTGTCAGAGTGTGGGGGTGGACTGAGCAGGAAGCTGCCGCTGTACAGTTACTTCCCAAATCTCACAAAGTGATCTGACATTCGTTGTCCTACTCCTATCTATCTTGTCAATCTTACCCCAGCCACCCCCACCCGCCCATCAACCTGCTTGGCCCCCACCCGACTGTCCTACCAATATGGTAACATCCAAGTCCTAATATAACCAAGAGTAGTGGAATTATAGGTAGATCGATGTATAGATAGATACAACAGTTAAAGATTGATATATATACTTATATTCCAATGTCATCTTCAAAGTCCATTACCTTGAACTATCAATCAAGTAATATATAACTTCACCTATCTGTTTATCTTCTACATCATTCTATGTTGAATAATAATTATATCCAATTATCTCTAATACATCAATCACTTGTTTGTATGTATCATTCATTCAATCAATCACTCAATCACTCAATCAATCAACATGTCTTCATGAACCCATTCATTATCTGCAAAGCCATCAACCCATCTGTCACCCAACCACAATTCCCATGATCACACAGACTTGTGTAGCCATAGTTATCATCATTCATTCGCCCCCATTCGATTCGGCACTTCATCCATCACACACATCCACACACTTATACTTTGCCAATTGCAAACATGTTTGTCGTTCGTTTGCCATCAACTACACGCATGGTCGCACGATTGTACTTTGGGACCACGCTAAGACACACACGCACACTTCACTTGTTTGTTATTGTTGTTGTTGCTTAAGGTAAAGCAAGAGGTGCGCATAGGGTGCTGCATGCATTGGACCAACCATACCACTTCATTCATCGACGCTACTCGTCTACTCCTCACTTTACTCTACTCTTCTTTGGAAGAAGATGTTGTTGTTAGAGAGAGCAGAGTTAGATTAGATTAGATTTTGTTAATAGACACAATAATTTAAATATTTAAATGTCTAATGTTGTTGCAATGGTCACAATTCAATGTATTATCCACATGTTTGCAACTTAAAATGACGAGAGAAAGACAACTCGGTAGTGACCACGGCAGTTGATGCGCATCTGTCATCGTCTCTACGGTCGATCATACAACCCTCATCCGGATGTCAATGGCCCGCATTAGTATGCGGGCATCGCCATTGACCACACTCACAATCATACACATACGGCTATTCAAAAGCTGATCAACTCTTTTTTTTTTTTTATTCGGCTTGTGGAGACAGTCCGGCCCAAGTGGCCCACCTCTCATTGCCAACGACGTCGTAAAATGTAAAATATCAGCAAAAACGATCACATCAATCGCTGCATTTGTCATTGAAAAAACCGTGGGCCAGTTCCTTTGCTTGTAACGACATTATTGCCTCTGGAAAGCTTGCTACCACAAAGCGAATGGTGTTCGTCGAGTTGAGAACAGTCCTCTGCGGCAACTGGCCCACACGGCAGGCAATGTCGCCAAAACAAACCCCCACACGAGTGTTGTATCTCATAAAGATATCTAGTGTGGTCCCGGCCTCACGAGGCCATAGCCCAATACTAAAAGTATGTGGGGGCCACTCATACACACACACTCTCTCTCACTAACACACTATGTTGATAGAGATAGATAGTTAGATACGATGTACTACCATCAACAGCCTATCCTATTAATTAAATTATATTTTAATTGACCTATGCTGTCTGATGGTGAGCAGAGGATCAGACTGATGGGCACCCGTCAGGTTGTCTGTCTCAATCACACATGTCCTGATTTCCCAACATCAGACCAACAACAAACAAACAACAACAACAACAACCCAGCCGGCCAGTCAGTCAGCTGCCATTGCATCCTCCAATTCCACTTGCCTTCCTCCATCCATCAATCAATCATCCCAATATCTATCCATTCCATTCCATCAATCATCATCACTTTACACACACATACATCAATATTCATATACACACATAACATTACCTTTACCCTTTTTTACCTTACCAATACCTACCCTTGATTCACCAGTGCTGTTTGCTTAATTCAATCAGCCAGTCTCTTCTTCGCTTCTTCCTCCAGTCTCTTCACCATCCTGCACCATCCACTGCAATCCATCCACATACCAWTATCACCCATCCACCTCTATGCTTAGCTCATCATCATCAACAACATCATTACCATCAACAACATCTCCACCAAAGTCAACAACTTATTAATCCTTTTAAACAATCCTATCTCTACCTTCCTACTTTTTTTCCCCTCCTCCCCTTCACCTATAGCTCCGGAACAACCGTACCCATAGGCTATACACCAACCATCTCCAAAGTCCCACTTTAACCTCTCAATACAATTACCATTGTACCTGCAATCACAGTCCGATATACTGAAATATATCACAATCAATCAAGTCGTCAATTCCACCCCCAACACACACAATCACTCATATAACAATCCCAGTTTCCACCTTTTTCCAATCACATCAACTCATCAAATCATACAATAATGACTTCAGCCACATCCACCAACACATCTACATCCACATCCATGGATAACCAACAACAATCCAGAAGTAGTGCCTACCAGAGAATGTTCAAGAAGCTGCTGCAGCACCGCTCACAGCTCACCCAGAAGCCTCTGGAGGCCGAGAGAATCGTCGCATCATACAAAGTGTACGGCTGGTTGAACAAGCATGACCCAGCCTACAAGTCGACCGCCTTCCGCCGTGAGGTGCTCGTCGCCATCGACGAGATCTTTGAGATCGTTTTGGCCATCCTGGACATGATGAAGTGCTCATCAAACCTCCTGGTGCCCATCATCATCTACGCCGACAAGTTTGTAAATAGAAGTGGTATCAAGCACAATCAACTGTTCAATCTGTTGCTCACAAGGTATGTCTCCAATATTCATTTCCAAGTCAATCTATCCATATACTAACATTCAATCACAACAGCTGCATCGTCACACTTAAGTTCTGGTCCGAGTCCACTCAGGTCAACAACGCCATCATTGCTGAGATCTTCAACTTTTCGCTGAAGGACATCAACTTGATGGAGCGTCGCTTCCTGGTGGCCATTGATTACAGCCTGTGTCTGTCATCTCTGGACGTTGCCGCCTTCCTGCTGAACCTGTTCGAGTCACAACACTTCTTCCTGTCTTCGTTCGAGCACCCCTTTGACAACGCACCCCAGCTGGTCAGGAAGCCTGCCGAGCTGATGCAGTTCCAGCAACAACAGCTTCAACAGCACTTCCTGATGCAGCAGCAGATGGAGCTCCAGATCCAGCAGCAGCAGCTACAACAGCAGCAACAACAACACTTCTATAACAACAACAAGTCACAACAACAACAAGTTTACATGGAGTACCAATCATCCAATCAGATGATCACTTGCTAGGCCCAACCTAGCACTATTATATATATCCATATATTATATATCTTATATATATTATCCATTCCATATATAACTCTATCTCTATATAACAACTTTTACCTTGAGGAACCAAACATCCAACATCCATTGCCATGCCAAGCCAATCCTGTCACCAATCAATTTCCACCACTCCCATACCCCATCACCCGACTATCATACCATATAACAACAACAACAACAACAATAATAATAATAATAATAATCCAATCCGATCGAACATGGATTAACAATCAAGCAATCAACTCAATCACTCATGGCCAACTTCAATTCATACACATACTACACCATTCCTCAGCCAACCCTTCTTCTCCTTTTTTCCCCTTCCATTGCCCCACCGGCCAACTTGCTGGTTAGCAGTTAACTCCAATACTTTACCTTGGACTCCGAATCAATTGAATAAAACCCTTAATACCAAAACTTCCAAAGACTGTCTCTTTGATTGACTGATAGAGTTGGACATGGCGTTGGCCACATATGCCATTCATGACTTTGGTTGATGATCGGATCGCGATCAATCGATCGGTGATCCACCTTGGTAGGTTGGCGAATGTACATGTATATATTTATTGTTTGGGATGGATTATTGATGGTAGTGGCCATGTCTAGCAACATGGAATATGGCCTCCATCAATAAACTTCTTCAGTGAACCACGAGCAAAGTATGGCTTCTCGGCTGATCCATCATTCCTCTCACTATCCTCACAGAAACATAGCAACATCGTATCAATAGCCATATGGTACACAGACATGAATCCTCCAGCAATAAAGAATGCAATGAATCCAATTAACTAATTATATTAATTAACCGATATGTTAGTAATTGATTGATTGATTGATTGAATAGATATTGTGGAAATACATACTATAACAGGTACAACATAGAATCCAGAGTTATCCACACGTTGGAGGACGTAGAATGCGATACCAACTGTTACTACAGTGATGAGTATACGTCCAAGGAATAACAAGAATGAACTTATTACACTCACGGCAGCCACTCTCAACACATTGCTAACAATCAATGAGAATCCACGTCTTGCTCCTTTACAGAATGAGTATCCATAGATTGATATCTAAGTATGATTGATTGAGTGAGTGAGTATGATTGAGAATGGATGGATGATTGACCAACATACCATAATATAAGCATTCTCATCAATAAACTTGATAAACCTCTCGAAGCAACCGAGGAGACAGTCGAGACATTTGAGGACGAAACGTGCGAGGTATGCCTCTTTGCCTTTGAACTTCTTCTCGATCAAGCGGAGCATCCATCGAATGAATTGTACGACGGCCAGGATGAGTGAGCCAAGCGCCAGTGAGCCAAGATGGTAGCGTAGCACGCGGAAGAATGACTTCCACACGGGGAAGTACGGTGTGTCCTTCTTGTTCATTACCCAATACCAAAGTGCAATGGCACCGGCTATAGTGCACTGGTTAACGGCCAATATGAATGCGTACGTCCATAACAGTCCAAAGAAGTGATAGAGCTGCAGATAGGTCAGCTTGCGACTGGGCAGGAAGCCCAGGAACACGCCGTTATCGTCGTAGGTGGCCGTGCCGGCCGTGGCGAGGTACACTGTGATCACGGTCCAGTATGCAATGAAGGCGCACAGCACGACAAAGATGAATACGGGGAAGAAGAAGATGGAGGGCATGGTGCCGACCGCCCTGCTCGACTCCTTGATGATGCCAATGGCCAGACGAATACGCGAGATCATGGCCAACACGATCAATGCCAGGATGCCTGTTATGCAACATAGTATGATGAAGATAACCTTGAGCGCCAGAACATTGTCGTACTGCAGAGGCAGACGTTGGTTGGGTGGGATCGAGTTGTAGGTGTCCTGTGCCTTCTGCCATTGATAATACACCTGGACACACAGCAGACTCAGCAAGGCAATCACGCCCAGCACGGTGGCCCACGTCAGCAGACCGGCCAAGAAACGCAGCAGGAAGATGTAGATGAGGCCGGCGGCCAGGGCCACCAGCGCGCCATAGACAATGTAGCGCCAGTCCTCCACGATGTCTGTGAACAGCTTGTTGGACGTCTCGCCAAAGTTGTCGCTGATGATCTGGAACACCTTGTCGGCGATGGAGCTCGTGGCGTTGGTGAGCTCGGTGGGCACGCAGCGATTGAGCACGGGGGTGGACGCGATGCTGCCCATGCACGTGCCATTGGGGAACACCTGGTCCATTGCTGGCGTGGTGTCGTAGGCGCAGATGAGCTCGGTTTCATTCGAGGGGATCAAATACGTCACGGTGGGGCATTGATTGACACATATCGCGCGGTATGATGTGAGCAATGGATAATATATAAAGTAGACGTACTTCTCGTTCGTAAAGTCCTTTGAATAGTTTGATGGAATCTTTCCTGCCTTTACATTATCAATTCCACATGTGTTACCTTGATAGTCTGTTCCATAAAGTAATCTATGATTGTTTGATTGATTGTGTGATTGTGATTGTTCCAGGGAGTCAATAAGCATGTTCCATTATCATTATCATGATCCATGACCTCTCATACCTCTTTGGATCACCCTCTCTTAGACCATATACAGCGACAATGATCATTCCAGCCCAAAAGGCAATGAAAAGGAGCAGGAAGAAACAATCATGGCACTTCCTCTTGGCATAGACTCCCTTGTTCCTTATCACTTCATGTGATTTCTTAACATGACTCTCTTTCTGATGTTCTGTCATTGTATTATTATTACATATACTATACTATTGTGATTGAATGATTGAATGATTGGTTCAATCAGTTAAAGTGATTGATAAACTTTATGAGATGGATAGGATGGCTGGGATGACACCATCGCAAGTCGTGGATGTTTAGGGTAGGATTAAGTTGGTCACCAACACTTTGGGCGCATTCGTCAGGTGTAAGACCTTAGGACTTCGACTTTAAGTAACTATTTTTTTGAAACAACCTTGTGCAAAAATAAGTGTGTGTTTGATCGATCAGTTGGGCGATCCCATCGATCACAAGATCCCACAAATATTGACCAACACTGCTCACGTGGTATTTTATCATTTAGAGATATAATATCATATCATATTATATTATTACAAAGAACATCTTGAAGTTATCTCATTTTACTTAATAAAGTAATTCTATTACCATTCAGTTATTGCAATAACATACGATGAATTAATTAATATTTTTTCTTTGTATATGTAATGGTTTAATGAGAATGGGGTTGGAAAGATTACATTTTTGATTGAAATCATCTTCAACCGGTTGAATATTAAAAATATTAATAAATATATATTTTTATGAAATCATATTACAAAGATATGTAGTTTGTGTATACAACATACATATATGTTGGGTTTCCAAACCAATCACTATATCAATCAAATAATTAATCAATCCATCTATTAATCAATATATTATCTTATCTACTTTTGAAATAATAATGAAGTTTATTTTATTATTACTATTTCTTTCAATCTTAACCATATATATAAATGCTAGGTAAATAAATCTTTAATTAATATTCTAACCTACAATCATATAACTAATATATCATGAACAATAGTATGGATATTATCCTGGATCAAAATAGATATCATTTTACTTCTTCAAATCCAAATAACTACTACTCAGAGTTAAACAATAGTGTTGCATTTACCAATAGCATGGATGATGGAAATGGAAGTAATTACAATGCCTCAACCAGTTCAGACATTGTTATATTCAATTCCTCTAATAGACACCAAATTCGAATAACCAACAATGATGTTAGTGATGTCACTGATAGTGGTAGCATCCAAAATCAAAATTATAATTCATTTATCAAGGAAGATGAATATTAATGAAAAATCAATCCATAAATAATAGTTGATCACTTATCAACTACATGACAAGTTAAAAGTTGTTAGAGTGAGTGTTCACACACAATCAGAATTCTTATTGTATCCTGATTAGGACACCAAGTGCCTACAACACTATCGGTCAATTTCATTTTTTACAAATCATCTGAATCCCAATATTGATGATCATTGCACTCCTTTTTTGGTGAATACTACGACTTAAGGACATCAAACGACGACGATTCACTCAATCACCCAATCACTCAATCAATCACATACATACATACATTAACACATAAACAATCAGATCACAAAAGATAACATGGTCACTATATGTAAGAGCATACAGGCACTGCGATCAACTATTAGAGAGCGTGTGATTGCCACGAGAGCAAAGCTTAATGTCAATGAGCCAACGATAGGCTTCGTCCCCACGATGGGCTACCTGCATCGTGGTCATATATCATTGGTCGAGCAGGCCAGGACCAGGTCCAACATCGTCGTCGCCTCGATCTTTGTCAACCCGACGCAGTTCGCCCCGACCGAGGACCTGGCCGCCTACCCCACCGACATTGACAATGACGTGCGTCTGCTGACGGCGGCAAACGCCGACATTCTGTTCCTACCGCCCGTCAAAGAGATGTACGGCGAGCACGCCTCGACCTATGTCGACGTCGCATCGATGGACAATGTAAGCGAGAGTAAAGCGCGTCCGGGTCACTTCCGCGGCGTGGCCACCATCGTCACCAAGCTGCTCAACATCGTGCAGCCCGACTACATGTTCATCGGACAGAAGGACGCCATGCAGTGCGTCTGTCTTCGTCGTCTCGTCAACGATCTCGCCTTCAACACCGAGGTCGTGGTGGGTGACACTGTTCGCGAGGCCAACGGCCTGGCAATGAGCAGCCGCAACAGCTATCTGACGCAAGAGGAGCGCGAGGAGGCATCGGCCATCTATCGCTCAATGTCCGAGATGAGGCCTCTCGCTGGCAGTCTCCTGCGCAATCAGTTCATCAATCAGTTGCAGACCAAGATCGAGTCGTCAAGCTCCAAGATGAAGGTCGAGTACATCAGTCTTGCATCGCCAGAGAATGGTCTCGAGATCACTGGCGATCAACCTCTGCCTGCTTCCATCCTCTCTCTGGCCGTCTTCTTCCATGGCCAGAACAGACGAACTAGATTGATAGACGTTATGATCCTGTAATGGAGAGAGCAGCTTGCGTATACCTACTCTCTATCTCGAGTAGTAGTAGTAATTTATTATAAATATATATATATGTACAGCTTCCCTCTTCCTTCTTCAATGAAATGGGTAAGCCTTTAGAAGATGACTTCAATGTTGTCATTGTCATAGATGTCCTCATACTTGTGAAGACGGTGTGGCTGCTGCTGGCTTTCCTTGGCAAGTGACATCAATGCACTGATGCTATTGAGGCTGTTGTTGTTGATGTTGCTGGATGACTTGCTCAATTGATGATGTTGAACGAATGGACTACTCAGCTCACGGTGTTGTGGCTGTTGTTGTGACTGTTGCTGCTCACGTTGTTGTTGCTTCTTGTGATGTTGCAACATCAGTTGCTGTTGTTGCTCGGCCAGATACTTTTGCAAGAGGAAGTCGTGGAAAGATGAGTTGGCGGCTGCACTGTTGGTGGACGAGGACAACTGTTGTTTGTTGGACTTTTGAGTCTTGGGCACGACGCGGTCTCCATCATGACTGGACTTGGAAACAACAATATCTGGCAGTCTCACATGAGAGGTGGATGGGGATGAAGAAATAGGACTAGTATTGTTATTATTATTCTGTTGTTGTTGTTGCTTTTGTATTTGTTGTTGTTGTAATTGTATTTGGTGTTGTTGAAGGAGCTGTGAATGTTGTTGTTGTTGGGCGGCGTGTGGTTGTGGATGAAGATGTTGGTTGTGGTTGTTGTTGTTGTTCGTGGAAGTACGACGGTTCTTCTTCCTCATGTCTGTCAAGTTGTCAGACCTTCTCTTCAATTGTATCATTAAATAATTATAATATGCTGGAGATGATAAGTTTCTCTCAACAGCAATAGTATTATCCATTGTTATATTGGATGATGTAGTAGTAGTAGTAGTAGTAGTTGTAGACATAGTTATATTAATAAATAAGATATAGTTATATAATAATAATATATATAATAGATAGTTTAATTAATATATGTTATTTAAATAAGGTATAGTCGATGTCATCCCAACAATTAATTATAGTTGGTCTTTTAATATACGCGCGCCTCTACGCTGGATCGAACCAACAGCCTTACTGACTGCCTTACCACTTTTGAACCATCATCACAATCAACACTCAATCACTCTCACATCACATCAATCCATCCATTACAATCAATCAATTAATTGTGGATTCCCAACAACAAAGAGTAGTACTCATATATGGACAGTGGCCTACCACCGACACCTTTGCATGCCACTCTGCCCATGATCACGGCCCCGCCAAATACCACTAACTCGGGGGTATGGTGGTAGTGTGTCTGCCCCTCTAGAAGGACATGTAGTTTAACTCTTGTGATCAGATGTAATGTACTGGTTGGTCCATTGTTATATACATCAATACGCTCATCATTCACATTCACATTCAATCAATCAATCAATCACACATATTTAGTGTGATGGATGATCACACAAGCACACAGAGTGCTCGTCACTGATCTCCCAATCACCCAACAACAACATCAAACAATCATCCAAATGTGCCCTCACTCTCATCAATCCGCTGTATATCTCTACTTTGGATCATCCAACCAACCATCATTAGGCCAAGTGGTACCGGTGAACGGAGCGTGGTCTTTGTTTGAAGGGGACACCTATTAAACCAACCACGCTGCAGGTTGGTTGGTTGTTTATTTGTTTCTTTGTCTCCATCGCACTATCACAATCACACACTAACACACATAGAAAACCTTACGCTGGTCGATGTGTGATCAATCACAACCTTAACACACACTCACTCACATCAACAGTATCATCAACACACACACACACATGACACACATTACCTTGAGGCGACGTCTATACCATATTTGGTGGCATGCGCTTTCTGGAGCAAATGGATGATCTGATGGTAAATGTTGATACCTTAGGGTATGTGACCACTCCCAAGGCCTTGATTAACAACGACCTTCTCATTCCTTAGCCAACACTATAGCAAGTATGGCAATAGTGTGGTCTAAAACAACAGCAACAACAACAACAACTCTTACAACAACAACAACTTGTATGAGCTTGTCATTCGTGTGTGTAATGTAATATTAACCAAGACCAAAGGCCATCTGTGAATGAATGTATGTGCCACGCCAATAAGTGTGTTTGATCATGTGTCGGTTTAACATTTGAACAACACTCACTCACTCATGTGATTGATTGAGTCTTTGGTGCTGTCTGGTCTTCATTGTCAAGGTAGTAGAGATATACATCTCATGATTAATAACCACCAAGTATATATTCCAAGTAAGATCAACTCCATCACTTTGATTGAGTTTGAGGGTGATCCAATTACGGATTACACTCGTTGCATATATGTACATATATGGTTTGGCTTGGCTTTGCTTTCTTGGCCCTAATGTGATGGTTCATTCATTCATTCAGCTAAATTGATTGTCCAAGTTAGAATATTGAGCTCAACCCAACCTCCTCCCATTCTTTTGTCCAACCCCCTTCTCCTAGAGCTCTCACTATCTCCTCTCAATTAATCAATCAACCAATCAATATCCACTCACTCAATTAAGATCAGATCCAGACACAATAATACATATTATCCTTATATTGATTGGTTAAAGTAATAACTTTCATTTAATGATGGACAACTACAAATTAATGTATGTGTGTTGTTTTAAAAAGTGATTGGTTGAGAGGGATGCCAATGATTGGCTTGGTTTGGCTTGATATCCTTATGTGAAGTTGGTTGGTTTGCCAAAAGAGAGAGAGAGAGAGTGTGTGTGTGTGTCTGTTTGTCTGTCTGCTTATGGCTTGGTAACTAGGACCTGGTGAATGCTTCTGATCTTGTTCATTCTTTGCTCGATGGCAGTCTTGTAGCTTCTAGATGAGATGCCTATAATGAAGAAAGTATGTTAGTTACATGATCATTTAAATTCTTTGGATTATATGTTTATATATGATACATACTTGGACGAGTTTGGTATGAGTTTGAGGAGTTGTCCTGCTGGTACATGTATGGTTGGTTCAACATTTTGATTGAGTAAGGTAATAGGTTGGAGTAGTATTCAGAAGTGTTTATCTGTTGCTTGGTTTGATGTAGAAGTGACATCGATGTCACTCCTTATATAAGGAGCTAATAGGACCTCCATTGTCCTCCTGTCAATCCATTGATTGACCATGTCTGTCAATCCAGTCAATCACTTTTTGGACATCCACTCCCCCACTTTCGTTTTCACCCCTTTTCTCGATTGATTGACAGAGCTTGGTCCACAAACATTTTCAGATCAACACTTCAAGTCAGTCAATCAGGTCAATCAAACTATCTGTCTCTTAACAACTTGTCAATGCACTAATGAGGCCCAATTAGTGTACAAGACCCAAAGTCTTATACACACATTGTTTGAACTTGCTCATGAACCTCGAGGTTAGTCGGTTGGATGTTACCTCATTGTTTGATTACTCTCTTACAATGTATTATAAAAGGTGATTAAGGTAAGTAAGTATGTAAGAATATAAGGTAATAGTTCTTATTAGTTGGTCATTCAATCAAATTATAATACAACATTAGAGTACTCTATGGTGATCAAAATGGTAAAGAGTGATGCATATGCCCATGAATGAACCCCACCTCGCACCACAGTCTACCTCAACTTCACCAATATCAAACACGCGCACATGTCTTGGCGATTCAAAGTTAAATTGGTCATCAATCATCCTATCATTACCCTTTATTTACTCTCTACACTTTGTACATAAACATCAACAACGACAACAACGTTGTTCATTCATTCATTCATTCATTCATTCATTCATTCATTCATTCTTAGGTTTACATATACATATATATATATAACTAAAAATGTCAAGAATACTATCATTTATAAAGAGAAATAAGATTGCTTTGGTAGCAGGTGCTGGCACTGTATGGTTTGTGCAAGCGACTAACTTGTTCTCGCCGGGTTCGGTCGAGTCATATTTGGATAAACAGGATCGTATAAATAAGACTGCTTACTCGGTGATGGAGCCAAGCAGGTTGGTGACCGCACCTCTGCCCACACGTGCACAACAGTTGGCCAAACTGGCGGCGCTAACCGAGCCGCTGGACGTTGTGGTCATTGGTGGCGGTGCTACGGGCTCAGGTGTGGCACTCGATGCTCAAACACGTGGACTCAATACCGCACTGTTTGAGCGCGCAGACTTTGCCAGTGGCACATCCAGTCGCTCGACCAAGTTGCTACATGGTATGCATTCATTTGCGTGCGCGCGTCTGCTGGCTCACTCGCTCAGCTGTTGACTAATACAACAACAACATACAAGGTGGAATAAGATACTTGGAGTCTGCCATTATGAACTTGGATTATGAGGACTTGCACTTGGTGAAGGAGGCATTGCACGAGCGATCAAACTTGTTGAACAACGCACCACATCTGTCGAGTGCACTCCCATTGGCCATCCCTATATTCAACGTCATCGACCTGCCCAAGATGTGGATCGGCACCAAGCTGTACGACTTTTTCTACCCGGGTAACGACATCCCGGGCTCATACTACATGTCCAAGAGCAAGACCTTGGAAATGTTCCCACACATGCGCGACGGATGCCTCGGCTCGATGGTCTACTATGACGGCCAGCATAATGACGCTCGCATGAACCTCTCCATCGCGCTGTCGGCCGCAGCCGCTGGCGCTGTCACAATGAACTACACACAAGTGGTCGATCTGCTCAAGGACGCCAACAATAAGGTAACAGGTGTAGTCATTCAGGACAGGATGACAGGCACCAAGTATGAGGTCAAGGCCAAGTGTGTGGTCAATGCCACCGGCCCCTTCACAGACGCTGTCCGCAAGATGGATGACCCCGCCACCCAGCCCATCGTGTTGGGTGCCAGCGGTACACACTTGATCCTGCCCGCGGCAATGTCACCTCGTCACATGGGATTGCTCAATCCAAAGACCAAAGACGGAAGAGTGCTCTTCATCCTGCCATTCGAGGGCCGCACTATTGCAGGCACGACAGATCACACCTCGGACATTACATACACACCAAAGCCTACTAGTGAGGATGTCAAGTTCATCTTGGAAACAGTATCAGAGTACTACACTGTACCACTGACAGAGAAGGATGTGATGGCAGCATGGACTGGCATCAGACCATTGGTGAAGAAGTCGGTGGACATGCCAACATCCAAGGTCAACAGGAGTCATACTATACTTACCAGTCCATCTGGATTGGTGACGATCACCGGTGGCAAGTGGACCACCTATCGATCAATGTCCGAGGAGACCGTCGACAAGGTCGTCTCACAGCTCAAGGCCTTCACGCCAAAGGCTGGACATACCGCCAATATGGTGCTCTACGGTGGTGACAAGTACTACAACGACATTGATAAGTATTTGGTCAAGAGTATGTTGTTCAAGATTGACATCTACGATCGATCAATCACTCACTAATCTACCTAATCAATCACAGACTTCAATGTTGAAGAGGATGTAGCACATCATTTGGCACACACTTATGGAGATCATGCAATCAATGTATTGCAGTTGGCAAAGGATAAGGGATTGGAGAAGAGACTGACGCCAGACTATCCTTACATCGAGGCAGAGGTGTTGTACGCTGTGTCAGAGTACGCCTGTACACCAGAGGACATCATCGCGCGCAGGACTCGTCTAGCATTCCTTGACAACAAGAAATCCGTTGAAGTATTGCCCAGGATCGTTGACATCATGGCATCATCACTTGGTTGGAACAAACAGACCAAAGAGAGACAGTACAAAGAAACATTGGACTTCCTCAAGACTATGACATTCGAACAACAAAGCTAAATTAAAATGGTTGGATACAGCCGCCAACATCAATCATTCATTCAATCAATCAATCGATAGGCCGACCATCATTTGTCAACATCATCACTCCTTCCAGTCGGCTCCACTCCCTTCCATCACTCATACCCATCATCACTCTTTCAACAATGTCATTGATTACCATGGCGACATTGAGGATGGATGTTATATCCCAACTCTTCTCGGTCTAATCTCGGTCGATATTGAATATATTGGATAATCACTGAAGTCATCATCAATCAATCAATGCTTACTTCTGGATACTGTGATTACCATCGATTGTACATGCTGTTCCACTCCATCGTCATCATCATCATCATCGTAGATTGATGATATTCATATGAATATCTCTGCACTCTCAATCTTTCATCTTTCATTCTTTCTCCCCTAACTAACACCAGATACACAGCACGAGGTATCACGTTAGTAACTCTGAGCTATACCCCAAACACACGTCAATGACCCCTGTCGATGACAATCAATCAATCAAACAATCAATCACTCACACACTAACACACTAACACATAAGAACACCGGGTTACGATGACGAAGTGTAGTGGATGTATTTACAAGTTATAAACATGGTAGATCAATTATAAGTTGACTGGCACTTGAGTGGAAGTGGTGGTCAACTCAAGTCAAGTCAGTGATATCATGTTAAATTGAACAATGGACATATCCCAAATTGATTATAAATATATTTATAGAGTATTTAATAGTGATCATATGGTTACTAGGGTATAATATCAATCAATAATATCAATAAGAGAGTAGAGATAAGTGATATTATTATGGGTTCATTGAATCCAATCCGTATTCAGAATGGATCTATATCATAGTTTGTAACATTCGTCTGTTTATACATCCTGGATAATTGATTGACATCATTGTAATAAAGTATAAATACTACCTTGTAATCATTCAATCAAATCATCAAATCAATCAATCAATTAACTAACTAACTACTAATCAACTAAAATGACTATCCTTGGTAAATATCATCATCATTAATATTTCCAACTTTAAATATGATCATTCATCACTAACATTCCAATCTTGTAGCTGCACTTTCAAACTTGGCCGGCCCAATCCAATCCTCCAACAATGCCCGTCTCACCTCTGGCTCTGCCTCCGCTGCTGGTCAGGGCGCCAATGGTACCTCTGGTCTCTTGTCCTTCTTGGGTCTTGGCTCATCCGACGTCTCATCGACAACAACTTTGAACGCCAGTGTTCCAAACATATTGACCACCTCGCTCACCAACACCACCACCGTCTCCACCAAGTAAGCTATCTGACATCTTACTCCCTCGTCCGTCTTGTTGTGTACATTAATAAACAACACCATTGTTGGTTCAATAGGAGTGAGCTGTGCATCCAGCTTGTCTGGACACTCTCACTCCTGTTCAGGTTGCATCATATCCATCCTTGACTTCCCCGCAAGTCTACCACTCTTCAATCTTAATTGATAATGTACAACGCTCGTCGTTGTTATGTGTAGAGAGAGCCTTTATTGGTGATCCAACAACCAACGAAGAGGTCAGATTGTGTATCCTGCCTCTGACACTTATGTGAAAGAGACAGGTGATCGATCGAGGTGAACGAACTAAGAGCTTAGTTTAGTTCTGGGTGGTCATCTGCTCAGCTGGGAACTCAAAGACGACGTCCTTGCCAGTCAGCTTGTGGTAGACGGCAGAGAATGAGTCGAGCTTGTGACCGGTGACGGTGAACTCCTTGCGGTCCAAGTAAACCTTGTGCAGCTTGGAGCCGTCGAGACGGTATCTCAAGCGTCTGCCAATGATGTTGGTTGGGTAGACGAGGTCCTCGAGCATGGCGTCGTGGACGGACTTGATGGTGCGCGAGATTGGGACCTTCTGTTGCTTGACCTTGTTGGTCGAAGACACCTGGTGGATGATTCTGCGCTGGGCAATGATCATAACGTTCTTGCTGCCAAACTTCTTCTCCAACTCCCAAATCAACTTTTGTTGGATCTGTTATGTATGGATTGATTGATTGATTGAAGGCGTATGCGTGTGGATGATGATGGTGATGAAGGGAAGGAAAGCGTAAGAAGGGCTGTCGTCGTTTGGATCGTCGCCGATGTGGCGACGACGACGAAAGTGGCGAGAGTGAGTGCTGCCAATGAAATGGCAGTTTCACCTCGGTATAGTTTGGATCGAACATGGTCTATTGCTCCCTTCTCCTACTCCTCCTACTCCTCCTCCGCCCCACAATAGAGGGGCTGCGTGGAGGATAAGGATATGAAGGGAACAGAGAACAACATGTTGTCCACTAGTTTTGTTTGGGCAGTGCAACGCAGCGCGGTGGATAGTGATTGGAATGAAGATGCTTACCTTGTTGTAGGCCTTGAGCTGACGGAATGGGACAAAGACGACAATAGCCTTCTTTCCCTCAGAGACGTCGAACTCCTTAGCGGCGACGATCTGGAGGTTCTGGAGGGATTTGAAGTCATTGTTGTTCTCGAGGTCCAAAAGAGCCTGAGCAACGCTGTTCTCGAGCTCAGTTGGCTCCTTTCCGGCGGACTTGACAATCTTCTTCTTTGTGGTGAGCATCTTGGTATCTGTTGTTGTTTATCCATGTTCGTGATTCCTTGTTAGTTTAGTTGTCTATTGATGATGTGATGGCCTGGATAGATGAAGGATATAAGACATACAAAGGCTTTGGATATGTTGAGATGGGATGGATTGGGGATCAAAAGGAGTGAGTTGGATGTAGTCGAGTTGAATAAGTCGTTCGTGTGTGAAGAAGGTGGAGGAGAGAATTTGTTGGACTTCAAAAATAAAACAAATGAAATGTTTGATTTTAGAAGGAAGTTCATGACACATTAAAAATAAAATCAAGGAGGTGTTGTGTGATGAAGTTGTTCAAGTGAATCTGAAGGACCACACCAGTAACCCAAACCTTGCTTTGATGAGATTATGAAGGCAAGCGCGCTTCATTCATTCATTCAAAGTATAGACTATCACCCACTCATTGTTGTATTATTAGTATCTCTTTTCCTCTTCCCTACTATCAAACACATATATATATATATATATATAAATATATATATTCTCTACATAGACAACAGACATCAGTATATTGGAGACACTCATTCACAGAAAGACATAATAATATTTAGAGAATGTCAGAACAGATTTCCAATCAACCTATTGTCTTGGACAATGTATGTCATTGACACACGAATCATTGAATGAATCAATGGATGAGCGAATGAATGGTATATGAGTACTGACAATGTTGAATCATTTCATTAGGGAAGCGGCACGATCAAGGTTGGATTTGCAGGTCAAGATCAACCATCTTCAGTATTCCCATCAATGTAAGCAGCCTTGATTGATTGATTGATCGATAGATCACATATTGGAATTGACTGAGTACACTTACTCACTCAACTCAACTCAATCAATCAAACATTGAATCAATCAATCAAACAGGATTGGAGTTCCAAAGTATAAGAAGGTCATTGGAACTAATGTAGAGAGCGACTCTTCATTCTTTGTTGGTGAAAAGATTAGCGATATGAGAGGAATACTGAAGCTCAGACATCCAATGACCAATGGTGTCGTCACAGATTGGGAGAACATGGAGAAGGTTTGGACTCACGCATATGAGCTACTCAAGATACAATCATCAGAGGTATGTTCTCGACCAACCGACCAAATACTTCATGGCCAAATCAGTCGTTGAATGATCAGACATCACTGACAATCAATCAATCAATCAATCAATCAAAACAATCACAATTATAATAGCATCCAGTATTGATGACAGATGTACCAAACAACCCAAGACTACACAGGGAGAGAGCAGCAGAGTTACTATTTGAGACATACAATGCACCAGCAATCTACTTCTCGATTCCAGCCATTCTGAGTCTTTATGCCTCTGGTAAGACAACGGGCATCGTCGTGGACTCTGGCGATGGAGTCACACATTGTGTGCCAGTGTTTGAGGGCTTTGCCCTGCCACACGCCATCGTGCGCACGGATATTGGTGGTCGCAACATCACCGAGCACCTACAGCATCTGTTGCGTCGCAGCGGATACAACTTCAAGACGACGGCAGAGATGGAGGTGGTGCGCACCATCAAGGAGAAGTGCTGCTACGTGGCCTTTGACCCACAGAAGGAGGAGGAGCTGGGCGAGCTCGACAAGTCCACGTCCAAGCCCGTGCAGACCACATACCAGCTGCCGGACGGCAACGTCATCGACCTGGGCGCCGAGAAGTTCCGCGCGCCCGAGATCCTCTTCCACCCCGACATCATTGGCGACGAGTCGCCGGGCATCCACCAGTGTCTGGACATGTCGATCCGCAAGTCGGACATTGATCTGAGGAAGACATTGTATTCAAACATCATTCTGGGCGGTGGTTCGACGTTGTTCCACGGCTTTGGCGAGCGTCTGCTGCACGAGGTCAAGAAGCTGGCGCCCAAGGACGTCAAGATCAAGATCACAGCGCCACTCGAGAGGAAGTACTCGGCATGGATCGGAGGTTCCATTCTGGCCTCGCTGACCACCTTTAAGGACATCTGGGTCACTGTACAGGAGTATGAGGATGAGGGTGCTGCCATCCTCCACAGAAAGATATTGTAGGATCATAATCATCATCATCATCAAATACAAATGTGCAAAAGAAGGCCAATGGTCATGGTCATGGGCATTGTCATGGGCATGGACATGGCCAACACCAATGTTAGCGACGAGCATTACCACCACCAACAACCACAATAATAATTAATTATCCTTTATCCTTATCCTTTATACTTTATTTGCCTTTTTGCAATGTAACATGATATGATGGAACAGATGGCTCAATACCTGGTTAAGTCCCATCGATTGCAAACATTCACACTTTGCAAGTACTCTTCATCATCTTCCCAACTTTGTGATAATTTATAACTTTGGAATTGCATTGTCTTTGCAAAAACAAACAAATATAAAGATATTTCCTACTTTTTGGGTACATCAAATCAATCAATCAATAATTGGACATGTATAAATAGAAATGATCAATGTTCAATCATATATATAATAACAATACAAAACTAATATAAAGATACAACACTACAAAGAATGAATTACTACATTACCATAATAATATTTGTTCTGGTTTTGATCAGTGCCTCTAAAGCAGTAAGTATTATTAATTAAATAAAATAATAATTATGTTCTCATCCTAACTTTAATATTCTAGCAAACAATGGATTGTTCCCAACTTCAATCATTGGCTGATTCCACTTTTGGAGGAGGACAAACTGCCACTGATTTCATTTGCATTGCCTTCTACGAGTCATCATGGAATCCAAGTAAGTAAAATATTTGATTCATATCCAATTAATCATTTTATTAATACTATATCTAATTTAGATGCTGTTAACTCTCAAACTCAAGCATCTGGTCTCTGGCAAATACTTCCTTCGCACTGTGGTGAGATCTGTTCTGCTTGTAGCTCACAAGAGGACCTCTTCAATCCCCAGATCAATGCCGAGTGTGCCTTAGCTGTCTACAATGCTCAAGGTCTCAATGCTTGGACTACATGGGCAGAAGGTGATTGTAATGGATGGTCTCAATGTAAGCCCAATTCCCCTCATTCAATCTATCAATCAATTAATCAATCAATGAATAACTCACTCACTCATTCAAACGCCTAACCAATTATTATTAGGTTCTTCAAGTTCTGGTACCTCCACGACCTCTACCACCACTTCAGGAACATCCACCTCCACCACTACTGGTGCTACTAGTGGAACTTCAACAGGAAAGACTTCAACTACTACTTCCTCAGGTAGTTCAAGTGGTGGTAGCTCAACTACAACTGGCAATAGTACCACTTCAACTGGTTCATCAGGTTCAAGTGGAACTACTACCTCATCAGGAAACACCACCACGTCAACTGGTACCTCGGGTACTGGCACAAGTGGAACCACAGGCAACTCAACTTCATCTGGTTCCTCTGGTCAAACATCAGCCACAAGTGGTACCACTGGCAACTCAACCTCATCAGGCTCCTCTGGCTCATCAGGCCAGACCACAGGAACTAGTGGCACTACTGGTAACTCGACCTCCTCATCATCTGGTCAAACATCAGCCACAAGTGCAACATCTGGACAAACTGGTAACTCGACCTCATCGGGATCATCTGGATCATCAGGTTCAAGTGGTGGCAGTTCAACAAGTAAGACGTCTGGATCTTCCGGTTCATCAGGACAATCTAGTGGTGGAAGTAGCAGCAACAACAGCAGTGGTGGTAAGACTTCAACGACATCAAGTGGAGGATCAGGATCATCTGGTCAAACATCTGGTTCTACAACAGGTAACTCAACAGCCACCGCAACATCCTCTGGTCACTCTGCCGGTAGTTCTTCATCTGGTCAATCATCTGGATCGTCCGGATCATCAGGTCAAGGAGTAGGACTCTATTGATCAATCAAACACTAACATACACACACAATCAAAGATCACTCTTTAACTTATATAATTCATTGAATAAATATACTTATATTTGATCAGGCCTGATCAAAGAGTATCTTTGCATCAAACAATCACGAATATTGTTTACCCAGTTGGTCTTTTGAATGTCTTTAATACCAACAATGGGTAAAGAGGGTTGGTTTGACTTGACCAGGGAATGATCGATAGATTGATTTAGTTGGTGGTCTGAGAACATCACACATTTACAAGAGATAAAGATAGTTCAGTTGATTATTCATACCTACAAATAACCAACCAACGAGTGATTGAAATATCTTTAGAAAGATTTTAAGTGATTTGATATCCAGCGTTTAAAATAAAAGAAATATCTCAATCTTTGATTGATTGGGCGGGCCTGCCAAGATGAGGCTTTGGCCCTATTTAGCCAGATATTTTTTGAAAGGTGTCTTTGCTCACTGAGTGATGGTTCATTATTTATGTCCCGTTGGCGACCAAACGAACTATCTATCATTCATATATATCTAAGAGATACTACTATTGTATATATCTATATCTATCTTACATTTATCTCAAACTCAACTAATTCAATCATTCACATAATAACATAATAATGAAGTTCTTTGCTACTTTGATCTTTGCTTTGGCCTTCATTGCTGCCACTTCTGCAGTAAGTATTGTTACTCGTGGTCATCAATTCAATCAAATCAATAGCGTACTAACTAGCATGGTTGATTGATTGATTGATTGAATGATTGTAGCAAACATTGGATTGTGCTCAAATGCAATCTTTGGCCGATTCCACCTTTGGTGGAGGTCAGACCTCGACCAACTTTATCTGTATTGCCTTCTACGAGTCATCATGGAACCCCAGTAAGTACATCCATTAGTTTTGTCCAATCATACCTATACTCATGCTGATCATTCAATCAATGAATAATAGACGCTGAGAACTCTGGATCTTCCGCCTCTGGCCTGTGGCAGATTCTTCCAGAGCACTGTGGTGAGCTTTGCCCAGCATGCACCACCCCATCCGACCTCTTTGACCCATCGATCAACGCTCAATGTGCCCTCGCCGTCTACAACGCACAAGGTTATGATGCCTGGACCACCTGGTCTAGCGGAGACTGCACAAGCTGGACTCAATGCTCTGCTTCTGGATCATCATCTGGTGGCTCAGCTGCTGCATCCTCATCTGGCACCACCACCAGTGGCACTGGATCCTCTGGTCAGACCTCCTCCACTGGAACTTCTTCCTCGGGCAGCTCTGGATCATCTGGTTCAACCGGCTCCTCCTCCTCTGGAAGTGGTACCGCTGCAAGCAACTAATTTAATCCAATTTAAATTAATTAATATATTATAATTATTAATACTGGGAATAAATATATTTGTCCTTGTTATTCAATCAAACAATCAATTAATTAATTAATAAAATAAAATAGTTTGTTATGTATTGGAACATCCTTGTGAATGAATGAATGAATGATTGAATGAATGTATGAATGACCAAATCAATGATTGATCAGTTGTTGTTACGCTTGACTGGCTGACGGACAAGGACGTGGACGGCCTCAATCGATTTGGGTAGGCCACATGCTCCAACAATCTCCTTTGTCAACTCAAAGCCCATACGTTGCAGGAATGGCATAGACTTCTTCTCAAAAGTGAATGTCTTACACTGGTATCCAGAGTGATCTGCCCACTCCAGCACTGGCTCCAACAAGTACGTTCCCAATCCACTATTCCTGCAATCATCATCTGTTCCAATGTATGCCTAGATTGATTGAATGAGTGATTGAGTGAGTAAGTATGATTGATTGAGTGAGTGATTGAGTGAATGATTGAGTGTAACATACCAATGCCCAATGCTTCTCTTCATCGTTGGCCATGACAATGTCCTTGATGGCGCCCATCATCTTCATTCCCTTCCTAGATCTAAGGATGCCAGCCTTGGATACAAACTTCATTCCACCAACAAATATATCTCCAAGTCTAATCTCCTTCTTGTTGTCTGGGCTAAACCATACACATGCCGACTTCATCTTGCCATCCTTTCCAAAGTATCCCTAATATGATGTATTATTGAGTGAGTTAGTGTTGTGAGTGGGGTGATTCCAGCCTCACTCATCATTCCAGACCTAGGGTATACTTACCCAAAATGTTGAGTTCTGCTTGTGGAAACACCTGGCAGTGAATAACATTAGCTCGAGGAGTAACTTGTGTGAGTTGGGCTCCTCGGGAGGGAAGAGAGCAACGTAGCGAGGGTCGTTTTTGAAGGCGCGGGCAAAGAGTGCAGCAAACTCCTTGTGGTCGTTCTTTGAGAGTTGACGACGGATGCCAGGGAATGAGTTCTCCTTCTTGAGTCGCAGACGAAGGTCTTGTCCAATGTCATAGTCGCCCTTGATCTGTGCGATGATGGTCTCAATGGAGGGACGCAGCGAGGGGTTGCGATCGAGCATCTTGAGAACGATGGGACCGAGTCGCGTGAACTTCTCGGGGAAGTCGGCCAGGAACGACATCTTGTCGAACCTCTGCTCGATGATCTCCTCGGCAAAGTAGCGACGGTGGGTCACCAGCAGCTTGAGTGTGATCAGCTCGTAAAAGATGCAGCCCAGCGAGAAGATGTCGGCCGAGCGGTCGTACGCCTGGTTCTCGAGGACCTCGGGCGCGCTGTAGATGTAGGTGCCGACGCGACCGCCGTGGCCGCCAGTGTTCTTGGTGGCCAGGCCAAAGTCACCGATCTTCAACTTGTCGTCCATCGATATGAAGATGTTCTCGCACTTTAGGTCGCGATGTATCAGGCGCTCCTTGTGTAGCGCGTGCACGCCCAGACACAGCTGGATCAACCAGTCTAACAATATGTCTCGCTGGATCAGTACCTGGCCGCGCTGGAACGTGCCGCTCGACTCTGACCCCAGCGACATCAATGATGTACTCGATGCACCCGATGTCAACTCGCTCATACTATGTGTAGTCGTGCCAATCGTAGTAGTATTCGATGATGATGTAGTCTTCTTGCTGTTTCCGCTGTTACCACTGCTGTTTCCACTGTTGTTGGCAACTTTGCTTGGGGACGATGGTGGATGAATACTGAGATATAATGCCTCCTTATCAATGATCTTCTTGACCAACTCTTTGGCATGGGCTATAATACATTTACGCTCCTCGGTCACCACCTCGGGCATACCTCTTAGCGATGTCGTTGACACTGTCGTGGGTCTCTCGGCAATGGACACATAAAGTAACTTGTCGCTCGAGATGAAGTTCTGGCTGCCATCGGACAAAGATTGATGTGGTCTAAGTGGATGAAGATTGTTGTTCTCGCCATTGCCATTGACGTTGCCATTGACGTTGCCAGTGGCGGGTCCATTGCTGTTGGTATGGTAGAATGAGCCACTGCTGGCGCCACTGGTGATGCTGGCCAGTGATGTCTGAGTGGCGTCGCCTTGTGTGGTGGACAATGAGCTGGCGCTAAAGTCTGATACGAGTGAGCCTGTTGATGAAGTCGTGGACGAGTCGTAGTTGAGCGAGACCAACTCGTGAAGAAAGTCCAACAAGTCACCCTTGGGGCAGTACTCCACAATGATGCACAAATATATATGATTGTCGCCTGGTATAGTCCTCAAGAATACCTCTTCAAACTTTACAATATTATCATCTTTAATGCCTGCCATTGAGTATGCCTATGTGTGGTGTGTGGGTTAGCCAGGTCCATCCATCCATCCAATCAGGGCCTCGCGAGGCCACACACGATCAGGTCCAAAACATACCTCTTTGAGACCAACATTGGCATCTGTGACTGATTCGAATATCCTTTGTTTGCAGACATACTTGACACCATCCCTCTCCATGAGGATGGCCTTGCCTTCACCTCCTGATCTAAGGTCTCTAATCAATGTATAAGCATCCAACGGATCCTGTTGTGGTTGTTGTTGTTGCATCATTCTTCAAAGATATATATATTTATATGTTTGATGTTGTGATTGTTATAAATGCGTTTAAAATGAGTTGATTTGATTGGTGTCACAAGTGATGTCTATGTATGTATGTGGAGAGTGTAAGACAGCAAGTCCGCGACGATATTTATGTGTGTGTTGGTGATGCAAAAATTGATGGCTGAGGAGTGGGTTGTCCAAAGACACGAATGGGTGTGCGATAGTGATCAAAAAGGTGATTTAATGGACCGTGTATTGGGAATTCGTCTTTGTTTGATCAAATTGTGTATGTGTTGTAAGGTAAGGTAAACTATTTGAAAGATTAAATATTTATAAATGTTAAAGAAATATATACTTTATAATACTATTAAGGTGGTTTTGGTATTACTTTGATCGATCAAAGTCTAAACTTGAATGTGTGTGTATGATTCACTCAGTCATCCATCCACTCATCCAAGGTATTGGAGGTGAATACCCAACCTTAGAAGGTCCTGCCTACCCTTGACCTGACAATAGAAGAACAATACTTCTTTCGATTTATGAGCGAATTAGTGTGTGTTGCTGTGTTTTCGCGTTCGGATTAATTTGATCCTCGAGGTCCATCAGGTAGGTCCAACTTACCAGGGTGGTGGACACACTAATGGCAAAGGAACACGTCACACACTCACTCGCTCGCAAACATGATGTACAAATAATATATCTCAATGTGTGTGCACTTGTTTGTATGATCACCATAGTGATGCTTATCGATGCGCCGTATGGGCGGAACAAGAGAGAACGTGTTCCACCGCTTAATAAGCTTATTCGTATTGTGATCTCATGATGGATGTGATTTATAATTAATAATACTCTCTCTCTTTCGGGCTGGCTGGCTGGCTCTGTAGATGTAGCAAAGGATACATTGACGTAATTGATAACCAACAACCATGGTTGTTTTGTGTGATTGTTTTGTTGAACTTATGGGCGAGACTACAAAGTCGCTGTGTGGCTGCGAGCGAGGATGAATGGATGACGATGGCGATGTTGTCGGTGATTACTCTCTTCGACCAATCACATCATGATTAGAAAGCTGCGATACCAGTGATGGCTCTGCCCACTAATATGTTCCATCGGTCACATGATTGATTGGTTGATTGATTGAATGAATGAACGTTACGTGTTAGTATGTGAATGATTGATTGAATGATTGATTGGTCGAATGATTGGAATACGCGACTTACGAATCAGAGCATGGATATCATGTGTTCCTTCGTAGGTGTTAACGGTCTCGAGGTTGGCGGCATGACGAATGACATGATACTCATCGGCAATACCGTTGCCACCAAGCATGTCTCTTGATTGACGAGCAATGTCCAGGGACTTGCCACAGCTGTTTCTCTTGATAAGCGAGATGCGCTCTGGTGTGGCGCGTCCACTGTCGATCAGACGACCAACCTGGTGACAGGCCTGCAGTCCGAGCGAGATCTCGGTGGCCATGTCGGCCAGCTTTTTCTGGTACAGCTGGTTGGCGGCCAGTGGCTTGCCAAACTGCTTGCGATCCAGGCCGTACTGGCGAGCGGTGGCGTAGCAGAACTCGGCAGCGCCCAATGAGCCCCAGCCAATACCGTAACGAGCCTTGTTCAGACAGGAGAAGGGTCCCTTGAGTCCCTTGACGGTGGTGAACATGGCCTCCTCTGGCACCTCGACATCCTCCATGACGATCATACCAGTGATGGATGCACGCAGTGACAGCTTGCCCTCGAGCTTTGGTGCCGACAGGCCCTTCATGCCCTTCTCCAGCACGAATCCACGAATGTCTCCATTGTCATCCTTGGCCCACACGACAAAGACGTCGGCGATTGGTGAGTTGGTGATCCAGGTCTTGGTGCCGTTGATGATGTACTTGCCCTGACCGGCGACCTTCTTGGCGCGAGTCTGCATGCCGGCGGGGTCCGAGCCAGCGTTTGGCTCAGTGAGACCAAAGCAGCCGACCATCTCACCCGAGGCCAGCTTGTCCAAGTACTTTTGCTTCTGCTTGTCGGAGCCGAATGTGAAGATGGGATGCATGACCAGCGAGGACTGCACACTCATCGCCGAGCGGTAGCCACTGTCCACCTTCTCGACAGCGTTGGCCATCAGACCGTAGGCGACGTGCGATACACCGCCGTACTCGGGGATGGTGGCGCCCAGCATACCCATTGAGCCATACTCGCTCATAATAGCACGATCAAAGTGCTCGTCTCTGTAGGCCATCTGTACTCTTGGCATCAACTTCTCCTGACAGAATGTGTTTACCTGCTCGCGAATCATTCTCTCCTCATCTGTCAAGCAATGATCCAAGTTAAGTGGGTCTTCCCAACTGAACTTATCCACAACACCAGCCACTGAAGCATATGATCTAACTCCAACCATGTTATTCGATCTCAATGTGCCTGTTTGTTTCAACATCAATCAGTCAGTCATGTTTGAATAATAAGTTATCTGTTTCAATCATTCATTTATTCAATCATTCATACTATGTTGATGTTTGATTGAATGATTGAGTGATCGAGTAATGATCATACCATTGATGACATTCTTTGTAGTTGATACGAACAATGACTTGATCATCTTGTACTACTTGTATATATTTTATACTTGTTATATATGTATGTATGAATGAGTATGTTGTTGTTCAAGTTTGAGATTGAATCGAGTGATCACACTTGTTGTGTTGTTGAAGGCTAAAGAGACGAGCACACTTCAGATATTTAGAATAAATTTTATTCAATGTCGGGGCTCAAAGTTACTTCAACAACTTCTGGGATCGCATAGTTCATTGCTCCCACCTTGAATGAACAAATGATAGAGATGGGTAATGTTTGGAATAGTTCCATTTATTCATTGTTATGTTTATCTTTTTTTTTTGTTTGATGAGGTGATGTAAGCAATCGACTCTAAAGAGTACAAACTAGGATGTTTGACACTCTATTTTAAAGGAATCGAATATGCATAATGTTTTGTTCTATGCTCCCTTCGACACATTCAAGAGGTTTAACAGCCTGAATGCAATATGACTTGGGAAATAAAGAAGCAACTTACCAAATTGCCTCGTTCGTCAAATTCCATCATAAGTGATTATCGTTCACGTTCACTACTTATGGGACTCGTCTAACATTCACGGCTAGCTTGATGCGTAAAGTCGCGCTTTAAAAGCAACATCAATCATTCAATCAATTATTAGTATACAATGCGTGACATATCATGTTGTTCAAGATATTGATGAATGAAGTACATGTATTTAGTTTAGTTTGTTTCTGATGTAAAGATAATTAGAACGCTGTGATAAGTGCAAATCCTGTGTAGAGAAGCCCAACTGGATATGCTACTAATATCCTCTGATCGACCATCGTCAGTGTCTTGACAAACATCTTTGATGCAGAGTATGTGCTCCAAAGTATCGCAACTAATATCAACAAGTAACCAATCATTCCACTATGTTGTTTGAATGGTTAGTGAGTGTTAGAGAATGATTGATTGATTGATCAATATACAATGATATCAATATATACATACTTGATGTTGATTGAAAGTGATACGAATGATAGAGTGACGATTGGCAACAGACAATATCCAAGAACACTGATCACTCTATACATGTCGATACCATGCTCACTCATGAGATTGAGAACTGTGTACATTGATACACATCCAATCAATCCAAGTCCATATATATATCCAAACTGTATCTTTCCACCCTATTGTTGTTGTTGTGTATCACATTGATTGATTGATTAGTCACTTTGAATCAAAGACAATGATTGATTGATTGATTGATTGAATGGTCTTACCATCAATGATGAGAAACCAAGTACTAGACCAAAGAAGATGGGACCTCCAAGGTCAGTGTCATCCATTGTATGTGCATCGATCTTTCTGAATGGGTTCAATACTGACAATGTCTTCTTCTTGATGTGATCAAAGTTGATTCCCAACTCTATTATCCATTGTGTTTGATTGATTGATTAGTCTTTCATTCTTTCATTCATTCATTCATTGATTCGATTGATCGAGTTGATATATCGCATACCTTCAAGCAGTGGCAATTCATCCTCGAATGAGTCAACACCTGGTGTCGCTCTGCTCATTGAACCTGACATCTGACCACCGAATGCCTGGCTCATATCTGTTGAATTATCATAAGAGTATGTGTTTGGGAAGAACTCCATTCCTTGATTTGAGCTTGTCATATCTATATATCTATTCTATCTATCTAACTCTATCTGTATCGTTATGTATATATGTATGTATGTATGTTCAATTGATTGAATGAATGAAGTCAACTCAATGCTGTTCTTCTTCAAATTTGAGGTGAAGTGCTGTGAGTGTGAGGGGTCAACGATGATGATTCACCAAGTTCATTCATTCGCGCCATGACTTGCCAACTCGAAACAGATAGAGATAGATAGATAGTATGAATGAATGGTTTGTTTATTACAATATATTGTATTGGATATGTATTATAGAACTATGATATGATTGAATGATTATTTCTTAAACATCTTCCTCAACTCCTTCTCCTTCATGTGCTTTTTGATAAAGATTGATGCTACAACACTGCCTACGACTATTACAACGACGGTTGGAACGACGATGGCTGGTATTAACCATTTCAGTCGGGCATTCCTTGCATCAGTTGCCTGTTTGTCTCTAAGTGCTACTAGGTCATACGAGAATATGTTCTTGGTGGTCGTCTGCGTGTCCACGGTGACAGCCACGTCCAATACACCATCGGGCACATCACTCTTGGAGAAATCCCATGCCGGCATCGTACATGTTATCGTCAGGTTGTCACTGGATAGCTCTGGAGACGAGCAATCAACACCTCCAATCGACACGGACAATGGCAGTCCGAAAGAGTATCCAGTGATCGACACTGGACCACCGTCTTGCGTGCATCTCAATGGCACGTCCTCAATTACTGGTGGCAAGTAGTTAAAGTAGACTGGAGCATTGGATGCTGGGGTGGAGATGTTGTCGATCGAGATGGAGACAAGATAGTTGGTGCCAACACCGGGTGGGATCTTGCAGTTGATGACCGAGCCATTGACAGAGTCCCACTCGATGCATGTGAATGTGCCAATGGTGATGTTGCTGGGCAGCGTGGTCACATTGCCTTGCTCATTTGTGCGATGGAAGTAGAGCATGCCACCTCTGATCTGCGCGACGCCGCCGCTCGTTGGCACGCTCGAGATCGAGACGATGGAGGGCGCGATGGTGATGCTGAGGGGCGCGGTCTCCTGGTTGCCCACGACAAACGACACGTTGTACGGACCGACCTGCGTCTCTTCGTTGTACTCGATCGTGATGTTACTGTTGTTGCTCAGTGTCAGCGCCTTGTACTTGGCGCCGCCAAACTTCACCTGGAGGCTGGCCTGAGATGGGCCCAAGTTGGTGCCGGTGAAGTAGGCAAAGGTGCCCACCTGCGAGTAGTCTGTGATGTTGGGTGCAATGTACGAGAAGTTGACGGCCTCCTTGGTCGTGCGGCCATCGATGGTTATCGCAGCAGGGTAGTTGGCACCAGCTCCCGCCTGGATATCACAGTAGAGTACGGTGTAGTCGTTGTCCAGGTTCCTCGGGGTAATGCAGACAAGCTTGGAGATGTTGATGTTGATGGGCAACGCGTTGTTGAGGCTGTCAAACGTCGAGAGGAACTGGCCGTGCATGGCGATGGTGCTACCGTTGGTGGGCGACATCGTGACGCTGTGGAAGATGGGGGTCAACTTCAGGCTCACTGTTGGTGACTGTTGGTTGCCCACCTGGATGTACATCTTGCCATTCCTTGTGGTGTTGGGCGTAGTGAACACGAGCGTCTGGCCATTAGCATCGACAAAGCTTGGCGAAGCCTTGGTGCCATCGCCAAACACAACCAATGTTGTGATGTCACCAAAACTGTATCCGGTCAGTGTGATCACTGGACCGTCTTGCTGGACCTTGTTGATCTGTGGTGCGCCGTACGAGAACTTGACAACCTCTTGCGAGTTGATGTTGTTGATGGTCACGCGGACAAGTTTGTTGGTACCTGATCCCGCAGGCATGTTACAGGCGATCTGGCCAATGTCGCCAGCTGGGTTGGATGGCTCTGTACATGCTATGCCACCCACATCCACTGACGCGGTTGCGGACGAACCATCGATGTTGGTCAAAGACAGGTAGTTACCAGACACTGTTAGTACTCCTCCAGCTGATGGTACTGATGATACCAAGTTGATTATTGGTACAAGGTTGCGAGTGTAGTTGGTTACCTGGACGGCACTGTCCACGATCAGATGGAATGTCTGGGGACCGGGACACATCATTGCGTTGGTCAGTGGGATCTTGAGATTGGTATGATTCAATGTTCCAGTAATATCAACTCCAACTTGGACACCATTGAGGTAAGCTGATACCTTGTTGAATACCTTTCCAAAGCTAGCGCCATCAACAATATACACATTGCTAACAAGGCTAACATTTGAAATTGATGGAGCTATAATTTGATTGATTGATTGATTAATGGTGTGTAAGTGAACGGTCTCAATCCATCGATCAATCATAAACATACCTGTGTAGCTGAACTTTCCATTGTAGGATGGTGAGTTTTGTAACTTGTTGCCACTGATCAGGATGCTGACATCGAGATTGATTCCAGAGTATGAGTCCTGCATGGCGAATGTGATGAAGCGACCTGCTGGATCGATGGTCATGGGGTTGGAACCAATTGGTACATTGTTGCCACCAAGGGTGAACTGTGGCGACAGTCCATCATCAGCAGCAAAGAAGAACTTTCCACTGAATGTAATATCGCCTCCAGATGTTGGTATTGAGTTCACAGATGTGATGACTCCTGCTGGTGTCCACTGCTGTAGGATACACTTGGCAACCTTACATATAGTGACGGCCACAGTTGAATAATCAGAGTATGAACCGAATGTTGCTGTCCACTTTGTTGAATCATCTGACAATGTACCAGTCAAAAACACCTTATTATTCTTACTGTCTGTGAATGATATATTCCTAACATTCGGTGCCTCTGATCCAGTTAATATTATATCTGTATCAGTGTTACTGATCGCGAATTGAGCTAAGTTGATTCATCAGGTGGGGGCAAGGGTTAAGTTAGTGAATGATCATTCTGGAATAATTAAAATAAATAATGATAATAATAATACCATTAATTAGACTACTACTACAAAGGAATAGTAGTAACACTATTGACATGGACATGTTGACCATGATTAATAATATATGTTATATCTTGGTGAAGTGGAGAAGATCGATCTTGAAGATTATATTGTTGGACTGACTGACTGAATGAATGACAGGCTAACTGAGTGAATAGATTGATGGATGGATGGATGGAAGTTGTCAACAATCAATCAAGTGAACTCCAAATTGGGTAATTAATATTATTTGATTATTCTTATTATTATTATTATTATGAAGGTGATGGTGATGATCAAGTGTGTCTTGTGTCTCTATGATTGATTGATGGATGGATGGGAAGTGGAGTGAGTGATTGAGATTGTCTGTTACAAAGGGCGCGCGGGATGGAGGGAGGACTCTCTCAAGATTAACCATCCACAACATTTAGAGTATATACATTTAAATGTTCTATACAACCGGTCTAAATTTAACAGCAACACACACAACAAATAAGATTGATTGATCAACTTCTAGATGTGTAAGTGTGTGTGTGTGTGTGTGTGTTGATCAATCAATCAGAATTATTGATCATGTGTGTGATGTCAATAACAACACCACAATACCATCCATGGCCTGGATAGGGATAGGTAACACAAGTATATTATATGTTGTGTGTGTGTTTTAAGCTTGAGTTGTATATCAACCAATCAATCACATGATCATCAATCGGATGTAAGTGTTGTGGTGATTGATTGACTGGTGTGGATGTTGATTGATTGATTCGCCTCTTCCACAAATGATTTTATGAGTTGTTGTTGTTGTGATCTAAGCTCACTATGAAGCCAAGCCTGCCACCACCTTCATATATTCGTCAGTATGGCTGACGGACTTACTCTTTGTTTCCAGGGTCCAAAGGAATTGTCCTCTCTAGCAGTGACTTGCTCTGATCGTATATTATGTACAACATGATGTAACCAGCTGACTGACTGGCCCATTTAATTACTTTATATTCTTCTTCTTGACGCAGTCTGGACAGTACCACTTGCCCTTTGGTGGATTGGACAGTCCAACGCATTCAAAGTGGAACCATTCAATCTTACACTATTGTTGTCATTGTTGTTATTTGGTCAATATCCTCTGTCAATCAATGATCCATCCAATAAAACAATAAATACTTACACCAGAGTTCTCACATTCAATCATTTCACCAAATGACACTCGGCCACAGACACAGTATGTTGGTTCGTTTGGGTCAATGGCCAAGTCTAGATCAGCAGTTGATCCACTTCCAGTGATTGATGCCATCTTGGTATCCTGTGTGGAAACTGTAGACTCTGATATTGATCTATGTTTGTTGGGCATGACGCGTGGAGTGTCAGTATATATGAAAGGATGATTGCAATGAGATAGTATGGTACCATACTTCTTTCTTCCAAATAATGAGACATGTTGACTGTTTGGCGCTGGCACGTTGGCCTTGCCTTTTCGTGGTGCCTCTACAGGTTGTGGCGCGCCCTTTCTCTGCTTCTTCTTCTCATCCTCCTCTTCAATCTCTGCTTCAAACTTCTTAAGATCATTGTCCAACTTTCTAATATGTCTATCGATCTTCATTCATTCATTCATGAGAGTTTAAGTAAGTATTGTATGTATGAATGTTGAGGTCGTGTCGTGTACATACCAGCTCATATAGTTGGTTTGATAACTCGACCTTCTCATCGGCATACTCCATAACAGTCTTCATATCGCTCTTGTATTGTTTGGTGCCCTTCTCAGAGAGGAAGTCCAGAGCAGCCTTTCTAGATGCAGTTGTATTACTCAACAACTGTGTTGTCAATGTCTCAACTCTATCAACAACATCTATATTTGTTTGTTAGTATACTACCACTATTATGTACTACTACTACTTCTACTATGTTATCATCGATCATATACATACCATTTGAACGGTAGTCCAACTCTTTTATCAACGCTAGATTACGTGTAAGCTCAAGCGGCACTGTTGAGATACCTGATAGATCATTTATAATTTAGTTAGTTTAGTTGTTAGTTCGTATTCTAAACTCAACAACAACAACAACAACAACAACAACAACAACAACAACAACATCAACATCATACTCTCCAAGTAGTTCTCCAAATATGTTCCTTGTCCATGCATGTCTCAGTGTATTGTCTGCTCTTCTCTTGTATTGTATTGTCTTGTCTTGTTGTTGTTAAAGTTGATTCGAATTGATATGATTGCGCTCTTTTCTGTTTTTTTTTTGAACCTATCCTTGGATAATAATAAAAAATATAATCCTATGTATGTGGATCGAACATCCAACTAGATATAAAACTACCTCGGTGTATCTCATTCATGGATAACAAACATTATTTAAATTTAGGCTATAAATTAAAATTTTTATTTATTTTTTAATATATGGGATCGGGATAATAAACTAGAGTAGGAGGAGCAAAATTTTTAGGACCTTCTTGAATTCCTGGTTGAACTCTAATAATTCCCTCCCCACCTACTGCACCTTCCCAAACTAATTCTGAGGAGTAAACATAGTCTCTAGGACCTCCTGGAGATAAACCTCCTGGTAATATAACTATTCCCCTAGGATGTGTGCCAGGTATAGTACCTGTCCCAACTATTCCTGAGGAGTGCCCAAAGTTACTGGTCGTTGGAGGGAATTGTGACATTGATCCTCCAATGTAAAGTACAAAAATAATAACTATTGAAATTGATATAGGTCTAGTTATTGATATCATTATTATATTTAATTGTAATTTGATTGATTGATTGATTGAAGGAATGATTGTTCTGTTGTGGATTTAAATATTTAATTGATTGATTTCAATTATTATTATTTTTATGTAAACTGTTCATTGTGCGATATTATGATAAACTACTTGTTCATGGATGTAATTTACATTGGTATTACATATATGTTACGAGTTTGATTTATTCGTGTGGATGGGTGTAGTCTGGAAAAGAATATAGGGGTCTTCAAATCAGAGTATTATGATTGATTACTGGATACAATAAATAAATAAAGTATATTCTGGAACATCTCAAAGTAATATTGAATCATGAACAGATCCTGGATTTTATATTTATATTTTGTGTCAACTGATTACAATATGAACAGTAAGTTGGTTTATTATTATTATGGATGGATGACGGACGGCTGTTGGTATGGATGTTTGAATTCACATTCCAAACACCCTTGATGTTGGTTGGTTGTTTGTTTGTTTGATTGTTTGATTGTTGAGATGGTGGATGTGGACATGGATGATTGTTTGATTGATTGAATGGATAGGGGGTTTGAATGATTGATTGACTACAGGATGGATATGATCATGTGCTTAATTAATTAAGCATAGTACTCCAGAGTCTTCTTCTTCTTTGCCTGTACCTCTTGGATGCCCTCTGTGAAATCATTGTGAATCAACTCCTTGCCACCTCTGCGCAGGGCAATCATACCGGCCTCGACACAAACGGCCTTTAGCTGGGCACCGTTAAAGTCGTCGGTGCTGCGTGCCAACTCCTCAAAGTTGACGTCGGGACTGACGTTCATCTTGCGCGAGTGGATGCGCAGGATGTGCGAGCGCGCCTCCTCATTGGGCAAGGGGAACTCAATCTTACGATCGAGACGACCGGAACGCAACAGGGCCGGATCCAAGATATCGATACGATTGGTGGCGGCAATCACCTTGATGTTGGCGTCACTGCTGAAACCGTCCAGCTGGTTGAGCAGCTCCAGCATTGTCCTCTGTACTTCTCTGTCACCCGACAGCTCGCTGTCGAAACGCTTGGTGCCAATGGCGTCGAGCTCGTCTATAAAGATGATGGTGGGTCCCTTCTCCTTGGCCAGGGCAAAGGCGTCACGCACCAGCTTGGCGCCATCTCCAATGAACATCTGCACCAGCTGTGGACCGGCCAGCTTCAGGTAGGTCGAGTTGGTCTGAGCGGCACAGGCTCTGGCCAGCAATGTCTTGCCCGTACCTGGTGGGCCGTACATAAGCACACCCTTTGGTGGCTTGATACCGATCGACTCAAAGCGCTCCTTATGTGTCATTGGCAGCACAACAGCCTCTACCAACTCTTGAATCTGTTTGTCCAATCCTCCAATATCACTGTACTCCTCAGTTGGTTTCTCATCAATCTCCATTGCCTTTACACGTGAGTCATATCTATATTAATTGTTTGATTGATTGATCGAGATATAGAGGATGTTAATGACGTTGAATTAGTGATGAGTGTTGCAACAGCAGTGACATACTCGGGTGGCAAAGTATCCAATATAATATAGCTGTCCTTATTTACACCAACAAGATCACCTGGTCTCAACTTGTCTACATCGACAATGCCTGGGTATGCCAAGAATATGGTCTAACAATGATGATGATTAATATGTATGAGTATGATTGATTGATTGAATGAATGATTCGAATGAATGAATGAATATAACATACTTGTCTTGTTGAAGCCTTGACTACGACACACTTTGATGGCTTGGTCTCACCATCAAGGGTCATCTCGATGATCTCAACGACGTTACCAACGAGATGTGGCAACTGACTGTTGACGTGCAGCTTGTCGTTGTTCTCCTTGATCTTCTTTTGAAGGGCCTCCAACTCGAGATGCTTTGTCAGATGCTCACCTCTCAACATCTTTGTCTCATTCTCCATCATCCTCGCTCTGTTCATAATGTCCTCGGCAGACATTTGAAATATCTCCTCTGGAATCACTGCTTCCTTCTCAGCTTGCATTGCCTCCTCCTTCTGTGCGACTGCCGCTGCCGTAGTAGTCTTCTTTGACATTATTTCTTTCTTCTACTCTTGCTACTACTTCTACTTTGTTGTTATTGTTATTGTTATTGTTTGATTGATTGTTTGTTTAAATGATTATATTATATGTAGTATTATATATATATTTACAACAACAATAACAACACACTATGTTTTAATTAATGAGGTTAATGATTATTGTGAACTTGTGTTTGATTGATCATCACACACTTTGTTGTTGATGTTCATCAAGGATTTAATTATTATTATTTCTTTTTTTTCTTCATTCACACCCATTCACAACTTGTTCAATCACTAACATGAAGTTCAACGAGACATCTGATCTCTGACGACGAGAGAGAGGACGATGAGGATGATATCCCTGATGCAGAAGATGGAGAAGGTAGCACCGAACTCCTTTGAAGACGCACTCGTGGGAGCTGCCTTCTTCAAGGGGTGAGTTCGTAGGAGCTGCGCTCTTACTCTGCGTCTGATTCCGTGCAACGGTCTCCTTCTCTCGTTTCTTTTGGTGGTCATTGGTTCCTTCCCTCACAGTCTTATCTAGAGAGAGAGCGAGAGAGAGAGAAAGACCGTCCTAATCAATACCAATCTTGGAAACAATAATTGATTGTTTGATTGATTGAATGGTTGGACTACATCATGTAATGAGGTCACAACCAAAAAGCCAATAGCAATCATGATTGATAGTAAGTACAATACTCTTTACCTAGCACACATAGAGTCAATATCAACAAGTTACTATACAATAGACACGACACGTCGGGTTGGGATCATGAATGATTGTTGGAGTTCAAGTTGACTTTGTAACGTTTGTTGTTGGCAAAAATTAACTTGTTTTGTTGTGTGTGTTTCTTTAGAGTTGTGCGAGAGCAACAAGAACAAAAGGAAGAAGATCTGAGTAGGTTGTTCATTCAATTCACTTCACTAAAGGTAAGCATTCAAATACAATCACATCACTCAACCTGTTCACATGATGATAAACGAAAGCAACCCTATGCATCTATGAATCTTCAGGGAAACTGATTACAAACATTCCTCGTTTCTGACACAATACAACAACAAACAACACCTTTAAACATCAATTACATACAACATCAACTCAACATAACCATCCAAATATACTAATCAATCATCATTCCTTCTATCTCTTTGCTATCTTGCAGGCATTATATCATAATATCCAATGTCAATGAGCCAAGTTGAACTAAATAAACCATTAATTCTTTCAAACAATCATTCGTTCATTCGATCATTCATATATTTCAAATATCTACCATGGAGAAAGAGATGGGGAAGGAGAGAGCTCATGCATGGCAGTTGTTGAGTGCAGAGGAGAAGGAGAGTATAAGGTTAAATGGGAAGAAACAATTGAAGGTACAACAGAAGGAGATATGCCAGAAGTTATCTTGTCCATCTTGCCCAAATGCACTCTTCACCTCTATAGCAATGTATCGACGACATCTAGAGTCAAAGAAACATCTACGTCGTACCAAACGACATCTTATAGCCAACACATGGTCATGTAAACTATGTAACATAGTATTACCAAACGAGTCTGAATGGGTATGTTCATTCGCGCGAATGTCATAGGCTCGGTCATAAGCTCGTTCTTTCGCTCGCTAGTTCACTCGCTCACTCATTATTCATTCAATCTTCAGAACAAACATGCATCAGGTCGTAAACATCACTTGAAGATGAAGAAGTATGGCAAGGAACATTATCCAATGACTGAGCCATACTTAGAGTCGGACATTCAACGCTTGAAGCAATCAGAGTTCAAAGAGGAGGTCGAAGAGGATGGAGATGACTTGTACCCTGCCCTCATAGGATGAAGGTGTTGGCTCATACTCATACTCATTCATTTATTCTATGACTGACGAATGTACCACAACAACAACATGTGCCCTGCCCCAGCAGTGGTGATGGTGTTGGCACTGGCATCTTTGCTCGTTCGTGCAAGGCTTCTCCACAAGCCCCAATCTGATGTGTTTGTTTTGGAAAAGTCGGCTGGACCTTCTTGTTGCCCCAATCAAGATATTATTTTGCAAAGACTCCAACTCCATCTTCAACATCATCTATTGGATCATTCTTGATTGATACATAGAGATATAGATACATAGAGATAGAGAAGAAGTATGAATCAACACAACAACAACAACAGATCAATAGTGGCATTGATGACCATCATCATGATGATGACTATGACCATCACGACAGGTGTCAAGGCACAACCGACATATAGTTTGAGCTCATGGTACAACTCGTCAGAGTGCCATGGTGACTCGTTGGTGGAGATCGAGTTGTATCAGTCGGGCTACTGTGAGCAGGTGTCGTCACAGTCGCAGCAGTACGAGTGCCAGGATGATGGCGTGCTCTTTATGGAGTTCTACGACAGTCGATGCAACAGTCCCAAGAGCAAGCAGCTGTTCCCATTCGAGACGTGCAGCACTCGCAACTCATCGTTCACTCAATCACAGTGCGCCTCGCAGTCGCAGGTCAACAGCATGATCCATGGCATGACCAGCGTTTTCTTCTACAGCGCACCCAACTGCAACAACGATCAGAGCAGTCCGTACAAGATGATAGTGTCGCCCGAGCCCATCTGTCTCAGCTACATGCGCACACTCAACAAATGTGATGATGGCAATCTCTACCAAGCTACATGCGATGATGAGCTCTGTTTACTATGTAGCGACTATCAACAAGTCGATCCATTCTGTCTGGCACCTGATGGAATGTACTTTGGATGTCCTTAAATATTCAGTTCAACAAATTATATTATATATTGTACAATATATCCAATCAATCAAATGTCAATCATGTCAACATTATGGCATGCCATTGGTCTTTTCACGCGAGACTTGTTGTTGGACGACAAGCCTGGCTGGCCCACCATACTCCATACGGACCAAATAAATAATAAAGTAAGCAACATACATTTAATCAATCATTCATTCTATCATACCAATCACTACTCAATCAATCAAGTAAATGATCAGATGTAGCCAGTCCAACAACAACATCAACATCATCATTGTAGTCCTCACCCATCATCCTCATACATCATCCACACTCACCCACACAATCACATTCCACAACTTGTCCAGACATTTCAATCAATCAATCATTCACCTTCACACACACACACAATCAATCACAACACTCGAAAAAAGAGATAGAGATAGATGGATGATGTGGTTTGACAATGAGATGTTCTCGACTTCATCTTCATTGACTGGTCACAGTGTGGTATCCTGTGGACATGGTTATGTCTTTTTCCCAAGCACCATCAATCACTCAATCAATCACTCACAATTATTGGACTATTCATCAATTTGGTCCGACACCGGATGGACGTTCATATTTGGTTGAATATGACCACAATAGGGTAAGTATATAATGTCCACATGTTTACACAATAATTAACATCAGTATCAATTGATTAACTACAACAAAAACAGTATCCAAATATACAACATTAGATATTTATTTATTAATATTATATAGAAGCCATGTTCAAGTATCTCCTCTTTGCAGTGGTCCTAAGCTTGGTCGTTGTCACATATGTCAGCGCCAATGCAGGTCTGGTCAAGCCAATTCCAAGAATGAAGTGTAGTGATAACTCTGCCGAAGGATGCAGACTGAAGGCACCATGCAAACGTAGAACATCAAATATGATCAAGTATGTGTCCACTCTCACTCACTCACTCAATCAATCTATCAATCAAATAATGGATTACTAACTCTAACTCAATCAAAATAGTGCTGTATACTATCACGATGCATACCAGATTGCCATCTTCCAGAAGGAGGCCTTCAAGACTGAGTCGTCCAACAACACTTACACACTCCAGTTCTTCGTTGATGACGCACCCCTGGGTATCCAGCTGTTGACATTCAACCAGAACGACATGAGCTTGAACAAGTCGATGTACACCATGACCGTGCCATCCCTCGACACCATCCAGGACCTCAAGGACGCCGATCTCTCATGGGATGATGAGGGCAACGTCTACGGATACTTGCAGTTGACATTTGATACTCGTTCCGGTAACGGCCACGCCTACTACTCATGTGCCGATGTCCGTCTGCAGCAGAAGAAGGTGCTCAACTCTGCCAAGTCATTCACCATCGAGGACGTCACCACTGTCTCTGTTGCCAATGGCGGTCTGAACACTACTGTTGAGAGCACCAACTCCACTGTCGTTGTACCAACACTCGTCCAAGGTGCTGCCCTGCCAACTGGCGACGTCAACACACCATCCGAGCCAACTGAGACCACTACCGAGATCCAGGAGGAGACCAAGGAGGGCAGCTTCGGCAGCAAAGTCAGCTCATCATCCACCTTTATCTTTGCCTCAATCTTCACCTCTGCCTTCCTCGTTTTCAACGTCTTCTCCTCTGTCGAGAAGAGGATGCTCTAAGCTATCCCAAGTATACATTCATGGATGGAGCAACAACATTATCATTAACAACTAGAAAATCAAACATAACATAACATAACATTACAAAAAATGCCATTACAGTAATTTAATTAATAGTATTATTATTACGTCATCCTCATCATCACTGGACATATATTTTAATAAATATATTTATTGTCCTTTCTGATTTCCAAATCAAGACATTGTCTGCTGCCGATGATCATTTTCCAAACCACCCACCAGTTTCCTAATCTGGAAATCATTCTGATTATTCAAACACACTAACCTTGTTCATGGTATTACATAATCATAATGACTGTAACTTTATCCTGATCATACTTATAACAATCTAATAATATTTGTTAAGATAATACAATGAAGAAATTCCTCTCAAAGGAAAAGATAAAGATGGATTCCCAAGGTCTCCAGAACCTTCTAAAAGAAAAGACTCCACCGTGTATACTTTGTGATGCACGGGTAGAATCCAAAGATTACATTCAACACCTAGATGGATGTCTAAAGGAACTAGGAGACTTGGTTAAAGGTCTATTGCCACCTCCCCCTTATCAACAGCCACCTCAACAACAACAACAACAACAACAACAACAACAAATACCATTACAACTTCCTGCTCCCAAAGTTGAAGATGTCCTAAAGGAACAAGGACAATCAAATGGGGATATTTCATATCCTGCCCTAGTAGTAGAAGAGAAACCATTGGCAATTCTTCCACCAGATATTAGTATTGGAATCATCGTGAGGAATATGGTCAAGGAATTAATGTTCCCTACATCTGACTCACATCCAATCGGAACCATATTCTATTTGGTATCTCGTCCTTGGTATGATAGATGGTGCATTGAGAGTTCATCGAATGACTCCCTTGTACCAATCAATAATAACTTCCTTTTGGCTCCTGGTACAAAATACTTGTCTTCAACTCTCCTTGATAAATCAAAGAAAGATCCTTACTCTAGTCCATTGCCATTCATACTGGTCACCTCCATGGTTTGGTCGTACCTCTACAGAACTTATGGAAGTGAAACTGTCATCTTTGGTAGACTCACCAATTCCAGGAAACTAAATGATGTGATGACCTGGATTGAAAATGATCTTAGGGTGGCACATCAGATCAATGTTTCCAAAGACACCTTGGTCAGGAAGTACATCCCCCAGTATGTCTGTCCTAGGGAACGAGTATTCAAGGTTAAGCAGAGACTTTGCAAGTTGATGGAAGTTGATCCCGAGAGAGTTAGGATGTGGAAAATGATGGGAGATAAGAAAACTATCTTGTTGGATGTACACAAGACTTGGAGCAATGTAGGACAAAATAAGGAGTGTATGAATGTAAGTGATGCTTTTAATAATACTATCAATCATATAATAACAAACTAATCAGCTTATTATATTAGATTCTTCTTGAGGAAAGGTTACCCAATGGACCATGGCCAACCAATTGAGTTCAATCATCAAGTTTGTTCCATCGCTCTTTCTTAGTTGTCGCTGTGTAGTGTCAATCAATCAAGCTGAGTTAGGTCAATACTAAAAGTGTCTACGGAGAATGTGTTATATACATTTATTGGTTGATGATGTCTGCATCAGGAGGGAGTGCTGCGAGTGTTACATCCAGTAAGCCAGCCAGCCAGCCAGCCAGCCAACCAACCAGCCAGCCGGCTAGCTAACCTAACCTAACCTGTTGGTTGGTCAATCATTTTTAAAAGTCCTTGAATAGTTGGGCGTAGGGATCGACGAATCCAGGCGGTGTGAAGTCGCACATTGGTTCCTCTTCGTACATCTCAAAGTTGGACGAGTCGCCCTGGAACTGTACCTGCGGCACGAACGGTCCTGGCACCGTCCTATTATACAAATTCTCCCAGTTGATACTGGAAAACCACTTGTGATTCTTTACATCTTGTGCACCATCCTGGAATCATTGATTGAGTGGTAAGTAAGCGATTGATTGTTTGATTGACTGATCGATAGAGGTCACATACCTTTAATGCACCAAGTCGGCGTGTTCTATCAGCGGTCAGCAGTCGTTTAATCAAGTCCTTTGCGTCCAGGTCGAAGAAGGTTGGGAAGTTGATCCTGCCCTTGAGTATCTTTTCATATATCTTAAATGTATCGTCGTCATAGAAGGGTGGATATCTGTTTGATTGATGGTCAGTAAGTTGTCGTCTTTTGGTGGGCTCGTGTTGTTACATACCCGGCGAGCATTTCAAATATCAAGATGCCTAGTGCCCACCAATCGACTGCTTTGCCATGTCCAGTCGACTGGATGATCTCGGGCGCCAGATACTCGGGCGTTCCGCAGAGAGTGAATGTTCTATCTATTACACGTTTGGCAAAGCCAAAGTCGGTGATCTTGATGTGGCCCTGGTGGTCTATTAGCAGGTTCTCCGGTTTCAGATCACGGTAGACAATGTTGTGTCTGTGCATGTGCTCCAGAGCGAGCACGATCTCTGCCGCGTAGAACTTGGCCAGGTTGTCGTTGAACTTGCCCGACCTCCTAAGATGCGTGAACACCTCTCCACCTGCCACGTACTCAAACAATAAATATATCTTCTTCTCGTCTTGGAATGATTGATATCTGGATGGGTGGATGGTCAGCGTCATGTGTGAGGGCGATTGATTGAGTGCTCTCACTGCCACACTTACAGGTTGACGATGAACGGATGATTGATCTTGGACARGGATGGTCTTTTCTGATATCAGATGTTCAACTTGCTTCAACTTGACGACGTCGATCTTCCTCAGACACTTCATTGCGTAGTAGTTGCCGTCTTTTAGGTCCTGGACAAGGTAGACCTTGCCGAAAGTGCCAGTGCCAATGACTCTTATCTGCTTGAACTCTGTGAGACGCTCCTTGGGGTTGGCAGGCGGTGGTTTATAGAATGTATTAAACGACTGTTGTTGTTGCTGTTGTAGCTGTTGCTGCTGCTGTTGCTGCTGTTGTTGCTGCTGTTGCTGTTGCTGATGTTGGTGGAATTGATTGGTGGTGGTCGATGGCGGTGTGGTAGTTGTGATCACTGTGACTACATTGTTATTATTATTGTTGTTGTTGATGTTTGTTGTTGTGACATGTTGTTGATCGGACACATGTGACGAGGTCTGTTGCTGTTGGTTCAGTACCTTGTGCATTGGTTGGATCTGTAGTGTGTCCATGGAAGAGATCATTGCGTCACTCTTGCCACCGTCATTCTTGACAAAGTTGCCAATGCTGTTGACATTGTCCGAAGGTATATTGATCTGGCTGGTCGTGCTGATGTCCATTGCATCCTCGTCGGCCTCACTGATATTATCCAGAGATGCCGTCAGACTTGCGTTGGATGACGCCAAAGAATGAAGTTGTTGATGATACATAGTCGTCTGTAAATGTTGTTGTTGTTGTGGATGTTGTTGCATCTTTGAAGTATCTAATATATTTGATGATGTTGATGTTGTTGTTGTTATTGTTGTTGGTTGATGTTGTTGTACAATCTCTCCTCTATCCATATTCATTCTTTAAAGGTGGTTTGTTTTGTTTCTCTCTCTTGCACCTCTGTTCCTAATGCTCTTGCTCTTGCTTCTGTTTCTGTTTCTACTGTTGTTGCTGCTGGTGTTGGTGCTGCGCTTGCTTGGTCTGATCAGTGTGCTGCGAGATCCACCTTTCCCGCACTCTTCTTCTTCTGTCGATCCGTCTTTGATTAGCTGAACAGCCCCCTTTTTAGTGTACGTGTGTTTGTCTGTTGTTTGTTGCTTGTTATATATATGTGATATATTTATATGTACGAATGTAATGTAATGTATGTATGATGATTGAGATATGATAAATAATGAATGAATGAATAAATGAATGAATGAATGAGAGATGAACAAGTAAGTTGTAAAATGAATCAATATGGCCCACACCTTAGGATGCTTGCATCTATGTTCATCCATCCATCCAACCATCCATTCATCCTTCCAACCAACCAATTGACCCGCATTTGAAATAATTTAATTAAGCAATCCCCTCATATGAGGTGTTTCGTTCGGATCGATGTGTTGTTGTTGGTTGCTAGCAACTTGATGTTTATTGCGCGCGTGTGTATGTATGAATGTATGTGTGTGTGTTAATGAATACCAACCACATACACACACAACTTCACTAACCAACCACATTCACTTCATCGTTGATGTTGTGGAGATGGGGGGTGCATTGTGTGTTGCTAGCGTGATGTGAAGGAAGGAAGGTCACTCACCCTTCTTGCCTTCATTCATTCAAACTCCACACTTGATGTTGTTGTTCACACGCGTGGGGTGGAGTGACTGGCGGGATGATGTAATGAACAAGGAGGAGGCTCCTCTTGATATTGTTGGCGGTGTTGGTGTGGGTGGGTGAAGGCTAATTGGAAACGATCAGATCAGTCAGTGTTGTTGCTGATGCTGATGTTGTTCATCACTTAGGTTGGTGGCTGTTGTGATTGATTTCCAATCATCAAGGTCTTTGTGAAGTATTGATAGCTTGTCCTCTGCCATGGAGTTTGCGTCAGGGCCAAGGAACAGATGAAGGGGAGTGTTGTTGTTGTTGTTGTTGGGGTTGGACGAAGTTGATGTTGATGTTGATGATGTAGAGTTTCGTGTTAGGGAGTGAATGACCTCTGCTGCCTTGTTTGGATCGCCCTTTTGCTTGCCCTGGCCTTCAAGACATATCGCCTCTGTCTCTTTGGTCTTGTATTCGTCGATTGGATTGATGGCACATCGGTATGAGCCTGCAAAGAAGTTGGTACGGAATGTGCCAGGATAGACAATGGTGACCTTGACGCCAAAGGGCCCCAACTCCATAGCAAGTGCCTCTGACATGCCGCCCATCGCGTACTTGGCCGCAGCATAAGACACATTGCCTGGGAATGCGCAGTTGAAGCCAATGATAGAAGATATGTTGATGATGTGACCACTGCGCTGCTGTCGAAGGTGTGGCACTGTGTGTCGGAGCACGGAGAACACGGCAAAAAGGTTGACTTCAAAGTGTGTACGTATCTCGGCGTCACTCAACTCCTCGAGGGAGCCAAGCAGACCGTATCCGGCGTTGTTGACAACGACGTCAAGACGGCCAAAGATTCGAAGTGTATGTGCGACCGACTCCTTGATGCTGTCCTCGCTAGTCAAGTCGGTCTGGAGGACCAGCAGACGAGGCCATTGTTCACAAAGTCTTTGAATCTCTGGTGAGTCAGGAGTGCGTGTTGTGCCAGCCACATCATCTCCCATCTCCAAGCACCTTCTTGCAAGGCTTAGGCCTAGGCCTTGTGATATACCAGTGATGAACCAAACCTTTGATGTTGTTTTTTCGCTCATTGTATCTGTATCTGTATATCTATGTGAATGTTGTATCTTTCGGGAATGAGACATAATCATGATGATCATTCACCCACAAGTCGATATCTCATCTTCGTCTTTTTGCAAACTCACTTTGATATCAAAACGATCTTTCACACACAACTAAACAAGCTGTCATCATTTAACATACCTCAGATATTGAATAAGATGGAAAGTGATGATAAGAAGTATATTAAAGAGTTGGAGAACAAACTAATCAAAGTAGTCATCGACCGAGAGAACATCCTTAATGCCTACAAAGAGTTAAAAGATCGAGTATTGGAACTTGATATCCTGTTCCAAAGACACACAGCAAGTCTTATTGATGATATGTAAGTTGGGTAATCTCACTCACTCAATCCTCCACTCACTAGAATGACTCCTCATCAACGATTAGTGATACACAGGACAAGGAGATGAATGATATGTTCATTGGAATGGATGAATTGGAAAAGAAGTATGAGGACATTGCCTATGAGTTGGTGACTACAAGATCAGAGAAGAATGAGATAGAGTCAAACTACAAGGACCTATTATCCGAACATAACCAGTTAAAGAATGAGCATAGTGAGGTAAAGATCAAGGTGTCACGACTACTGTCGAATATCACTAGAGGTGGAGGTGGAGGTGGAGGTGGAGATAGTGTTGCCAAACAACAGCAACAACAACAACAAAAGTGATTCAAAGTACCCATGAACAATAACATACTTGACTTCAAACAATACAAGGACCTGTCTGATTTGATGACTTGTTTGTATTGGAGTGAACAATACTGTAATGGACATTCCCGACAACAATTACCAACAATGAAGTGGCATCATGGTAGTTCATTGCCGTTCATTTGATGTGTATGGTATGGAACTGTCTGTTGTGAGCGATGTTGATGGATTCTGTTTCATCTAGTGGTCTGATTGATTGGTTGTTTATATCTATGATTGTGTGTGAATCAGTGTGTGTGTGTGTGTGATAGTGTTAGTGTTGTTGACTTGGTGTCAAGTCAAAGACGAAAGACGAGTGTTCGTATTGATTGGTGAGGGTGATTGATTATCTGATTGATTGAAGTCACGTCAGTGTGGTGTGTGAATGATCATTTTGTAGATTGTCTACAAATATTAGACAATGGTGTTAGTAAGTGACATGTTACAACTAGAATGTAACAAGATTACATATTATATGTTGGATCAGTCAACTCTGATGGTCCATCGGTCCACTATATAATCACAATCAATCTCATCTTATTCAAACAACAACTACAAGTAATACTACTACTACTACCCAGTAAAACTACTACTACTACTACTACTACTACTACTACTCTCCCATAATGTCTAAACAATTACTTGCAATTGTATTGGTCCTCGCCCTGGTTGGCCTGGCTTACTGTGACCAACAACAACCGACTCAACAACAACAGAATCAACCGAATCCACAGGCTCAACAAGCCGCCGAACAGGCCACCCGCCAGCAGGCCGAACAACAAGCCCAGCAGAACAACCAGCAGCAAGCCGAGCAGACCAGACGCCAGCAGCAGCAGCAGCAGGACATGGAGAGAACTCGCCAGGAGCAGTCCAACCAGCGCGAACAGGAGCTGCGCCAGATCGACTCCAGACTCCAGGAGCTCCGCCAGCAGCGTGACAACATGATGAGCACCGCCCAACAGAGCAACCAGAACCTCGCCCAGGCTGCCAACGACATCTACAACCGTGAGCAGCAGATCGCCAATGACAACGTTCAGACGAGCACCAACAGCTTCCAGCAGCTGGCCAACCTCGAGAACCAGATGAGAGATCTSWGATCTCCAGAAGAAATATGCTCACTGGTCAGACTTCCACCTTCCAGAGCCTCCAGAACTTCCAGACTCCCCAGTTGATGTACCCACAGCAACAGCTCTACCAACAGCGCCACATGATGTACCCACACCAGCACATGTACCCTCAACAACAATTCGTCCAGCCAATGATGATGAACCATCCAATGGGCTACTTCTAAAGTCTCTCTGGCTGTACCAGCTCGTTCATATCGTATCAACCTTGATCCAATAAATTGATCATTTTACCCTTGACCTTGCCCTCGCCCTAACCCTTTTCAAATTTGATGTTGCCTGGGCACTTCACGTAGACATTCAATCAATGAAGTATTGATCATTGTACATGTAATAATTAATATCACAACTGTTAAAGTAGTAGTAGAGCATAGCATAGCATAGAGTCAAACATATATATACAAGGAATGGACTTCAAGGGCAGCTCTGGAATGAAGGGTAGCGGAGGCATCCGTGATAGTTTGGGCATAAGAGACAGTACTGGTATACTTGGAAGCGCTAACAGCTCGCCAAACATGTCATCACAACACATTGGTCTGCTCAACGAAGAGAAGATTACAAGAGTGCTCAATAAGATACCAGACAACTATCACAAGACAGACTTTGCAGCGAGACGTGTCGCACTAGACTACATGCGATCCACCAACAGAAAGGACCTATTGGATCAAGTAGAGAAATGGTTAGACGATCTAAATGAAGTCACTGATGATGTTGTCGATGGTAAGATCATACATGAATGATTGATTGATCAGCAAGCTTACATGCCCATGAACGAACGCAACACATACATAGTATACTTCCAAGGATTCAACAAGTCAATTCATAACTACAGTAGGATACTTCAGTTCATGGGAGACTCACATACCAATGCATTGTCGATGAGCAAGGAGGTCGACGAAGTCACCAAACTCGTACACTTTAACAATACAAACATCGAGAGGATGTGGAGACGTAACCTGGAGTACTACTACATGATACAGATACTTGAGAAGATGTCAGTAGTACTATACTCATTCATCGTGGACTCACGGTCACTCACTGACACCCTCAATCACTCAATCACTCAATCATTCAATCATACATCAACAGGGAGGAGCTAAAGCGTGTACCTGGCTTGCTGGACCAATACCTCAAGGACAATCACTTTGTTCATGCTTCCAACTTGATCGTCAACTCATTACAGTCGTTGAGTGAGAAGGACTTGGTCAATGTTCAAGCATTGTCCGAGCTGCGACACTCACTAAATGAGCGCAAGGAGATGTTTAACGAGTTGATCATTGATCGATTGAGCAATCATGTATACATGCGATCACTCCAGACTGATCAGGACGATGAGGATGAAGACGACTTTGCATCAATCCTCAAGAAGGCCACAAAGAAGCCTTCATCAATGGCGCACAGTGCAAGCAGCAGTAGTGTCAATGGCACCAACAACATCACTGGCAACAATAACAACACAACAAGTCTAAAGACAATCAAGAGTAGCGCGAGCAGGGAGGAGCAGGCTGACAATCAACCACTGCAACTCGAGCTGATATCCAAGGCATCCAACTCATTGGAGGACCTCAGCATCAACCCCGAGACCAATGGCAAGCTCTTCATGAACCTCCTCATCGAGTCACTCAACGTCCTTGGCGAGATCGACTCTGCCGTCGGTCTCATCCTTGGCAAGATCTCCATCGAGATGAAGACAATCATCTCAAGCTGCTCCTCGACCGTCACTCAAACGTATGCGTATACCGTCCGACCGACGTCTGGAACCATTGCTAACCCATAATCAATCAATCAGATATCAATACGAAGGAAAGACAATAGCAAAAGTACCTGGCGAGTCGAATAGCGGAGACTTGAATGAGCAGAGCCTGATGCTGCTCAGCGACACATTCACTCGCAACACTCTGCTGTCCAACAACACATTGAACATACCTCTGGTGGACTTGATGAACGCCATCTTCAAGAAGGTGTTGTCTGTGTTCAAGAACCACATGACTCTGTCAATCATTGTGAACGACTCTATCAAGAAACGCGAAGCCAAGCGACGCAGAGAGCGCGTGACAGACTTTAGTGATGATCGCGATGGTGACCATCTCTCACGCAGCATGGAGGAGTCGTCCGAGGATGGCTCGTTGCATGGCAGTGGCAGACGTGATGTTCCCAATGCCAACGTTGACAGCGGACCCTACAGTCTGTCGCTGGTGTGGGAAATCATGCAGAAGGAGATCAGAGAGATGCTGCGCATCCACCTGCAGGACACATCGTCCCTGTTCCTGCGCTCATCACAGTCCGCCACGGCCACCGCCGACCAGGGCCGCACTACTTCAGTGCGCCTGTTCAGCTTCAGCAACTCAATCGTTACCGACACTTGGAACGGCGCGGCAGGCAGTCCGCCCCTGTCGTCCCAGAATGGTTTGATGAGCACACCACTCAACAACAGCGGAGGAATCAGTCAGAGCGTTGGAATCTTCAAGGCGTCGCAGTACAACGTCACACCAATCTATCCACTAATCACACAGTTCACGGACCACATCGACTCGCTTCTGTCCAACGAGTCACCCGAAGAGCGCAACCTCTACAGCTCGTCGGAGGGACAACAGCACCGCGGACTTCTCCGCCTGTACATCGATGACTTTGTGCATCGCAACTTCCTGGAACACATCAAGTCGGACTACAAGAGGCGTGTGGCCAGTGCCATCGAAGGCACTGATGCATTCAAGCCCTTGGAGAGATCAAGATTCGTCTATCGTCTGCGCGAGACAAAGCCTGTCCTCAATGTATGAACTTGCTCACTCACCACTCGCTCAATCGATCACTTACTAACTCAACCAAATCCAACAGGGTACATTACAGATCTTCCAATTCATTACAGAGTTGTTCTCGGACATTGTGGCAATGAGTCACTATGCTGAGGAGTTTGGCGCAATCATTCAGAACACACTGCTTCAGTACTACCTCAAGTGTTTGTCAAAGTTCAATCATGAGGTGGAACCGACCATCACTGGCGCACTGCTCAACACCGACCTATTCAAGCATCTGCTCAACACATTGGACTCCAAGAAACAGGAGTCGGCAGACTTTAGAGACACAAAGGAGGAGGAGTTTGAGTACAAGCTCGAGGCGGACTTGTTCGCCGTGCCCGACAAGCCAGTGATCAAGAACCAGCTTATACTTGATGTTCAAAAGTTGACAATGATTGCCAACCTCTATCACAGTTTGGAGTGGCTGGCACAGCGAGTCACCAGTCTATTTTCGGTCACATCAGGCGCGGGCACCAGCAACACCACCTCTGTGCCCGAGACACCATCCAAAGGATTGCCAAAGACTGCCGTCAAGCATCAACCACCAAAGAATCTCCTCTCACCTGCACTCACAGAGATTCTAAAGTCGATGGATGTGTCGATCAAGGACATCACGTCAAGGTTCCGCGAGTTGGCCAAGCAATGTCTGATCAGTCTGCGCATCGAGTACAGGATACACTGCTTCTACTTCTTGGAGGGCTTCAAGAAGACGTCCTACATGTGCGACGAGGAGAGGACCGACCCTGACAGCTTCATCGTCGAGCTCAACAAGGATCTCTCGACCAACGAGGAGACAATGTCCAACTATCTGACGAGCGACAAGTGTCATTTCTTATTTGGAGGCATCGCCAAGCTCATCGGCAAACTGCTCATTAGCAAGCTGGTGCACATCAAGCAGATCAACAACAACGGTGTTGCCAAGCTATGCAAGAACGTCTACACACTGCAGCAGAATCTGACCAACATCATTGTCAAGCGAGAGATATTCTTTGATCGCATCAGACAATTCTATCAATCACTGGCCAACGAAGACGAGTTGTTGCACTACCTGTTGGAGAAGATGTCCTTACCCTACTTCTCGGCAGAGGAAGGAAGAATCATCCTAGAGTTCCTCGGTTCCACCAAGAGAGTGAGCTCCAACGTTCTCCAAACACTGGATGCCAAGTATAGGAACATGTTGTAATAAATAATAAATATATATCCAGTGTCATCACTCTATCACTCCATCAATCAATCAATCAATCACATCACTCGATCCTCGCCATTACCCTTTTCAAGCCCAAGCCACCTCGTCCTGATGATAGTGAACTCAACTTGTTTATTGTATATTTACATCTGATCAGATTAGTTATCGGTTTGTTCCAAGTATGTCATCAATCAATCAATCAATCAATGAATGATCATTGTCGACTATGTGTAATAATAAAAATAATTATATATTAATAAATATCCTATAACTATGATGCAATAGGTGTAGGTTGAACAGCATACTTCTGTTGCTGTTCGGAAAAGGCAGCTATTGACTCTTCATCCTCCTCGGATGAGACCTCTTCCTCCTTCTCGGCAAAGGAGGACAGGGAGTTGGATGACAACGACATGAATGGAGACTCGAGGAACTTGGTTGGATCACGGTTGAATGTGATTGGGTTCTCGCCGCCCAGGTCCAGCTCGAGCTGGTCCTGTGCAATGTAGTTGGCCAGCTCTGGGAACACACGCTTGCCATTGATCTTCTTTGAGTGCAGGAACTTTACCTTGGCCAAGGTGACCTCGTTCAAAAATGGAGAGATAACCTTCCACGCCACCCAGAACATGGTGGGTGGGTCAAGGAACAGTGACTGACCCATGCGCTCTGGACAGTGGTCGAGGAGATGGTGCATGCTTTCCAGGTTAGCCTTCATGTCCAAACTCTTTCTTGAAAATCCATGGTAGTCCACGACGAAACAGAACTGCTCCACACCCTTTGACTCGTCCATCTGTCTGAAGCCCGACTCGAGCTGGTACACCAGGTTCCTGAACTTGAGCTCCACTGGCACCTTCTTGAGAGTGTCGTTTCTTGGACGCGCTATGATGATGGGACGACCCTTCAGGTCCTTGCCATTGACGTAGATGGCACCGGTGCGGGCAATCTCGGAGATCTCTGCAAGCTTGATATCCTGTGGTCTGTACTTTTTCCTCCACTCGATGGTGCCGCGCAGCAACTTCTCCGACTTGGCCACCGTGTAGTTTCTGGCGCGCAGGTATCTCAGCAGACACATATCATTGCAGAATGCAACAGACTCTGGATCAGTTATATCTTTCAAATTATTCCTCAGTTCCTTTAAAGCTGCCAATTGTTTATCATCCAAGTTTGCCAAAGGATTGAATGGTGGTTGTTGTATTCCATTCGAAGATGTAATTGATGATGTGGATGATGATGTAATTGATAAAGAAGACATTATTTATATTTTATCTTGTGTGTGAAGTTATTATTATTATGATTATTATTATTAATATTATTAATGTGTTTGTATGACCCTGGTAATTATATAATTATAAATTATTATGAAGTATTACTTATTTAAATAAATATGAATATATATATTAATATTTGTATCTTATACTAATATGGATGGTATGATTAAGTGAATTGAGATAATATGTATCCCTTGTATTGATGTTTGTTTTGGATATTGGGAGAATGGTAGTAGTAAATCGATTCCTTGATAACAAGTACTTGCTCTTGTATTTGTATGAACGATTAAGAAGGTTATAAGATGTAGACTGTTTTTGGAAGAGCACTCCAAAGTGTGTCTTTAAAAGGGCTGGCCCGAACACATGAGACTCCATTGGTCACTCACACGCAATACCCTTGAAGACCCTGAAGAACACAGCACTTGTCCATGAGACTCCAGAGTCTCCCTCCTTCCACACACAACCCAGCAAGCCCCCACACATGAATGACTCCTTGTTTCGTTGCGCAAGTGCTCTCGAGAGGGGGGTTGTTTTGAGTTTTTGCTGGCGCTCATACGCACCAGCATGGTGCAACGATGGTGTGGACCCGGGTTAGCACACTTCATGAGTGAACCCCATCTGGAACGATGGAAGCGGCGTTGCAGGTTCTATCCTGGGACGCTCCATGATCGAATGATGATGAGTAGTCTAGTCCTACTTGATTAAGGAAGACTACTAGTACTTGAGCGGAGAACTCCACCATGACATCATGTAGTGATCCAGTGCGTTGATTGATAGAGGGCAGGCAGGTCCAGAGGCACTACTACTCCGCATTATGGGGCAGTGGGTTATCACTGATGTATTCTTTGTGATGGAGGCATGGCGCGAGCACCTTGTCATGCTAGTGATTACTAAATTTCTGTCCATGAGTTAATCTAGATAGTTAGAGTTGTTTTTTTGTTTAGATAATGGAGTTGGAGTAGAGTAGAGTACTTTACTTACCTTACACGTACAAGTGATGAATACTTTCGAAGCGACATTGATGATTGTTAGCGTATTGATTGTAATTAATTGTATGGGATATTTACTTGGTGGATATATTAGGAAGGTGTGTGATGATTGATGGATAATTTATTTGTTGATAATAAATGGACCATACACACATACATGATGGTAGTGATTGTGGTGATGGTGGTGATGGCTTGTCAATGAATGATACAACAACTTTACATTCCCTCGTAGACTGGCTGGATGAAAGTCCACTCGGCAAACTCTCCCTCCTTGAACCAGAGCTTGATCTCGTCCTGAGCAGAGTCTGGACCATCAGAGCCGTGGATGATGTTGCGGCCAACCTCAATGCAGAGGTCACCACGGATGGAGCCTGGCAGAGACTGGGCTGGGTCAGTGGCACCGACCAATGAACGGCCTCCCTTGATGACGCCCTTTCCCTCCCAGACCATGGCGACGACGGCACCCGACGAGAAGTACTTGACGAGACCGTTGAAGAATGGCTTGGAGCTCAGATCGGCGTAGTGAGCCTCGGCTTGCTCCTTGGTTGGGTGGATCATCTTGATGGCAACCAGCTTGTAGCCCTTGCGCTCGAAGCGGCCAATGATCTCTCCGACCAGCTGACGGGCAGTTCCGTCGGGCTTGATGGCGATGAAGGTTCTCTCGTTCTTGGTGCCTGGGACACCGGTGAATGGGACCTTGTCGGCACAGGTGGCGACACCGTAGGCGGCGGCGGCAGTCAAGGCGACGGCACCTCCGGCAACCTTGAGGTAGCTAAAGTTTGAGCCGGTGGCAGTCTGCTGGGTGAACTGCTTTGAAGTGTTGGCAAAGGTTCTGGCGAAAGCAGCGCCAGCGAATCTTGGCATAACTTTAGAGAAACGGGAGAACATGTTTAAGAAGGTAATATATTGTTTATATGTATTGTTGGTAGAACAAAGAAGAAGAATACTGGGTGTGATCATCAAACATGAGTGTGTGGGAGGGGTAGTGAGCGTGTGCTCGTTCTGATCCCAATCAAATTAAATCCATCACTTTGAACTTCAAACTCGAAGAATGATCGTTTTTGGGGCATAAGTGATTGATCAATCACTTTACAACTGTGTACAAGTACAACAACCTATTTTAATTATATGTTATTGTTGATCAATTAATTACAAATAGAAGAATAGGTAGGAAGGGGATAGGAAGTCGCGACGCCTTAGTAGTATGTTCCAAGTTGCATTCCAACTGCCAAATGTGAACCAGTTGGAACATGATGACACCACCACTCGCAGAACTCTCTTTCGTCGATCGATCCAGAGTAGTTCCTATCGATTTGGTAGAACAGATTCCTGGCCAATCCCTTGGTGAAGTAGTAGCCCAGATACTTCAAACACTATATGATTGCCAAAGTGATGATGCAATATGTTAGACATTGATTGGTTGAATGGTGTGAATAATATGATTGATTACATACTCTCTTAAACTCCTTCTTACTCAGTGTACCACTGTAGTTGGTGTCAAAGTACCTAAAGGCAGCGCTGGCTTGCATGTATCTCTCGACGAGATGGGCCGGCAGACCGATTGGGACAATGACGGCACCTCCACGAATGTATCCAGTGGAGTAGCTGTATTGAGGACGTCCAACCATCATCGTGGGTGCAACGCCAACTGCGTAGCTTGCGGTTTGGTAGCCAGCGTAGCCGTAGGCAGCGGTGGCGGATGGTGGGTAGACCACCGGCTGTGGAGGATAGGCAACGGGTTGTGGTGGGTAGGCCATTTGTTGTTGCATTCCCATTCCCATGCCCATTGATTGGTAGGTGGCCGATCCTGGAGCATATATAGCTTGGATTGGCTGGCCAGTAGGATGGGCTCCTGGCAACACACTTGGTAGTTGACCAGAGGGCAATCCTGGATATCCAGCTGGTGGCTTGGCTACAGCCATCATCGCACCGCCACCAACCATCTGTTGTTGTTGCTGCATACCTTGTGGTGGGTACGCACCTCCTTGTGGTGGATAGGCACCTCCCTGTGGTGGATATTGGCCACCTTGTTGGGGAGCACCTGGTGGGTATTGGCCACCTTGTTGTGGAGCACCTGGTGGATATTGGCCAGCGGGTGGTTTGCCCATCATCTGTTGTCCTGGAGGTGGATAGCCGCCTGGAGGTCCGGCGTTAGGTGGGTAGCCACCTGGAGGTCCACCATTGGGTGGGTAACCAGTTGGAGGTACGCCGGGTGGATATTGGCCGGGTGGCTTGGCCATCTGTTGTCCTGGAGGTGGGTAGCCGCCTGGAGGTGGTGAGTTGACGGATCCAGGTGGGTAGCCTGGAGGATATGCGCCGCCAGGAGGTTTAGCCATCTGTTGTCCTGGAGGTGGGTAGCCGCCTGGAGGTGGCGAGTTGACAGCACCCTGGGGTGGGTATTGTCCACCACCTGGTTGTCCTTGTTGTTGCTGAGGTGGATATTGGTATGAGCCTGGCTGTGGGGAGTTTACTTGCACCACTGATTGAGGTGGTGGAGGAGTTTGCTGGACTGCAGTAGATTGTTGAGGAGGCATTTGTTGTTGTTGTGTGCCAGTAGTTGCATGGCCAGTGTGAATAGGAGGAGGAGTTGGCTGGGCACCTGCCGTTGGCAGCACCTTTACAGGCATCTGAGAGAATGCATCTGCAGCAGTTCCAGATGGAGGTGGCTGTGAAGGATTCTGCATCGTATATATAAATATTATTATTACTAATTAAATATTTAATTAATAATATTATTATGTGTATGATTGAGTGATGATTGAGTGAGTGATGAGTGTGAAAGATTGATTGATTGATTGATGTTATTTGACGACAACCTTAATATTCAAAGGAGGAATAAATAAGTATGTAAGTATGTAAGTATAAGGTTATGTGTGTAAGTATTGTTATTGAGAGTAGGAGTGATAATTAATACTTTATGTATTGTCGCTGATATATATATAAGAGGCAACGAGGTGTTATGATCCCTGCAGTGTCAAGACCTCTCAGTCTGCCTCCCTCACACATTCACACATTCATTCCATTCCCACTTTCACACATTTATTATTACACAAACACACAACATCACCATTAAAATTAATTGAAAAACAATGTTGATGATAGGTGACCTCTGTGTGTGAACAAGCACCATTTTGAGATAAACTGCCACGAACACGAACAATCATTCAATCAAACACGATCAATCTATGACATCGTTGTAATATATATTGATTCGTCACTAAGTGTCGACAAGTTATTAATAGATAGAGGTGCGGCACCATTAAAGGAAGGAATGAAGAATTACCAACTTCAAGGCCAGGCCCAAGAAATACAAATATTATTAGTTGACAGACCAACACTCAACAACTAATGGCACAAAGTCATTACGATGTGATAGGGTAGTGTTGTTGAATGTCTCACAGGTTCCACTAAATCCATGATCAAAGTCGGCATCCATCCAAAGTCCAAACATCGACCCGCCTCCAACAGCCAGATATTCGTGGCTGGTCTGGAGGAACATATCATTCTCCTTGGTCCATTTGAACACTTGTAGTTCAGGCAGCAGTGTAAACATGAACGTTTCGCCACCGCCATAATATGATGATCTTGGTCTGATAGTATCCGAGCAGTATACACCAAACACATGTCCACCGTCATCCTTGACCAACAACAGACACTGCTCGACATGCTCCATCAATCGATAGAATGTTCCAAAAGATACACCATCATTGATTGAGTTGTACTCAAGTTTGATGTCCGCTCGCTGTCTAGTCGCTGGGAGGAAGTGTCGCAGCTAGATGATGTCGTGTCATGGTCAGTTGAGCGATACTAAATCAAAGGACATAACATAACATACCTTCTTAAACAACTCAGAAGTGAGTAATATGTCCTCGACAATACCATTTCCATTTGCGATGAGTTTGGGAGAGTAGCTGTCCTGTGGGTCCATGTCCAGAGGCGAGAGCAGCAACATCTTGTCAACTTCTGCAGAAGTGGATGACGAAGAAGAAGATGAGGATAGCATCAGAGTGTTTGGAGTTACTAGCACTGGCTGAAGATTAGGAGATGTCTTGTAGGGAGAGGCATTCTTACACTCACTTGTAAGGTTCTTCAAGAAGTGGAAGCAGTCGTCTACTCTGCTCCCATCCACACCTCTAAAGAATAGTGTCTGTATATGTTTGTCCTGGTAGACCAACACATATATACAAGGGAATGTCTCGACCTGCTTCACCTCGGTGGCATTGACAGTCATTTTTGCCTTGGCATCCTCAATCTCATTCAATCTTGCAATCTCCGATTGAATGAATCGTTCATGTTCCTCATCGACAACAGAGTTCTTCATCTTCTTGTGGATCGCCTGCTTCTCCCTCTGCCAGTCCTTGGACAAATGTTCCAGCCACTGCCACCTACTCGAAAACAACTTGCATGATATGATATCACCATAGTCTGTGTATATCTGAATTGTAGGCAATCTCTCATGTGATTGGAATATCAACTGGTATGGCGTCAATGTCAACTGTCCCTGGACCCTCTTGTTCTTTGTGAAGCACATCAACTCCTCGCGAAGAACCTGGTCCTTTGGTATTTGTTGGAACCTTGATGCATGGTTCCATGATCGTTTATCCAAAGATGGTGGACTCCTCTCACACTTTGATGTAGTTGAGGCAATGGTAGGTTGGGCAAGCATCACTGGTGTGATACTTATTGATGGTGTTGTAGGAGTTGATTGTGTGATCCCATCAGGTGAATCAAGACTCTGTGATAAGGATAACCTCTTCCTCTTTTTGACCCATAGTATTGTACCAGGTATCAACTTGTCTGATGACAACCTGTTGTATTGTTTCAATAGATGTCTTTGCATTGAGAACTGAAGTGCAATGCCTGCCAATGTATCCGTTGATTTGACCTGATACATTTCCAATAGTATAGGTTGATCAGTGTGCACCGCAGCTGGAGGTAATGGAACAAATGATCCTGGAACTGGATTATTACAAATAATTAATAATCTGACCAACCAAAGTGATTTGATTAACCTACATATATTGTCCATTGACACTCTTAGTGACTCCATCGGCTTCATGTTATACTCTTCAATCATATTTTAGTCTGGAAGTATAATTAATCAATCAAACTATTATATGTACAAATCATCCAACTTAATGAATGAGAAACAATGTAGAGTACGTACATCATATTTAACTTGTGCATGCCATTGCATGGGAGAATCCTGTGATAAAGTGCCAAGATCAATAAAGTGTTGCCAACATTGGCAACATTCACCCTATGTTTCAGAAGAGGTAAACATAAGTTGATTGATTGATTGATTGATGTAGAGGCTTGGGAGTGTGAGTTTGGCGCATCACGTGGTCTGGAAGGATAGCACGCTCACACTTCCTTGATGGGGTTGCTCCGAGTTAGCCTCAGCCACTCAAACACTCACACTCACCCCCAATCAATCAATCAATCAATTAATCATCGTTGTCATCTTGTTACTGTGAACCAAACAGTTATAAATGTATTATATTATTAAGTTTATATATATGTCACATGATTATTAGGCCATCTCTTGGCCCATTGATTTCTGAGCTCGTGCCTTTGAATTGAACCTCTTGGTACCAAGTACAGCAGTGATTCCAACACCAATCATGAGAATGGCGAATAGACCAGTTGGGCTGATAAGTAGTACAAGTGCATTGCTATATGGGTGAGGGCAAGGGCAAGTTAGTAACTGTGATCAATCAATCAATCAAATAATACATATATACTTACACTTCATCAACACAGATTACTTCCTGGACATCTTGGACGAATGGCCACAAGTTGGAACATTTGATCAGTGGTGTGATCTGGTGATCCCAGATCTCTTGGAATGCCTCCAATGCAGTCAGACCATCTTCGGCCACTTGTGAGACGTTCTTGAGCACAGGGTTCACACAACCAGCGGCACACTCGCTAACGTTGCTCAGATGGCGAACGTTACATGAGATCAGTTGGGAACCACTTGGGCAATTGCCGTCCCAGTTGGGCACGTTCATGGGACAATTTGCCACGCCGGCCGCATAACAACCGAGTTGGAAGTCGTAGATGGGCGCCGCAAGGTAGAGCTGAGTCGTGCCGTTGCCACATGGGGGGATGCCAGTGCAATCGTACACCTTGGTGCTGACAGGGGCCTGATTGTAATCGTTGTTGGGGTAGAGTGGGAATGGTGGCATGTTGCACGCTCTGTCGACACCGTCTCCACAGGCCTCGTTGTAGGACGAGTTGATCAGATTGAGTCCCAGCTCCTCCAGGTTCTGGAACACAGAGATTGTGTTGCTCTCGTTCTGGCAGCCCTTGTAGAGCTGGTAGGCGATTGGATTGGTCTCATTCGATATTCCAGTTCCTGACGAGTTGAATGTTGTACAAGTGTCCGAGAGCAACGAATTGATTGGATAATGAACAGAGAACACGATCCATGTGAATGGTAATACGATCACCAAGGTCAATGCAGCGCTATATGTTTGATTGATTGTGTGTGTGGGAGGGAGGTGATTGGGTGAGTGAGTGATCGGAATGGTTCCACTTTGGGGCACACATACATTAAACAGATAATTGGAATACTTAATATTCCAGAGAGTGCAACAGCAACACAGATGACGAGTCCAGTGATGAGTCCAGCAAGGATGATGTCACGTCTCCAAGAGTTGAACTTTCTGGTGTAGTTGTTGATGGTCTCGGCATCGTGTTGGATCTTGAGACCTTGGTCTGTGATCTTGTTCAACTCATTGATCACATAGATTCTGTTGTCGGTGTACTGATCCAATCTGGTGAATTGGGTCGTGTTGAGCTCCAACGTGATGTTTTGAATGGAGGTGAGCGTGCTGTTGGCCTTGTCCAGCACGATGTTGCCCAGGTTGTTGACGCCCTCGGTGGTGCGCGCATTTCCAGTCATGGCCGTGATGAACAGTGGCACAGAGGCCACGGCAAAGAGTATGACAACGATGCGCAGTGCCCATACCTGGCACGAGGTGTAGCCCTCGCCAATCTCGGGGTCGTACTTGGGGCCAGGACAGAGGAGACCGTGAGTGGGCGAGCAGCCGCCAAAGAAGAAGGACCTGCCCATCCAGAAGAGGATGGCGAATGCCAGGCAGACCAGTGCGATTATCAGGGTGATGCCTCCGAGCAGCACGACAGCCTCGCCGTACTTGGCCCAGTCACAGTCGTCGATTGGCGAGCCACCGCAGAAGCCTGGCGGGTACTTTGTCAGCACTCTATTGGTTGTGAAGTAGGTGTAACGTGTGATATTATAATAGTCTCGCAACACCTTGACTGTCTCGTCCTCCGATGTGGCCTTTGTCGTGTGATGCACCATAACAGTGAGCACAAGCAACAATAATGGCAATGCTATTGATCTCATTTTTTTGAGTAATGTAATATTTATATTTGTAGTTTGTAGTTGTATTATGTACAGATAATAATAATAAAGTATATTTAGACTGATTGATTAATCAATGATTGTAATATGAATGATGGATGGTGATGGCTGACGTTGCCACTTTCTTAACCCCAACCTACACCATCAGTCAAGCAATCAAACAAGCAACACAACACAAATCGAATTATTTTTAGTGTTAGTGGGGGTGTGAAGAGGGTGAGCTGATCAAAAAAAGTCTGTGATCAATCGTGTGGGGGTGAGAAACCTACATTGAGGGTTTGATCAGTGTGGGTGATCGAGGCGATCTTGCCCCAATACCCAAGTACAAGGGTACCACCTAGGTAAGTAAAGTTAAGATACTCCCTCTCCTTTTATCTCTTTGACCATGCATGGTAACACCACGAATTGACCTGGACCTGGACTGCTGGGACTTGTCCCATGTATGTATGTGTTGATGATCAAATCAATCAATCAATCAATGATCCATCCAGTCGGATTTGGACAAGTTTACTCTTTTACCAGAATTAAAGAATGAACACGTGGTCCAAGATATTCCTCCAATGCAGGATTCCTCCGTATGTCCAATTCCTTGATGTTGCTCTCATTCAAACTATCCAATAATGTCGTCAACATGTGATCTGGTATGCTTTGCAGATGCCGATGATTATTATACAACGACAAATATTCCAATTGTTTGTTTGTCCTGATCATTGTACACAGAGCTGGAATGTTATGCACGTGAACTGAACCATCAGTCACCGAGAGATGTGTGAGCGAATGCAGTGACTGCAGTATGATGTCGGACAACTCAATGCCTTCCAAGTGTATCCTCTCCAGCTTGTTATTGCAGACACTCCTCAGAGCCTTGGCCAACTGCTGATTGAAATGTCCATCCAATGCCAACATATATTCATCAAGGTGATCGCCATGATTGTTGTCACATCTGTTGATCAGATGTAGATGTCTCAATGATTTATGGTTGGCCAGTACTTGGCTAAAGTGATCAATGTGCCGACTCATTGTCTCGGGGTGGTACATCGGTCCCTCATACTCATACATCGTTGACCTGTAACAATCGTTTTGATTCTCTTCGTCGGCTTCATCACGTCCATGATGATAATATGTCTGGAGTGCGTTCAGTGGCCTGACCTGGTTGTCGTCCAATCCCAATCCATTGTTCTGATTGATCAAGATATCATGATAGAGTATTGTGGCAGTGAGAGATGTGAGACCAATGGAGTTAGCGCCGAGTATTCGGCAAAGGTCGTACAACTCGACAAAGTCATTGCGTATGCTGAGCGACTGGAGGGAGCGCGTGGCCAATTGATTATATAGATAGTGATTGCCGTAGTGACTTGCTTTCTCGTCGACGCTGATGTCCAAATGAGTGAAATGGCTATAAGCCAACTCTTCCAAGACCTCGGTGATTGGATGCTTGTCATGCTTTGACTCGATGTTGAATGTACATTTGATGCTATTGACATGCTTATTCCGTGAGAGCTCCTCGTCTACGAAGCTATCGAGAATTTTCTTTGGATTGACAAGTTCATAATCAACCAATAATGGAGTGCTCCTCATGTCTACATAGCCTACGAGCATGTTTATATATGTGAGAGCAATCTGGAATGCGACGCCTATGATGCGTAGTTTGGCAGAGGTCAAGTTGTGACATTGATCCAACAATAGAGCGTAGTTGTGTTTAAAGTGTTGCCAATTGTCCAGAATGCTTATTTGTTTGTAGCGGCCAATCTCCAAGACAACATGTTTGAGCGTTCGATGCGATATCAGTCTGTAGTCGGGCGCCATACTCGGTCCGCACAGGTTGTTCAACAATATTGATTGATCACAATCCATGTTGATAGACATCTCGCCCAACTCAAATGCACCGTTCACATATCTTTGACATCTGTTGAACCATCTCTTGCAAACCAATGCCAAGTGGATCAATGATTGGTGTTGTTGAGGTACAAGTACATTCACAAATATCTTGTTGTTGTTATTGTTATTGTTATTGTTGTTTCGACTTGTCTTGATGGTATCAGTCAGACTGTTATTGTTGCTAGTTGTTGGGGATAACAACAGAGACAGTATCTTATCTTCAAGTAAATGAGGTAATAAGTTCTCCATCGTATCTAATGTATCTCTATCCATTCTTGGAAAAGGATGAATGACTGTCATGACATGAAGCTAACCCTCTTCTTGTCACTTTCATTTGAGCGAGAATGTATCAATGATAATGTTTATATATTGCATAAATAACAATCAATCAATCAGATCATTGCTTATGATGATGTTTACGTTGACTCTTCTTGTGGAACCTCTTCATACCTAGCACTGCGGCAACACCAACTCCAAGTAACAAGATTGCAAACAAACAAGTTTGGTGCAACTAATCTTTGTACATTGTTACTATTGTTTGTTGAATGAATGAATGAATGAATGACTGCGTTAGTAACCTCATTAACTAACAAAAGTAGAGTAGAGTACTTACTATTCCTTATCACATAGACTATCCTCAATATCATTGATAAATGGTAATAGGTTGGAACAGTTGATGAGAGGTAGTGCCTCGTGTTCCCATAAGGCCTTGATTCGTAGTAGTGATGTGATTCCTTCAACTGCTGCAATACTGGTGTTCCTAATCTGTGGGTTGACGCAGTCATGTTGGCATGCATCCACACTGGCAATATGTTGTACTTTACATGACACAACCTTGCCACCAGTGTTCTGGCATATGTCTGGTGAGTTACCCGAGCTGAATGGACAATCGAGACTCTTGAGTGCAGAGTTGTAGCAACCCACCAAGAAGTCGGTCACGGGCGCCCTGAGGTACAGGACCACGGTCGTGTTGTCACAGTGTGGCATCTTGGAGCAATCCATCACGCTTATCTTCTCTGATGGCTGTTCATAGCCATTGGGATAGTAGTCAAACTGGACATTACACAGGTGACCAATGCCATGGTCGCCACATGCTTGGGAGAATGTCGAGTTGAACATATCGTCGACGGTCGTCACCATTTCGCTAAACAGTGGGATGACCATCGTGTCGTTCTTACATCCGTTGAACGCCTCCTGAATGATTGGATTGGTATAGTTTGATACCGCAGTGCCATTGTTGTAGCGGTCAGAGTAGGTAGTACACAGGTCGGACACCATGAAGTTGCCAGAGTAATGAACACTGAACAGTATCCACATCAGAGGTATGAGGAATACTAACAACACCGCCGAGGCAGCACTTAGTCGATGGCAGTTGAAGATGGAGATGAACAGGAACACACAGGCCAGCATACCAAATGACAGGATGATCATCGTGGCAATGTAGCGATAATGATTATAGCGCTCGGACTTGTCGTTTACCAAGTGTGCATCAGACTGTACATTCAACAGATCATCCATAATCTGATTGAGCTCGTCGTCAAGTTTCTGCTTGGTCTCCTCCGATGAATAGGCCTCAAATCTTTGGAAATCTGTCGAGTTCATCTTGTTATATATATTCATATATCTATTGTATGTATCATCAGCCTTTGTCACCAACTTATGTCCAATCGTATGTAACTGGTCAGTGGTCAACACATTTCCATGTATCGATACAATGAATAGTGGACTAAATGGAATAGAAACGAATGATTATTAGTCAATCATTCAATCGGAGAATCGATCAAACATATCCTAACATACATTGAACATGCTACCAAGATGACGACGACCACTCTAAGAGAACAGACCTGGCAGTTGGAGTATCCTTTCTCGAATTGATGATTGAATCTTGTTCCGGGACAACAGAAACCATCACTGGCGTGACATCCACCAAAGCAGGCCTTGCGTCCAATCCAGAATATTAGGATGATGATAAATAGTATGGCGGCAATCATTAGGGTTACCATGGACAGGAGAAGCAGAGCCTCTCCATATGATCCCCAATCACATGTATCAAATGGCTGGCCACCACAGAAGCCATCTGGATACTTGGTCAACTTGTTGTTGGAAGAAAAATAGGTATACTTTTGTACATAAGTGTATGAATCGACGCCATCAGCTGACAACACTACCATTAGCAACGCCAACAGTATAGCAGATGTGGCAGGCATCAACATTGAAGTATTCTTTAGTTGTGCCATATTGTATATATATATATATATTAAGTTAGGTTAAGTATTATATTTTATATATTTGGAAAGTTGGATTAATTGATTGATTGATTATATTGATTGATTGATATATTGGTTGAAGAGCACCTAATATATGATGATGATGATGAGCATTGGTATAATCAACGGCGAGAGAACGAAGGAAGATGGTAGACGTGGTCGGCGGTAGTCCTCCTCCCTCCCATTACCTCACCTCCTCTCACACCCCTCGGGAACACTCAACCAACCCTTTACTTTATACAGTGAAGACAATCCTTCCGTCCGTCCATTCATTCAATCAATCAATCAATCAATCCATCAATACCTGAAGTAAGTAGTAATAATAAGACTACCTTCTTATTATAAGTGCTATAATAATAGTATGTACACAATAGTGTTGTTTGTTCCCTTGATTATTACATGAATCACACACCATTTCATTCATTTATTCATTCATTCACACGAACCACTATTCTTCTCAACAACAGTCGTGTTTATGATCATTCACACACTCACTCACACATAATGGTCAGATGTGATGTCACATTCACACCCAATCAATCAATCAATCAATCACACATATTTAAACACGTTTAAATAATAACCCTTCCTACTTTCATACTTACTGATTACTCGTCTCTTTGCAATACCAGTAGGGTGTATTATTCATACCCACTTGAAGTACAATCAGTTAAGCAATCTATCAATTAATTAATCAATCAACAATGATGACTGACTCTTGATATCAGTGTTCCTAATCACATACAACGAGTTTGCAAAACATCCCTTCACACAATCAATTTGCAAATTGGTTGAGGGTCCAAATTCAATCACAAAATGAAAGGCAAGACAGGATGACACATTTGATTTCAATCAATCAATTAATCAATCAATTACAACAATGTCAGAGAACTTTACTGTTAATACCTTCTTTGAGAAGATAGCCAAGGGCTTACTAAGATCGGAAGAAGGAGTTGAATATCTTCACAACCACAGAACAGCAAACAAACAATTGATCAACTTTGGAACATGGAAGTTGCTTCAGAATGGATGGGACAACAAATCATGTCAACAACTACCAGAGATGGTAAAGAATTGGTTCCAAACCATGGTGAGTAAGTATTTCTTTCAAACAAAGCGATTGATTGATTGATTGATTAACTTACTATTGGTATAGACAAGGACAGGGCGGTGTTTATTCAAGGCAATGACAAACAAAGTGGCGTCACGTTTGTACATTCAGCAATAAACAGAGTTGTTGAACATCTTGGAAGCAGATCAGATCCTAGTGTCGTCACTCTTGTATCATCAATCAAAGAGGCCCACGAAACTTTACACAGACTCTATCAGGCCACTGCCATCCTATCCAATGTGTTGGTACTCAAACTACACTTTAACATGAGCATGAAAGGAGATATGTTCAAATTGGTTGGTGCTAGTGTACACGTTCTAGAAGGAGACTCCACCATGCCAGTGTTGGACAATAAGGTATCCTCTGGTGTCCTCAAGTTTGAGGGTCGTGAGGTACTCTATAACATGATGGACCTATGGAACTATCTCAAGTCTATGGACTTCACACAGCCTTTCGATCCTGACCAACATTCCAAGTTCATTCAACTGTGCGAGCTCTACTCGACCCCTGAAGAGCCCTTGACTCCAGAAGTTGTCCACCAAGCAATCAAAAAAGCATTTATAGTGGAGGATCTCAACATTGGAAGGAATACCCTGTTCAAGTTAGCTAACAGACACATACGCCACACAATCATATCCAAGTTGAACGAACAACTATGTGGAGGAATTGACTTGAACAATGTCAAGACCTTGTCATTCTTCCAATATCCTTTCTTCCAGGAAGTATGTAGTAATTTTTTATTACATCGATCATTCATTCAATCATTCATTCATACTTACGACAACTTATACTTATATAACTTCAGCCATGCCAATCACTGAAAGGATTGTTAATCAATCGAGTTGTGAGTGCCTACACAACACCAGCGCTGGAGCACACTCACCCGAGCTTCAAAGAGGCTATTGGCAACATCCCAGATATGTTCTATCCAAATGGCAAAGCATCTGAAAGCATCTTAGTCCAATGCCTGGCCAGGATCAACGATAAACTCGTCCTACCAAGGCCAGAGAACTTAAACTTTATTGGAGAGGGCAAAATTGTCGAACCATTGGGGAATGGATTCAGCCTCACTCACTGTGGACATGTATGTATTAATCCCGTTTAACTAACTAAATAATCATTTTCAATTTGATAGTTTGTATACTAAATGTCCTCTATCCATTGATCTAATCAATCGATCAAACAGAAGAAGATCTGGTATGACTTGAGGACAATGCAAAAGGCCAACAAGATCCAACTTCCAGTAGGCCTGGACAGTATCCTATCCCAACTCAATACCGGTCTAGACCCAAAGTATAAGGACATCACTGCCTTTACGACAGAGTTCGAGAAGTTGAAGTTCGCGGACACTGATAAGGACTTTATTATCAACATAAGTGTATTATTGTTACCAATATCGAGCAATTGATCATACATGACTACTTACACACTCAATCAATCAATCAATTATTAATAGTGTGACGCTATAGGGGAGATGAAAACAATTGCCAACAAGTCAATCATGATCCCTATTATGGACATTGCTACCAAAAGATTCGAGGTGAAGATGACGCATCTTGATTTCACCGATACGTATGTTATATTAAACTATCTAAACATATAAATAATAATTAACAACAATTACTACTTACTCCAAATAGTTTATCCAACTTGTGCAAAGATGATCGACAGTCGATAAATAAGAAACAATCATGCCAAGCTATTCTAGAGCTGGCTGGAATTGATAAACAATTCTATTCAGTTGGTGATTACTCTGTCTTCATTACCAAAGATCAAGTATGTATTTCAAACCAATCAATCAATCAATCAATTATTCAAACAACAAATCATACTAATAAATCAATTTTAGATGCAAGTCTTGAAGCAGAAGAACGCCATGATGAATTCTACACATGGATCAAATCGTATCCTCTCTCCTATTTCTTTGCTCAACATCGATCTATCCACACAATCAACACCATACGCCACACCGACCAAAGATAGAACCCTCTACTTGAATGATCCACAAACTCCTTCAAGCTCCAACATCAGTACTCGTTTGGACCTCAACAATCTGAACCAACAACTCCAAAGAAATGCTGAGAGTGCCCAGGCTCAAGACAACCCTTTGACTCAAAGACCTCCAACAACAACAACTACCACTACAACTACATCCAAAGCAACCAACAAATATGTTCTGCCATTGCCGGTGTCCAGTCCCATCAAAGTGCCAAAGAGGGACTTTAATGTTCCAGTGCCTGAGTTTGACCTTACAGAGCCACTGAGTTTCACTGTGGCCAAGATCGGCAATGGAAAGACTATCTTTGATGGTATATATCTATCCGCTCTGTACCAGCATCATGACCTTTTATTGTTCGTATTGAACGATATTTTCCTTAAGAAAGGTAAGTTAAAGCAAGGTGTCAACAACATACTACTCAACAAATACTAATATTAATAATAATACTCCTTACCAATTATTAGAACAAGTTGATGCCAATGGTCGACCACTGGTGGCATCCGGTGCGGCCACCTCTGGCGCTGCCAAGGGGGATGGCAAGACCAACGTGTTTGAATTGTATGTCACAGACTTGGAGCAATACTTGTTGTTCTATTTGTTTATTTTGGAGAGAACAAAGGAACTGAACCAAATGATGGAGAAGTTGATCATGGGGTTGACATCATGTCTCAGAACCTATCAATCACCCAATGTATGTTATATCCAACTTCCTAATCATCCATCAATTAATTAATTTATTGGTCAATCTCAATCTAGCATCCAATCAATAAGGTGTTGTACAAGTCAAGGATTGGTGAGGCATTACTCATTTACTACAACCATCTCCTTACCAACATGCCGAACCAAGTTCGATTCATCAATGTCCTCTCCGAGTTCTTTGTCGAGGCATCCTCCAACTTACCTTTTGTAGATTGGGTATGTACTCATCATTCTTCATCCTAATGAATGATTGATTGGTTGATTTCTAATATCAAATCCATGGTGAATAGATATCCAAATGTCATCGACAAAGAGTACTCCTCTACTCATTGTTGAATGTAAAGTTGTTGGGTCGTGAGTTTGATCGCTCAACGAGGAACCTATTCTCTACACTTGCCAACATCACAAGAAGTGAACAAGTTGTCAAGTTGCTCATCCAAGACAGCATCAAAGACCGCGATAGTCACAATCCCAACGGTCCAATCCCTACTACAGCTGAGATTGTCGACAAGTTTGCCAAAGGTAATATTTAGTCATCAGTCTTGTCAGGCTGCCCCCTCCCCCTGCTCCAACATACAACTAACAACCCTCGTCACGCTATTCATTCTTTCCAGATGAGATGACATTGGTACACATACTATCCTTTGCTGGCAAAGTTGTAGTGAACAATGATGGTGCCAAAATGTTGATCGACTCTGGATTGATCAGCAAGGTTGTCAAGGTACTCGTACTCCGATCGTCAGTATTGACCAGTTCGTTCGCTCAGTTTGTCAATGCCTGCAACCAAAACTGTGATATGGCTGAGCCAATTGGACAACAACTCTCTGGAGTGCTGCCAATAATGTTCTACATTCTCCTTCAGAAGGAAAATGACAACAACATCCATCAGGCGATCTACAAAGCAGTGAAGGAGATGTGGTCCACTACTGTTGTGGCAATGGATTTCACCATTGACCTGCTTCCAGAAGCTCTAAAGACGACACTCGACCAAAGCAAAGCCATGCAAAATCGAGAAGTCAACTTTATATCCCAGCTACAACAGTGGAGAACAAATGTTACTGATCCTGTCAAGAAGGTTATCATGACCAAGTGCCTTAGGGATATGAACAAACGTGGCATCAATTTGTAAGATTGACATAGGTATCCATCCAACAAGAATTGGCAACGTTGCCAACCAATCCAATGCATCCTCCAGCTCTCCAAGGACCCAACCAAACATCCAATAAATGTGTTAGAATCAATGAATCCAATTGCTACAACATCCAATGATAGATTGATTGATCAATGATACGGTAAGGTGTATTCAAGGACTTATACGACTACCATCAGTAGGAGTTGTAGTTGTTGAGGGGGATGTCGATGACGAGAAGGTAGTAAAAGTACTACTAATACTACTATTGATCTCGGCGAAGTAAGGATGCTCCATTGCCTCTCTGGCAGTCATACGCTCTTGAGGATCGTACCTTAATAGCTTTCCCAGAAAGTCTATTGCCAATGGATGTCCAATATCATCGTTCTCATAAGGTATATATCTCTCAAGTGGTTTCCTCGTTGACCTAGGTGTCAGTCAATCAGTATGTTATGTTTGTTAGATTAGATGTCCATCACCAACTCTCGCCTGTCCTTGGGAAACATACGTCTTTATCATATCTTTGAGATGAGGGCCTAGCTCAAGACCATACTTGTCCAAGTACTTGTAGAGGTCTTCGCTTCCCAACACCTTGACTATCTTTACAAGTTGATCGTCATTGTTCTCGCCATTGAAGAATGGGTCCCTGTTCAGGATCTGTTGGGAAGTTGATTAATATAATGACCTGACGGACGTGCTCGAGCCAATGATCTCCATCTCCATCTCCATCCTCAACACTTACCAATCCAGCAAACAAACAACCAAGACTCCACATATCGAGACTGTAGTCATAGTCGTACATGTTGACCAATAGCTCGGGTGGCTTGTAATGCCTTGATGCAACCTTGATATTGTAGTTCTTGAGTGGATGGTAGAACTCGGCCAGTCCCCAATCCAATAGATAGAGTCTCCGGCTTGAATGATCGATTGCAATGTTGTGTGGCTTGATATCTCGATGAATGATGCCCTTGGAATGAGTGTAGTCGATGGCCTTGAGCAACTCAAACATATAATACCGCAGGTCCGTGTCGTTGAGATAGTTGATCAGTTCTCTGATGTCCATGTTGTCGGCCAGTGGAAAGATCAGACTCTTCTTCCTCGATGTTGGGTCTCTGACAATGTCCAGCAACTCGATGATGTTGGGTCCACCCTTTAGATTGCGCAGGATCTTGATCTCTCGCTGAATCTTTTGTTTGAAAACTGGCTTGAGGATCTTGATCACAACGTCCTGTCCAGTCTCGGCATTGACTCCACAAAATACCTCGCTATACTTGCCCCTTCCAACCTTGTTGATAACCTCGTACTTGTCGGGAAGGCTACATTCAAGTTAGTTGATTATCCATCCGGATTGGTTCCACTGATAGATCGCAATGAACACATACCTCCAATCAAGCTTATAATTCTCATATTCATAATACTCGCTCGGTTGCAATGAGTTGACATTGTCATAGACCCTGGCAATGTTCTTGAGTTTCCTGGGCTCAACCTGAACAATGCCTCCACCAACCTGGCTAGTTTGATTGATGAATGAGTTTGATGAGTTGCCCAAGAGTACGGGATTGTCAAAGATGCCTTGATGTCTCACGAGCTTTGACATTGAGACTACAGTCTCGGTGTGATCATTGATGTTGCCGCCAATGCCACTGCTAATCGATGAATGATGATCGCTGAACTGTTCCACGCCACTGATGTAGGCGGCTCGGCCACCGCCACGAGTGATGAGCAACGGTCGGTCCGATGACAACTCATTCGAGCTGGTGGTCCACGAGACGTGACTGTTATAATAGGTGTTGAGTTGGCGGAAGTAGGACCGGGCGATCGCCGTCGACAGCGGCCTCGTCGACCAAGGCATCAGTGAGCGGGGTTGTCCAGTGACCTTTCGCGTCAGGCCCGCCAAGCACATTGAGCAGGCGGTCAAAGCATTTCCAAATGTTACAATGAACCATATACCAACAATATACAAATATATCACTCTAATAATTAATTGTATATGGTTCATATCATCTATATATATTTATCTTTATCTATATATATTACAATTATTACAATTACAATGCCAGTGGCAGTCTGCTTCTATATTTGATAATGATGATTGATTGATTGATGTTTGATTATTATTATTGTACACGTAGTCATGTATTTGTAATACATGTATGTGAATGAATGAATGAATGAATGTGAATGTGAACTTGAAGGCCGATGTGTTACTAGTGTGACTCATTCATTCTTTCACTAAGTCACAAGTTGAGAGATGTACCTGGGGCTGGCGGCAAGCAACTTCATTAGTCAAGATCGCAACAACACGCCCCACAGTCCCGCGCAATCTTTGATGTTTTCGAGTGAAACGTCCAAGATTACTTCAAAACGACAATTCGCTGGACCACGGGTGTTGTTCATATTCATAATAAATAATCTTGGGATTGGGCACTCCATCTACCTTTGCCATCGATTTCCAAATTGGTCAACGGACTGATCTATCATCCAATCAATCAACTTTGGTCATATTACTATCGACAACATTCAGTTCCAAATCAGTAAGTCATTAATATATTCAATCAATCTATCGATCAATCAAACAGTCCACCAATATATATATTATATTAAATTAATTACTCATCCTGCTATATATCGGATATGATTGTTGTTGTTGTTGTTGTGGGAGTTGTTGTTGGAGTTGTTGGGGATGATCATATTCGAATGAAGGTGTCCAGATGAGTGTGTGTACCGTATGAGTGGCGGATGATTGATTGATCAAGTTGATCAAGTTGATCAAGCAGATGGCAACAACTTCATAACAAACTCATATGCTACAAATGTTGCACCATTGGCTGGGAAGGTTCGAAGCAGACATGGCGTGAATCCTTTCCAGAAGCCCTTGAGTCCATCGACGGCGTAGATCTTGCGCGCACAATCAATCATTCCAGTGTAGCGAGGTGGTTTCTCGCCGGACGGCATGGTCATGATGCGACTGCGTATCACGTCGAATGGGAAGTTGGTGCACCAGAAGCCGGTGCCCGCGATACCTCCGGCCAAGAAAGAGCGGCCCACTGTCATTGTGCCGTCCTCGAGTCGAAGTGCGCGGTTGGCCAACTCGTAGCATCCAAAGTATGCCCACAGACTCGTTCGTTGAAATCCAGTGGGTATGAATGCGCGATACAATCCAACAATTCCCTCGCTCTTCAATGTCTTCTTAATGCAATCAATCGGTCCATTATACAACTTGATACCAGAGTATTGTACCTGAAGTTTGGATTTGACTATGATTGATTGGGTTGGTGGTGATGTGGGGTGATGGGGTGGTTGGGGTGGGATGATTCCAGGTGATGGTCAGGATCATGATCACACTCATACTCAATCACTCGTTCAATCACTCTCGCTCAATCAATCACTGATTCAAACATACCAGTCTCTATTGGAGTTGCAACGAAGCTGACGACCCAACCTGTGATCGCACCAGAGAGCATGATCTCAGGTACACTGATTGGAGTTGTAATATCTGGATGTAACTTCTTCTTTACAATCTCCATCGTACCAAACATACATGAGTTGATAATGCTCATGCCAACCATTGGTGGAGTAGCTCCCTACATTTGAAATATGATGTATGAGTATAATGATCAAGAATGATGGATTGAATAAATGAATGAGGCATACTTTGTAGAGAGCTAGTACACCTTCTTCTTTGATGGTTGTGGACAAGCAATGGGTCAGTCCTTTGAATCTACCGGTGGTTCCCTCGGTTTGTAGTCTGACTTTCAATGTGTCGAAAGGATGACCGGCAAGAGTACAGGCGACGCCAGATGCAGCGCCTCCAATAAAGTTCCTAACTCTATCACGTGTTTGTTTGTCCAACTCTAAAGAATGCATTGCATTTATCTTTATCTAAATATATATAAATAATGTTTCAAAGAGATACAAGAATGAATGAATGAATGATTGGAATGAAATGATCATCATCATTTTTTTCACAAGTTTGACGAACTGATCAAAATATCTCATCAGACAATGAATGAGTGACAGTATTTGTTTAACTTTAAAGTCAATGAAGGTAATAAATTAATTAATTATCTATTTAATAGTAATATTTAGAGTTATCTATTTCCCAAATTGCTGAGTATACAATTGTCGTCTTTATTTGAAGGTAATTAGATTGATCTTTCAACAAAGTTCCCAATCGAACCAAACCAGGGTTACTTTGAGCATCACGACAACAAAGTATCCACAAAAATGGAACAATGGTTTTTTTAATGGCACAAGGGGTAATGCATGGGGGAAGCCTAAACCATCACTTGTGTTTGATTCTTTTCCATCACAACACTGTTCCAAATCAATCAAACATTTCATTCAACACACATCCTTTCATTCATTCAATCAACACATCCATCTCTGACTTTGTTTTATTTGTTTGATTCGTTCACATTCCCACACACATACTCACATTCATTCAATCATTCAAGAGATAATAGACAGACAAGTGAGATAAAGTTATAAATATATAAATATATATATATAAAAGTTGGAATAGATAAGAACAAAGAATGTCATTCTTAAAGAAGAAGACATCGTCAATTATATTTGGCGTCATTATGTGTGTACTGATGGTGGTGTTACTACTGGAGTTACTACAGAATAATACACAGTACGATAAGACACAGCAACAGAAACAGCAGCAGCAACAAAAGCAAAAGCAGAATCAGATGAGATCAGAGATTGGCTTTGGTGAGAGCAAGTTGGAACAATACGATATAGAGTCTGTCGTCGGTAAATTGATTATCGATGATGAAGGTAGTGTCAATGCCGACGTCGACGAGGACCTAGATGAGAATATGAAGGACAGACGAGAGGACATGTGCTACGAGGAGAAGGTTTGCGAAGCCGATGATTATAAGGATGATGTCGAAGGTCTGCCGTCAGATCAGACGCAGTCAAGTCCAGATCCAGCGCAACAAAAAGTTGGCACGGCAACACAGGACGCTGGTGCCGATGACAAAGACGACGATGACAACACGTCAACAGAGTCTGAGTATCGTAGGATACCAAGGCGCAAGTAAGATCTTAATAGTGTACAATCAATCAATCAATCCATCCAACCACCATCATTCAATTCATTCATTAATCATCATGATGTAGACAACCACTACAACAAGCGAAAGACTCCACAATCACAAGGTGTCTTATGTAGTAATCCTCCTCTCCTCCATCCTCCATCCATACTCCTCCCCCAATAATACCTCTTGTTATGTTGTGTTGTAGATCACTCAAATCAACGTGATCGCGCGCGAACTACAAGGCCAACAATCAATCCATCCAATCGTTTTCCCCATCCATTTACCTCTATTGACTTCATGTCAATAACCAAGTATACTACTCCTCCCCTTCATCCTTCTTCTTCCTCCTACTCTCTCTTAATTGACATCAATCAATCAAATCAATATTAATAATAATAAAGTGTAATGCTATACTTTATAGTTTACTTTACAATCCCCTGGAACTATTCCACTCACCAATCAAACAATCATCGATCGACTACTTTTGGAAAAGGATATGTTGTTTATAAGAAGGGCTGCGTTTATTGAAGATATATAGTCGACTAGTACTACGCTGCTTAGTTGGAGAAGGTACGGGCTCTCTCGAACTTGTTTCCGGCAGAGCGGACGTATGGACGAGCAGTGCTGCCTGGGAGACCTGGAGCACGACCGAAGTGCTTGTAGACAGTTCTGGCCTTGGTGACACCCTTGAGCAGGAAGGTGTTGTTTCCTCTTGGTCTGATCAGAGCGAACTGGTCAAAGGTGAGGGCTCTGCCGCCAGCCTTGACGATGCGGGCACGAACCGACTCGGAGAACTTGAGGGCGACAACAGTCATGTTGGGGACGTCCAAAAGTCTCTCGTCGTTGACGACTGGGCCAACAATGACGGCGATCTTGCCAGCCTTTCTGTCCTTCATGGCGTTGGCGATTCTGGAGATCGAGACGGCGACCTTGTTGGTTCTGGTCTGAACAAGACGCTTCAAGACGATCTTGTTGAACTTGGATCCAGTTCTGCGAGCCAAGAAAGTGTAAAGCTGTTTGTTGTTGTTGTTGTTGTTGTTTGTGTCAGTATATCGCTTGTTATATATGTCCAACTTTTGTATGATTGAATGATTGATTGATTGATAAATCGATCGAATGATTGTTATGTCCTCATTCTCGTAGTAATCCATCCTGTAAACATCGTCTGTGCGTGACAAAGTGTCGCTTTAAGTTGAACCTGTGATCTGCTTCGTATTCATCGCAACTCGAAGTCTCCAACCAATCAATCAATCAATCAACTAATCTGTTGAGTCTTACCTTGACCAAGAGCGAGAGGTATGGGTTCTTGCTGACGAGGTGCTTTCTGCCGGTCTTACGGGCGAATCTGTTTGATCTATCAACGGCCTATTGTTGTGATAGAATGTTAGCGAGAGCTTCGTTTATCTGTCAGCTTGTCATCGTTTGCCCTCATCATCACAGCTGTTGATCGATAGTATCCAAAAGGAATGATTGAATGAATGACCTGTCTTTCAGTTCTATCGAATCCTGTTGTTGATCGCTACTATCCAGAGGTGATGATGATAGTCCAACGATGACATTGATGAGATGTCAATGAATCTAATCCATACCATTTCTTATATATTCTTCAATAATGATATTGGATATGGGGGGCAAGAGATGAGAGATATCATAGTATGGCCTGCAATCACAAGGCCACATTCGTTGTGGTACACCTCGTGTTGCATATTTTGAAAATTAAATTAAAATCAAATGTTTTGATTATCACACACTCTTAGAGTAACGTGACTCCATTCTCAGCTTCAAATCTTGGGTTGATCAATAAACCAAACAAATACAATCAATCAAAAAATAATATTTATTCATAATTAAAATAATACAAGTATAACCTACAATATATAAAATATTATTTATAACATTATGGACAAGTTTGGATAAATATTTAAAGTGATGGAATTCTATTTGATTGAAATTAATTGAACAAAGTGATTAATTGGATGATTAGATAAGAGAGAGATAATTATATTATGTTGTTGTGAAATATATAAAGGTATTTATTTGATGTTAAAATGAATCAAGTCTTCTTTGTGTGAACTATGAGTACATTGATCGGGTTGAAGAAGAAGAACAGTGAATGACAATGAAGTTGACGAAGATGATCAGAACAACCACTCAGAGTTTGTTGCATGAGTGACATAGACCAAAGTGTTGGACCTCAATCTCTTGGGGATCTTCCAGTACTCCTGGACGATGATGTCAGCAGCAGTGGACGATGTTGTCCATATGTAGAGAATTTGCTTCTCCCACTTGTCAATGACAGCCTCGGATGAAGCCAATACTCCAAACAACTTCTTGTAGAGCAACTGTCTGGCGTACTCTGGGGTGAACACCGCCTTGTACTTCTTGCCCATGAGATCAAAGAAGTTGATGATTCTCACGACACTGACTCCAATGTGGTGGCCGTCGAATGTCACGGAATAATCGGTGATCTTGGAGCCCGGCAAGTACTGGATCTCAGTCTCGGTGCTCTTGAGCTGCGCACCAAACACCTGGTGCAGCACTTCGTAGGACAACACCTCGGACCACACAGAGTTACCTCCGGCGTTGGGTGTCTCCAGGATGCGTCGACCTCCATTCGACAACAGGAACAAGTCGGGCTGGTTGACCAAGGGCTCAAAGTGGTCGACGATGATGTCGCCGCAGTGCGTATCGAACATGCAGTTGTTGAAGTACTCAGTGTTCAGAGCATTTCCATAGACATACCAGGTGGACTTGATGGCGAGACGCGGAGCGGCGGAGGGGCGGTTGTATGTGTGGGTCTTGGTGCACGGGGCCGAGCACTCCTCCATGTCGTCATCCTGGCAGGTCTCCAAGCTGTGCATGAATTGCTCCAATGTGCGGTACGTGATCATTGGCTGACGCTTGGTGACCACCGCATCTGCCTTGTCAGTCGACTCCTCGAGCATGCTAAAGTCGGCGAACCAGTCGAAGAAGCACTGGTCGTCCTCTGCAGTGTCGACCGATGCCGTGTTCGTCTGGCAAAAGGCGGAAATGGTGTCAGCCTGCTCGGTGGTGTGCGTCGCCGGCTGGGAAGTGGATATCCTGGTCTTGGAAGTGAGCGAGTCCTTGCAGTCATTCCAGGGTACGAGTTCATGGATCCTACACGACGTCGTAGTCAATAACGAGCCGGTAGAATTCGAACGTTGTCTCCTCAACGATCTCTTAGACCATGATGGAGCCAAAGTTGAACTTGTTGTTGCAGTTGTTGACATTTGGTCTGCAGTTATTAACTCTGTAATTGCGCTGGTCGACTTGTTTAAGCTGCTGCTGCTGTTGAGACGGTTGTTGTTGTTGTTGGTAATAGAAGCAGCACTCGAGCCCAATGTAGGAGCCACTCTTAAAGTGATGCTTATCGCTCTGCCAGAGACAATCACAACAATCTGGAAGTGGTAAAACTGCCAAAGAGTCTGACGCTGCTGATGCTGATGGAACTGCTGCTGCTGACACTGTTGGCACGTCTGGTCGAGGTACAACTGGAACTCGTCGTATAGGGCTAGGAACAATAATAAAGCCGATATCGGAGCCTCTGACAAAGCAAACACTGTCAAAGGAGCGGCGGGACGACGAGGAACGTGAGGAGGAGCGCAGTCGATGCAAAACACGTAGGTTGCCCTCAGTGCCCTCGGTGCCCTCGCCCTCAAAGCGGTGCTCGCTGCAGCCACGAAGAAGAGAGGAGCCCTTGGCAAAACAAGCCTTGGCAGCGGCATGTTCGTCGGACATGTCAAAAACACAGCTTGTGCTTGTTGCACTGCTTGTCCTACTCGTTTCCGGTGTCTGGACTTGATGCTCCATGAAGACGCTCTCTGGACATTCCAGCCTGACTGTACTGTTGGCAACAGTCTCCGTGGTATGATGTGCGGAACTTTCAAAGTGCTCCGCGGTGACCAAAGAGGTGGTTGTCCAATGAGTAGTGGAGTGGGCGGTGGTAGTGCTGGTGCTGACACTTGTGACCAACGAGTTGGCAGTGTTGGCGACGGTGGGACACATTTGGCCCTCCGTGGCAAAGGCGGACATCGAAGCGACCAACTCGTTCAACTCGTGGTTGTTGTTGACACGGAGTGGAGTGTCCAACACAATGAAATTGTCAGCGTTGCAAGTTGCGTTTAGCTTCTTGGCCAAAGTGATTGGGACCTGGACTGGGACAAAGACGGTGATGAAAGTGTTCTCGTTGGTGGTTGTTGCGTTCATTGTTTGGGACATTGCTTGATTGATTGATTGATTAAAGTTGGTAATTAATTAATTGACTTTGATTGATTGGATTTGATTGACTTTAGTTGATTGGATTTGACTTTGATTGATTGATTGTTTTGAGAGAATCGAGATTAGCTTGGCTGGGGCTGACTGATTGACTTTGATTGGCTGAGGGATTGCTGAGAGGAAAGGGATTTGGATTTGCTTTTTAAATGCTAGAGTTTGTTGTTGAAGTTGTTCCGCAGACGAGTAGTAAATATCATATTAATACAAGTACAACAAATAATTATCTGATGATGATTGAATGTCTTTGTTTTGGAAACAAGTGGTACCGTCAACTTACCTCTTATTAATACTTTGTGTATGCTATTATTTGCACAAAGAGAAGTGATTGGTGAACTGAGCGTAGCTTTGCAACTGGGAGGAGAGTGAGAGTGAGGGTAAGAGTGAGGGAGGAAAGTTGGAAATTGAGTAATAATTAAATAATATTATTATTATTAATTCATTCAACACTCTCACACACACTAAACCTTGAAAGGTTGAACAACATCATCTGTTTGTTTCTATTTCACACACACACTTTGTGTTCTTTCTCGCATTATTCAAACTTATTTCTCAACAACTAACTTTAGTTTGATGAGTGTGTGAGTGAGATGGAACAGACGTGGATCTTTGCATCTGCGCGCAAGTGTGGACCACTTGTGCATAAGCAACTACTACTATCTGTCAGTTGTTTATGATGATGTCATTGTAGTCATAGTTGTTGTTGTGGTCATAGTTGGATAGCAATGGAGATGAAGAGTCGACATAATAGCTGTTGCTGTCTTGGTCATCAACAACGGGATGAGAGATTGGTTGAAGTCTAGACTGTTTGTAGATGTTGGTTCGATTGTGTAGCCAGCTAGAGGTGAAGAATATTGTGAAGCCAATTGATAGAAGTAATAGACAGCTGCCAAAGTATATGAATTGATGGTTGATGTTGAGGTCGAGCATCTTATTGCCCACCGACAATTGTATAATCATTTGCACTGCCAATGCAATCATAATATTGAATGAGAACAATAGTCCAATACGTGATGATAGTCTAGAGATAGAGTAAGTATATAGGTTAGTAAGTAAGTAATTGTAGGATGATGTATGGACTACTTACTTCTTTGCTATCTGTACATTGACAATTGGAGACATAAACTCAAAGCAACAGTTATATATTACAAAGCAGATGGTGCTCACGTAGATGTTTGGTCCAATGCCCATGATGATCAATAGGATTGAACCAACCAGGCCAAACAAGACCAGTATCAAGTTCTTAATGTCATTCTAAATGTACCATTGTCGTTAGCAATCAATCATACCAATCAATCAATTATCCTCGTCGTGACTTAAACATACAATTTTGTTTCCAAGTCGAGCTGGAATCGTTGTTACAAAGGCAGCAAAGAAGTAGGCACTGGATGAAATGTATCCATTCCAGTTCTGTTCATTGCTAGTCTCGAGGAATAGTGATTGCCAGTCTGGTACATCAACAGAAAGTTAGTATCATTGCCAATGATCATGATCAATCAATCAATCATATAACATACATGTGAGTACAATCTGATGAATGGATATTGCGACACCGCTCCATATGTACCAGTGAAGGATATCGGTATTGCGATAGGCCTGTCGTAGATCGATGAGGAAACAACGAAGTTGGAATCTTGTTTCCACACGATAGTTGTTGAAGGAGAGTGCGATGACAAGTGATGCAATGTTGGTCGCCAATGCCATGCAGAGCAAGGTGACGAGTGACACACGGTTCACCAGTAGCTGGCCAAGAAGGCCAGATGACACCACTCCTACGATATAGCCAACATTGACACGGCATGCCATCTGTTGATACTCGTCAGGCTGTAGACTAAAGTATATATATGCCAAAAAGACGATGTATGCAGCAAATGACATACCATCCGTAACCTGCTCGAATATAAGCCATCCAAGATTACTTGTGGACAATAGAATGATGGTTGTAGCCACCTTTGCCGCCATTCCAATGATGATTACAAACTAGTTGTATGGATTGACGTCAGTTCCAATGATCAATCAATCCAATCCTGTCCAATCCAATCTAATCTACCTACTTTGTAACCGATTATCTCGCCGAGGAATCCAAAGATGAGTAGGAAGCAGAAGTAGGCGTATGTCCAGGTGGGGAAGATCTCCTGGTAGACTACACGCTGAGGGACGTGTAGTACATTTGTGAGATAGTCTACTAGATAAGGCTCGCTTGGATCAAAGGAGAAGAGGAAAGAGAATGTACAGTATAATATGAATGGCTTCAGCGCTGTCCATTTGCCATGACATGAAAGTAATCTACTCTTCCTCTTCTCTTGATCAGGAGGTTGTTGAATCAATGCTGTACTACTACTAATGTTGTCTATATTATCATTATTATTGATTGCAACTTCATCGTCTTGATGGACTTCTTCTTGTTGCTCGATTCTTTCTTGTTGATCAATCTCAACATAGTCTATGTTGTCCATAGATGTCGTCGACATAACCAAGACTATAATGTTTCAAGGAGCAACCTATCTCTTGTCAATGGTTGGCCCGAGGCAACATAAAGTAATGGCCTTGGCAATCTGTAGATATATTATAAGTAAGTAAGTTGGTTGTTGTTGTGTTGAGCAAACGAAACAATGAATCGCTCGGCTCATGTGATAACCCCAATGAACATTCAGTGATTCACTCATGCGATTCTCATCGACTGCTTCGAAACGACTTTTGCGTCTTTTGACCATTTTAGTGATGTTACAAGACAGAGCGAGATATAAATCTGGGTTGGGATTGTATCCCGCGACCTTAATTATAATTATAAATATAATTTAAAGGTCGACGTTGATGATGAACATCATCTTATCTTATCTTTATAATAATAATAAATGAGGTAATATCTATCTCTTTGATCCCCATTGAAACAGGCTATCGATATCTTCATCACCTTCATCTTCTTCATCGTCATCATCACTTTCATAGTTACTCGCTACTACTGTTGCTGTTTGTTTTGTTGTTGTAGTTGTTGTTGTTGTCGTCCCTACAACTGCCTTGTTGTTGGGCTTTGTTGCAGCAATCTTTTGTATCTTGGACTTGAGCCGTCTGATCTCCAACATCTTTGACGACACATCCTTTTGTTCCAAATCCTCCAACTGATTCCATAGTTCATCTTCATTAAGTGATTCTTCTTTGTTCGCATCATTATCATTATCATCTTTGTTATCCTCTATTTGCTGTTGTAGTTGTAATAGTGTACTGTTATCATTGACATTAAGTTGTACTTCTTTGATTGCCTCATCATATTCTTTCATTCCAGCACTATTATTGGGATTGATTGGACAATGTCAGTCATTACACTTCCATACGTTGTATTGAGTTGGATGGTACATACCTTAACTCCTCCTCTCTCTGTACACTATCTTCATGATTGGCTGCAGCGATGGCTTCGTTTGGATCATCAAAGAAGCCCTGTGGCAGTTTGCTGGTTACTTGATCATTTTGTTGCGCTACCTCTTCATCTTGTTTATCACCATCTCCATCTTGCTTTCCATGGTCTTCACCATCACTCTCGTATGAACTAAAGAAGTCGCTTGGTAGTCCTTTGGGTATGTTGTTCGTCTCATCCACCTCATCCTTTTCCACCTTCTTGTTGTTTGAGGATGATGTTTGTGATGATGTTGTTGTAGTGTCGGTCTTTGTCTTCTTTGAGGGCGCCTGAGTCGATGACGTCTCTTCAATTGATCGTTTAACTTGGTTGTTTGTTGTCTGGTGTGGTTGTTGTGTATTTGGCTGAAGATGTTGTTGAAGTGCATCCTTATGCTTCTTTGAATTACAATGAGCCATCCACATTGATTCATTATTGATGTTCATACTACATAATATACATGATAGCTTGCCAGATGTATTATATCTACATACACATCATATAGTTAGTTCATTTATCTTTCCTCAATCAATCAATCAAACGATCTTGACATACTTTGCATATGGCGAAGTGATCTTCTGTGATGCTGCTGCTGACTTGTCTGATGAGGCAGCCCTTGCCTTGTTCATCATTGCCCTCAGATCATTCTTTGTCGTACTCATTGTTGTAATTATCTGTATGTTTGATTGATTGATCGCATGAATGAATGAATGATGGGTGTTTTGTAAAGACGATTGATGAAGTTCAAATAATCAATAAGATGACTGTTAATGTTGGACATGGTAGGTAAGTTGGAAGGGATATAAAAGCACATGTTATTATATTAGGTGTGTAGGTAGATGGGAAGCAATGAATGGATGGATGAATGAAGGAGTGAGAGTGATTGGATGGATGGTTGGAAAGAGGTGCCTAAAGGAGCACTCGCCTCAAGCGTACTTGGTCTGCTCACAAACATGGTTCAACTTCTTGGCATGATCAAACTTGTTGAACTGTGTCCTGCAGTTTCGGCCATAATAACAGTTGTCACGGTTCTGAGCATAGTCTGGAAGTGCTTCCTTTGGCAGATTCTTCCTGTAGGCATACAATCCTGTCATGAACACATAGTTTGCGCATTGGAAACATGTCCACATATCGGACTTTGGTGCAATGTTGTTACGCTTGACTGCGTCTAATGATGAGTGAGTGATTGTGCGAGGTTAGTGAGTGTCGCCATGGCATGGCATTCCATGATCATGATTGAATACTTACCACCTGGAATCTTGCCAGAGTCTATATCATCCATTATCTCTTTGTAGACCTGGTTGGCGGTCTTTTGACTCTTTGCCAGATAGTCATTCATGATCTTGATCTCAAACTGATTGCCAGAGAATGAGTTGTGTGGGATGCTGTGCATGGCCTGATCTTTGAGTAGTCCTACTCTTGTCGCAGTCATGCCAGGACACTGTCTATAGTTGTTACAGTAATGTGATGGACACAGGTCGCCTTTAAAATGGGAGGAGGGGACAATGTTAACATTGTTGACTGATTGATTGATTGATTGAATGGATGGAGGGTCCAACCAACTTACACTTGTCTTTGACTGGTGGTGGCACTCTCTTGGGGAAGCGTTGATAGCAACCAACGCATACCAAGTGCTCAGCACCTTGAGCGGGACACAGGAAGCCATCGGCCAAAGGGTTTGTACAGTTGATACACTTGTTAGAGGCCAGCGCATACTCATCTGAGCTATTGTCCTCATCCTCATCATATTCGTCATCCTCATCATACTCATCATCCTCATCATCATAGTACTTCTTCTTTGATTTGTTGAGTTTACCATCATTCAACTATGTATGATTGATCAATGTGTCGGTCAGTCAGTGTGCGCACTGCACTCTATGATACCTTGATCCAAGCATATACATACCATTTGATCAGTTATCTTGCTCCTCTTATCCATCTCTTCCAACTCTTGTGGATCTCGCTTCTTGTCTGGATGGGTCTTGAGGTAGGACTCTATCAGGTTGTTGATTGCGTGGTTCTTTTGTGCCAGCTTGACATCGGTGCGGCATTGTGGACAGATGGTGGAGTTCTCGCGCCAGTCTCCGTAGCAGCACGTGCAAAAGTTGTGCATGCATGGGATCAGCGTCAGACACTTGTGAATGAGGTCTTGGCAGATGCCACAGACAAGGTTGTCCTCCATCGAGTCGTGCTCCACCTTTGTCTTCTTCACAATGCTCGGCTGTTTGGTTAACAATGACTCATCGCTGCTCTTTCTCTTGAGTGATGAGACCGATGTCTGTATATTCGATGGCGCTGTTGATACTGCTGCGGTAGTTGTGGTTGTAGTCGATGTGGATGGATCTACATTGTCACTATTTGAGCGCTGTGATGAGAGGCCCGATCCAGACTTTGAGGGCGTCTTCTTTGTCGCGGATGTCTGACGCTTGGTGGTTGGCGTTAGGGTCGATGGTGAAGGCGTGAGGACCGTGTCTGACTTTGTCAATTGCGTTGGCACTGTCTCTGTCTTTGCCTTGATGGGTGATAGGTCGGCCAATTCCTGCATATCATCGTCCATCAACTGTGTATGTCCTGGTTCCGACTCATCCTCTTGAGCCCTTCGCAGTCGCTCCGCCTCTGCCTCTGCCTCTGCACGCTGACGTTCCGCTTCGACCTTTTGTTCGAATCTAATACGCTCTAGATCTTGAAACCAATACACTATGCGTTGTGGGTCGTCCGGGTCACTACTAGCTGTGAGTGATATCTCATTGCCATTGACCAGTGTAACTGTGTTTCCCTTGCCAACCTTCTTGTAATTGACGAATGTTCCGTTTGAGCTATCGCGTTCAAAGTTAGTGTCAATCGTTCAATCCAATCAATCAATGAATGAACATACCTTAGATCATCCAAATAGAACCTGTAGTCTGCATCATCAGCCTCTTTCTTCCTATATATATTGCAATGTAATGAGCTGATTCGCTTGTCATTGAATTGTACTTCGACATCCTTGCCACGACCAAACCTGCATTGATCATCCTGTATCTCAATGTGTTGGAAGTTTGGGTTGGTGGACACTAGTCGTGCCCATGATGTTGCCGCCACTTCATTGATACTAGTGTCATTCGACATTATATCAGAGTCATTGGCTGTCTTGTCAAGATTCTCCATATTGTTGTAATGTATCTATCTATCTAACTATCTTTCTATCTGTTATAGTTTCAAAATGATCTACAGCAATCTTAGTGATGAGGCAAAAGGTCATCATCCACTTTATCACTTCAAATTTGATTCCCAGAAAATATCTATTTTTGAGTAATTAGTTATCTAATTAATGATCATCAATTTTCCCTATTTATTTGAGATCTTAAGTTTTATTTACTTGACTTGTCCAACTGACGAGTTTATTTTAAAATAAATTTGAAAAAATTCCAACAAAAAAACGCCTCAAAAGCAAGACGCTCGATCTTTCTTTAAACATCCTCGTTGGTGTAGTTGGTAACACCTCAGTCTCTCACACTGATACCTCGGGTTCGATTCCCGAACGGGGAGGTCCTTTTTGTTTTTTTTGTTTTTTGTTTTTTGTTTTTTTTTTAGGGGGAGAGAGATCAAATATTCATATTAGGGTGCCATTATGCGTTTGGAACCCTTTCCGGGTCTCCACCTGGTACCCAATTGTAATATTTAAATTTTTTTTTGTATTACTAGGAATAATTTTTTAGATATATTAGCATTTAAATTGATTTTTGGGCATCCGTCCGACTTTAACTCAATTGGTAGAGTGTTTGACTGTAGTGTAAACAAAGTAATCAAAAGGTCGCTAGTTCGATTCTGGCAAGTCGGAAAATTTTATTCTTTTTAGGTTTGACAAAATCGTTTAATATAAAGAGATGTACTCTTAATATTATTGAACGTTCACTTGAGAGTATGACAGTTAGTAATTGAAGACCCACTGTCTATGAATGAACGAATCATATAAACTTATTTATTAATATATATGATGATTGATTGGTGTAACAAGAGGACATACCTTGAGAGTATGACAGTTAGTAATTGAAGACCCACTGTCTATGAATGAACGAATGAAGTGATTGAGTGCGCGAAGCGACATCAAAACACTTTGGAAAACGAATCATTCGACTCTGGAAGTTCCTCATGTTACAATCGAGGGTCTTTGGTCGCATTGAAGAAATTTACAAGTTCCACATTCGAGCCTTAGACTTGGTGAAGCAACGCTCTGGTATCAATGTCAGAGAATGGAACATCAAAGCACTGGACATCTCCACGAAGTCTCGTCGCCCCAACCTTCCATTCATCCACCTCATGGCAATCATCGTCAACTACCTCTGGCACTACATCGCCAACCACCTCTTTGGCAACAAGGAGGCCCTGTTGGCCAAGCTCAGCTTGGTGTGCATCACATCCTTCAAGTCCCTCCTCCGCCATGACTCCGGAGCCATATGGTGAAGGTGTGGCGACGCTGTGGTTGTAACCCTTATTTGATTGGTTATCCACAAAAAAAAAAAACAGTATTTAAGTCATATTATTGATTTATTACAATTGATGTGATTTGGATATAATCGGTGAGAAGACGGCTGTCCATTATGATGTTGATGATGATTATGGTGGACGGCAGCTGGATGACGCTTGCCATGACAACCAACCGTCGTTCGAATTCATTTACGTCTGTAAGTTTGTTTGAGTGCGAGAGTCCTCTTGGCGAATGCTGACCGATTAGGATTCTTCCTAATCCATGTCGCTGCACCTACAACAGAGGTGGTGGTAGTCGTTGACGTCGTGGTGGTTGTATGTTGTCTGGCAATGTTGTTGCTGGCTGGAAGATGGATGATTGGTCTGTGTGGGGGTGTTGGCGGGCTGTTGTTACCAACGCTGCTGCCCAACGAGATGGTGCTGCCGCTGCCATTCAAACCACCGCGTCGATGGTTGTTGGCCAACAACGATGAAGTTGATTGAGAAAGTGGCGGTGACTGTGGCAGAGGAAGTTGTCGAGTGGGAGGAGGTGTTGACTTGTTGGTAGCCGATGATGATGACGACGATGAATCAGCCAGTGGCGATATTGTGTTGTTGGTGGTGGTCGTGGTTGGCACAGGCAATGGTAATGCAGGTCGCTTGTTGTTGTTGGTAGTATTGCCGCTGCCTGGCGCTGGTGGTGGGTTAAATGTTTCAATACCTGCTCGCAGTTCTTCAATCTCCTTTACAATATACTGGAAGCCCGGACGATTCTTTGGGTCGCCACTCCAACACAGCTCAATGACGTTGCGCAACTTGGCTGGAACGCTTGGCGGCAGGGTCGGACGTAGATTCTTGGTCCTGATGGCATTGATCACCTGATGCTTCTTTAGTGTCGTGCCATACTCGTCAAAGGGCACCATGGCAGTGAGTATCTCGTATAGGATCATGGCGAATGAGTAGGTATCGGCCTTCTCTGTGTAGCCCTCCTCTTGGGTGCTGATCGCTTCCGGTGCCATCCATTGATACGACAGCAGGATACCTGCCACCGAGTGAATCGACTGTTGGCTCAGACCAAAATCTGCCACCTTGGCCACAACTGGCGCCGTCTCATCCATTGAGCACAAAAAGATGTTTGGCGAACGAAGGTCACGATGGATGACGGGTGGCGACAGTGACTGCATATAATGGAGGCCACGCGCAATGTCCAACATCATGCGTGTCTTTAACGACCACTTGATTGGCTCCTCCTTGGTGCGCTGCAGTCTGTGATAGAGATCACCCATTGGCACAAACTCCATGACCATGCGTGGCGGGTTGAACATCAGACCGTGGAGACGGACCACGTTCGGATGGTCCAGACTCGACATGATAAAGACCTCGCGCTGGAACTCGCGGAACTTCTGTATGGTGTCCTCCATCTCTTGGTCGGGCTCGATGATTAGCGACTTTATGGCGATCGGTTCGCCTGTGCGCTGTAGGCGTCCCTTGTACACGAGACCAAATCCACCCTTGCCAATCTGTTTCTCGCATTCAACGTCGGCTTCGGTCATTGTGGGCACCTTGTTGATGACGAGGTCTGGGGCCACCTGGTCGAGTCGCACGGGGATGTTGGTGTCGTTGCGACAGTAGAGGAATGGGTTGCCCTCTTGGATGGCGATGATGCAGCTGCTCAGGTCAAAGTAGAAGGGGTCCTCGCGTGGACTGCGACTGATACAGTGGCTGCAAGGGATGACACGATTGATGTTGGGCAGTGACTTGTAGAAGTTCTCCAACAATGACTCGACAGTAAAGACGATCTGCTGAAGGAATGCAATGGCCGTGTAGCTCTGCTCCACCTCGGTGATGCCACCGTTGAACAGACGTATCTCGATCGTGAGCTTGTAGGCATCCTTTGAGTCAAAGTTCTTGCGCTTGCGGAATGTGATCAATGCCTGTTGCTTTTGTGATGTGTTGATAATGTCTAACAGCACGCCATTCTTCCAATATGTCTTGATCTCGATGCCACCAATGTGCAGGATACGCAGCAACAGTCGAGCAAAGAAGCCCAGTGGCATAAACTCAAAGTTAAAGTCGCAGCCAAAGATGTGCACCGGGTGCTTGTCTTCGATGAGCTCGGCTGTCGGGATCCACTCTCGATTGAATACCTTGCCCACATCGCCCTCGGGCTCCTCAGGCAGCAGGGAGGGCACCAGTGAGCGGCCCTCAGCCATCAGTGTGTCTGGTGCGCCAGAGTCATTGCCGCCATCCAGCTGGTAGGCCACCTCAAACTTCTCGAGGATCTTGAGTAGCGTGGGCCAGAGGGCAGGATCGTAGCGGCCACCCCATACCGACACGAGGTCGCTGTGCTTGAGCACGCCCTTCTTGATCCAGTTGTGAGAGAATGTGATCAGACTGCTCATAACGTCCGCCAGCCATTGTGGGTCCAACACGACGAGGTTGCGTAGCGAAGGTGTGTTGTAATGCAAGATGATGCCCAAGTTGTGAAGAAAGTCTGTTACTGCGCCCAGGTCCTCGGGTGCCACGAATGCTTGGCGAGCCTCATTCTGATAGTCAAAGAAGTGGATGTAGTGATCTTGTTGAGGGACGCCATTTGCCGCGTCGTCAGCCGCGCCCGCCAGCCCAGTGCCAGCGGATGCCAACATCTTGCCAGTGCCAAGACCAGCGCCACGCTTGGACAGACGCCTCTCCAGTAGCAAATATGTACCAGGTATATTCTTCTTGATTAGGCCACTCTTGTCGGCCTCTGTGATCAACTTCTTCTTGAGCTCCTTGATTCCCTTGCCAGTACCGCAGCAGACAAAGCTTACGGGGTTCTTGGATTTAGAGTGGCTGACGAACGACTTGTTGATGATGGTCTCGACTTCGCGCAGTTGCTCGGGCGTGCACACATCGATGTGCGTACCCACAAAGAAGATCGATGGCTTGAAGCCATAGTCGCAGATGGACTTGATCTGGCGGATCCAATACTCGACGCGCTCGGCCCAGTTGGGGTCGGCCACGTTGAACACCACCAGATAGAGCGCGCTGCTCGTCAGGAAAAACTGATGCGTCGGGTAGAACACCTGCTGCCCACCAAAGTCCCACGCGCTAAACTCAATCTCCTTGCTCTTGACTGTCTGGATCTTGACGCCCTCGGTCGAGATGGTGTCACCTGTGACCTGATGCGCGCCCTTCTCTTTCTTCTTGCTTCCAATCAGCGCCTGCAGCAAACTGGTCTTGCCGACGCCCTCCTGGCCGACAAACATCAGCTTGACCTTCTTCCACGACTCGTTGCTCTGCTTCTCGAGGATGCTGCGACAGAACGCCAGGATACGCTTGGCGCCCGCGTTGGCGACGGCCGCCGGGAACTCGCTCAGCGGGTTGTCGTGCACCTCGAGGATGTTTAGGTCCTTCAGGTGGCAGATCTCCAGCGGCAGGTTCTCCAGCAGGTTGTTGCGCAGCACCAGCACGTTGAGCGCGCGCATATGTTGGATGTCGGATGGGAGCTCGCGGATCTTATTGTCGCTGACGTCCAGATAGGTGATGTGCTGGCCCATCGTCGTGATGGACAGTGGGAAGCGAGTCATTCCCGACTTTGACAACTGTAGCTTCTTTGAATTACGTCGCTGGTCCTCTGCAATCGCTGCCAACAATGCTATCGTTCCACTTATAACCAATGCATTGCTATTATGTGTCAACAATGAGTCCACTACTATATTATGTCCTGCTTGATATGCTTGTGATAGTTGTTCCTAAAAGTATGTGTTTCCGTGTGAGTAACACTGTTTCCAAGTGTGTTTCCGCGTGTTTCCGAGTGTTTCCGTGTGTTTCCGCGTGTTTCCACGAATAGACATCACTGACTACTTTGCCAAACATACATTCGATACACCTGCTCTTATAACTTCATCCAATGCATCCACATTTCCAGTTGTACATGCATGTCTTAATGCAATCTGTTTCTTTATGTTTGATACAGCATCCACTGCATGATTGATTACTTCTTGTGAGTTCTGTGATGACCTCCACTCTATCAACATCGTCTTGTTCTGTATCAGCTTCATATCCTTTATGAATGAAGTACCTGTACCTATATTGATGCCAACAAATATCGATGGCTAATGAATGGATGGATGGAGTGAGTGAGCTGAGTTGAGACTAGACAACTTAGGACGCGACGACTTACTATTGGCAAGTGAGTTGTTTGATGTGCATCTTTAGAGTTGATAGCTTGTAATGCATTGTTGTATGATGTAACTGATCGCTTGTAATCTTCGAGACCTTGTTTAGACTTGGTGTCAAAGCATTGTATCTTGCATAGGGTGCGAGGCTGCTCGATGGGGTTGCCGTCGTCGTCCTCGACGTTGAATTCGTCGCCAGTCTGTGTGTCTGGGTCGTTAAAGATGAGCTTGTAGCGCGTGCTGATGATGGTGACCACCGTGGGAATGCCGTTCAGACTGTTGATCAGCTGCTCCTTCTCAAAGCCAATGACGTCGACCGAGATCATCTCGAGCTGTGGTTCACTCGCGCCAAAATGTCCGTCAGACCCTGCCACGCCATTACTCGCGGCGATGGCTCTCTGTATCCCGCCACTGCTCCTATTAACAGTGCCGTGATTATACATCCAAATGTATTCCTCCTTCACTCACACTATTTGTCGTCTGTGTGGAAATGATTGATTGATCGAGTGATTGAATGTTTGAATGATTGATGATCAAGTTGATGTCCTTGGATTCTCTGGTATTATGTTTATATATATATATAAATATAATATATATCTAATGTTTGATTTGATTGAATGAATGGGTGGGTTGGTAGAATAGATCAAAGATTGATGATTGTTGTTGTGATGGGATGTGGACCACATCAAAAAAGTCCCCAAAAGTAGGCCTCTTGAGTGCCATTTGCAAAAATTTTATTAAGATTTTGCTTCAACTTTTTTGATCACCGCATCAGGTGGTCCATCGGTTGGATAGATGGTGGTACTGTTATGGGGGGTGATCTGTCGTCAGGGCAAGGGGTTCGCGACCTCATAATGGCGACCACAAGTTGGATGATGTATGATCGAGGCCTACGAGAGAGTCCATGATCCAGTATCCATGACCTTGGACCAAGCCTAGGTTGGCACTACAACTAGTTACGCTGTGCTGGCTGACCCTCTGGACGCGAGCTCTCGAGGTCTTTGTACCATTGCGGCTTGTCCTTCTCCTCGTAGTCGTAGTTTACAAGTATCTCCTCATCTTTGGCGATGGCCCGAATGGATCGGACACACTTGATGTCACCAAAGCGTGGGTGGTAACATGATCGGTATACTGTGTTGTTGTTGAGATCGTGGTTGGCCTTGTGTCCAAGTGATGCGCAGTACTTGTCTGATGTGGACCACTCGGGTGGAATGTCAATATAAGTCTCTTTGTCCAAATACATTGTATTCCTGTTAAACTCCCAATCCCTATCATCTGCAATTTTGGGATCTATTCTCATTCCATTGTAATAAGATACTAGTCTCTGTTGATTGATTGATTGGAATAGTTCCATGATTGATTGAGTTAGTGATTGATTGTGTGATTGAGTAAGTGGAATGGTTCCAGTGTCCATAGAGTGAGTGAATGAATGATTGAGTGTGATAGATTGATTGGAATGGTTCCATGATCGATTGATTGAGTGTGACACTTACATCTGCAGGGATATCAACCTTTGCGAATAGTCCTTCACCAGAGTTTGGAATACTTAAAGTGATTGATTGAATGAATGAACATCTTGTTAGTGAACTGGCGGGTTACGAATGATCGATCAAACCGGACTTACTTTGACTCCTTGACATAGAGGTAGTACTCCTCAAACAAGTCAGGCAGCGTTGGATTGGTCGATATTGTCGAGCTGGTACCCTCATCACGGACAACGTTGGTGTCGATATTGATTGGGAACTCGCTAATTGTGGTTCCGGCAGTGCCCTTGACAAACTCGCCATCCTCCCATGTACCTTTGATCGTGAATCTCTCGTCTGGATAGTAGAAGGTACACTCGCCACTCAATATGCTATCGGTCCATACACCTTCTATTCTGCTGCCATCAATGTTATGAAGTACTCCCTTGCCATTGCGTTCGCCACTGACGTACTCGCCCTCGAATGTCAACACGTGCTCCAAAGTGAATTCGCTGCAATGTCCGCTCAACTCGCCGTCCACATACTGTCCCTCAATCAACACATCCTCATAAATGAGCGATCCCTTTCCATTGAGTGTACCATGTACCCATTCGCCCTCCATTATAAATCCATCCAAAGTATACAATGATCCATGTCCATGACGTTCTCCATCCTCATCGACCTCACCCTCGTAGACCTAATAATGACAAGTTAGTATGTTTGATTGATTGATTGATTGATCGATTGAGTGAGTGAGAGGGTTGAGGGACATACATCTTCTTCATTGCTGTCGTAGGTCTCGTAGCTTGATCCATCTTCTGATGCATTGTCTGATTGTGACATTCTCTTCTTCTTCTTTGGCCTCTTGTTCTTGTCGTTATCTTTGGTCTGTTTGGGTTGTTGTTGTTTCTTGGATGTTTGAGTTGGGGCTGATGATGCTGAAGTGTTCTTTGTCTTCTTCGTTGTCTGAACTTGTTGTTGCTGCTGCTGCGGTTGCTGCTGTTTCTGTTGTGTTGTCTTTCGTTTCATTTATGTCAATGATCGATTCGATTTGAATGAATGAGTGTTTGTCAAACACGAACAATCACACAAAAAGACGACTCGTCTTTTCAGATTTATTAATATTTAATGAACCAATCAATTTAATTAAATAAATCCAAATAACTTGGGAGGATCATGTGGATTATGTAGCGTGGCATTATGTCTACTGATGATTAAGAGTGAAGTACTAGATTGTTGATTGTTATCCATCCTTCGAAGTGTGAATCGTGTGTCATATGTTTTGTTGTAAAGATTGAATGTATCCACATGTGGAGCCTTGTCCATAATCATTTTGATAAAGGTCTTGACATCATTCTCCAACAAGAATCTGACATTTAACTCCTTCAACCTGACCGAAGTCACCATATCCATTTGTTCAGGATGTCTACTAACCATTTCCGGGATGATATAATCCCTAATTCGTACCTTCACACTAGTCATCATCAAAGTTGACGACATCGGTTGGCATGCAATACACTCAACATATCGACTTTGATTGAATGTGAATGTTGACAATGTTTGGATAGTGGATGGTAACTGTACAGAGTCCAGTGATTGTTGGAAACCTTTTCCAATGCATAGCTTGATGATGCCCTCGTGCAGGATACCCTCGTCCAGTGGTCGATTAAAGTGCATTCCCAAGTCCAACTTGGTCAGAGTGATTGGTAGATCACCCTTGGTCAACACCTGATCAAAGTGAGTTCCAAACTTTAGTACCTTGAGCCTGCCATGGAGATCGCTGGGAACAGAAGTCAGGTCACCATAGAATGGGAAAGTTAGTTCTGTGAGTGATGGCAAAGTACTTGTACCATTGAGCAGCACATTTTTGGTGTACGTGTCCAATGACAGTGATGTTAGTGTTGGAGGGAGGATATCTGGCCAGTTCTGATCGGTTTGATAGATTCGTAGGATTAGTTGTTTGAGTGATTGGCGGGGTATGACTCCTGGTTCAATAGAAGAGGTGAGATGGTCAATCTCCAAGTGGGTGAGAGATTGAGGGAGGGATCCAGGTAGGATGGGCTTCAAGACGAAGCTCAGCAGCTTCAACAACTTGAGTGACTCTGGTAGTACTCCACATTCGATTGTTTGACTAAATGAATAGCGTATGATAAGTGAGTACAATGAGTTGGGAAGTGTGCCATGCCCCAATGGTTGATTGTATTCGTCGCCCAGTTCAAGCGTCAGGAGTGATTGTGGTAAGGTACCAGGATGCAACACCTGATTGAACGAATTGCCCAATATTAGAGATGTCAAAGACTTGGGAAGGATGTCAGGTGATGTTATCGGTGCATTGGGGCCATACGTGAAAAAGAGTGAAGTGATCGAGTCGGGTAGTTGTCCGGGCAATAGAGATTGTACCATCTGGTAATCGATAGCCAATGAATTTAGTGTGATGGGTAATGATCGTTTGATCAGTGGTCTACTCTTTATAAGATTTAGACCCAACAGTGTTAGTGATCCACCTCTCATATCACATGCACTTGAACAAGATCTTATTGACTGATGTAGTCGTGATACGTCTGATGATGGTTTTGAGTGTAGCCAATCAAATCTTTGTATATTCTTTGACACTACATTATAATACCTCTTACATGTCAATGCAAGACTCATCACATCAACATCATCCGACAACCAGTGAACAATAGTCCTGATGACTGTCAAGTTTGTAAGTGTATCCATTATGTTTATATGTATCTATTTTTTTTGATCACATGTGACTATTTCCTATTTTGGTCATGATAACCTATTTTTTTCATTTTATTAATTATTTATCCAAACAATAATATAATGTGATCCAGTAGTTCTGTTGACATTTCTTTGTTGTCCACAGCCTTTAGTAATACTTCTAACATTTCTAGATTTGTAAAATGAGGTCCATTTGAGGGTAGATTGGCTCCATCTAAATCATCGTCTTGATTAGAATCTTTTCTCTCCTTCATTGATAGTTGGGCCTGTTTGAATCTTTCCTCCAAATCATTTTCCAGAGGTAATTCCTCCAACAATATATCTAAATATCTCTCCATCTCTTGATAAATAACTATCTCCAATCCATCAATATTGAATGATCAAGTGTGTATCAATGTATGGACTCTTCGGCAGTCTGGAGAAATATGGATATTGAATGACATGAAGTGATATGATCTGATCTGAGAGATTCCACATCATCAATGGGTGATTGACAAAGTGTAATCTTTACACATACATTCCACATCTTCACCCACCACATCACACCCACCACATCTTTGATGATCAAACCGAACGAAAGTGATTGAATCTAGATTCCAGTAATCCAGGAATAGAATATATTTATAAACCTAAATGTTTTTAATTAAGCTAATAATTATATATATAAAGTATCCACCAATACTACTTGCTAGGCCTCATAGTAGTCGAAAAACTTCAGGAGGAATGTCTTGTAGTGTGCAACGTCCAGCTTGGATGTTGGCATTAGGTGACCGTGCTCATGTACGTAGCACTCGGGCTCAGAGAATTGATGTGAGAGTGACTCGCAATTGGACGCTGCGACCAGCTCGTCGGACTTGCCCCAGACGTGCAGCGAGGGTGTGGTGATCTTGTCGAAAGGGTAGTGATTGTTCACTTCCGGTGAGGAGGACGATGCGCCTCTATTACCATTGCTGTTGTTGTTGTTGTTGTTGTTATCATTGTTGTTGTTGTTGTTGTTGCTGGCTGCAGCCGACTCTGCACCATCTGTATGCGACGAGCATGGATACAGTGATTGATGAACGGTGGCCCTGCTCTGGAAGCCACTGAACAACAGAGCAAAGTTGAAAGATATGTCTTTGTAGCCATCGCCACGCTCGATGCTTGTGTCAGAGTTCAATGAGGAGATTGAGCACAGCAGACTGCCGAGGACTGCGCCCTGAGAGAATCCAAGTATTCCATCGAATGGTCCCTTCTTGATAAAGATATTCCTAATGTAGTCCAGTGTTGTCTCCCAGCCTCTGTACTCCTTTCCATCACCTGTTGCTCTCCACCATGATGCCGATCCTTTGGCCTCGTCAACAATATGTGGCGCATCAATGTAGACTATGAGTTTGTAACAAAAGATGTGTCAGATGGATGGATGTGCGAGGAGAGTGTGCAGATGATGATGCTTACTAAAGTCTGCAATGTCATCCAATGACTTCCTGAGCACGGCAGTCTTGCTCTTGAACACAGTTGCATTCTGTTTGTATCCATGAAGACACAGGATTCTCAGACGACGCTTGGATGGCACGAGCGAGGACTGGTTGGCCTGTGGCGCGAGATATTCGACGATGGTTTCCGTTTCCATTCTTTGTAGTAGGTGTTGATGATGATGAGAGAGAGAGTAGTTTTGATTGGTCTATCTATCAATCAATGCTTCACAACCTATGATGATGGCAATGTTTTTCTCTGGATGTTAGGGATCTCTGCTCCTCAAGTCTTGGGTTTGGTGGGCAGGCAGGGAAAGAAGAAGGAAGGAAAGAATAGAGGAAGGGATGAAATGAATGAATAGTTGGTGCTACAGGCTTTGTGGTTGATGATCGATTGAATTGTGATAATATTGATTCTGAATTATTGGATTTATGGATGGATGGATTGATAGAATGCAGTAGCAGTAGCTTGAAGTCAAGTCGCGTGAATGAATGAAGAATGAATAGATGCTGCTACACCAACAACACATCGGGGTGGCGGCAACAACAAGATCTTGATTGATTGATGCTGTTGTTGGTTGATGGTAGTTGTTGTTTGGTGTTTGGTGTTTGTTTGGTGTTGATGGATGGTGCAGCGGTGGGAATAAATATGTGTGGAGGCGGCCTGGTTGAGAAAGGACGGGTAGGTTGGGCATCATCGCAGCCCACACACAACGATTGCAAGGTAGACAGATAAAGGTAAGGTAATGAGTGTGTGCACTACTGTGAGTGTTTGTTTGTTTGTTGTAATCAGATCACTCGTCTTGTCAGGTGCTCCATCAACCTGAGTGTTTGAGTGTTTGTTTGTGTGTTTGTGTGTGTTGACGGTCGGTCGGTTGGTTGTAGGTGGGTTGACTTTGATGATGGTGTGGTGGTAGTGGTTGTGGTAAGGGTATGAACGATGTGTGTGTATGTGGTGGTGGCTTGGTGATGATCCATGTCGTGTCGATTGCCTTCTCTACCTTGCCTGTCTGCAAGCCGGTGGCAGGCCGATAAGCCAATGAAAGAATGAATTGTGGCAGGCAGGATGAAGTGGAAGGTAATAAAGAGAATGATTGATTGATTTCCAGCTTTTACAATTGGACCACCACATCACCATCAATATTATTAATGGAGTTGTTTGATTGATTGATCAATTATGTGATTATGTGTGACATCTTGTCAAGAGAGAGAGAGGGAAGAGTCACCTGACACGATGATGTGCAGCCCTCATGGACTGGTATCCTCTTGGATTATCCAAGAACGTGCCACTCAAATCCAAAACAACGTGTTGTGATGTTTAACACATACATGCTTTGAATGCTAACGAGGAGTACTTTGTTTGAATGGGTAAATGGCAATGAATGAATTGTAAAAGTAGTAGTAATAGTAGTATTCTACAATATCTTATCAGTGATAACTATCTGATGATGTTGTTGATGATGATGTTGATTAAGCAACACGATTTACAACTATAGCATTGTGTGTTTGAGTGTATATCCAATTAGAATAATGAATCTCTGTCTTGTCCGTCTGTCACTGTTTGTTTGGTGTTTCCAGTGTTGTTGTCGTTGTTGTTCGTTGTAATGAATGAATGAATGAATGAATAGATGGATGAACACACATAATAATGTAATGTGGTGTGTTCCAACAACGAGGAAAACAATAAGATAGAGAGAGAGATAGATAGAGGTATATGTATGTGTGTTCAATTCCATTCCATTCCGACAACATCTGCAGTTACACTCGTGGTCATTCATTGGTCGTGGTAAGTGGTAAGTGGTAATTGGGGGTTTGGTTCTCGTCTAAGTGTGTGTCCAACCACATACATTCAAGATGAGATGCGGATGTGGATATATATGGATATAGATGGATGGATGGATGGATGGATGGATGGATGTGTCCTTTGCCCTTTGTATGATGGTGGTGTTGTTGATTCGTGTCATGGTCTGAAATCTCAGAGTGTATTGACGACTAAACCACATCCTCCTCTCTTTCTTTCGTCGTCATTCAACCATCCCATTCATTCATACCACACACACGCACCACTCACTTACACTTACATACACTACTACACCAGTCGTCAGAAGAGAGAGGGAGAGAGAGAGTATATGAGATAATATGAGGTATGGGAGAAGAGATTGATATGATGATTATCAAGCCAAGTTTGTGTGTAATGATCTAATCTATCTACCTTTCAACTTTGTACTGGTATATAAATATATATAAATTATATCTTTAAATATACAAATACATATACTTGAGAATGAATGAGAAACAAACAATAACAATCAATGTACTCTTCTAATTGGTCGATCAATCATGTCTCCCTCGCACTCACACACGACCTAATAATCGGGAACTAACTCCAATTCACAAAATATCGCTTTCATGGGGTGTTGGACACAAGACCATGACCTGCTAATGTGATACCAATGTGATTACACACATTGTTGGAATAGAAGTATGGGAGATACTTCTTGGATAGGAGTGATCTGTTCCCATCAAAGAATGTAGTTGTTATTGTTATTATTATTGTTGTTGGGTGGATATTGTATTTGCTGTTGTTGTGGCTGAAGAGGTTGTTGTTGATGTTGTTGGAGAGGTTGTGATGGCATCATATATTGATACTGTTGTTGTTGTTGTTGTGGCTGAAGAGGTTGTTGAAGTTGCTGGTCTTGTTGCAACAATTGCTTCAGGTCTGTCCTTATTGAACTCATTTGATTGATCATAAACAATTGATACTCCTCCATTGACTTTAGCTTGGCCTCCAACAGTTCAATCTTCTTGTTGGTAATACTTTGTTCTGTTGATTGTGACTCTTGCTGTTGTTGTTGTTGTTGTGGTTGTTGACTCCTCTGCTGTCCAGCATGTGTAGGTACATCATCCATTGAGATGCCACTACCACCACCAGTTGTTGGAACACTTCCACTCCTTCTCCTAAGATTGCTCCTGCTATTGTTCAAACTTGGCGATGCATTGTGACTATTGTTGTGATTGTTGTTGTTGTTTAGATCGATACTACTGCTTGTCCTGCTAAGATCATCCTTGACAGCGACTTCCTTATCACTGGATATGAATGATTGTACCTGTTTCTTAAATCTACGGTCCCTTCCAAAGTTCTTGACTGCTTCAATGTACTTGACGCTAAAGAACGCCTCTTGAGTATTGAACATGGTACTATTGTCCGAGTAGTTATTCAATCGTTGCCATTTATAACGTTTCCATACTACTTGTATCAGCTGTGTACGTAATGTGATGGGTTTGGATGGGTTAGTCACATCGTTGGACCCTTGGATCGGGGACATGGTGCGAAGGACAACTTACCTTGGCAGCAGAGTCCCTCTCCTTCTCTTGTACCTCAAGTAGGTAGATATAGTTAAGTATAGGCTTCTGATGTGCTGTTGGATGTGTCATCCTACTGAATTGTTCAATCAAACATGCCAAAAGGAACAAGCCCAACATCGATGAAAGCTGGAGAATGTGTAAGAATTGATTGATTGATTGAGTGTTAGCAGGGACCTCTGGAAGGGAAGTGAATGAACTTACAATGGCTCCAAACTTGGCAAAGACTACAGTGGGCTTGTATAGTTCGTAGGGGTCGGTGGGCCATCCAGTGACCATGCTGATGAATGATATATACAATGAGACGCCATAGTTGAATAGTGGACTGGCCTCCCTCTCAAACACATATATAATATGTGCACAGATCAGGATGATCATCACCGTGAATGGAATGAACGACATCAATGGTCTTTGATACAGCAGTGTCTTAAAACTGAGTTGCCAGTTGAACTTTGGTGGAACATTGTTATTCTGTTTGTACCTGGATTATTTGATTGATTGATTGATTGAGTTGAGTTAGTGATTGAGTGATTGGAATAGTTCCACCAAGTTACTTACTTGGCATTTATGGTATGACGCATCTCGTAGATATGTGAGAAGTCTCGGTAGACACGGATGAACATGTAGCATCGAAGCCACATTAGGAGGCCCCACTTGGGATCGTTCCACAGGTGGAGTGGTCCATCGGCAAATGGCAATGGCTGAACAAGACATACTAAGACCTCGGCCCAAAACAAGGGCGCCAATGTCGTTGATCTCAATACATTAAGTGGTGTCACACGGAATCCCTTTGCCCTCTTTGTCAGCCATCCATGCGTAACATTTGACAAAAGTAGTCTATAATAGTCCATCAATTGACAGACTTTATTTGATTGATTTGATGAGTGGGTGGTGAGTGAGTGGGATGGTTCCATGATTGATTGAATGGATGAGTGGAGGTACATACATAATATTAAGGTTGTGAAGAATATTGCCATTCGTATACCTTTGGATGCGCCATCGAATATGATTTGACGCCCTTTCCATGATACTTGTAGCTCGGCGATCATGAGGACAATGCCAGTCATGCCATTTATAAATATGTAGAGGTACCTATTACGAAGTGTACTATCTATCTTGCGAGCCTTCTTGAATGTCTCAATTGCAAATGGAGTTGAAGGCACGGTAAACTCCTCCTCCATAGGCCTACTATTCTTATTGAATGATATCAATAATCTATTATGTGCCATACTATCCTGTTGTCAATTATACACAACACTGATATCAGTGTGTGTGCGTATGTATGAGTATGTATATTTATGTGTTTTCTACTTATATGTATGACAACTACGGAATAAGACCCATTTGTAGTGTACTACAACAGTGGATATTTGCGGATGATGGAGGGGCAGCCGAGTCAAACACCTGTTTTTGATGAAAAAAGCTGTGAGGTCCCATCACAACCTGTTGTCGGGGCTGTTGAGGCGTCCAATGGTGCGATGAAGAATCAAAAAGAACAATCTCTCACTCATCTAGCATCGTCCAAAGAATAATCATTGCATTGCACAATGTCGACAACAAAGGGGCATGACATTGAATGAATGAGTGAATGATTGAGTGATGTTTGTTTTGTTTGAAAAGTGATGTGAATGTAGTGAATTGATTACCAAGATATTGAATCAATGAAGTGAATGAACATTGGGATGGATGTTGATGATATGTATGTTGTGTGAAGGCAATAAATAGGTATGATGTGTAGGGTATATACACTGGCCTCATGCTGGTAAGGTTTATTGGATACCTCCTATGTGGGGATGGATATGTGCAACATTTTCATTCTTGAATAGTAAGTAGAAGTACTAAGATGTTTAGTCAAGGATAACGATGAAGGCGTGGATAACACCTGGAATCCACAACAAGAGGGTCAAGATAAGATTGATCCAGAACTTGTCACTGCAGCCTGTTGGTTGTTTGAGAAAGAAAGAGAAGAAAGAGAAAAGAGAAGATTGTGTTAGAATGAATGAATGATTGAAATGAGGGAGCTGGTGAGGATTGATGAATGAGACTAGACATACCCTTTCTGATCAAGACGGCCAGTGGTGGCAGGAATATAGCCAAAATGCACAAACAGATCTTCTCGCAACCTCCCATTGTAATGATTTATATATTTATAGAGTTATAACTTTGAATTAAGAATGTGAATGAATGAATGAGTGGATGAGATTAGTAATGGATTGATTGATGAACACCAACACCAGAGCTCCCCCATCAAACTTATGATGGGTTCGTTGTGCGAACCTTATTCATTCCCTGAATTCAACTTAATTATATTTTGTTGGTGACGACGACACGGACAGGTGACCAATGCGCATGATCGCAGCAGTACCCCACACAAGTGTGGATATTTCATTCTTTGTGTCATCAAGCAAGTAAGAAATAGACATCTATTGTGTTTGTTTGATCATGTCACACACAGTCAAACAAGCTCACTCATTGGTGATCACGGGTTCATTTGCAAAAGAGTGCCCTCACTTTGCAAATTATCTGAACTCGAGGGCGACGTAGTGTTGTGTGAGCTTATGAATTCAGCCCAACACCTCATGCATGGTTCATGTAACTCGCTTGTTACTTTCCTTCCCATACAAGACCACTGACACACCTTACTCTGTTTTTTGAGATGGGGATTATTATTTTTATTTATTTATTTAGTTTGATTGGTGTCTAGTCCCTTCCTGATGTCCTCTTAAGAGTTTGATTGAATTGGAAATACCAGTACATTATACGAAACTTTTATCCATATATGGTTTTCAATAACATTTGATTGTTTTTCTTGAAGACATATTATTTGTGATTGATCAAGTCGACAAAATTTATAAATACTCCTTATATTTATATAATCATAATTATTTACATGATAAAAATTTACATTTGGATAATTTCTAATTAATATTCTGATCATACTTGGTTTTAATAATGTTGTGGTATTAATATTTAAATATATATTATTAACTTTTATCATTGACTTTGTATCAAATCCAATAGAATCCTTTATATAAATATATTTTATAGTATCTGGTAATATATTTTCAATAATATTTAATTTCCTATTAGAATATAATGATAAATATTTTAATGATTTACATTCTTTAAAGTATGGATTGTTCATGAAATCAAAATCAGGATTGATAAGCTCCAAATAAGTTAGTGTAGGTGGAAAGGTAACCAAAGTGGAGTGGCTGAAGTTGGTACCAAGTTTGAGAGTGGAGAGTTGATTTGGGAGTTGAAGTAATCCTTCAGAGTTTAGTGAACCGACATTTTTAACAATGATTAGTGAAACTAGAGTTTCGGGTAATGCTCCATTCTCTATCATTTTGGGAAAGCAGTAACAAATCTTTAAATATCTTAATCTTGGAGGTAGTGATCCAACTCTTATAATAGGACAGTGATGGAAATCATGACAAAATATAAGGGATACCAAGGTTGTTGGGAATGAGTTTGCAGTAATTAATTCACTGAAATTCTTTTCAATCTTTAAATAAGTTAGACTTGATGGTAATATTTCAATAAAATTATCTAATTGTTGAAATGAATCAAATGATAATGATTGTAATTTTGAAGGGATTGTACCTGGGGCAAATTGATGGTTATAAACACTAATATATAATTCCAATAGTGAATCAGGTAATACACCTGGTTCAATTGGTGAACATGGATATTCTCCTCCAATAAACAATGACTTTAAAGTATTGGGAAGGTCACCTTTCTTCAAAGGGTTCACTAAATATACAATTGTCAACTTCTCCAAGTTTGATGGAAGTATAGAGGAGAAAGAAATGGATTGATAAATATTAATTGGTTCAATTATCAATTCAGTTATTGATGAATTTAAAATATATTCTTTGATATAGTTGTAATTATTCCTGGGTATATTAATTAACATTAATCTTTTCAAATAATTTGGAACCAATGTTGATGGTGATGATGGAGATAGTATTGATATATGGGGTATAATGGAACAATTCCAAATACCGGTCAACTCATAATGGAAATTATCCTGATCAAATAAGTATAATAGTTTAGGATCAATAATTATAATTCCAGCATTAAAATATATAATATTATCTAATCTATGTAAATTATAATTATCATTTTTGAATAAGTTAATATTTAAATGTGATTCCATTATTCTGTTCAACTGATGCTCATTCTTGTTGTAGTTGTTAGAGTTGTTGTATGTTTTGTCAATGATTGCTATCTCTTTGTTATATCTTGTCAACAAATTGAAGTATGATCTACATGATAGACCAAGACATAATGCATCTATACTATTACCAAGGTATTTGAACAATTCCTTGATAATCAAATGTGATAACTTATCCATGTATTATAATATATATGTATTATTATTTGATTGAAATATCTGTAAGAATGAATGAATGATGAGGTTGGTGCTAATCCTTACAAGACTAGACCAGATCGATCTGCTTTATAAAGTGTGCACTTTAACTTTCTAGATGAATGATGATGATAATCTGTATGTCATACCAAAGGGTTGTTGTTGCAATAGTAGTTTATTGTGTACTAATCGATCGACCTGACCTGACCTGACCTGTGCTCGCTGCAGCTGGTGTTCGTCAAGGATGATGCATCATGTCTCCTGTGTGTATAGGTATATATGTCATGTATGTATGATGGATGATTCGCATTTGATTGTCGTCTAAGTGTTTGTGTTCAATGTCCATCGATTGTATTACATCTTGTGCTGGTTAGGGTACTTCAACAGCTCCAAGTACTCCAATGCAATCGTTCTACAGTTCTTCATAAAGTTCTGCTTCTGTGTCCAGAAACAGTCATCCTATTTATATCATATACATCGCAATGAAGATGATGATGATGTTAGCAAGTTATTCACATCCTTTGTTTGATTGTTTGATTGATTGATTGATTGATTGATTGGTTGTGCTTGTGCTTGTGCTTGTGCTGCTGTCACTTCATGTTGTTGTTGCTGAGAGTGTTGATGATGTGATCGATCACCTACGAGTATATCTTGGTAGGCACGCAGCTCAACCTTCTTAGCATTGGACTCTTTGATGAACTGATACTTCTTGGTGAACTCTTGCTCATAAGCACCGAGATGCTTCTTGTACTCCTCTGGGTATCTGTTCTCGATCAACACTTCTGGTAACTGTTCACTGCTTGTCATTTTTCTTATTATCTATCTATATAGTCTGTATTTGATTGTTGTCTGTCAACTTGTTTGATCAGATTCATAAACATTGAGTGAATGAGTGAGCAAGACGATCAAACACACAACCAATGCTCATTTTTTTCAAACCCTTGCCCTTACCTCAACCCTTGCCCTACCCTCGAACATTCATTGTCTAATCAATACAATGGTCTAGAATAATAATAACAAGTATTAGTGATATTTATCAAGAATATCTTTAAAGATAATACTATGTTGTAATAGGTTGAATGTCCTCGGCAGATCCCAAAGACACATTGAACTCTCTCTCGAAAATCCAAGGGAGAGAGTGGCAAAGATTCAAACAAAATGAGTCAAACCCAAGTTGAACTTTGTATTCATTTATCACTCTATTATCTCTATTTATCTTTTATATATATATAAATATAATCACAACCCTGTCCTTCTACACGAGTCAGAGGACTAAGTATATATTTGTACACTCAATCAATAAATCAAACAAAGATGTCCAATCCACTACTTGCACTGTAAGTATATACTGTGAGAGACAGTAGATTGACTTGATACTAACATACAACAACAACAAACAATAACAGAAAGCTTAAACAGATAGAGACACTAAAGAGCAAATGTCCAACTATAAAAGAGATAACTAAAGACTCAACATATAAGATACCTCTACTCAATGGTGCTCACCTTATAATGTAGGTGTTTATATTTGATTGATTGGATTGGATTGATTGAATGCAGGTCAAGGTTCTAACTTCATCATCATCATCATTATCACAATCACAATTGGATTGGATTAGATCATTGCCAATGAACTTCCCTTCAGTGCCACCAGCATACTTCTTGGAATCACATGATGGACAAACACTGGCGACTAAACCACCGGCATGGGGACAGATGACATCATTGGCAAAGATCACAATGGAGTACTTGGACTTTTATAGCAAGCATCCACCTCAGTTCTTACAGCAGCAACAACAGCAACAAAATAACTACTCGCCTCCACCCAGCTACTACTCCTCAGCGTCGCCACAGCAGCCGCTGGGACAGTCTGGCGGCGCAGGCCAGCCACCTCCACCATACACCGCCTCCAAGGACCAGAAGAATGTACAGAAACCAATCATCCCATCACTGCCCACGCGCTTCCCCGAGCTCGAGTCAAAGACCAAGGAGGAGCTGCTCGAACTGCTAAAGTCAGATGAGCTCGAGGTGTTCCTCTTCTCAATCGACGAGGTCAGCGCAATGTCGGCGCAAAAGGAACGTCTGCAAGCAGACAATGAGAAGTTGTCGGCGCCAATCGAGCAGAAGCAACGCAGTCTGGAAGAGCTCAAGGTGCAACTGGCCGAGCAGCAGGCACTGTACAAAGAACTCAAGCTGCAGAGCGAGGAGAAGCAAAAGAAGAAGGAGGCGATACAGCGTGCCTTCTCGGCGGCCGTGCTTGTCGAGCGGTTGACCGAGGCGGCGTCCATCTCAGAGGCCGAGTCAGACTCGATCGCCAACGAGTTCCTCGAGGGCAACATCGATTTGAAAGAGTTCAAGAAGCAGTTCAAGGATAAGAGGAACATCTACCATTCGCGACTAGCCAAGAAAGAGAGCATTGCAAAGGATATCAAGTAGATAGATTGATAGATTGATTAATTGATCATCTTGCTTGGCCTTAAGTGCACTGCGTGCGTCTTGTAGTATTGTAATCACTCCCCCTATAAAGTTAGTTAGTTGTCTTGTTGACACTCAAACATGCTGGCATCCATGCATTCATTCATTCATTGATTCATTCAATCATGATAAGAGGTGATCAGAAGTCGAACCACATTCCGCCATCAATGCCATGGTCTTGCGACTCTCCAACTGACGACCAGTCGCGTCGTTCCAAAACACAAGTCGACTGACTCCTCTCGAACACACAACCCCCTAACCACCAACCTCGACAAACCCATCTTATCTTCACAACACAATCAACCGAGCTTAAGGCCCACCTCAATCTAGATACATATATATCTTCATTATTATTATTAATTGTTATTATTATCAAGTCAATTGACTTAAGGTAGTTGGTATTATTATCATTATCATTAATGGTAAATCAGGAGTGAAGATCATTGACTGAAATAGAGATAGAAGTCAACATATCATCATCACATCACTTTGTTGTAGAAAGTATTCATTGAATGAATCCAAACCGAGTATGTTACAAATCTGGTTATAAACATCATCATTGTCAACAGTCAGTCAGCTGTATCCATTCATCCATCCAAACCAACGATCAACCAACTCAACTCACCACACCCACACTCTCATAACTAAGATGGCTATCTACTCAATTAATCAATCGTGTGCCTATTAATTAATAATATCCTCCTTCTTGATGGGTGTTTCACGCCTCAAACAAAAAAAAACAAGGATGCGCACGCCTGAATCCTCCTGCTTTTCTCCATTATTGTGTTCAAAAACACACACTTTCATCTCACTCATTCCATTCATCCAGTCAATCTCCTCGTGATTTTTTTTGGAACGTAGAGTTTTGGGGGGACTTTTGAGTGTGTCCAGAGGTCAAGTACCTCAAGTCCATGCCATTTCACGATAAATAACAACTACACAACACACATAAACAATTACCTTTAAAACTATATTTAAGTTATAACTTATACAAACTATCACTCTCAACTCAACTCAATCCAAACTCACTCACTCACTCACTCATTCATTCACTCACGCTCAACTCAACTACTCAACTCCAACTCCAACTCAAACTCAAACAGAGAGATAAAGATAGAGATATATTTACGCGATGCTGTTGTAGCCACCCTTCCATTATAAATTGTTAACGATAACTCTTTAATACATAGTAGATATATATATAAATAATACAAAATAGTAATATAGGTCCATGCAACCTCAAGACAACTTCCATTCGCATCTCTCGCCGATGACAGATATAAACAACAACAATAATAATAATAATAATAATAACAATGGTGGTAATAATAATAACAGTATTGGTGTAGACAACAGCAGTCATGCTCCCCAACATCCATATCCACAAATACCACAAATACAACAAATACACCAATTACATCAAACGCAACAAATACAACAAACACAACAGCCACCAGCAATAATGGCATTACAACCAAATATATATATGAGGAAGCGTTCACGGTGTGAACCATTTGTGTCACCGCTGTCTTTGTTGCCATCACCACAGGAGGAACATAATAAGTCACCGAGGACAGCACTGCAGATGCAGTCGCCAGTGCATCCTTCATCGTCGAAGCTGGCCTCCACATTTGTCCCCATCTCGCCAAACAGTGGAAAGCAAATAGGTCATTCTGCACATGAGCAACAAGGTTGCGAACGAGAAGGTAAGAGGAACAACAACAACAACAACAACATTTTTGGAATTATCGTACATTCATTCGATCGCAACGAATCAAGCCAGCTTCACTCGCGAGTCCAGTGAGTGTTCGCGGATCCTCTTTTTTTCGAGATTTTTTGCGAATCGACGAGAATCAGAACGCGAGGACTCTGAGGCCTTCCAGCAATCGATATATCGTATCGCTCGGTACGGTACGAGCGAGTGACACAGACCGAAACTGACACACCAGGCCTGGCAATCAATCAATCAATCACATTTTTTTAGTATTACTACCAATCGATATATTAGATTTGATATTCTCTCAGCTGTCTTTTCCTGATCGGATTGCATGTGCTTGGGTCTGCATGACATGGCGCTCAACATTGATGATGACGCCAAACCCTCGTCTGGAGGACTGCATGATATCTCTGCATCAACAGCCACCGATGGCTGGCGGATTGCTGCTGCCGATCAAGCACATCATCAGCTCACTCAACATCACCATTGCGCCCTGCTCCTGTAATATATGCTATTTTCAAAACGACCCGTATCACTCGCTCAAGAAGTGGATCAAGTACCTCGAGCCCATCTGTCTGACTGGCCACCTCAACAAGGTGGTGCTGCGCGTCTTCCACAGCGCCACGCCAGACACTGGCGCGCCCTCCAGCGGCGGCGCCGCCACGCACTCCTCATCATCATGCGGCCACTCCCACGCTCACTCTGCCGCCTCACCCATATCGAATTTGGCGACGATCAGCAGCAGCGACTCGATCTACGACAGTCTGGCGCCACAGTTGCACGCTCTACAAGAGTGCACGGTCGATCATGGCTTCTCCAAGGACTTCCACCAGCAACGCAGCCATCTGCTTGATCTGGAGAAGCCGCTCACTCTGCCCTTCCGCGACATTGGCGCTGTCATCCCATTGTCCGTCCTTGCATCGCTACTCAACAAGCACATCAGCAACCTCAAGGTCAGACTGTGCATTGACCTGCCCTACTCCAAGCGCAAAGAGGCAGAGTTCTTTGACAACATTGTAACACTAGGAAACCTCTCAGAGATTGGACTATTGACTCACGATCCACTCGATCCAAGGTATGTTCCAAAATCATTTGGAATCATTCCACATACCACTAACTCACTAAATCAATCAATCGAACCCAACAGCTATAGTGCAGCATGTAAAGCTAGTCAAATGATACTGGAGAAGTTGTTCTCAACGTTCTTCGCATCACCTTTCACATTCATCAACTTGAGACGAATGTACCTCATCACGACCAATGTCGACAAGACCGTGTTGGGCAACTTTAGCAGCCACCTGCCAAATTTGGAGGGCCTGCATCTGTCCGTCTGGAATGAGGACTTGTACAAACTTTTTGATGATATTACCGGCGCCTTTGGAGGCAAGCTCAAGGAGCTGAGCGTTCGCTTCGCCACCTGCCACGGCATCAAGTATTCGACATCATTCTCGCATCGAGACCGCGAGCTGACCGACCCAATGGTCGAACTTCTGACCAGCCGGTGCCCCAACCTCAACCACTTCTCATTCGAGGGCTGGTTGCCCAGTCTCTCCGAGGTCGCTCTCCGACACTTTGGAAAGGTAGGTTGTCATGTTCGGAACCAGATGAACATGGCGCGCGACCAGTTGCTGACCACCCACGTCCTCTCTCCCTCTTTATAGCTGAAACTCAAGCACTTGGTCTTGAAGAATGGATTCGACACTAGGATCTGCAGACCAATATGGGCCAGACTAAAGTTGGATGTTGAAAGCTCGACATGCAACTTTATCTCGGAGAAGGAGTTGATACGATTCGTGTCTGGACAGCCCAACCTCAAGGTGTTTGAGTTCTCAGCGTCCGAGCTGGACAAGTTCACCTCGTCGGTTAGACCACTCACATTGTCGTCTGGCTCGCCAATGGCAACACCGGCCACCATCATGTACAGGAATCTGATATCGGACGAGTTCATTCACAACCTGCTTGGATCATGCCCCCTGATCAAGTTTGTCAAGGTGTTGGACAACTCGAACAACCGCGTCTACTACCGTGGCAACAAGTCCAACTACCTGAGGAACAACCATGCAGAGTTTAGCGAGCAGGTGCAGCAGGCTCAACAACAGCTGCAATCACCTCAGTTCTCGCTGTCCCAGCACTACCCCTATCAGCCACATAATGGTGCTCAGACCGTCGACAAGACCGAACTCTTCACCATCAACTGAGGTGTGAGTTGAGACTGGGTATTCAAGTATCCACCCCCCACCATACATCACGCTCAACATTGTAAATAAATATATATGTGATATTGGTCGATGTTTATATACTTGTTGTAAGGTTTTGATGAGCTTAGTGAAGTCTTTTTGTTTTCTTGGGTTGACCGCTACAATCGGGATACCTAATTCAGTTTCTAGTCGGTTTATATCTACTAAAATATTTTTTCTTGCTGCCAAATCGTTCATGGTAAGTGCCATGACAACAGGTAATTTTAGGTCGATGATTTGTGAGCAAAAAAGCAAGTTTCGTTTTAAGTTACATCACTCGTGATTACAAACTCAAGTCAATACTTCAGTTAAGGTCAATTTATTTTTTGTAGTTTGATTACTCACTGTTCACCAGTTCTTCTTCCTATTCCGTAATAACAAATTCCATGTTATTCATGAATAACCAGTTAGTTATTAATATTACCAAATAACTAAAGAAAAAGTATTAAATGTTAATAATTTCCAAGATTCTTATACTATTAGTAACTTTTGTAATGGTTGACTCTTCCAGTAATATCTTTTTTCCCGATATTGGAAATACTCCAATGACCCAAATTGATATTAATTTTTTGGTTGATCTACCCAAAAATACAATATGGGAGGTCGCTGTCAAAAGAGACCCTGTTATGTCTTTTACTCGCTCATATCATGGTCAATATCAAGTTCCCTTTTACCTTCCTGGTCCATACCTGTCCAATCCCTATGACTCGATAGGATTAAATCTGATCTGAGTAAATATTAATTAAGGAACAATTCTACCTCCTGGAGGTAAAGGAAGAGGCTTCAATAAAAAGAGTTAAATTCAATCCAAACAAATTATTATCCATCTTACTTTTTGTTGTTCATATATATTATAACTATTTATTGGTATGATGCTTCTTGACCAAATCACTCTTGGAGATGACGCCCACCAACTTGCCAGAGTTGAGCACGTAGATTACATTGCCACCCAGCATCATGAACATAAACACGATCTTCCTGACAGGTGTGGACTCGGGTATTTGGAATGGCGAGCTGTCGATGATCACCCAAGGATTCTGCAGCTCCATGCCCACAAGATCGATTGAGTTGTCCGACTGGCTGGGCGAGCTGCTCTGGCTGATGATCTCATCGTTGCTGTTGCGCATGCTGTCGCTGGCCGTCGAGCCCAACATTTGGATATCGTCGGTGTTGGCTCGCAGACTGTCGCTCTCGTTGGGCACGTACGGCGCCGATTCGTTCTCCTCGTTCACCACTGGGTAGTTGTCGATGGTGGATGAGAACACCTTCATCTCATTGTCGTACGGTTGCAGTAGGTCCTTCTCGCTGCTGTAACTATTGTCGTCCATGTCCTCGCCAATCGTCAGGATTGTGTCGCCACCAGTGCCGCCCAGCGGTGTTTTGTTCTGCGCGTAGGAGTGTAGACGCTCGTGGTACGAGATGACCTCTTCCAGAGTGGTCCTCGATATAGTACCGATGAGGTGGAAGTCATCCTCGCTCTCCACGACGGGGATGCCTGCATCGCTCACCTTCTCAAGCACGGCCTCGATCTGCGCCAGCGTCGTTCGATGTGTGACGTAGTAGAGGTCTCTGTTCATGATGTCCTGCGCCGTGGTGCTGTCCGACTTGATCTTGACGAACGGCAAGTACGGCAGACCTTTGTTCCTGAGGAAGCAGTCGTAGATACTGTGGTTCAAGAGGTTGCCAATGCCACAGGCCAGCACCACTCCCACCAAAACTGGCACCATGTATGTGAGGTTGCCCGTGAGCTCCAAGATGATCACCGCACTTGATACAGTTCGAGTGGCGCCACCACACAGCGCAGCCGCGCCGACCACCGCATAGCCAGTTGGATAGATATCGGTCATGTGAGGGAAAATGAGCTTCATGATCTCGCCGACGAATCTGCCGACGGCGGCACCAATTGCAAACAGTGGAATGTAAATGCCATAGGGTATGGGCAGCGTGATTGACACTGCCGTCAGCACCAGCTTGACTACAATATAGAGGAAGCAAGCAAGAATTATACCATTCTTGAAGGGCATACTCTCTGTCCATATCTTCAACTCCTCCGGATTATTATCTCCATATGCTGTGAACATAGTATGTACTGCACTTGCATGATCCAACTATAATAAGTTTGATTGATTGATTGAGTTAGTGTGGACATCATGATGATGATGATCAATCAATCATGTACATACTCTCAAGAATTGAAGTGGATAATTGATTATGCCAGTGACGGCGGCTACAATGAGTACCTCTCCATATGGTGTAAGCTTTTGAAGAAACTCCTTGTTGTGTTTTTTCCAAGTGTACAACTTCTGATACATATAGATGAAGAGTGATCCAAGTAGACCACAAAGTACACCAGTGATGATCAATGCCAACAATTGTACTGTGACCAAGTTCAAATCATTAAATGTTGTACGATATGATTCAAGTAGTTCTGAGGGTTGTCATGTGTTATGTTAGATGATTGGTCGAATGTGATTGATTGAATGAATGAATGAATGAAACATACCATTGGATGGAGTTGACAAGAGGATTTTGATACCGACTGCACCTACTGTGCTGGCAAAGAAGGCACGCCAATAGTTTGATATCAGATAGTAGGTGCCAGTGACTTCGATACTGAAGAGTACACCACCGATTGGGGAACCAAAGGTGGCCGCAACACCAAGTGCACTGCAGCTCGCAAGCAATTGACTGCGTTGTGTTTCGTTTGGTGCAATGTTCTTGAATGGTCCAAGATTGAGCAATGAGTTGGCCAAGATGGCAGAGATGTGAATGTAGGGTCCTTCCTTGCCGATCGACAGGCCCGATCCGTAGGACATGAGCAATCCGATCGTCTTGAGCAGACCGACGATTGGTTTGACGACCATTGGATTCCAAAAGCCAGAGAAGATCGACTTGAGGTCTGGCACGCCACTACCAATCGCTGAAGGGCAGAACTGTACACAAATGCAAGCCGAGCCCAATGCAAGGGCGATCGTCCATATAATGAAACTGAGGTATTCAACAAAGTAATTGCTTGTCAATGTTATAAACTTCTCGCGGCCTATAGGTGATTGGATTGATTGATTGATCGATCGTGTGATTGAATGAGTGAGTAAGTGTGCGGGCCTCAAAGGATGAATGAATGAGAATGAAGTATTGATGCGCACCTGCAAACACAACAAACTTAAAGATTAGATCAATGGCCACAAGAGAGATGGAGGCACATAGACCGACTGTTGCAAGGAATAGCCATATATAAAAGTTGTTCAGTCTGGTGAAGTTTGACCATTTGATAGCCTGTTTTGAAATGCCACCCTGTTTGTTCTTGAAGCCCGCCGTCTCTGTCTTTGGCATCACCAAGTTGAACAGATCAGCATCGGATGCAACCGAACGCATACGATTCTTCTTGTATCCATGTTTACTGGATAACCTATATGAGTGACAAATCTGTCAGTCTACCTGCGGCTGACACATCAAGTTGACTTGACACCTTACATCGTATACTGGTGCTTCTGTCTTGTTCTGTTTGGGTTGGCTGGTGACTCTATTTTTGAGCAATAGTTGTTACTAGTTCTTAGTGGAGGCTTGCTTGTTTGTTTGTTTGAATGGGTCTACAAACAGCAAGGCAACTACAACAAAACTACAAGAATGTGAGTGAGTGAGTGAGATGAGAAGATGATGAAGGTATGTTTGTTTGATTGATTGATTGTTTGATTGATTGATATATAATATTATATTATAATGTAGTTATCTCTATCTCTATCTATCTCTATCTCTCTCTAGACCTATCTATTCATTTATCTCGACCTAATGTGGTTGGTTATTGCTTGCACCTGTGTGTATGTGTGTAAGTGTGAATGTGGGGGTCAGACCTTGAGGAGCCTTATGATAAAGGGAGGTGCTGAGCAGGGTTGTTCTTACTTTTCAAAGGAACACCAAGAAGTTCACACACAATAATGTTGTCATTCTGTTTCTCGACCATTCTACAACTTCAATGCACAATTAATAATACTAATAGTCACATTTTGATGATGTTGATGATAATGATTTATTATTATCAATGATTGATTGAATGACATGATTAGAACATAGTCTTTGGACGGTTGTTCAAGTACTCAACAAACTGTGGAATGGATCCGATTTGCTTGTGGAAGGCTAATAGGACTGGGAATCCATTGAGTGCTTCAACAAGGTTACCTGGTTGTTGGTGGAAGAAGTCGAGCAAGTTGAAGATGCTGATATCAGCCCATGACAACTTGTTGTTGACCAAGTGCTTGCCGCCTGCCTTGACAAGGAGTGCCTCGAGCTTGGTGAACAGACGTGGGGCAGTCTCAGTGGCGAACTTCTTCAGAGCCTCCTGGTTCTGTGGTCCGAATGCCTGGAAGTATGGTCCGTACAAATCGTTTGGCAGCAGTGTGTATTGTAGGATCTGTGCACGTTCGGCGGTGGTCGAGCCGGCAAGTCCGAGTTTGTCAGCAAGGTAGAACTCGATGGCAACTGATTGAGCAATCTGCACCTCATCATCAACATAGTATGGTACTTGGCCAAATGGAGTCTTCTCTCTCAAAGCATCCTGCATTGGGAATGGGTCACGAGTGTCAACATACTTGGTACCGCCATAAGCGAACAAGAGTCTGGAGACCTCACCACGGGAACGGCCATCAAACTGTATATGTATGTATCCATTTGGTTAGTATTAATATTGGATTGATTGATTGATTGATTGATTGATTGAATGAATGATTGGTCTCGCTTTACTTACATAGTTGTATGTTGGAATAGTCATTATTTGTTTGTTAGCTAAGTTCTGATTGATTGATTGATTGATTGAATGAATGATTGATTGATTGATTGTATGATGTTTAATTGATTTAATGATCTGGATGATGTTCAACATCAAGTTATTATAAATACATTTGGTATCTTGTTTCTAGCCAAGATTCCACCCGAGAATCAAATTTAATGGGGGGTTCCTAAAGTTCCAAATTGAGTAGCGAGGCGTCCCAGGTCAAAGAAGTAACACGATATTCTGTTTTGTCCAATCTTTAGTGAAAAGACACAATCTAATTAGAAGATATTCCATTCTTTTTATTTAAATATAGATCAATCTGTATTTGATGATGTCATTTAAAAATTATTATTATTATTATTTTTTATTGTTATTCCAAGTTCCAAAAAAAGTCGATTGATTGTTCTGTTCCGGAATCACGGAATACCAAAGAATGATTGCAAAGATCAATAATATTATTTCCAACTTTATTCGTCAATAATTACCAATGTAGGTATATTGAGGTTGGACATTGACATTGACAACATGATCATAACCTTATCACTGACATTGTGTTGCTATTAGTTTATTACGAGTAGACACACAGACAGATAGACAGACATGGTGTGATGATGGGTATAGTTGTGACATGTCAACGTCAACGAGCTATTGATGTATCCTGATAACAGCATCGGCACCACCAGATGCAAAGTATCCCTTGGTTGGATGATATTTGATCGTGTGGATTGACTCATTGTACTTGGGTCGATGTGATATGAGGTCCTGTGCGCAAGTCTTGGAGGAGATGTCCCAGAACCTGATGGTGCTGTCGTGACTGCAACTGGCCACGTACAGGCCGCTGGGGTCGATCGTCAGTGAAGTGATCGCGTCAGAGTGTGCCACCATCGAGTGCACTGTCTGGTTCGAGACGAGGTCCCAGAACTCAATCTTGTGGTCTTCGCTGCCTGTGATGGCCAGTGGCATCAGGTTGTGAGTGACCACCTTGTTGACCTGCGCCTCATTGCTTGGTCGCAGCTCCGAGACAACGCGTCCGCTCTCGATATCGTATAGAAGTACAGATCCATCATTGTAGGCCACGAGCAGACGCTGCGCACTCTCGGTCGCTGGCAGTGACATGGATGTTGGGGCGACGGACAGTCCGTTGGGGTGCGTGAGCTTGGAGCACAAGGCACCAGAGTTGACGTCCCAGATGCACACGGTGCCGTCGGACGAGGCCGACGCCAGGTTGCTCCTTCCCACCAGTTGCAGGTCCCAGATGCCGTCAGCGTGACCGTCAAACTCGCGGTCCAAGTAGTTCTCCAGGCGTCCGTAACGGTGATAGAGGTCGGCGTCGCCAGAGGGCATCGTCCAACGCTTGATCACCCCGTCGAAGCCAGCACTGTACAGGTGGCTGCCATTCTCTGACAGCACGGTTGTGAACACGGGTCCGGTGTGGCCGCGGAAGGTGTGCAGCGGCTCCACGTCGGGCATCGATCCAGCCTTCTTGGTCGTGGCCACAGACAGATGGTTGAGGTTCCATATCTTCAATGTGTTGTCCTCGCTCGCAGATACCAACAGAGGCTCGGTCGGGTGGAACTGGAGTGAGCGCACGCCATCAAAGTGCGACTTGAGTGTGTGCTTGAAGCGCCATTGACGGGGCGCCGAGTCGTTCTGCAGCTTGGAGTTGTCCTCCAGCTTGATGTCGTTGAGCTCAGCCACACCGATGCCCATGAGGTCAGCGGCCAGCCCCTTCTTCCTGCCCATGCTGCCGGTGGGTGTGACGCTCTTCTCGACCGCGCCCTTCTTTGACTTGCCAGCGGCGCCGTCGCCCATGCTCAGACCCTTCAGCTTCATCCTGCCCTTGGAGTTGTGTGACAGCTTGTTGAAGAAGTCTTCGTTCCACGAGTCGAACGATGGCTCGTTTCCACCATCCATGCTACCTGTTGGCTTGTGGTTGACCGTGTTGATGCTGCTGCTCTCCATGCCGTTGTTGCCGTCTGCTGCGGCCTGATGTTGTGGCATGTTGATGACCGATGAGAACATGTCGCTGCCCTCCTCGGACTTGGGCAACTGCAGATCGTCGAGGTTTTGCTGAAGACCCTCGATCGAGGAGAAGTCAAATGAACCGCCATTTGACATTGAGTCCAGCGAGGCCATGTCGCTGGAGAGTGCATCGAGCGAGTTTGTCAAGTCTGACAATGAGTAGTCGCCAGTGTTCAAGTTTGGCAACTCGGTCGCATTGTTGTTGTTGTCATTCGATCCAAATGTTGGTACTGGTTCAGTTTGTTGCGCGGCCTCATTCTGTTGCTGTTGTTGTCGCTTCTGTTGTTGTAAGTGTTGCTTGAGCTGTTGCTGTTGCTTCATGTCTGTCAAGTTCAACATGGTTGGGACGTCCTCTGTATCCATGTGAGCCTCTCCATTAGGCTCATATTGCTCGATGGTCAGATCGGGCTTTGACACCAATATATCATTATAGTTCATATCTTTCAAATACTTCTTGATCAATGATCTTGTGATGCTTGCCTTGCTTGGCTCTAATGAGTCAAGTCAATGTTAGTAGTTGGTTGCATCGATCACTCAATCATTCATTCAATCATACTCTTTCTATGTTGTGATTGTTGCTCCTCTGATGAATCCTTGGGAGGTGGCACGACAGCCTCACCAGTGTTCTTTGCTCTCTCTTGTGAGAGTGCATACTCCAACATCTTAACTCTTTTAAACAGGTCATTCTTTATAGTCTCCTGTGTATTCCTCTCTGCTTCCAATTGTGTAATGCGTGACTTTGAAGGGGAAGCATGTCAGTCAGTCAAACTTAGTCACATGATTGATTGAATGAGTGAGTGCACTATGTAAACATACGATCAGATCAGCTTTCTCTGATACCCAATGTGAACGATCCACTTCATATCTGAACCATTCATATTGGAGATAGTCGATAATCTTTGGCATTGAATATGCAGAGTTTGGTCCATTATCTTGTTGATCATCCATTGCATAAGGGTTTGGTTGTCCTCCACCACCATATCCTCCTCCTCCTCCTCCTCTACTACTATTGTTGTTATTAGAGTACATTATATATATTGTATCTGTTTCAAAGAGGATACAGATACAGATACACTATACAATACTATCTATCTATCTCTTCAGCAATCAAATAACAACAACAAACACACTGTTTTGCCTCCCACTTCATCAAAAATCTGGACTCCTTGATCATGTTGAACTTCCATTCATCCAAACAATCAGTCACTTGATCAAACTGCTATTACTATTACTATTACTTCTATTGTTTATATACGATGTTTGGATAGAATGGACGTGGATCGAATGTAAAGTTACCGGTGGGTGGAACGATTGAGATCTTGGCATCGTTGGATAGTGTTTCATAGTTCTTTGGCAACAGTCTTTGGATTTGAAGTGATAGTGATATGTTGACTCTAAGGAGTAGTTGAGCCTCCTCTACAATATATGGTGCTGCAGGTTCCAATCCCAATTGTTGGCTCTTTGTAATCTGTTCCAAATTGAGCTTGGATTGTCTGATCACCTCAAGTGTCGATGTCAATATTCCAAACACCTGATTGAATGAGTGAATGAGTGTCAAGGTTAGTGTCCATGCTCATGATTGAATGATTGGAGTGATGTGAGTATCATACATTGTTGTCAGGTGCTTGGATTGATTGATTGAATACATCCAGTGTGTATGGGTCTGGTTGCTGATTAATTGGCGAGTTGAACACATCGAATCGCTTAAGGAAGCGTAGTGTTGGTGAGCTGAACTCACATTGTGGCTTCTTGACCTTGCCCAACATCTCCAATACTGTCATGAACTGTTCAAGTATGTGTGTTAGCACTACTTATGGACTTGGGGCACATGATTGAATGGAACACTTACTCTAAACATTGACCTTGCAACTAACTTGTGAGTGGCAATGAGCAATCTCTCTGGGGTCGCTGGTGGAAGAAGGACTTCGTTGGTCTGGGGTGGCTGGTTGGCCTGCTGCTGAGGTGACTTGGCGACGACGGCACCTTTGGCCACACCCTTCTTTGTCTGCTTCTTGGCCTCTTTCTTGGCCTCCTTCTTGGCCTCCTTCTTGGCCTTGCTCGTGTTTAAGGCAGCCTTCTGTGCCTCCCTAAAGATGTACTGGTGAACCTGTATCTGCAGGTTGGACAGACAGTCAAGATACCAATAGATGCACTGGAACTCGTGTGGCGCATACACTTCCAGCTCAAAGCCCAGATACAAGTAGTGGATCATCAGCTTGAGCTTGAGATTGAACACGAAGCTGCCAAACAGGATCGTGATGTTAGTCTTGTCCTTGGCGATCTCCGTGTCGATGATGTCAGCCTCGGACTGCAGGATGGTCAGGTCCAGCAGCGCCACCTTGAGCTTGCGTCTCTGACGCGCGCGGTTCAGCATCACATTGATAAAGATCTTTTGGAGCGCGTGGGCGAATCGCTCAAAGAAGCGCGCCACCTCGGCGTTCTTGGGATCCAGGTGCTGGTGGGGCACGCCAAACTGGCACATCCATTCAATGATCGATCCGGTCATTGAATCGGAGCGGAAGAATGCGCCAAGTGGCAGCGGGAACAGCAAGCGTCGCAACAATGAGCGCACCACAATGTTGGGAGACAGGCGACTCAAGTACAAATGGTAGTTGAGCATCTCGGACAAGTTGACAAAAGGTTGTTGTTGTTGAGTGTTGTTGTTGATGTTGGCGGACTGTGCGCTGGACTGTTGTTGTTGCTGGTAGGTCTCGAGGAGGTGAGGCATGTGGAAGCCCGCCAGGAGGTCCTTGAACAACTTGTCGTAGAAGTCAAGCACCTGATCGAATGGCCGACATTGGTAGATGGGCATGTTAACCGTGGCGTATGAGCGCATGTTCAACTCGGGGTTGAAGATTGAGGGCGGGATGACGTCAGGTGATGGCCTTTTGCTGGCGCGTTGTCTGATCGATGCCAGTCTCTCTTGGATGCGTGGGATGGACTTCATTGCCAGATTGACGTTGGATGATAACAACGTAAAGAAGACCAGATGGAACAAACGTCTGAGCGAGATCCTATCGCAGAGATCACGCAACTCGGCTGCCTCCTCCATCGTTACGTCATTTTTCTTTGCCTCTGCGTCCATGATTGTCTGTGACAACGACGACTCAATATGGCTCATGCTACTCAGCAGCTCCAACGTCTTGGTCGCGTCCAAAGTCGTGAGGAGGTCGAATGTCGCTAGATTAAAGTCTTCCTCCTGTCGATTGATTGAGTGATTGAGTGAGTGATGGTTCGTCGGCATCGTGCACATGTAAAGTGGGTCAATCATTCAATCAATCACATACCAGACAGATGTCTCCTCGCGAGACAATGTGTGAAAGAGTGTCCGATGAAGCTAAGACTGTCTTGAGGTATGGCGCCAGATATTGGTGTCTCAGCTTGTGAGGGAAGTACAAGTACATGCAATTAAACAGACTGTGAACGATTGGACGACCTTGCATCCAACCAACCTATGAATGATATTGAATGAATGAATCAGTTGACTTGATAGTTGTTGCAGATGTCCAATCTTGATGATCAAGTCAAGACATACCTCGAGTGCCATCAGTTGATCAATGATTGCGATCACTTGTTTGTTTGATAGAGTTGTGTCTCTTGTGATCTCGCCCATATCGTAGAGCATCTCTGGTGTGTAGAGGGGACCTGCTGCAGCGGACGAGTCGAGCTTTGAGTTCATAATCTCCAATGAGTGAACGGCATCTTGCAATGAGAAGTCTGTTCCAATCAACTGACCGACCTGGATATCTATATATTCAATGTATCATTCATTCATTCAATCAATGTCAATGATGTCTCCTTCCAATAAGTAACATGTACATGTAATGTATTAATACCTTTGGTGGCAGCGATGAGTGTCGGCAAGGCGTCCTCCCATTGATCAGGATCATCAATGTTGTCTGTGATGTTATTATTATTGTTGTTGTTGTTGTTCCCAGACATGATCACTAGTGTTGTGTCTATATGTATGTCTATCTATATATCTGAATCAATCAATGAACTCAACTTAAAGTGACACTTCTGAAACATCATGATGAACATGCGAGAAACGATTGATTTAGATTTGTGGTGTGGTGTCCACCAGTCCCATGGCTGGACTGGTCCCTCATTCATAGAGATACACAACAAAGAGTAGTCAGTCAATTAGAGTTAGGATGTTAGATGTTATCTGGTGTTTTTGTTATGTTTATGTTTCTTCGTTGTTGTTGTTGTTGGTCAATTATACAAAGTGGGGCGGAGGGAGGGAGGGAGCGATAGGGATGGGAATGGATGGGAGGAGGAGCGGATGGCGGAGTATATGATCGATTGATCAATCAACTCCTCATGTTTCCTCAGGACTCCAGTGTTGTTGTCCAGACACCAACGAGCTCGTTAGCTGTGACAGACGGTCAACTGATGGACTGGACCGAACCGGACCGGACTGGACATGACGAACAGAACAGACCAACGATACTACGCCATTCACCAAAAGAAAAAGATGATCCATCATTTGGAAACTACGTATTGTGCTGCAACCTTCCTGCTTGGTGTCTGTCCATTCTCATTGACGTCATCGTCGAAATGAAGTGTATAGTGTGTCGTCTTGCTCTTGACCTTTTGTGAGCTGACCACGATGGCCGGATAGAATGTAGTGGTGTCGGGGAACATCGCCAGCACCTTGGTGCTAGAGGCAAATGTGGGCGGCAACGAGGCTGGGTTCGGCAGTTGAATGATGTCCTTGAGGCCCACATTGAACTTCTTGGACTCGTCCTCGTCCTCATCGATGACCTCGTACTTTTGCGTCTTGGCGTTGAACGAGTTCACCTTGGCCAGGATCCAGTTGTTGTTCTTCTCCTTGGCGGCCACCAGTATGCCAATTGGTATCGTGCTGCTCTCCTTATCCTTATCCTTGTCCTTGGCGGCAGAGTCCGGAGTCTTGGCGCCCTCGGTCGAGCTTGATGACTTTTGTGGCGTTGATTGTGCCGTGGACGATGTCGAGTCGGACTTGGCGTTGGTACTGCCATTGTTACCGCCTGCGCTACTATTATTGCTATTACTATTGCTGGATGCGCTTCCGTTGCCACTTGTGGTGGTGGTGGTGGTTGTGGTGGTGCTGCTAGTGGTGGCCGTGTTGCTACTGCTCGGGGCCTCGTTGGCCGAGTCGGACTTTGGTGATTCGGATGGCTGCTTCACGCGCTTGTTCTTGTTCTGAGTGGGTGTGGTGTTGGCCGAGTTGATCTCCTTTGACTTGCGCTTCAATGAGTTGTTGTTGCTATTGGATGAACGCTTCTCTGGCTTCTCACTCGATGGATTCTCCTCATCATCCTCACTCGACGACGAGTTAGATGCATTATGTCCGTTGGCCGCTGGCGTTGGTGATGACGTCGAAGCTGTAGTTATCGATTTGATTGCCACCGATGACTTTGAAGGTGTCTTCTCCGATGACTTTGAATGATGCGTTGAGTTTGTCCTAATTGGATTGATATGTGTGTGGATGGTGATGTCTATTTTTAGTAAAAGGCCCCAATCGACTAATTTTTTGATTTCATTTTGTTATTTTTCACACACGAGGAGGCAGGCGAATCCTCATAAGGTGGGGCTGGCTTTCTGGTTTTGAAGGTTCTCGAGCTTGCGCACTTCACCGCCAACGTTGGTTGGCAGGCACACATGCGCGTGTATGTATGACTTGCGAGCAATCCATTGTCCGACAACAACACCATACATAACAGCCAATGTCCTCTCCCTCATCACGTCTTTGCTTCCTCGTCGTGTGCATATGAATGTGATTGTGATGTGAATGTTATAACTTACTTCTCTAGTGACTCTATAAACGATTTGTATTCATTATACACCTTTAGTATCTTGTGATGTATATCATTGCCTATATCTAGTGGAAACAGTACTGTCATAGTTTGATTGATGAGTGTCAGTCAGATTGATTGATTGATTGATTGAGTGTATGAGTGTGAGTGAGTATGACTTACATTCTTCCTCTTCATCAAACATTGATGAACCTGTCACAGATAGACCATTCTCTTTGAGAAAGTCTACTCGCTTGGAGTATACAGCAGTCTCATAAACGAGCTTCTCTATCTTTTTGAATTTGCTTATCAGTTGTACATCGGTCATGATTGTAATTGAGTGATGGTATGTTGCGTGCGGTAAATGTATATACAAGTTAAGGTGATTGATTTGTTGATTGATTGAATGATTGTGTTTGATTGATTGTGATATGTGTGGATGTATCTGTGTCGTTGCAAGTTGTATGTACACTCGCTGAGCGCTCTATGGTGCTAAGCAATGGACTACAGTTGATATTTAGAAGTATTACAAGAACGACTATTATGACACTGTTGACTTATGATCATAGAGAGGTTGATGTGATGGTGTATGAGATAGTGAGTGTTTGATTGAGATTGCTAGCTATGACGAATGTGATGTGATATTGGTTGATTGATTGATTGATCCTATATTCTTAATGACTAACTAACTAACTTGTTATGTAGATATGTATATTTGAATGATTGAAGTATGTATGAAGGTATGTATGTGTGAATGATAGAATGAATGAATGAAAGAGTATGAACAGTAGTGATTGGGGGTAGGTACATTGGTTTGAAGAAGTGGGGGGTTGTTTGAGGTCACGCGCTCCAACTCAGATTCGCTCATCTCATTCTCAGTTTCACCTCCTCTACCTGTATGCAATATATATAAATACATAATTATTATTATTTTTAATTTTATTTCATCATAATAGTTCAATAATATTCTAAAAGAGATTTGGTTGATGATGTCCCGGGACATGTATACTATTCACACACACAATGCTCCGACACGTGACTTGTTCAATAATATCATACATTACATTCATTCATTCATTCATTCGAATACATAGATAACTGAACGAGTACAAGAATCATTCATTTGAATTGATCAACCAATCATCTTTGTGAATGATTGATTGACACACATGTCATCGAACTTCGTTCAAAAAGATATTTGGAAGTGTTGTGCGGGTGAATCCGTTATGCTCAACGGATAAGACATCATTTGAATTGAAATGAGGGGTGCGTGTGGTTATTGTTGTGTTTCAAGAGGGTACAGATAAAGATAAAGATAGAGATAGAGATACTTACATATATACATACCTTCATTATATATATATTCAATCATACAATTATGAACAACAGTAGTAATAATAATAATAGTATGAATGGAGGAGGAGGAGGAGGACAACCAATGGACATTGATGATGGACAATATCAAATATTTCAAGATAATATAGATGCATTCAATGATATTATAAAGAGTCACTTTGAGTTCTTGATGAGCATGCCAGAGATAAAGACATTGGGCACTATTTTCCCATCATTGCGCACATACTTGGTCGACTGCTTGGACTTGCATCGCGACCTCCTCGTCTCGTCAAACTTCCCAAGTGACGCAATATCAGACTGTCCTGGCGTCAATCTAGACACATTGTTAACAGTGCCCAATCTGTTTATAAACATCAACAACAATAACAATAATAATAACAACAATAATAATAATAATAATAGTCAACTTGCATTGTCATCATCATCAATATCAAGAAGCAATAATGATACGACGAGCAATGTTACTTCACAGACACCTCCGACGACAAAGACATCAACTACATCAACATCGACGACAACCACAACTACAACAACTACATCACAAGCACAATCACAAGCACCAACAACACCAACAAAGACATTAACGCCAACAACATCGACTCCGACACGAACAAATGTACCAGCAACACCAGCAACGGTGGTGCCTGTATCCACACCAGTCCGAAGCAACACAACTCCAGTCACACCAACAAAGTACAGCAACGACGTTATCAATCAGTACTTGGCCAATGGATCGACACAAGGGATTTCAAAGCCTGTGACCACACCAACAGCTGCGACTCAACCAAACGACCTTTCTCGTGAAAAGACATCACCAATGCTTCATTCATCGGGCACAGCCAAACCAACAGCATTGGCATTGGCATTGGCAGCACCCAGCTCAACAGCATCGTCAGTGGCACCATTGGGTTACCCCCAGACACCCAAGTCTACAAAGAAGAGATCGCGATCAGAGTCAGAGGTGGAGCAATCAACTTCGCCAATTCTGGAACAGGTGGCGGTGCCATTCTCCTCGATCACATATGTGCCGACCAACTTCAACATGGACGACAAGAACCCATCGAGGATGAAGAAGTTTGTGAAGCAGGCGACAAAGGATCAAGAAAAGAAGATAGACAGGGCACTGCACGAGTCCCTAGAGTTCCTGGGCAAGGAGAGGCTAAACACAGCCAACAACACGCAGAAGTTTAGAATCAAAGGAACTCAAGGCAACATCTATATCATCACTGTATGTTCTCAAACTATGATTTATCGATCGATTGATTGATTGAGTACTGACTCGCAATACTTAGATTGGACTGATGCCCCACTGTTCTTGTCCTGACTTTGCCAAACGTATCGAGTATTGTAAACATCTGGCCTTTATATATCTAAAGGTCTGTGGAGTGCCAAGGGACCATTACATACTCTATCAGAAGGCTCTGACCATCGCAGAGTTGAAGGTCGTACTCACATCACCTGTAAGTATATTCGCGAATCACGTGACACGCTACATCCACCCTCACCATTGACACAATCAATCACACCCAATCACATCAGGAGATGGCCAATACAGCGCACAAAGACCTACCACTTGGATCATTCACAGAGACACCATATGGACCAGAGACACCAGAGGGCCCGGTTGGCAGTGGAGCGAGGGCGACACCAACATCAGTGGGCAACACACCATCAAAGTCACCAATAACGCCAAAGCACGAGGCAACAATGTTGGCACTGCAACAGCAATACAGTGATTCGATCAGGAAGGAGACAGAGAAGATGCAACCAATGGTATTGGATACACCAGAGTCTACGCACAATCACACTGGCAAATCGCCATCACCTTCGACACGTATATACACTCCCAACAAGGTTGTTCAATCATACAAGTCGAACAGTTACAGTATGTATTGTATTGATTGATTGATCCGTTTGATCTGAACAATGTCCTAATCATCATCCATCCATCCCCTTCATTCATTCAATCAATCAAACAGTCGATTGCGATTGAGGAAACTCCTGGAATCCAGGAGCTGACATAAAGTGTATATTTAATCTACAGCATTACAAGTTGACATGGCACGACATGACATGGCGATGGCCTTTAGAAGGGGAAGATGAAGCAGCAGCCCCTACCAGGCTTGGAGGAAGTGTTCATCATCTTGGTGTTGTTTGATGGTGCTGCCTTTGGTGTAGGACTGACGCTCTCAATATTATCCAATCTCTGGCTGATCTTTGGTTGAGGTTGAGGTTGAGCTGGGGCGGTGGTGGCGGTCGTATTGTTGGTAGGTGGATTGTAGTTGTTTCCAGAGAGTGGATGACTAGGTGTGACGACTACTGTTGGTTGCTTGCCAGTCAGACTGCTCGACCTTGACTTGTTTGGTTCATTTGGAGGTGTTGGCGTTGGTGTGACCAGCTTGGGACTGGGTGAGGTGCTCACTGTCGTTGGAGTCTGTACAGAGTTGCGTCTGCTGTGTGATCTGCTTGGATTGTTGCTGTTGCTACCATTTGTGTCATTGTTTGTTGTTGTGCTGCTTGAGGAGGGGACTTCAGATGTGGACATTCTTCTAAAGTGTGCCCTGGGTGCCAGACCACCTTGGTCCTGGCCCTGATCAATCGAGTTTGATCTGGACCTTGAGAGAGGTGTGCCAGTGGGAGTTGGAAGGTTCTTGGCCGTCTCGTACAGGTCCTGCATGGTCTGATACACGGTCTCTCTCTTGTCGTTGAACTTTGTAAAGACGAATGTCTCTGTCTTGGTGTCGATCTGGATGGAGCTCTTGCTCTTTTCGGGCATGCTGATGCTCACGACATCCTTGAGCTTGATGGCAGTCTTCTTGTGAAGCGATGTGATCGACGAGTAGAAGCAGATGTAGTGCTGCGACAGGTAGAGCTTGCCATACTGATTGAACGTGCCCTTGTGTGCGCATCGGTAGTCCTTGATCAACGACTCTGTCTCGGGCAGGTTGAAGTGCTTGACGCGCAAGTGGCCAAAGCTGCCCGAGTCAGACAGATTGGAGGAGACCGAGTCCGAGTGCTGGAGACGCGTGGCCTTTTGGTTGCTGCCGCTGGCCTCCCACTGGCCCTCGAGCAGCAGGTAGGCCGACTCGTGCTCCTTGAAGTGCAACGAGTCTGTCTTGCCATTCTTGCGCACCAGCTTGACCACCTGCTTGGCGCTGTCGTTCTCGACCTCGAGGATGTCGCTAAAGGGGATGATCTTCTTCTTCTCCTTCATCATCATCTTGGAGATGAAGCACAGATGCGACTCGGTGACATAGAGCTTGCCGCTGTGTCCCTTGATTGAGCATTTGATCGTGGTGATCACGACGTTGGAGGGGTCCAAGTTGAAGCGTTTATGTACCTTCTCATTCTCCTTCTCCAACTGTTGCTCCACAGACATTGTGCGTGAGTGACCCTTTCCCTTCTTCTTGCTACCCTTGCTGCCACTGCTACTAATACTATGTGTATCACTTATACTGTTGCTCATTATTATTATTACTAGTATCTATTATTAAAGGTTATATATATAACATGTGATTATTAATAATAAAATGATAAGTATTTCAACCATTCATGCATTCAAATGCACCTTTATTCACGAGTTTCATTCAGATCCTTCGATCGAGGATTGATCTTTCCAACCCACACTTTCGATTTGATCCCAGGGTAGTTAGAATACAATCGACAAAGTAATAATAACACATACAATGTCATATAATTATGATTACTTTGAATAATAATCATTGATCAATTCTTTGATCAATCAAATGTATCAATGATGTTGATGGATTCCTCGTTTGGGAGAATGACCAAATATTTATTAAGTATGAAGTACTTAAGTAAGTAATTAAGAAAATGTAGTTTGGATAGATATTTAAATATCTATCCAAAAGTATACATAATATATATCTGTCTTGTTACTTGTTGGTCAAATTACATTCTGTGTGATCAACAGAAGTTGCAAAGTTTGTTGGTGGGTTGTTGATGCCAAAGAAATCGTCCAGGATTTGTTTGACATCAACCACGACAGTTTCGGATCATTATCATCATCATCAATGTAATATATATTTGTATACATATATATTTATAATATCTATAACGACAATACCTTGTTCAATCAWYATCAAAAGATCAACAACAAACAGATTCATTCATTCATTCATCAACAATTGTTTGTTGAATCAACAAACAAAGTCATCATATCATGGCTTCAATCAAACAACAATGATCACAATAACAACAACAATAATAACAACAACAACAATAACAGTCATCAATCACTACCAATGCCACCAACAAACAGTAACAATAATAATATAACAAGTTTAGATTCATTATCAATAACAGATGATGGAGTATCAAATGACTCGGTGACAGCATCACTTAATGGACTCAATCATCAACAACAACAACATCAGCCAATGGCACCGGTCGTCTACAAGTCAGTCGATGTGAACGGACAGTGGATATCAAACAAGCTGAAGGAGCGCGAGCCCGAGTTCACCAAGAAGGAGAGCATGGTCATGTTCCTGGGCACCTGGAACGTCAATGGCAAGAAGCCCACAGAGTCGCTCGATCAGTGGCTGGGCGGCGCCAATCCAATGGCGCCCGACATCTACGCCATCGGCTTCCAGGAGCTCGACCTGACGGCCGAAGCGCTGCTGCTGGGCGACACGACGCGCGCCCTGCCCTGGGAGCACGCCATCACACAGACGCTACAGACACAGGGCGACTACATAAAACTGACGAGCAGGCAGCTGGTTGGCATCCTGCTGTTTGTCTACGTCAAGAAGGAGCACCGTGCACACATCACCCATCTGCAGTCAGACATTGCCGCCGTCGGCATCATGGGTATGATGGGCAACAAGGGAGGCGTGGCCATCCGCTTCCAATTCTACAACACATCCATCTGTGTCATCAACTCACATCTGAACGCCCACACTGAGAATGTACTGCGTCGCAATCAAGACATGAAGGATATCTCAAGGACACTCAAGTTCATTGGAGACGATGGCAAGTTCATCAATATATACGATCATGAGTAAGCATTAGTAGATATGATGTTGTTGGATGATTGATGATGAAGATCAGACTCGCTAATAGACACACCCCGCCCCTTCACCTGGAATCAATCACTCGATCAATCATTGTACAGCCAACTATTCTGGATTGGTGACCTTAACTACCGCATTCCATTACCATATCAAGAGGTCAAGGACAAGATTGCACATAAGGACTATTACTCATTGTTCCTGCACGATCAGCTGTACCTGCAGATGAAGAGCAATTCAGCGTTTGAAGGCTTCCAGGAGCCACCAATCAGCTTCGCCCCCACCTATAAGTACGACCCTGGCACCACCGAGTATGACTCGAGTGAGAAGAAGCGAGTGCCGTCGTGGTGTGATCGTGTCCTCTGGAAGACAGCCAAGCGCGCAGAGAACGTCGGCATTTTGGCGTACAGAAGACACGAGCTGCTGTCGTCCGATCACCGACCCGTGTCGGGATCATTCATTATCAAGGTGCGCGTGGTCATACCCGAGATCAAGGGTCGCATCTACCAGGAGATCGTCAAGGAGCTGGACAAGAAGGAGAACGACGCGATGCCCGACGCTCAGATCAGCACCAACCTGGTCGAGTTTGACACGATTCGATTCATGGTGCCCGTCACCAAGCATCTGTTGCTTGAGAACACTGGACAGGTCATTGCGCGCTTCAAGTTCATTCCCAAGCTCGACGAGACTGTTTTGTGCAGGCCGTGGCTCACAATCAATCCGATCGCAGGCATGATGATGCCCAAGGAGAAGGTGACCATCGAGCTGACGGCCTACGTCGACTCGACCACAGCACATCCCTTCAACGTCCTAAACGAATCAATGGACGACATTCTGATTCTGCACTTGGAGAATGGCAAGGACCACTTTGTCTCGGTCGCCGGACAGTTCCAGCACACCTTCATGGGCAACACATTGGAGAACCTTGTCAAGTACCCGAACCCAGTGTTCAACAGCAAGCCCATCACCGAGGAGCACAAGATGCTGTCGGTGCCCAAGGAATTGTGGCGTCTGGTCGACAACATATACTCGAGCGGCATGAAGGAGGAGTCATTGTTCCTCGAGTCGGGTGTCAACCGTGAGATGGAAGCCATCATCGACAGTCTGGACCGCGGCACAGCCTTCCCGGCTGGCTGCGGCATCCACTCGATGGCCGAGTGTCTGATCCGCTTCCTCGAGTACCTGGCCGAGCCCGTCATCCCATTCTCCATGTACCAACAGGCGATGGACGCGTCGTCCAACGCGCTTTCGTGCAAAACCTTGATATCGCACCTACCCTCTGTAAACTACAACGTCTTTTTCTACCTGGTGTCGTTCCTGGTGGAGGTGCTGTCGCATCAGCGCGACAACAAACTGACGGCCGACCAGTTGGCCATCATCTTCTCGACCGTCCTGCTGCGACCTAGTCCATCAACATCAACATCCCAGGCATTGGCTCCTCAATCCGATGCCGTCACAGTCAAGAAGAGAGCAGACTTTATCAAGCACTTCTTTGTAGCATAAGTATACTCATTCATGCCCTGGGTCAGTCAGTCAGTGTCCAGGCATATCATATAGAATAAAGCACATATACCCTACGTTCCTTTGGATCACGTACTCAATCAATCAATCATTCGATCTATCATACAATCATACTCAATCAAGTGGCGCCATACCTTGTTGCCATTTATCTTGATTGAATTAGTTTAATATATACCCGAGACCAATGATATTCCAGATGCCGCCAATGATAGACCTGCCGATACGATTACGAGGAACCATCCCTCGACAGGCCCCCATGATGTGTCTCCATTGTCCATTGAGCCCATCAGTTTGTCTCGAAGTTCATGTGGATGGCACAGCGAACCCACTTCATCAAACTGTTTACAATCGCTCTTGATTGCACCTGGCAGCCAAATGAAGGCGAGAGATGACACCAACGTAGGTGCCAACACTGCGATGGGCAAGAACTTGGTGATCAGCAGCAGTAGCTTGTGACCGGTGAGCACGCCACGCACAGTGAGTGCTTGTGTAACGATTGCCGTGAAGTCAATGCACCATGCCACCACGGCGAATAGGAATGATATGAAGAACACGCGTTTGGAATGGGGCATCTTATCGTTGTTGCCCCAATAGTACTGATCGGTTGATGAGGAGTTGGCTGGAGTGGTCTCCACTGCCTCTATCCAGTTGAACTTGTACTGGACGAATATCAATACGCCATTCCTTCTTTGTGAGCTCCTGTACCAGAAGGCTATTGACAACATAGTAAGGTCAGTCATGGCTGTCTAATGACTCACTCCTTAAGTGATATAAGGATGTACTTACACAAGAAGGATACTAATAGTAATATGAATGATAGGAATAGTAGGACCAAGATAACTACGTTTGGTCTACGCAACATCGTTTAAGGTCACCGCTCAACTTTCAAGTATATAGTTTGGCAAGGCGATGGGCACATGGCATCATCTAACTTGTTCGATGATGTATTTGTTGTTTGGTTGGATGGATGGATGGATGTAATTAAATAGATATTGTTTATTCACAATGATGTAGAGTAAGTTGTTGACAGTTGACAGTTTAATGAATGAATGACTGATTGATTGAAGATGTGAATGAATGTCTACGTACACACCAATGTTGGTGATGGTGGAAGTGCAAAGTAAGTAATAGAGAGTAGAGTAGTGCAAGAGATAGAGAGATAAATTATAAATGAATCGTTGGCCAGACCAGACCAGGTAAGTTAGACCCAAGGTGGTAGGTCGCAGAAGAGTAGGGAGTGAGTGAGATGGAGTAACAACAAGCAAGCAACTATACAGGCATGGGCTGTCTGTTGCCTTACTCGGTTAGGTGGATGGAAGGAAGGCATGAATGATTGAATGAATGGTATTAAGGTATGAAAATGGTAAAGTTGGATGCATGTGATTGTTGGAATCGCCAAAACATTGATGTGAATCGGATGTGTGTGTGAGTGTTGAGTGGTATGATGTTGTCGGACGCGACTTGAGTGATTGATTGTTTGTTGTGCCTGGCTGACAGACTGACACACAACTTAAGATTAGGATACAAGGATCGGAATTACTTAAAGTCCTGAAGAACCTCTCTCTCTATCATCATTGGCTAATGCTATGCCCATGCACAAGGTCGCAGAACCAGACATTTCGATTGATGTGATGACTGCCTGTCGAGAGAGAGAGTGTGTAGACTCGTGACTATTGCGCAGCGTATGAAGTTTGAGGTGAAGACTGCTGTGATGCCGCACCAACTCCAATAATGTTACTGGATACATTGAGGTTGTCTTTGGGTTGGAACAATGATTGAAGCTGTCTCTTGAGACGATCACACCTATCCTTGGTCTTGGGCATCTCGACATATTGCTTGGACATGTCGTACATCTTTTTGAAACTGCTGGATGAGTGCTCGTCCAGTGCGATGGGCTGGTCCAGCAACACATCAAACCGATGATAGATCACGTTTGGATTGCCATGTATCGAGGCCTTGAACTCCTTGTGCAATGAGTGTGAGTTGCCAATCGCGTTGGCCAGCGTCTTGAAGAGTGCCGGCGACAGGTATCCCTCTTTGATCAACTTGGTGGCCCTGTGCTTGGGTGGCTTGGACACATTGTTCTTCACGTATCCAGTGCCAATCGATACGATTATATACTTTGTTCCATCATTGTACAAGTCGTCGGCCTCTTCCTTGGCCTTGAACACTGGGTTGTTGGCCATCAGTCCGCCGTCCATGTGCTTGCGGCCGTCAAAGTAGACGGGCGTGAAGTAGGGTGGCGCGGCGGATGTGCCGCGCATGGTCTCGGCGACGGTGGCCGTGGTCTGGCGATAGTTGCCCCAGACGTTGGTCACGTAGCTCGTCTCATTCTCGCTGATACTGCTGGTGAGTGTGAAGATCTTCTGGTCGCGCTTGAACTCATTGAGTGACGTGTTGCCAAAGATTCTGTTGAGCTCGCGCTCATACGTGACCATGTCGCCGAGACACTCGTCGGTCAAGAAGTTCTTGACCTTTTGGAAGAAGCCTCCAAAGATGATCTTGCTCATCTTTTTGTACAACTCTTCGGCCGCTTCGTAGGACATGCCTTGCGCACGAGTGAATGTCAGCAGGCCGCCCGTGGACGTGCCACCCAGCAAGTCAGCCTTGCTAATGAGGTCGAATCCAAGATGGCTCTCCAAATGCATGAGTATACGCACGGCTATGATACCACGGATTCCGCCACCGTCCACACAGACGATCAACTTTGTCGAACCATTACCACCCTCCTTCTTTGATAATATTGGTGTTGACTTCTCAATCTCATCACTAGTATCATCATCATCCTCTACATCATCATCCTCATCCACTATTTCTCCGCTTGGTGTTGCTCCATTTCCAGTTGATGTTGGTTGTGGTTGTGGCTGAGTTGAGCTTGTTGTTTGAGTTTGAGTGGCCTCGGCTGGGATTGTTCCAGATGTTACTGTAGGAGTTGGGGTTGTAGTTGTAGTAGTAGTTGAGGTTGAAGTTGTTGTATTAGTTCCATCCATTTATCTCTTCTTTGTACAATGTATATTGGTTACTGATCAATGTGTTTGATTGATTGAATGAATGAATGAATATGTTTGAATGATTGATTGAATGAGAATGGGTAAACATGCAACAGGACATCAACAATCAATCATATGAATGTATGAATTGTTGTTGATTTATGGGTCAAACAGAACCTTATGATGTGAGGGTGCCACCCTTGTTTGTGTAGGGGCTGCTGCCCCTCATGAGGGGATATTTATCTGTTGAGTGGGTGATAGTGATTGATCACCACACCCACACATACCCCTACATCAGCTGAAACGGCATTCTCTGATTTAAATGAATAGAGAGAAGAGGGAAAGAGTGAACAAGTGGCAGTGGTCCAATCTTCTAGGATTAATCCTGATGTAATTTCTTTATTATTATTATCATTTAACTCATTGTAGGTGTTGTTGTTGTAGTTGGTATTCAGACCACTTCATCAATCAAGGTTGGATTGGAGTAAATAATAACTTTGATAATATTATTTGTTAATTGTTGATATCTAAAGTGTAGTAAAACTTGATGATAATCATCAAATGGATTGGTGAACATCAAGGTCATTGAGCTTGTTTGAAGAATGACCACTGCGAGTGGAAATGAATGAAATTTCTTTGGAATTTTGGATATTTTTGGAAGTCTAACTGACCACTCAGTCGTTCGTTACTCACTCCTGAGTTGAGCAACCAAATGACACTCAGATGTGTCTATATTGCGAAAAGTAGAACTTATACAGATACTCAATATTATTACATAGAAGTAGACTACTGACTGAGATCATCAATAGTCTATCCTATTAATATTATATATAACATTAGTTCATTTAGTTGAGAAGATACAGCGCAGCAGATAAAATGGCAAAGGTTGGAGAGGGTGATCCTAGATGGCTGGTAGAGAACCGTGAGGACGGTACAAACGTTAACAACTGGCATTGGTCAGAGACTGATTGTCTTGGATGGTCCAAGAAGAAGTTCACCACTGCTCTCACTTCATTGGTCATCATCGATAATGATATCATGAACATCACTACTGGCACCAATGTCACTGTCAGTGGTGAATGCACATCAAACAACAGAAAGGGCAAGACTATCTTCCTCTATGATCTGGAGGTCAAGGTATCTTGGAAGGGTATGTACAGCATCATCATCATCAATGATTGGAGTGAGTGAACTCAACTAACATCATCATAATACAAATTTAGGTGAGATGAAGGCTAATCAAGCAAAGGCTAGCGGAGACTTTGTTATGCCATATATCAGTGATGAGAATGCTGATGAGTTGACCAAGGTCAATGTCAGCTTGACTGAGGAATCATCATCAGACACTGACAAGCTGAAGGATGCTGCAAGGAAGTTTGGTATCCCAATGCTTCAAAAGATTGTTCAACAATATGATGTAGAGCTTAAGCAAGGTATGATTGATTGACCGTGATAAATCAAGCAAATGAATGAACTAACTGAACAACCACATAGCATTCACATTGAAACCACCTGTACAAAAGGCTGCAGCAACTACACAGCCAACTCAATCGATCACTCAAACAAGCGCAGCACCTGTGGCAGCAGCAGCACCTGTAGCAGCAGCACCAAAGACAACTGCCAGTACAAAGACACTAAAGATTAAAGACGAGTTCAAGGCATCCCCGATGGACGCATACGATGCATTCGTCAACGTTCAAAAGATGCAGGCCTACACACAGAGCGACTGTGTGTTTGACAACACAGAGGGCGGCAAGTTCTCCCTGTACGGCGGACACATCAGTGGCACCAACACCAAGCTGTCACCAGGCGACAAGATCGTCCAGAAGTGGCGCATCAGCACCTGGAACGAGAACCACTTCTCCAACGTGACCATCTCGTTCAGCGTCGCCGACAAGCCGGCCACCGTCGTCGAGATCGTCCAGACGGGCATCCCCGTCGAGGAGTACGAGAAAACCGAGGAGGGATGGCGTCGCAACATCCTCGAGCGTTTGAAGATGGTGCTTGGCTATGGCTCAAAGATCTATTCATAATCTTCTTCTTCTTCAAGTTGTCGTCAAGGAAGGACGTTGTGGCTGGATGGTTGGAACCATTCCTGCACCTGCTGCGATGTGTGTGTTGTCAAGACTACTCAAGATAAAGAAATAAAAGATAAATGGAGCAAACTACTCAACCAATCAGATATTAACATCATTATTCCATGTTTGGTCAATCAATCCAATCACACATGTTTGAATTCAAATTTGAATGTTTGTCAACCGCCATTTTTCAAATTTTCTAACGGTCATCAGATCGGAAACAACATTTCAAGTGTGTGTAGTTGGGAACTGATTGATCAGTATCATTTGATGACATAGTGAACTTGAGAGAGTGCTGTACTTTATACATAATATATAGATATATATATACACAACTAGCCAGACCTACACTTTGGAAGTGAAGGACAAAGATGGAGATTGAACAACAATTGAAGCAGTTCCAAGTGAACTTTGACGACAAGGCATCCTTGTACGTTAACGATCTAGACCTATTCTACAATGATACACTCGATTGGATGGAGAAAAGGAAGATGGACATTATGACGAGCATTGCCAATCACAATACCAACTCATCATCGTAAGTCACTCACTCAATCCGTTTGATGGCCTCGCCTCTCACTCATTTCCTCGCCAACTTAGATCACCAATAATGTTGACCAAGTCAAAGATGCAACAGAAACAACAACAACAACAATATAGTCAACAACAGAGTCAGAGAATACCTTTGATGTCATTGGATAAGAGTGGCGCTACAAGCCAACATTATCGCCCAACAGACTTGTTCACTTCGTCACAGATCAACTCAGTGATTAGCCAATCAATTACAAACATGTACATAAAGCAACAAAGAGTGGCAATGGATGAGCACAAGGCAAAGAACAACTCCAACAACAACACCGCCATCATAAACAACAACAACAACAATGTACATCCGAATGTTGTCGCCAACTCTGGAAACATTGTATCCGCCAAGTCTACAACTGCGGCAGTGCCAGTCAAGAACACATTGTTATTGGAGAAGTTCAAGAAGGCTGCAACTGACAACAACACAACAACATCAATAACATCAGCCAACAACCACAATACAACATCAGCCAACAACCAAAATACAGATGCCAATGTGTTTGTCGAAAGAGTCTTGGGCAAGAAAGTGATCGAGGACAAGCCAAGTGCTGTGGTCGCTTCCAAGAAGGTTCCAGCTCCAGCCCCAGCATCATCTACATCAACAGCCACATCAACAGCTGCATCAATCAATGAGAAGAAGTTTGAAAGACTACGCCAAAAGATATTGGATGACGCCAACACCGCTGCCGCCAACGCGCCAAACCAGAGTGTGAACTTGAGCAAGATGTTGGACGAATCAACCATCATGGAGACCGCTGCCAACAATAATAATAATAAGCTGAAGAGGAAGGCTGAGGAGCAGCCGAAGCAGCCACCCGTCAAGAAGTTGAGCATGGAGAAGGCTGACACTCAGCCCATCGAACATGCCCCGATTGTTGTGATGATTGAGGAGAGCGCTCAGTTGCCCGCCCCACCGGTCTCATTCCAGGCGCCACCACCCGTCGCCAACCTGGCCAAGGAGATCGCCACAAAGAAGAAGATCGTGCCAGCCACCACCACTGCCGCCCCCGCCATCACCTCAGTCGCCAAGGTCAATGCCGAGCCTGTTGCCGCTGCCGCTGCCGCTGCCTCTGCACCCACATCATCGGCACCAAAGATGACCGCGACCGCGCTGTCAGTGTATGACAAGGCCAAGAAGGTGAAGGAGGACGACAAGCGTCGCCAGGAGGAGGAAGAGTCGCGCATGAAGAAGAAGTTTGAGGACATCAACAAGAAGGAGGCCGAGCGTCAGGCTGCCCGTGAGGCCGAGCGTCTCGAGAGAAAGAAGAAGAATGAGGAGAGACAGCGCAAGCTGGACGAAAAGACTGCCGCGCTCAAGGAGGAGGAAGAGAGGAAGCGCAAGGAGATGGAGGAGCGCGAGGCTGCCAAGAAGAAGAAGGAGCTAGAGGATGAGGCTCGTCGCAAGATCCTGGAGCTGGCCCAGAAGCAAGAGCGTGCCGATCGTCAAAAGGAAGAGGCAAGGCGCAGGGCTGAGATCCAGAAGCAGCAGCAACTGCAACTCCAGCAACAACAGCAGCAACTCCAACAACAGCAGCAACAGCAACTACTCCAGCAACAACAACAGAAGACACCAGTGCAGTTGAAGAAGGCACCTGTTATTGCTCCACCACCACAGAGTCCATACATGTCCACGGGCATCATTGGAGACATATATGACAAGCTCAAGACTGCCATTGGATACGTGGCTACCACCCCAGCTCATCAATTTGAGGATGAGGAGGACGACGAAGAGGAGGAGGAGGATGAGGACGAGGAGTATGAGGATGATGGAGAGGAGTACGAGGAAGACGAAGATGCCGAGGATGAAGATGAAGAAGAAGACATGGAGCTGGACGAAGAAGAGGGCTCATTCGCCGACACTGACGCAGAGGAGGGAGAGGACGACGAGGATGCACCATCAGAGTCACCAATCATGCCAACTCTGCCATCGAGCACGCCCGTGCCACTGCATAAGGCCCAGTTTGGACATTGCTCGCCACCATCGCCATTGTCCACGGGCTCAGATCACTCGTCGCCAGAGTTCTCTCTGCGATCGGGTGGCGAGAACTCCTACGGCGGACTGTCGCCAGAGCTGCTGACGTCGCCACCACCCATCTCGCGCCACCAAATCGTCAGTCCACAGGGCTTGACCAACCGCCGAGTGATCTCGCCGCCCCGCTCATTCCAGCTGGCCAACCCCGGATTCTACTCGCCCGTCGACGACGACACGATGGACGACCGACAATTCCCATTGGCCGATCTCGTCATGGAGGATGAGGAGGCGATGTTCCTCGAAGATGAGTCCTACGACGAAGAGCTTGTCCCAGCATGGGCCAAGGAGCCAAACTTTAGTCAGGCACTGAAAGCACAGAACAAGATGAATGTCGATCCAGACACTGTCTTCCCAAGGATATCAAGAGTACAACTGAAAGGTATATATGTTCATTCAATCAATCAATCCAATCAATCAATCAATCATTCTAACATTACATTACATTAATGGACTACTTAGATATCTTCTCGGAGAATGTATTCCGCTCGCCAAGGAATCAAGAGGGCAATGATTCACAGGATTGGACCAAGGACAATGTGACCAAGGAGGAGAACAATGAGTACAAGAAATTGATGGGTTATGGTCCTGGTCCAATGAGTGAGTTGGTAACAAGATTCATGCAAGCTAAATAGGTATCATTCAATCATTCACCTCAACCTTCAACCTTCAACAATGTCAACTTAGGGCTTTGATTTCATTATCATGGCCATATCTCAATATCATACACATGTTAAATTAAACTATTAATGAATAATATATATATCATATATCTCTATCTCTCCTCTATCTTTATCTCTTTTTAGTCTAAGATCAACCAACCAACCAAACCAGCCCAACCAACCAACTTTACGATTTACAACCAACAACGTTGTACACATTAAATTGAAAGGGTTGGGTGAACAGGGAGATGGATGGATGGTTTGTCTTTAGGGTTGGGTGTTCATTCCCCCAACAATATTGGTTAATATAAAAAACTTTGAAAAATAATAATAATTGATCATTAGGTGTGTGTGATAGTAACGGCGTGGTTTAGAGTGTGTGTGAATGGCGAAGTGATAATTACACACACCTCTCCAATACTTCATTAATTATCTTTGACACACTCATTCACTCACTCACTCTTATTCATACCCATCATCCACTTCTGACATATATTATTATTATCTGTCTGTCTGTCTATCTATCTTATTTAACCAACATACTTTAAGTCTGTTAGGTCTTTAGAGCTGGAGCACAAGTTAACAGTTCTGCAGCAGAAACAGTCAGTCAGTCATATTGATCATTCATCCAGTCAGATCGATCGATTCATTCATATATATTTGTATAAACTAATCAACAACAACAATATAATTATATATATAAACCTTGTATACAATCAAACAACTCAATCACTCAATCACTCAACATACATTATAAATGATGAAGACAATGACATTGGCCAATCATCATCACCATCTTCACAGTTCCCAGTCAACTGTTGAGGGTTGTTCCACAACAACATTGTTTATACAGCAACATCATAATAATATCACACAATCATCTTCATCAACATCATCATCACTATCACTTTCATCACTTTCACTTTCATCTTCACCATCATCATCACAATCAACAACAACATCATTAATATCATGTGATGATAATCTGATGCCTCCTCCACCACCACCAATGCCAATGSCCAAGTAACAAACAATCAACAATCACATCATCATCATCATGTAGAAAGAGTATAACACAAACAACATCATCAACAATAACATCATTATCAGCAATTGGATCATTCAATCGAAGCAGTTTGACAAAGACCAAGACAAAGGTCAGAACAGCTGATGGCAGAGTGTTTGAGGAGCAGATCAATAGCGAAGGCACACTGATGTCAAACTACATTGGCCACGACGAGACCAACCGCATCAAACGCTACGACAGCGTCACTCAACTGACACCCTACGAGTACTGCTGCAACAAGATGGAGTGGGTGGCCAGCACCCTGCGCGACTCGGCCGACTGCCCATCGTCGGCATCATCACTGGAGTCACTATCGATCGTCACTTTCAATGTCTGGTTCGACAGCTATCTCTGGCGCCAGCGCGCCACTGAATTGTTTGGAATCGTCGAGCAGCGAATGCCCGACGTCGTCTGTCTGCAAGAGGTGACGCCAATGTTCCTCGACTACCTCAAGGAGCAGCGCTGGGTCAAGGAGCACTATCTGATGTCAGACTGTGGCCACTCTGACACGGTCTTCCCCTACGGCGTCGTCATACTGTCACGTCGCGACAATGTCAAGTTCCACCTGCACTCATTCACGATCTACCCGCTGCCCACGCGTCAGAACCGCAAGCTACTCACTGCACTCTTTCAATTGGACTCGGGTGCACTGATGTCTGTGTCCACCGTGCATCTCGAGAGTCTGAACAGCAATAGCGACATGCGCATCAAACAGCTGCAAACTATTGAGCGCATCACCCAGGAGAGGCGCCAGGCCAACCAATTGGAGTGCGACTCATTCCTCGTGGGCGACCTCAACTTTGGCGCGTCCACAATGGAGAATCAAGAGTTGACCCGACTGCTCTATGCAGACATGTGGCGCGAGATCAATGCCAATCAAGAGGGTGTCACGTGCATCAAGAAGAAGGAGCGTGTCGATCGTATACTGCATCTGAGATCGTCATCATCACAGTCATCCGTCAACATATCTGCTGAGCAGTCGTCCATCTCGCTGCTTGGCACCACATCAATATCACTCGATCACGAAGCCAGACAGGCTGAGCAAGTGGGTGACAATGAGTTGGTCTATCCATCCGATCACTTTGGTCTCTATGGTCGATTCTGTTGTTGTTGTTGATTGATTGGATTGTGCGTGTGATGGTTGTTGTTGTTGACAACATAAGTTGGCACTGGCAACACTCATTCATTCATTCATTCATTCATGAACAGCAACAATAACAAATAATAATAAAACCAACTATAATCATCATCATCATCCATCAATTATAACAAGTCACGTGATGATGATGGGTGTACGACCTCCACAGGAATGAATTGATGTTGGCAGTGCCTTCAGTCTCGCGCCCCTTCCTTGCCACCAACAAATCAATAAGATGGAGTCACTGGCAACAGTAGAGAGTAATATTGCCGTTAAAGACGAGCTAATCTTAGAAAGTGATGTTGTTAAATCATTGTTTGAATGAGGATGAGTGTGTTGATAATTATAACTACACACTTCACACTTTGTGTTGTGTTGGCGTGGTTGATGACAAACCTCAATCCAATCAAACAATCAAACAATCAAACAATCAAACAATCATACAATCACACATACACACATACACACACATGTTCTTGGTCGTTATCGATGTGTTGGTTGTGTGATGGTATTACTTAATACTAACATTTAAGATATGTATGACAACGACCAACCATCATCCACAACACCTAACCCCCCCACCTTTGCCATCAATCATCACATCCATCCATCCATGGTACAAAGTCTAACATACTTATGGTCTGGTACATGTGCCCAACTTGATCGATGGATGATGATGATGATGATGGTTAGTTGGTGGCTGGATGTTGGCAGGCTGGCAATGCACTGCACTATCCGAGATGTTTAAGATTAGACACACCTACTATCCTATCCTACCACAACGGTGACCTCAACACCTTCAATCAATCAATCAATCAATCAAACACCTACACATGAGTGTAGATAAGATAGATACTACTATACTATATAGTTATAATACTTTGGATCATATATAATATGAATCACTCAAACATTAGCAATGGCGGAAGTGGTGGAAGTAGCAATAACAGCAACAATAGTGGACATCACACACCAACCATGTTTCTCGGCTTGCCCAAGCCCGAGTACAACATGAACCTGTCATCATCAAGATATGGAATAAGCTTTACAAATAACAATCAAAGTGTACCCAACAACAATAATAACAACAATAATGGACATTCGAATAATGGATCACCACAGATATCAAGACAGAAGAGACATGATAGCAATGCAGGACAGCAGCAGCAACAGCAGCAACAGCAACAACAACATCATCATGTTGTATATCAAAGGAATAACAGCAATAATAATAATATTAGAGTGGATCATGTACCACCTGACGACGCGACAATAGCCCTGCTATTCAAGGACCTCAAATCATTCCCCTTTCGCAACAGATTCGAATCGGTCTCCAACACCGAGGTGGACATCGAGAACCCGCTGGTATGGAACGATGTTGAACTGCCACTTGACGAAGAGGACCTGGAAGCGCAAGCCGACATCGACGGCTCCCGCCAGTCCCGTCTCGATCGCATGTGTCTAAAACTCCCCACCAAGCGCTACGAAGAAGAATACAACTACCATCACTTTTACTCCCAAATCAACTTGCTCAGAGTAAGTTCCAAGATTGATAGGAATAGTTCCACCCTGTCCAAAGGTTTGGCCACATGGATCACTAACTCACGACTCACTCAATCAATTGTTAGTTAACCAACATCATTGGAATATTCGCAATATGTTATGATGGCTTCCAGAATGGATTGGACGTGCCGATTGGATTGTTTGCCATTAGGATCGCTTGCTTCTTGATGCTGCTCATATCGATCACATTGAGCTTCTTCAAGAACAAGTCATATTATAGACGATCGTATACACCATTGTTCTTGGTGTCATTCACAGCATTCTTCCTTACATTCGTCATGGAGTTTATCAATACTACATCAACATTGATATTAGTATTATATTGTGTACTGCTACTATGTCTATATGCACTTGGATGTCTAATGCTACACTGGCTACTACTTTTCAACACTATCATCGTCTCAATGTTCATGATCTATCTTGGCGTGGACTCTGATCTCGATCAACAGAACCTATACTCCTACACAATCTACATCTTCCTAATATTCGTCATGGGTGGAAGTCATCTTTACATGTTGGAGAAGTATAGGAAAGAGGTATGTTTGGGATAGTTCCAGCCTCAGCCCAAGCCCACACACTAACAATCACTCAATCAATCAATTAGAGCTTCATGTACAGCAAGAAGTTACAGAAGAAGGCAGAGAGCCTGCGCCAGGAGAAGGTGCGATCAGATCAGTTGTTGAGCAATATATTGCCAGACTTTGTGATCAAGATGATTAGGGACTTGCCAATGAGGGGCTCGCCGAATGAGTTCCCTCCACTGATATCAAAGGACTTTTATGAATGCACACTACTATACTGCGATATTGTAGACTTTACTAGTCTGGCCTCCAGAGTGGATGCAGCATCATTGGTCAAGCTGCTCAATCAGGTGTTTACAGAGTTTGACACAGTGGTCGAGAGAAATCAATGCGAGAAGATCAAGACTGATGGCGACGCATATCTGTGCGCGGGCGGACTGACAATCGACAACGAACATCACTTCCAAGCCATTGTGGACATTGCCTCGACATTCCTGCGGCTTAACATCCTTCGCGACAACTGTTTGGGCGTCCAGATCAAGCTGAGGATCGGTGTGGCCACCGGTTCAGTGATAGGCGGCGTGATTGGATGCGAGAAGTTCCAGTTTGATGTCTGGGGCGAGGCCATCGCCAAGGCTCACACACTGGAGGAGACTGGACAGGCTGGAAAGATACACATCATGCACAGGGACATTGACAGGATGAAGAGTGTCCATGGATGCATCGTCGAGGAGAACTACATTCCAGGAATCGGCGAGAAGAGCTACCTCATTACCCCGCCAGCACTCTCCCCTCCCATGACATACATTGACGCGCCCAACATGCCACCTCCCATCTCGCCTCGAGGCAACAACATGGAGCATGTAGTTTCATTCGATGATGATTGTCACATGAATGGCAATGACGTGTCCATGGACACGCTATCCTCCTCTCTCTCCCTTCAGAAGAACCATGGCACTGATGACGACCCCACCCAGCTTCAACAAAACGACAAGCAGAAGACGAAGTCGGGCCTGCTACACACGATCAAGAGCAAGCTAACAAAGAAGAAGGTGGATATAGAGGAGACGGACGTCGTGATGAAGGAGCTGGCCGAGCTGGACACCATGTTCAGCGATCACACACGTCTGCGCCAATGGCTGGTGTACTTTGGCAACTGGTCGGTCGAGCTAAGCTTCCACCGCTACGTGATCAACAAGACACTGATGGAGACGCGCTTCTTTCTGTTCATTGGCATGGTCCTGCATGGAATGTTTTACTTTGACGACATACTTCTAGAGTCGGAGCCAGTGCTCAACGCCAAGCTGATCTACGTGTTCATGGTCATTGTGTTTGTCTTGTACCTTGGAGTGTCGTTCACGCCAGCCTTTACCAATCCGGTGATCTACCAAGTCAGTTTCTGTCCTCCTWACTCCTAGTATTCTGTGTCTGCACTACCATCGAGTTCATTCGCTACGAGAATCCCCTAGCGCGAACATCCGTCATCCGGCTCTGCATCAGTCTATTCTACGCCAACGTCTTCTACAGTGTCAACTTTGTCTTTGTGTTACATTCCTCAACCTATTCGTACTATGTAAGTTTGATTGATTGATTGATCGATGGACTGGCGCTAACTCAACCTCAACAACTCCAACTAGTGTTCTTCTTCCTGTTGGCTAACTTTATCTCTGGAACATTGATCGCTCACTTGTATCCAACAGATTACTTGAGCTTGACCACAGTACTTGTGATACAGATAACGGCATCATATCTGATGAAGCTAGAGATGAGGAAGGCATGGATAACAAAGTCCAAGATTAAGTTCAAGGGACTGACACTACAGAAGGAGAGAGAGCGTTCTGCTCAGCTACTTGGTAACATATTGGTATGTGTGACTGAATGATTGATTGAATGAATGATTGACTAACTGTTACTCATAGCCAAAGACTATATTGAAACAATTGATGAAGGAGAGTAACAATAGAGGTGGACCAATGCCATTGATTGCCAACAATTACAATAATGTCGCTGTGATGTTTATCAATATTGTTGGCTTTGAAGAGTTAGTCATACCTCAAAGTACATCATTGTTATATTATATGAACTATATATTCACATTGTTTGATGGCCTGTCATCAAAGTATGGCCTGGAGAAGATCAAGACCATTGGCACAACATATATGGTGGTGGCCGGACTCAACCCTGGCGCCAATGAACAGCCGGCGCCAGGCACCACATCACACAATTACATTGGCAACATGGCGGACATGGCACTGATGGCCAAGGCATGCGTCAAGCACATCAACCCCGGCCTGAACGTGCAGGTCGGCATCAACTATGGCGGTTGCGTTGCCGGATGCATTGGAAACCGTTTCAAGTTTGACGTCTGGGGCGATATCATCAATACCGCGTCGCGTATGCAGACGTCGGCACCACCCGGCAAGATTCAGATCACTTCAGACTTGGCCACATTGTTGATGCGCGATTTCTTTGTCGAGGAGCGTGGCGTGATCAAGGTAAAGGGCAAGGGCGAGATGTGCACCTACTATGTTAGCGGTCGAAGACAGTCGTTTGAAGGTCGTCTCGAAGTGGACATGTCATCCGAGGACCACGTTGGCATTGAAGTGGACAGCAATTGTAAGATTGATATTGCTGCCACTCAACAACAACATCAGTGAGCGAGCGAATGAGTTAGTAAGTTGGATTATGAATGACTACACAAACGTATTCCAGTCCAGTAACTCATGAAGTGGGTGCTACCCACCTATTCGTTCGCCCACCCAACTGAATGGCGAATGATGGGTGATCGTTCGTTTAGTGAACCCCCATTCCGGAACTTGACAATAAACGACCTTTCACACTTCTCCACTCCTGAATGTATTGATCGCGTCATTGTCCATGATTACTCCCTTTAAAGGCCATCGCTGGACCATAGCACGCCCATTACATCCTACTCTTTGAACCCATCTAATAAAGGATAATAATAACTCATTTTAAACAAACGGGATTCGAATGTTCACAGCAAGGTTCCCTTTATGTTGTTTATCGTTTCATTTTGTTTGTCGATCTATACCATGTACCTATCTTTACATGTTGTTGGATTTTTTAGATCATTGACTCTTGGGATAAAGTATCATACCAGAGCTGGGAATTGATAATACCGATTGGACTTCAGGTTTATGTAACAAACAAAGAGACCTTTCACTTTACTAACTAACAAACTTCCTAACTAACTTTACAACTAACTAACTATTAACCGATTGGTTGTTTGACCAATAAGTGTACCCAAGTTTAGAATTACTGATCTAATAATGAAAGCCCAGAAGGCCCCCCTTTGACCATGATAGAGGGTGTTGGGGAAGCGTGTTTCGATTTGCGCAGTGTCGCACAAACACTTAAATGTCGAAGGTGGCGAATCAAGGTTTCAAACCTCATGTGTCCAGATTAGTGCAAATCTGGCAAGTTTTTTGTCCAACATGGTTAAGCTTTTCAAGATCTGGTTGTAATCTTGCCGACACTTCGCTGAATGTGACATGGACCTCGGTCTGCAAATATTTGAGTATTAGTGTGTGTGAATCAGTCCTTGTGCGTATGTATGTGTTGGTCCATCATCAAAGGCCTTGTGGTGGCGCGGCGCGGCATCACTTGTACCCCCCCCCCCCCCCCCCC